ATTGATCGTATCCAGCAAGAGGCAGGGTGAGGAGGAAATCCGTTGAATGCGGCGCTTGTTGGGCTTCAATAAGCAGTACTTACACTACGGATAAATCCAAAATCTTGTTCCTTGGAGCCTTCATGACTGGAAATCTCTATGCTTGGTATAAATCGTTCTATCAAGATAGAATTAGAATAGATCCGTTAGTAGAAATTATGGAATATGAAACTTTCAAAACTGAATTGAACTTAGCGTGGGGGGATCCTCATATCAAGTTGACATCTAATCATAAATTGAAGAATATTCAGCAAGGTAGAAAGACTTTGGCCGAATATAACGTTGAGTTCTTGGGTCTGGTACCTAAATCCAGTTATGCAAATGACGAAGAAGCGTTAATTGACTTGTATCAAGAGGGTTTGAACGAAGAAATTCGACGAGACCTATATAGTGGCAGAATATCGTTACCCACTGTCCTGACGGAAGTCATGCGAATTGCTCTCACTATTGATGGCAATCATTCTGCTAGAAAGCAGAGATGCTTTTGCTCCTGCTCACCCGGTAAGAAAACCTTGGAATAAGGGAAAAGGGCCCTGGAGACCAAACGCCAATCACTTCCCTAATCGAAATCACAATATTCCGGCAACCCAATCATTCACAATATGTCAGTCAGAGACACGACAACATGCGGAATATGAAACTCTTGGTATGAAACTCTTGGCACTATGAGAGCACTATCTCAGTTATATTACTTACGAAAATTGTGAATAAATGGTTCAATCAGAGACTTTTGTCCAGCACGAGGGCTGTCATGTGTGAATTGCCATATTTCCGGCCACTTGATAAGCACTTTTGAAATTAACAGACATGGTAGATTACGTTTCTTCACGGTATCAAATACAAAACAGTAAACATACCAACTCTGTTGATAAGCCCCTCCGCATTATACTTGTCCACAATCTTTTTGGCAGCTTCAACCACAGCCAGCTCATGTTCGGAGTACTGGTCTTCATGAACACCGCCAAATATAAACTCTTCCGATGCACATGCTTGATCGTTGCGATCACCTTCAGTATAGACTCCTTTTTGCACAAACTGTCATGCGAGGCAGTGACTTAGATTTCCTGCACGTAGGAGAGCCAAAGAGTCCGAAACTCACCTTGAAAGGTCCTCTTCCAATTTCGGAGCCAGATTGTTGCTCTTGTGGAGTTGTTTTCTCGAGACATGGCTATCTTCGTCTGGCGATGTGAGCAATGATGAGACATGTCAATGATGAATTTTGGGTGAAGAAGAAGCGTTGAAAGCCTTCAACATACTTGATCGCTTGATATCTATAGGAATTCAGTGTCGGGAACTACAGTTGGGTCGAGAGTCTGGACACATGTGAAACGTTGATTCGATTGCCTGCGAGGGATGCAGGCTCCTGAAACAATTCAAAGGGCAAAACGGTCGCTTCTTGTGGCTATACATACGGTACATACGTTGAAGGGTTGTCGTGGCCGTCAGATAAACGCAATCTGCCTCGGTGTGCTTTTGCCACAACACGTTAACGCAACAACGTTTTTGAACAAACGCGCCTTTCCAATGACCCGCAAATGACTATGATCGGCAAGCATTTGGGAACATGTGACACGTATCATTAAAAGTTGAGAACTACAAAAAAGGATGTTTATTTCGTGTTTTTTTAATTAAAATCTACCCTCTCCTTCAATAATCACGACCCTCCCTTTCTATAGTCGAGCATTAGGACCAGCATTAGCAGGGTGAGGAATCAAGCCTTTAGCAGGATCATCTCGCAAGACTCGGCGAAGAATCTTTCCAGAAGGGTTTTTAGGAATCTCATCTACGAAGCAGATACCGCCTCGGAGATGCTTGTGTTTGGCGACTCTCTCATCAACGAATTTCATAATATCCAATGCAGTTTGCTTGGATTGCTTTCCGGCTTTGGTTACTACGAAGGCTCTTGGTAGTTCACCTGTACAAAAGACAAGTACTTAGAATTTAGCAAGGATGCGAAAGACCAAATTTTTAAAGTTTCGTACCGGCCATATCGTCTGGAGTAGGCACAACAGCTACATCTGCAACTGCTGGATGGGAGAGCACAAGGGCTTCCAATTCGGCTGGAGCACTATTTTGGAGTTGGAGTTAGCGTTCCTTGCGCCAAGTACAAGCAACTAAACATTCGAAACTATAACACATACACTTGAAGAGCATTCACTTTGATCAACTCCTTGAGACGGTCAACCACAAACAAGTATCCTTGATCGTCATAAATGATTTGATCTATAACAAACCAAGTCATATGTTAGACTCCACCTACAACCAAACAACATCTTTCAGTACATACCTCCAGTCTTGACCCATCCATCAATATACGTCTCCCTTGTAGCATCATCACGATTCAGATACCCCAAAGTCACATTAGGACCTTTGTAGTACATTTCTCCAGGTGTGTTGGGGGTGTGTACTTCGTTGCCGTCCTCGTCAATCAGTTTGATTTCAGAATTGGGTAATGGGAAACCGACACTTCCGATTTTGGGAGGTAGGAGGCCCTATGCGCATGTGTTAGATTCAAGAATCACAATGCATTCTCCCTACATTCACTTACTCCACCAGTTCCAGAACAGTTGACCTCAGATTGACCCCATCCGTTCATAATGAAACTGGTATTTATAGAAAAAACGGTTAGCTCAAGCTAGAGAATCGCTGGTCTTTTGTTAACATACCCAGAAGGAAGCTTGAAGCTTGCACCAATCTCCTCGGCCAATTCCTTTCCAAGTGGAGCAGCTCCAGAACCCATAGCTTGCAAGCTCGACAGGTCGTATTTACGAGCTTCTGGGCTTTTAGCGAGCATGACGTAAATCTAAAGGTTTGACTGAAGTTAACTCATAAACCTCAAAATAGCTCCTTTGTCGGGAAGACATACTGGTGGTGGAGCAACAATTCCAGCAATCTTGTAGTCCTGAATAGCCTGACAAAACCTCGAGAAGGAGAACTTTCTAGATGTGATTACCATGGATCCACCAGCCAACATTCCTTGAATGATGAAGAGACCAGCGGCGTGGTACATGGGGAAGATTGACAATGCAGGAGTTCCAGATGGTGGTATAAATTCAGGAGGTACCAACGAAGATGTTTGTTGTCTGTTCGCAATTACGTTGAAGTGGGATTGCATGACTCCTTTTGGTCGACCACTAGGAAGAAGAATCATTAGCGTTTTGCATCACAGACTCATATAGAAGTACAGCCAAACATACGTAGTTCCAGAAGAATACAAAATATAGGCTGGAGTCTTTGTCAGCTCATCAGCACTCCATTTCACTTTTGGGGCTTTGGCAGCATCGCCAAACAACTCTGTCCAGTATTTGAAGCCTGTAGCTTTAGCTTGGTATACAAAGATGTTTGAAGTCTTGATGTTGCCCTCTTTTGCGGCTGCAAGTGCAGTTTCGAGCATGTCTGGGACTGTGAACATGAAGGTTGGTTTGGAGTCACCAAGCTGGTAGGCCAATTCATCGGCATTGTATCTATAGATATAATAAAATGAGCCAAATGTTGTTTGGTTGAGAGTTCGAGATGAGCAGAGTGTTGCGATTGGTTGCCAATACGATAGACCTTACGCTGGGTTAGCCGTGGTTAATATTCCACCAGCATGCAATACTGCCCACGCAATTTGAGGAAACTCAGGCCCAGAAGGTCCTAAAAGAAACAAAAAACCGTTAGTATACTGTACTGTATTGAGGCATAACCTCTTGCAACCACACACGACGAGCTCAAACCCTACCAAACATCTGAACCACAACACCCTTGTGGACACCAAGAGCAGCCAAACCAGCACTTAATGCCAACACATTGTGCTCTACCTCTCCATATGTGATTTTTTCATTGGTTTCAGAGAGCAACATTGCGACGAGATTTCGACGACCCGGGTCATTCCTGATGGGATCAAACAGGAAATCTAGTAGTGAAAGGTGGTTTGAGAGTTAGATTAAGCTTGAGAGTTGCAATCGATGATGCTTAAAATGGATCTTCTCCTCTACAGATGTTTGCGAACAAAGGATTCAAAACGACGTACGGTTTGGGATTGTAGTGATGGGGATCTTTACTGTGGGGAACGGAGACTTCAAGACGACCATTAGCTGTAATAGGAATGCTATTGTCTCTGATGAGAAGCGAGTCGGGTGTTTTCTTGTGTGAGAAGCTTGGTGTCACATTGTGTGTTGGTGTCTCCGTAAATGCCCTTCTCATACTACGTCATATATAAGAAGTTGTACCAATTGCTCTTAACTAAGCGCAGAGATCCATATATTCCTACGTTTGAATTCGTAGGGATCTACAACATTCGAACTTGCACGGCCGTACAATCACGACACAAATCTTGCTTCGCAACACAAAAAAAACCCCTCTGTAAAAGACGGTGGTGTCGCGTCAAAAGCTCACCGATAGAGTATCTCGTCATTGTCGTCGGTCGTCGGCAAAGCTGTACCGCAGATCCTAGTTTTAAGTGTCGAAGTTAAATCAAGTAAAGCCAATGTAAGCAATGCAGAACGCGCCAGTAAGTCAAGGTCCAAGTAAGGCTAAACTGAACTTCATTGACTTATGCGGAGCACTGAACACTAGCAGATACTATAACTCAATAACCCAATAACCCAACGCATGTATTATTGACTTTGCCGACCGCTAATGCCGTTCAAGGTCGTCATTTGTGATTATCAATCTCACCCTCAAAAAATGGCAGCAATATACAGCTACGTGAGCCTTGAGGTCGAGGAAAATAATGGCACGACTCTATATTATCTTTATGGAGCCTCAACCGTCGCCTACATTGCGCTTTTCGGCTGTGGAGTCGCGAACCTACTCTGGATTACCTTTTGCCATCGGAGGTGGCTATCTCAACAAGAGCAGCTACGAAGGAGGACGCCAAATGACGTGGAACTATCTCCCATATCGCAAAACGCGTCGCCCCGACACATTATTGTTCCTTCTTCAGAGCAGAATGCGCAACAGCAACAAATCGTCAATGTGGAATCAGCGCCGGTGAACCCGTTCGCTGCAGATCCAGCAACGAGGAATGTGACGCCAACCCAGCATATGGCCCACCACAATATTCAGATATACCTGCCGAATGGATTATGGCTTACGTTTATGGGAGCGTTGTTTCTGGTATGTCCCGGTTGAATCACATTCAACCACAAGACTCTAACCGCATCTTCACTGTCAGCGCATCTTATGGAACTGTAACCGAACCCTGGTAGTCGATATCATACTCGACGGCAACTATACGCTAGACGGTACCCAACAGTTCGAAAATGCTACGGGAATCCCATTCGATGCCGTCGTCCTCGTGTCCAACTTTCTGGGCTTCCTGTGTGAGACGTCCATGTTTAGCACGATGCTGCTGTTTGCTCAAGGATACTGTATTGTGAGGGCTCAGTTCTTTGATTTGAATCAATCGAGAGTGTTTGCTGGTGAGTTGGTTGTGAAGCACTCCGTCCTTCCAACGTTTTCTCACTTTCTGGCTTTCCTTTTGTACAGGGCTTGTTAGTTTGTCGCTGCTATTACAGGTGGTGTTGTCTGGATATGGTCAATTATACGCTGTAAGTTTCTTACGCTGCAAAAAGCACAGATTCCTTCATCTCCTTCAGAACAATCTTATATCTGTCCTATATTTTATGTCTGAACGTTCCTTATTTAAATTCAAATCAGATCGTCCTCGCATTCCTCCAACTTATCGTAATCCGCATCCTTCTCCACTCTATTGCCCACCTCAAATCCTTTTATGCCGGTCTCACTCGCAGCATCCGCCTCTCCCGAGCCACAAACCTCATCGACGCATCCCCCACCGAGCAGAAGCTCGACCTAATGACAGCAACACTCACCCTTTTCTACATCTATCTTTTCGCCGTGGTTGGCATGCTAGTCGCAACGCGCGTAACCAGTGTCTCGAACGTCGCCATTATCGCCGAAGTCGTGGATTTCGGATTCGTGTGCTCGCTTATGGTACTGCTGAGACTACGCGGGAAGGCAACGAGGAGGAGAACGCCGGATGAGACGAGAGTTCAGCCTGTGCATGCTGAGGCGGTGGAGGCTGTTAAGCCAAAGAGAAGTAACGCAGAGACAAAGTACTATATGATTCAGTACTCGGCAGAGACACGAGGTGCTGCGACGCTAAACCCGGTTATAAATCAACGGTTGTTTCTGGCTAGCCCTGATATGTTGCAGGATGAGGCGACGCTGTATGTGGGTGAGGACCAATAAGGTTATATTTGGCTTGAAACTGCCTATAGAATGATTTAAATATATAGTAATCGATTGTTGTTGTTAGAGTTGCATCATGAATATTTTGCTTTCTGTGTGTTGTCAAACAACTTCCAGCAGTCAAGTCTATCTACACGATACCCAAGTAGCCTAAACATACCTAGATATTACTTAACCGTAACATTTATCGGCTTAGCACTAGTCGTCGCAGCCCGCCCCTTACTCAACGCCTTCTTCCTCTCAATCTCCTCCACAATTCTAGGCCCCCTAACCACAACACACCGTAAACAACTCCGCGGCGATCCATCCGGTGCATCCATCGTCAGAGTCTCAATCTCTCGCGTTTGGGTGAAGCCGTGTTGTGATAGTATTAATATAGTTGACACTGCGATTGGGATTGCTGGATCAACGCTATGTAGGGTTTTGTTAGAGAGACACTTGAAAGCTTGGAAACACATAAGGATACGCACCCAATAACCTCAATCTGCTCATACTCTGTCAGCGAAGACGCCATCCAATCCACATATGGCTGCAGCTCGGGATTCTCAGACACGCCTACAACAGCAGCAGTTGAATCTGATGGAATCCTGCTATTACTGCTACTAGCACTACCCGACGTTCCAGACAAGACATCTCGAGCAGACTTTGGTTGTGCGAGCGCTGCAACATATATCTGTTTCGACGGTGCGTAATCCACCGGTGGTTTGGGCACTGACGTGGGTAGTTTTGGACGTGGTGGTACTAGTGCATGTGATTGCGTATGAGATTGATGTTCATTAGATGGTATCAGCGATATCTTTGATTTTCGACGTGTGTTTTTGGGCGATGTTCGTGATTTTGACGCGGGTTTTGGGATGCAGGGTGGTGAAGTTGTGCCTAGTGGTTCGGTAGATGTTTGCTGCTTGGGATTACTCGTTGATGATGATGAAGATGACGGGTGTTGGGTGGAAGATAGATGTGCTGAATGTGGACGATGTTTTGATTTTGGTTGGGGTTGCGAGGGAGGCGGATCTTGGGTCATTACAGGCTTCATATGAGCTTCTTGAAAGATATTATGTGGTGTCTTTGCCCCTTGAAGCCTTCTCTAACTGGGATTGCTTGCTTTTCAGTTCAGTTGTTGAACCACGCGGAGAGGAAGAATTGAGGCGTCAAATACGTGTAGACATATCTTCCTAATCATTTAAATCATTCCAACGCGTAAGTGTATCTAAAACTTGATTGCCCTCTCAAATATTGGCGGTGCCAGTTCAAGATTGTCGAGTTTAGGGCCTTTCTCAGAGACATCTTGGCAGGAATGTACATCTACATCGATGCATTACTTATAAAAATTGCAAATGCAGTGCACATACTAGAGCGATCAAGTCTGTTAAACAGTGACTTATCGCAATTCGCGTCGAAAAGAAAAGATCTAAGAGGAAGCTTCCAATACTCAAACTACATTTTGTCTACTCAGCCACATGTCATATCGACAGGCAACAGACAACACAATTGTTCCGTGATCAAGCTTCAAACTTCCAGCTTGCAACGTGTTTTTTGCCAAGTTCATCTACCAACAAGAAAATCTCTAAGCAATCGCTCTCTTCACGCCGTCGATGTGTAATTTTCTTCTCTGCCACGTTTTGAGCCCTGCTCCCCTGCGCTCTGATCTCTCCCAACTTTTTTTTTCTCTCACAAAAAACACAAGTACCGATTGGACCCAACCTCGATGGAGAGGAGTCCAAAGAGGGTCAGGCTGGAAACTGACGGTCCAGAGACATCATCTTCAATAGTACCAAGCACTTCCAGTCCTCAAAATGTCGAGGAAGGAGCACCATCAACGTCAGAACCAAAGCCGAAACGACCGCAGCTCGATCAGGAGCAAGTCAATAAAGTAAAGACAGTAATTGCTGCTCAATTCGACTATGAAATACTCTTGAAACGACAGGAGCTCGCTACTATAACGGAAGAACTGGAACGTGGAGAAGACATTTTGCAGAAGTTGTCGTATTTGATTGCCAATAGTAGTAAAGATATTGTTATGATAGATCGTTAATCAAAGATTGTTTACCTTACTCATTTATCACTTATAGATGCCGATACGAGCACAGCAGCACCATGTATACCACCAGAATCGACAGTTCCGAGTACGTCAGATCCAACCCCTTCAATTCAACAACCACAGACTCCCAAACTAGCTCCTGTAGCTGTATCTACTGTCCTGCCGACTTCAGAAACAACACGGGAATCGCTACCTCATTCACCGTTACCACCATCAACGATAGCAATGGGAGCATCACCACAACCAACTGGCCTTATATCCCAGCCGTTGCTGTTACAGCCTATAGTAGCACCTGCTCAGCCAGTAGCACCGCAGCAGCCACTAATATCTCAGCAGGTGGTAGCATCTCAGCAGCCGATAGCACCACCACAGATAAAACAGGTAGCAGCTCTTCCGCCAAGGCAGCCAACACCACCACCGTTACGTAGAGAGTCAACGCCAGCTCCTGCATCTCCTACTATGCCGTCACGAGCATCGGGTACGCGGCCGCCACGGGCTGCTACTTTGCGGGATCGCACATATATACCAGGAACTACACCATTGTATGCTAGACGTGAGGATGGCCGTTTTGTCAGGTATAGATATACGGGTGTGGCAGTTTTCTTTCGCTTAAACCGGGCTGACCTTTTCTATAAGGATCTCATGTCCGGGATGTGGAAGAGCAAACTTTTTAAACATGCAGGGCTTCATAAACCATTGTCGTATATCCCATCATTTGGAGTTTACCAGTCATTTCAAGGCTGCTGAGATATCTGGAACAGTGGTGGTAGGGACCTGCCGCAAAGCTCGCCTCATACGCCATGACTGTCACGGTCTAACTGTTTTCGCACTTCTAGGACGAAGCAGAAGTTCCAGATAACCACACATGTCGACGCATTCAATTCAAGCCACCAAACCCAGCAATACGTAAAGGCACTCCAACTGCACCAGGGTAATTTTTCATAAAATCTTTTTCATGTCGCTGCAAATATACACTACTTTCTTATACCAACTCTTTCTGATTCGCCTCTCTCGTGTTATGTCTCTTTGACAGGTCAACTCAGGGTGTAAATGGCTCTTCTCAGTTGGTTAAGAAGGTTGGTTGTGTTAAAGTCTCATTGTCCATGAATCTTGTCTCACCCATATGTTGTTTGGTTAAGCCAAAGATTAAGGAATACGAAGAAGACGTGGTCTTTGATTCAGATCGATCTAGCGTTGCCTTGGGACCATTACAATCACAACGGACTATAGGATACTCTGGACTATCTGCTCCACCGACTGTAGAATCTCCAGAGGCATTTGACGACGGAGACGAGGACGGAGGGGAGGATGATGAGGAAGCAGAGGATGCTTCCACTCCGATGCAAGATGATGTCAGAGTTACTGGAACAGACGACGTGTCTACTCATGAACCGTGAGTTTTGAGCGCAGCTTTCGGGCGCCTGAAGTTCTGGTTCCATGGGCTGTCGAACCCCTGTCGAACCAAAAAAACGTAATATTACGTGGCTAATGTCGTATTCTTCTCCTTTAGTATTCAATCATCACTTCATATAAATCCAACCACACAGGAATCAAATAGTATTTCAGACACTCTCAATTCACATAATGCATTACCACGTACCCAAGATCCACAACCATCACAACCACCACAACGACCTACATCTGTAACAATACTCAACATAGCATTAGAAACACATAAACCAACCATTCAACGCGTAGACTCACAACAAGATGATACCTCCATGACAGATGCAAGACAAGAAGATACCATGATGGCAGATGCATCAGTTCCCACTTCGGACGAGTTAGTACCTCACTCAACGTCCTATGAGAATGACGTCTCTCGGTTCTATATCAAGAAGAGGATTGTGGTTGGGAATGTGTCGCAGTATATACCAGCTCGTGAGTATCTGCTTCTAATGTTGAGACAATATCCAGGACTCAAGTTCTTTTTTTGTGGGTGTTAGATAAGCGTGATCCAGGATTACGGAAATTCTTCTTTAAATGGATGGTTTATGTTCGTGGACCACCATCAGTAAGTCTCAGCTCTGAATACAGACGCTTTGATAAGCCGAACTTATACATCTCAACCCACAGGATCCAAACCCAACATCTTTCATTAAAAAAGTCCGTTTCTACCTACACCCCGACTACCGCCCGAACGACGTCGTCGAAATCTCCACTCCCCCATACCACCTCCTCCAAAAAGGCTATGGCGAATTCCCAGTTCGCATCCAGCTCTTTTTCGTTGACGAAGCCAAGAATCAACCACTAGACTTAATCCACCCTCTCAAACTTGATTTATTCAAGTCTGGGAAACAGGTTATGGGCGGTGAAGCGTTTTATGATGTAGAGCTGGATCGGAATACGGTGCTGGAGCCTACGAGGCCGTTTGTTGTCTTTGCGAGTGAGAGGGTGAAGAAGGCTAAGGATGATGAGGAGGAGGAAGAGGAGAGGAGTCCGTTGCATAGGATTTTGGAGGGTGCTGTTGCTAAGTTTCCGATTATAAGGACTGGTGAGTGCTGTTGTCGTTTAAGTATAAAAATCTCACGACTTTTGTTTCGTGTCTGCTTTTTTTGCAGCATCAACAGCCGTATTCAAAGCTAAGATTCCGTATACGCTTGCTGAAAATCTCAAGCAGTTCTTGTCATGGTCGATCGGGAAACGTAAATCCATTGAGGTATCGCTCTACATCATAAGGTTTGTTACTGCTGGATACCATTGACCCATTGCTTTTCTTTAACAACAGATGCAACGAGCAGTCAGCATGAAGAACTACATCGTGAAAAGCAACTCAATCCCTGATGCAACGATCGACGCAAAGACACAAAAAGAAATTGCATCTCTAACACCACGTCAAGTCGTTGAATGGTGTCGGGACAAAGGACTGACACCGCAAGGCAATGGATTACAGCCGGAAAAGACTATTGGGAATAGCAAAGCTAGTAATGGACAATCCAAGATGCCTGGTGGCGTTACGAATCAACCGGCTCAATACTGTTGGTTTTGTGGTGTGGTTGGTGGTCATACTGGGAAATTGGAGGAGTGTCTTGGTGGAGCGCTGAGTGTTTCGAATGAGGGGATATCGAGTGTTACTAGTATGTATGAATTGGTTTGAGGATTCTGAGCTGCATTTTTGGCTTACTTTCAACCCTTCTTTGGACATAGATTGGGAACGTGCCGATGCAGAACGTAAACCTCGTGCAAACGAATCAGGGCAGGCTACGATACCCTTTTGGCAAAAGCACACAAGCCCAGATGTAGCTCCTCGTGATGTAGAATGGACTTGGAAGGAGGCTGCGAAAATTGGTGTGGTCGCACCTCTAAAGACGATAAATGCAAGTTCAGATGTGATTTCGGAGCGGACAGCTGCTGGTGGACTCATGTTTGAAGTGAGTATAGCTTGGTTATAAGGGTTGCTTTTCTTGCTGCATTGTTACCAAACGACCAATACAACTACAACGTTATATTTCTCACTTTACAGGCAATGAGAGTACTCGCATCACGCCTAATATCAGCCAGCATTAAACAATACCAATCTGAACTCGTCGAACCCATGCCATCAGCATCTTCATCACTCCCTACATCATCATCACTAGTACCACCAAAAACGAAACTCTTGGTACCACTCCACCTCCATAAAGCCATGCAGAACGATGCTAAACAATTTGACATTTTTACGAATGCTGGCTTGAAACCATACCCGGATTCAGATAGTGATTATGAATGATTTGTGGGCTTTAGGTGTCTGTATAAAGAATTGTATAGTTTGCTAGAAGCCAGTAGTGGTGGTGGTGTAGGAATATAGAATTGTGAAGACGAATGAGGAGTGTCTAGTTCGTCACTTGTGATGAAGGACGCGTCTTGTTGATTGTGATAATGAACTATAGGTCACTGTTTTTTCGTGGGCGCATGCAGCCAAAGGAGGATCTCGGATGAGATTTCGCTTGACGGACCTTCCTGTGCGTCGCTGCTCCTGCTGCTCCACGGAGACATCACAAGAATTGGAGTGCCCGGCTTCAATAGCAGTTTGTGGCATTATCATAACCTATTAGACGTGTATCACCCACTGCTAGTATCCTCCGCTCAGCCTATAGCACTACACCCAGATACAGATATCTGCTGCCTCTCCAAAACAAACAGTACCAAGTCACCGATTCGTAGAGAATCAACACCAGTTCCAGGCATCTTATAGACCACACCGCGTTCACGATCAGCAGGCACTTTATCTCCAACTGCTACGTGTGCGATATCGTATACGTATACCAGGAAGCATGCCGGTGAATGTTAGACTTGAGAATGGCCGTTCGTCAGGTATTTTCGTCCAGCATTGACAAGACGCATGGTTTCATATACCGTTGGTTGTATATCCCATTATTTCCAGGTGCTGAGATACCTGGTATTGTGGGGGTAGAGCTTCTGACCCAGGGGTCTTATCAAACATATAATTGCAGAGGTCTTTTTGGCGCCTGTGTAATAAAATTAAGCTGCCGTCAATGTTGATGTAAAAAGATAGTAGCCATCAACACGTGGCAAACAAAAGCGGTAGACAAACGTGATTCTATATGATGGCAGTCATTCAATGATGATTTCTATAAGGAAAAGCGGGTTATTATTTCGCCAAAAAGTGTATGACTATTTGGATGAAGACGCTCAGAGACCGATATTACGAAACCCACTTCTAGCATATCAAACTCAAACATGTTGCTAACATAAAGCCTGTTGGAATACATGGTGATATGGTCGGTAAACATATCAGTGATGCTCTAAACAAAGTCCAAAACGATGCCAAGAAGGGGTGGAGCTGCTCTACCTCCAGCTGTACTGAAAATCATCAGCGGGCAGGAAGTAATGAAGAGCTAGAAAAATAGCAAGACGGGATCGTTTGGTAGTTACTTTGGGGATAGGTAGTGATGTTTGTCCAGCTGCATCACACTATGTAATGACTGAGGGAAAATGCCCATGCGGCAACATGTCATAATAAATGAATTTTCAGCCTTTCAAATCTCCTTTCAGCGGTCGTGGTTGTCTTAATGAGGGAATCAGGTTTCCAACTAAATGGGCTTTTGGTGTGGAAATCAGCTGAAGTTTGCGAAGGTGCTGTGACACTACAAGTAGGCGTCATGGACTCATTCTACTAGCAGGCTGCTACGTTCTACATTTTATCAGAACTTTTCATGGCTCGGGTCGCGAAAACATGTCCGATTCTTTTTTGCTGCTCACACTGCCATCCAAACATCCAAACAGACTGAGCGTGATCTTGTCTGGAGCGTTCAAGCAAAAATTAAATGCATTTCATGTACTAAATCCGCTAGAAGTATCAATCTAGAGATCCATGGGCGACTCAGGAACTTATCCACGGCCGCAGAGACTGTCGACAGCCAACCCACCACCAAATCCATTACGAAAGGCTACCGCTCCGCCTATAGATCGTAAATATGGAGCCCCGCAACGGCTACACGACTCGCTACCTAGACAAGGCTCTACTTCGCACCCGTCATCATTACCACGTGAAGTTTCATCTGGTATACGCAGAGAACAGAGTAATTCGTCAATGAAAAACGTAATTGGAGGTGCCGGTAGTAGTAGTACCAATCCCCAACCAGCACCTCGACCACCACTACAACCACAACAGCACCAACCACTGCAAAAACAAGCATCAACTTCCTCCCTAGCATCGAAAAGTGGATTAAAAAGTCAGGCCAGTCAGTCGTCGTTACGGCCTCTACGGCTCTCACGTGGTGTACCAGCACCGGTACCAACACGACCATCTAAATTACCACAAGCAGGTATACCGTTAGTTGAAAAGAGGTATTCACCACCACACCAGCTGAGCCCGGATGGGACCTTTGATGAGCTGAGGATGGCAAGGAATGTGTCTATATCTGAGGGTTTGCTGAGTGCACCAACACTTCCTTCAAAACATGCCACAAAGGCGGTGCCCTGGATTATTAGGCTTGATAATCTGTTGAGCGAACATGGTATACATTATTTGCTAGTCTAATTACCCAAGCGCTCCACTAACTCCTACGCTTGAACCACTAGGAAAAGAATTCATTTGGTGCACAATATGGATTCTCGTCCAAGTCGGCCTCTTTGCATATAACTTTATCACAATGCAAAACGATGTTGGATTTGCATCGCTCGTAGCAGCCACGAATGGGTTTTGGGCAACGGCTAAGGCATCAGCGGCTGTTATTAGTCTCAACATGGCACTAGTTCTTATACCGATACTGAGAACACTATTGTCTTTAATCAGTGATACCTTCCTCGCCAGGTTATATCTATTCAATAGCTCGGCGTTACTGCATCGGGTCTGCAGTTATGGGATTGTGTTTTGGAGCTTTGTACATTGTGTACGTGATTGTGTGTTGTTTGGGAGGCCAACATTGTGCTAACATATTAACTTTAACACAGGTTGCCCATTATATGAACTATATCAGAATCGAAGCTGCATCTGGAAGAACTCTTTTAGCCGGTGCCATGACTGGCACAACAGGAGCCGGCATAACAGGTCAAATGCTCGTCCTACTCATGGTAGCCATCTACACATCATCTGCAAACGTAGTCAAACGATCCGGCTATAACGTATTCTGGAGCCTACACTGTCTTTTCATTGTGCTATACGCATTGATTGTCATACACGGCTCGCTATGTTTTGGTAAAGCTCTGGATGTGAAATCTGGGTCCACCATATGCAGAACACCGACGTCATGGATGTATTGGATTGGTCCTTTGGTGTTGTATGGAGTTGAACTGGTGCTGAGGACTGTGAGAGCAAGACAGACTACTACGGTGCTTAAAGTTATTCAGCATCCTCAAAAAACGGTTGAGATTAACTTTTATAAGCCGGCTATGAAGACTAGGGTAGCACAGTATGTGTATTTGAAGTGTCCTGATGCTGGAATATTTGAGGTACGTTGCAGGATCTCAGATGCGCATGTTCACTAATCGTGGCAGCTGCAGCACAACTGGACGTGCAGCAGCGGCAGCCCACTCATGAGTTATGAATTCTCTGATACTGACCTCTTCGTCCCATTTAGTGGCATCCATTCACTCTAACTTCAGCTCCCCGAGAGGACTGTCACTCAGTCCACGTCCGAGTTGTAGGCGACTGGAGTGCCCGTCTCGCTGATCGCTTAAACTGCAGGTTTGACCCTGATGATCAACGACCGCCATTTCCTAAGAACTATAAATTGATGGTTGATGGCCCCTTTGGAAGGTCAGGAGACTGGATTTTCAGATTCGATACTGTAATCTTGATTGGGGCTGGTATTGGTGTGACTCCTTGTGCGTCGATTCTCAAAGAGATTGCGTAAGTGAGAGGTAGTGTAATTGCCGAAAATGTATTGGAATGCTGATGGGTTGGTTTCTCGTTAGTTTTCGATATGTGGATCCAAAGATACCCAGACATATGAAGAAGGTGTATTTCTTTTGGGTTTGTCGAGAAGCGTATGTAAGTTTGATGGCATATGAAACGCTTTGTTCACATCTTGACTCTCAGCACAACGGATCAGCCCCAGTCAACCCCACTTTACAATCCTTTAGGCTTTCAAATGGTTTAGATCCTTCCTCGCCGAGCTAGAAGAAGAATCTCAAAACTGGATTGACCCAGACCTATTCGAGATCCGACCATACCTAACTGGCAACCAGCCCAATATTGACAATCTCTTCCTTAACGACTTTGACGGTGACGACGCACTGACTCGATTACGAGCCCGTACGCAGTATGGACGACCAAGGTTTGATGCCTTGTTTCGTGATATTCGACAACAGCACCCGAATACGGACGTGGGAGTGTATTTTTCTGGACCGCCTGGATTTGGAAGTGAGATACAGAGAGTTTGTGATGGGAGTAGCACTGTATCTAGTGGAACGAGATTCTTTTTCTCGTCGGATGATGCGTGGTAGATGGTGATAGTAAAGGGTTGGTTATCGTTGGAAACGTTGTGACGCATCTGGCATTTAATTGTTGAACATCAACTTTTAATTTCTTTTTTGTAATGTTTTTGCAGTTTTGAACTGTCTCGTATATACATTTTACATTCACCTTACATTCGCAAATGAATCTAGTCGTTCATGATGTGTTGTGTGGAAGTGGAGCTTTGAAACTCAAAACGAAAGCCAAGTCCGAAAGCCTCAACATCCCAGACTGGAGACCTAGTAAAACTAGAGTAGTAAAGCTAGAGATAGATTAGATTGATTGATAAAAGATCTCATACGAATGGCGCCTGTTCTTGTAAGCTCTTGTATACTCTGTTTCATTGCAATCAGCCAAAAATCAAACAAGAACCAAGCAAACATGAGAACTGACATTATCCACTCAAACAACGCTAGACTTCATCCAAATTTACGTATCTCAACTTGATGAGTATACTAAAGAAGACCCAGGTAGGAGATCGACCTCGAAACCGACATGTTTGCGGTCAACATCAGCTTTCAGACACTTTGAACTTTTTAGCCCGATTATATGGCTGAACGAGACCCGTAGGTGACATTTTGTAAGTTTCATCTATTCCAGTCGTATTTGACTTTGCCTTTTGTATCATATAGATGGTTCAAGTGAGTTATCAGATGAGCTCATATTACCTTTGCCAACGTGGTTGACAACCCGATCAGCTTGAACTGATACGCAGTTCTCCACATCAGATGGCACGGATCCGTCATCCCAAAGACACTCCCCTTCGTCGTGGCCTTCACAATCGAAGCAGCGATCGTAGCTGTAGTCCAAGAAACAGTTTGGTCAAACCTCGAACTCCCAAGTGCATTCATACCTGTCGTGTCGTTTGTAGTCGGTTTGCTACTCGTGTTTCGCACAAACTCGGCGTATGATCGGTACTATGAGGGAAGGAGATTATGGTCTACTTTGACATCGACTGTGAGAAGTGCTGCCAGAACCATTTGGATCTTGGCGCCTGAAGATACGGTGGAGAATAAAGTGGAGAAGAGGGCTGCTATGAAGTTGTTGATTGCGTATGCTTATGCTGTAAGTGCCGGTTGTTTGGAACATCATGTTGAATGACTTTCAATGGAAAGTCTGACCAATTTTATTCAACATGTGTTTTGACATCACACCGTTAACCAAATAGACCAAGAGACACCTACGAGGGGAGCACGGCAGCCACTGGGAAGACATCCGACCACATCTGGTCAGCATCCCACAACTCCTAGTCGAAAGCAAAGAAGACGCACTCAAACTACCAAACGGAACAATAATCGATATGGCTGGATCTCGCGCACCGTCATTCGCACTAGACGTAGGCGTAAACTCAGGTGTGCTGTCTCCCTCACGTCCTCTCACCATGCACAATTACTTGGATGAACAAGATGCCGAAAAGGCAAATATGGTGTCGAGAATGGCTCGTAGAATGAGTACTAAACGACGACCAGCACCAACTCCATCCACTCTTGTCCATCGTCATGACTATTCGTGTGGATGTGTGAATCTGCCGTTGGAAATTGCTAATATGTTGACTGCGTTCGTGTTTGAGAAGAGGAAGAATGATCAGGTGTGTACGGATGATGTCATACGAGTGACTTGGGGGAATCGCATGATGGTTGTTGAAGAGGAATTGAGATGATGTAGCAAAAACCCACTAGGATGTTGACTCAATTGCATCTTCCATCACCGCAGTTGCACTTCATGACTCGAGATGCTCTCTTCAAAATGATATCCTCGTTGGTTGAAACCAATGCTTCATTCGAGAGAATCATCACCACACCTATACCGCTCGCTTACAACTTGCATCTGAAGCATACACTGCTCGTGTACTGCTTTACACTGCCATTCCAGGTATGATGTAGCAGGAATGTCTCGTAAGGCTCGAGAATGGGCTCATACAATGACTGGTTTTTAGCTGTTATCACTGGGTTGGGCAATGATACCTGCAGTGGGATTGGCCGTTGCCATTCTTTGGGGTATTGAACATATTGGAGCTGAAATTGAGGTGATTACTTTGGTCCATTGTGTACTTCTATTCGCCACTGTCCTTCTAAACAGCGATTTTATTAGAATCCATTCAATTACGATGCAAACGACTTACCACTTGAAGCTTATTGTGATCTTGTACATGCTGATGTAAGGCAAAGTTATTCGTATTCGTACCCTGAGAACCTTGCAGCTGACAACCCTTTACTGTGTTAGGTCGAATTCATGTTAGGTAAGCTGAAACTACTTGCACTCTTAGTAGAAAGTAGTATATTGAAACCACGCCTATAGTTCGACCACCACCACAAGCCAAAGACTGGATGGCAGTCGCAGATTCAATATTGCTACCACACTCTCATGGCGGGCCAAATGGCTTTTCTTCTCAGAATCTCTCTGCAGTGACTATCAGCATCGTGCCTGAAGCCGATGTAAGTTTCCCTCGGAATGTTGGTTGGGTTTGTTGTATGGATACTCACAGGTGTTCATAGCCACAAGAGACTGATAATTTTATCAGAAAAGACCGATAATCTATTTGCTTCATATCGTATAGGTCTCGGATGCTCGTAAGATGGTGTAAATGGTCAAACGTGTTGTGAAAGGGAGAGGTTTACATTGTCTACATTGGGAGGAGAATCTTGTATGTTGAGTCATACTAGAAGAAAACTTTGAAGTACATAATTTGAGTTTGCACAAAAGTAGAAGAGAATTACTTGTATATCCTGGTTTTCCAAAATAATATGGAGAGGTAGACGTGGCCGAATACAGCAAAAGATCAAGACAACGTTTGGCGAGACTTGATTCTGTTCTGTACTAATCTTCTATTGAAACCCCAGCGACAACAAGAAACAAAAATTACCAAATCAAACTATTTATTGTACAAGTGAGACTACGGATTATGAGACTGCAGAGGGCACTAAAGATATTGTACAAGCCACATGGGCTTCTTTCTATCATTCTCTGTTTCTTCTAAACCACCTGCTCGGACGGTACCAGACTGAGCTTGTCCTTCTTTTCGACTGGCGAGGGACCGACAAGCTTCTTTTCAGCCCTCTTGTTCTGTTCAATCCGTATACCGCTAAAGAGTGAGAGTCCTGCTGTTGCTCATGTGGTTGCTTTCGGGTGGTAGACTTTAGTCTTTACCGGATACATTGATGGGCGTCTGCTTCTTTTAGTAATTGCTTGTTGCGTCCAATAAGTACCATAAATGCAAACCAACTACGAGTCTTTTGTTCGAGTTTGGGCAGTGTTGGGCATGATATGAGAGTAATATCTCCAGATTCCCTCACTACCGAGCTGTCATCAGAATTAAGTGAGCTAGTGGATGTGGTACTAGAGCGTGACGAGATTGATGGAGCTGGAATATATTGGAGATGTCGTGATGATATGACTGGTGCAGGACTATATGGTGGTGAAGAGGCTGGTGATGAGGTTGGTGGTGTTGATGCTAGAGGTGATGCTGGTGGTGGTGACGATGTTGGTGCTACTGGTGCTACTGATGGGGCACTTGCAGCTACGACAGTGGACGAAGGATACGTGTGTTCAAGTATCTACGGGTGGCGGAGAAACTCCTCAACATAACGCCTAATTCTTCAATATCTTCTCAAAACATAGGCTCACGAAATCCTTCAACTCCTAAAGAATTTGAAAGGTTGAATCCAAATACTGGAATCACTCGACAAGATATGCTTGTTTGCCATTACTCACCGATGAGAGGTTAGACGGTATAGGGACCGAGTCTGTTTTCAATTCAAAGAAAGTAGAATTAGTATGGTGGTTTTGCAGAACCTGATTTTTAAAATTTTGGTGCTAACCATCAATAGTGCACTGAAGTGGTTCCATGGTTTCCAGTTTGGAATATGGGGTTTTGCTAGTGACTAGTTCTAGCACTGTAGCGCTGAGCGAGTAAATTTCCGACTTGCAGCAACCGCTTCTGCCCTCAATTACCTAAGGAGCTACATATCCAGGAGTGCCTGTAGGATTGGATGATTTGGAGCGACTCATTACCCAATGAAACAAAATCAGTTGAGTAAAACGTACCGCTTAGTCTCGGCGATGCTCTCAAATCCTCTTCATATCCTGAAAGGCCAAAATCTGTAATGGCGACACTGCCGTCTCGCGTGACGAGGATGTAATCTGTCTAATACAACAAAAGGGGAGCTTCATAAGCAAAAACATGCGACTTATACAGCTCTAATTAATCTCTTACTTTGAGATCCATGTGCGCTCCTTTCTTGTCGTGCATAAAAGTCAATCGTTTTATGACCCACAAACCATTCTTTGCCGCGATGGGTTCAGTCAAGGTACCATTCCGCTCAATAACGGAAGCTAATGAGCCGAGGTGCTCGTAAATAGTTGATAAAGCGAATTCAACAGGTTATATTTAGTAGGAAATTTTAAAATGGGCGACAGAAGGAAAAAAAAAGTACTCAAGAACGATAGAAATGGAATCCAATTACCTCAGAACTTTACGATGTTTGGGTGACAGAGCGATGTCATGACCTGTATCTACCTCTTCCTTGGAAACGGAAAAAGAAATATTAGCTTGTAGACTTCTGCAACACGACCCAACGCTAAAAGTACTAGCAGCCCTGTTTCGATGGATTTGACTGTCACCGTCTTGACAACGACGAGCCCATCTACAGGCAGCTGCAGCACTAAAAGCAAGAAATTCAGAGCACACTGAAGGTGTGGACCCAAGGTATTATATAGTCACTACACAATTTTACTCACAGATTCACAGATCAAAAGGCGCCTCCGCTCAATGATTTTCCCTACTGTTCAATAATCTGTGTGATTCATGCATGGCTTTGACATTTTTTCTTCTTATAGTCAATTAAGCTTTCAAAGTAGTTTTGACTTCCCCACCAGCCTGCTTACTGAAAGCCGATCATATTGACAATTGAACGAACTGTCATCATTTTCACCTCAGCTGATACAAATCCGTTATTCTAACAACACTACCATTTGTCATTGCATTCCATAATAGCCGTAATTAAGAAACACTTTGGTCATACCTTGAGCCTCCAAGTGCCTTCGTGTACTTCGTATCTGTACTGTCTTTCGTGGTTGGTTTGCTACTCGTTTTTCGTACGAACTCTCTTTATAGTCCGTAGAACGTAGAACTAAGGAACGAGATTGTGGTCTACTTTGACGTCGACTTTGAGAAGTGCTGCCAGACTGATTCGGATCTTACCGAGTGTAGATACTGTTGAGAATAACGTGGAAAGGAGAGCAAGCATGAAATTGTCCTATGCATCTATGCTGTAAGTGCAAATTGGAATGAATTGTTTTGAGGATCAAGCTGGAGGGCATTCGACGGGAAAATTTCACGAACCACATTCAGCGAGTATTCTGACACCACAAGTCACTTATTAGATCAAGAGGCACTTACGAAGAACAGTCGGCAGCTACTGGGAAGACATACAACCACATACAGTCAGCATACTACGGCTCTTAGTCAAAAGCGAACACAAAGGTCTCAAACCTCCAAACCGAACAATCATGGATATGGCTCAATCTCGAGCACCCTCACTCGCACCAGACGTGGATGTGAATTCAGGAGCGCAATCTCCCGGCCTTCCTCTCTTGCAGAATCAAGTGCTGGTCAAATCAGTAGTGGAAGCCGATCCAGAGCAACCCCATATACTCTTATTCACCATCATAGCTATTTGTGTGGATCTGTGAAGTTGGCCTTTGTGATTGTCCATCTGTCGACTCTGCTCGTGTTTGAGAAGAGGAGAATCATCAAGTGAGCTTTGAGAGTTTTCTCATACGAATAAATTGGGAAAGCGCATGACGATTGCTGAAAAAGATTCGAGATGTGCAGTAAAAAAATCCACTTGGATTGTTTACACTTCATAGCTTCTTCAATTACTGTAGATTACACTTCATGGCTCGAGATGCTCGCTTCAAACTGATATCTCTAGTGGCTCAAACCAAAGCTTCATTTGAGCGAATCGTCACCACACCTTTACCACTCGCCTACAACTTGCATCTGAAGCATGCATTGCTTGCGTCTTGCACTTCCTTTTCAGGTACGTATTGAAACTCGAATAGCAGGCTCTTGACCGTGAACTAAGAATCCAATCCGACTTGGCTTATTCAGCTCTTTCCTCTCGTCTTTGCAATTATAACGCTAGGATATGGGCTGTTGTAGTTTGTTTGAGTGTCGAACATTAAGTAAGGTAAGCTCCTTGTCGTTTGAAGTATTTCCTCCCGCCGTCTTCGTTTAAGCAACCATTTACAGTAGAATCCATTCAACTACGCCACGAACCATCTACCACTTGAAGCTTCTTGCGATCCGGTACGTGCTAATCTGAGACAAATGTTGACATTTTGCATCTTCAAAACCTTTATGCTGCCGATCACCCCTGCTGTTAGGTCGACCCTTATGTCCGGTGAGACTAGATTGCTTCTCCACGATGGATTTGGAACTTTTGAAGGGATTGTTGAAACTAACACGCCGTCGATACGTCGATAGTTCAACCACTACCACAAGCCAAGGCCCGGATGGCAGTCACAAATTCAATGTCAACCCCACTTCCTCACGCAGAACCAAATGGGCTTTCTCCTCATAATCTTTCCGCAGTGACGATCAGTATCGTGCCTGAAGCTGATGTTGGTTTTTGTCTCGGAATGCTGCTTGGGTTTGGTGTGTGGGGTTTCCAAGTGTTTAAAGCGTCAAGAGATCAGGAAAGACCGATACACTCGTTGCTTTGTCTCTTGTATGTCTCGGATGCTCGTACGATGGTGCAAACGGTCGAATGTGTTCAGACAGAAGATTGGAGTTATTTCATTTACTTTTGAAAGAGAGGGATCTCGTATGTTGAGCGATACTAGACGAAAACTTTGAAGCACATACTTTGTCGAACCATCTGCACAGAAGAAAAACGAAATCACTTTGTATATCCAGGGCTCTCAAAATGTAATAGAAGAGTAGAGGATATGTAAACGATCCTGCAAATGTTCGAAACAGGGATTTCTAGACTTGGATTCTGCTTTGTACTAATCTTATTGTTAAAAACAATGTAAAGGAAATAAATCCCCAAAATCGGGCTGTACAAAAAGGACTTTTTCTACATGATGGCTATGCTTACGAGGAGACTCCAACGGGCCTTATTGATATGACACTTGACGAAACCACCCTTTTGGATTATACCATGGCGTTTGTTTCTTTTCGGCTGGAGGAGCTTTAACTCCTTTCTCTTCAGATTTCCTTCGGACTCTGTCAAATACTAGTTTATAATATGGGGTCCGTGTTGTTGCTGGACTGGATGACACAGGCCGTGGCCATTTATCATATGAGGGAGGCGATTCATGTACTGGAGCAACTTCGACTTGTTTCTTTGCTGGAGTCTTATGTCTGTTCCGGGCTGTGAAGCAAAACCATTTTCGAGACTTGAAATGCTGTTGACCGATAGCTGGGCATGTAGTGATTATTTCTTCTCCTAATACGGATTTGCCCTCAGAGTTTACAGAGCCGGTGGATTCTACACTAGATCGTAAGGATGAGACCGTGGTGCCTGATTTATCGGCGGAAGCCATAGAGTCCTTCCGTGTGTTCAATGTTGATGGGCATGGCGCCGATGAATTGAATGATGACTTATAATAGCCTTCGGTAGATGACGATGCAGACGCTATAGGTCCATCACTCAATGCGCCTGTGAATCCCTCCGCGACAGGTGGTATGACTGATGACGATACCGACGATCCAGAGAGAAGAAGCGACTTTTTGGGAGCTGTTACCAAATCATCTCTCTTTGTCGTACTTGATGATGGTGGTACTGCAGATGCTGGTGCTGTGGGTGCTGATAAAGCAGCAGTCGTCACAGTGCTTGTCCACATGGAAGGTGCTGAGTACGTGAACTCAAGTATCCAAGGATGATGCAAAAATTCATCTACGTGCGCTCGATGATGCAATTTCTTTTCAAAACAAAGTTTGAAAAAATCTTTCAATTCCTAAAAAAAATGTGCAGGTTAGATCCAGGCAAAACTCGACTGAGACAGTGTGGTTTCAGTTTACGTACTGGTGATATATGTGGTGGGAGTGGCATATCGTCTGTTTTCAATTCAAGAAAAGTAGTGTTAGTATCAATTTTGGGAGAACCTGAAGATTAAATTTAAGAATTTCGAAAGCTCACCTGCGACAGTGCTCTTAAGAGCTTCGGCAGTCTCCAACTCATCATACGGACTCTTGCCAGTCAGCATTTCCAGCAATGTAGCACCCATGGAATAGACATCGACCTTGCATGTAACTTCGCCTCCCAGTAGTATTTCGGGAGCTGCAAATCCCGGTGTGCCTTTTATGCGTTGATTATACACTGTTATCGTCGTGTTGCCAAATGAATCAACCAATTGAGCTCACTTACCCCCGGCGGAGCGATCACCTTCGAATTCGAACACAAAGCCCGATAACCCGAAGTCTGCCAATCGTATAGTTCCATCATACATTACAAGAATATTATCAGGCTATTGCGGCGAAATTAATGAGTTTCTAATCTAAGCAAGGGAATAGCCAATCTCGATGTTGGTACCTTCAGATCGAGATGAATGATGTTCAACGAATGAAGGTATTCCAGTCCTTCGATGACTCCAAGTATGTATTGTGCGGCCGTTTTCTCGTCCATCACCCCGCCATATTTGAGCACAGATGCCAAAGACCTCATTTCCCCCAACCTGAGTAGATGAGTAGGTAAGAATTAACAGCTGGTTTTCGAGGGGTAAACCACAATGATTTACATACTCAAGAACCATCACAACAGAGCCGCCTTCAATCCAATAACCATAGATGGCCATGATGTTTTTGTGTGAAAGAGAAGAGAGCATATTCACCTCGCGCTATAGGTCAAAAGGAGGGATGTGAATGCGCAGATTGGACTAGAACAGAAAAAGCAATGAACTTACAGCTCCATCAAAGAGACTCCCGACTGTTTTGAGAACAACCTCGTTACCATTCTTGTCTTGAGCACTAATAGTCGGATATGCAGTTAGCAAAACTGCGACAAAAGGTCGTTGAGAAATATAGAGAAAGAACTCACAGTTGAACTTCGCCAAATGCACCTTTGTCGAGTGCTCTGATTATACTCTATAGATTGTAACGGTTAGCACAATGATCAGCCAAGATGAAACAACCAAAGAGTGCAGGTTGAATCAACTTACATAGTCTTCCCTCCTCAATAATCGTGCAGATGCAGAAAAGGATGGATCTGATTTTGGAGCTTCAGCCGATGTAGGCGGTGTGGTTGAATGTGCGAACTCCTTCAAGTAATCGTTTGACGTAGGTACATCACGAATGGGATCAGACAAGTGTACCGCATGAGAATCAACGACACTTAGAAAGACTGCCGAGTTGGATGCAGGTGACGATGGTGAATCCAAACCCTCAGATGCTGTTGAACTGCTTTTCTCAACGCTGCCGGAGATCCTCATATGTCCAAAGAGCACCACAAGAGACTCCTAAATTTGTGGAGTTTTGAAACATTAGTATTGGCAGCAATGTCAAAAATATCCGAATCAGGGCGAAAAGTGTTTCTAAACACCAAATTGCAAACCAAGTTCAAAACAACACAGCAAGCAAGTACTCACCATTGATGACACAACACCAGCCTTAGGTGCTTCGGCTTCCATAACTATATACATATTCGAGAAATGTGATGGAATAAAGTGAGTTTTCTGGCAGTTCCAATGTAGAAGAAATGTCCAAGATTTGATCGCCAACAAGCAAATTGGGCCCCATCAGCCTGTAGATATACCTTGTTCAACGTATTCCCCGCTGCTTGATAGAGACTTCGTAACACTGCTGAACGGAGGAGCTCTAGTTGTTCTATACTGTAGTTTTCAGGTGGAGAATTGGAGTCAGTTTCGGGCGTAGACGAGAAACTTAACGAGTGGAATATATCAAGCAAAATGAATTCTATCGCATCATGTATGTGGCGTTGGCGTCTTACCTGTCGTTGAGCTTTTCGCAAGCTCGATAATGTTTTTGCAGTGTTGAGGAGGAAGATTGAGAGTTCAAGAGCACAGGAAGGTTGTTTTGCATAGGAAGATACATGGAGAGATGTATATGGAGGATTCAATGAGTGATGGATATATATAGAAGGCTCTCTCGACGCTATAACAGCCATCTGCGTGCTTTTGCACAGTAATAAGCCTTATACCGGAGGTTGCGGTAGTGATTTAGCGAGTGCTGTCTATCCTTGTACTGGCTGAAAAGTGGTATATATCACTTCAATTGCATATATAAATGGCATTTTGATGCTTCTTTTGCTGTGACTTTACTGGGATTTGGCTCAGAATGTGCTGTTTTGCAGCCTGTGTGTTTGGTCGGCACACGGATTCTTTGATTTATTGCTACGACGACGAGACCCTGACGATACGAATGCCATGAATCGCTGATTCCAAAGTTGTCTACCGTCTTGGAATCACATTTCGTAAACCGAGGTTGTGGTCGGTATTTAGCTACTAGGGAGTGCTTTGCATCTTTGCATCAGGCTCCAAGTGGTATACAGCACTTTCATTGGATATAAAGATGATCCATTGATGCTTCTCTTGCTACGAATATACTGGTGTTTGGCTCTAAAATGGTGTTCAATGCGTCTGCTTGGTCTGCACATGATTTGTTTGATTTGATGCGACGATTACGAGACAGACACGCTTCAAATGTTATATTATCATGCGTCGGAAGTGATTCGACGTCTGATAATCACGCTTCAAGCTTCAGATCACAAGCTACTCGATCCAAACGCCTCCTGTTTGAAATTCTGCTCAATGAAGCTCGACCAGATGGTTGCAATGGTTGCAAACACTTTCTTTGATAGCAGCCACACCATGATTCCTTTAATTGTCTACTCTCGTTGTCTCCTTGTGACTCAAGTTCGTGTCAAACGTTTCGCCCATTTTATGTTAATGTGTCAGCAATCCAAGCGTTGTTTTCAGTCAGAATCACGTCAGATTCCATAGTTCCAAAGCATATTTAAGCCAAATCTTGACATATAAACCTTTCCAGTCCAGCTTTGCTTGCAAAAGCCCTGCAACCTGATCAGCGTGTGGTTTGTTGGCATTTACAGCATTGTAATCCATCCATCCGATATTTGAACCACCAGCATTCATATGTTAGTGTAGAGGAAACGCGTCAATAGAGTCTTGAGTGTCCTCGCCGTTGTTAGGACTCCTGACGTCACCAACACACATTTTTTGGCAACACACGCCCGACTTGGCTGGACTGCAATACGCAAAACCCGCAACATTGCAAACATGTCAATAGCGAGTAGACGGCTCAAGCAGCTCCAGCTCTTCCTTGGTTCCTCGTATGTCTCAGACGAGGAAAAGGAAGCCGTCATAGCAAACTTGACCAAAAAGCGTATGTTGACTCACGGAAACCGTGGAGAACTACTTTTGATTGCTAAACAAGAAGGCTGACAGTTCTTGTATCTGCTTATTAGTGATTGAGGAATTCAGCATCAGCGATGTTACTCTAAAGATCACACTTCCAGGCAGTGCCGAGCTCGTTCCTGATGTTGGTGGTTTGTTTTATGACGACTCGCAAGTAAGAATGTTGGTGCATCTAGATCGCAATGCTGGAATTCGATGCTTATTGGATGTATCTATAGGAAATCTTGAGGCATTTAAGATGGATGATGCAGAAAGATCGAATGGGTCAGGATATCTTCTTTCTTGGGTAACGAGCTCGATGTCTTTGCATTATGGCGTTACTGTATGGTCAAGAGCTTAATGGGACTTGCTTTTATAGACCACCAGGAAGCTTCAAAAGACGTCTTGTAAGTCTCGCAAATCGCCAACAGCTAGGAACAATCTAGCATGAATAAGCAATACTCAATGACGATACACGTGTCGGACAACAAACAATTCCATCACATTAACACATCTAACGCATGTATCTCTAGGTCATGAGATACGCCCAACTAGCCCAACGTGAAATCGAATACGTTGCCCTATCAAAGGATGTAACAGACTCGGACTTGAAGCAACGTCGTGAAATCTTGTCTGGATCAGCATTCTACACTGATGGACCAGCAGTCCGTGCCGCCCTCCATGGTCGTATCTTGATTCTAGATGGTATTGAAAAGGCAGAGCGTAACGTCTTGCCAGTCTTGAACAATCTGTTGGAAAACAGAGAAATGGCTCTAGAAGATGGGAGATTCTTGACTCATCCTAAACGATTCGATACTTTGGTGAAGAGTGCCAGTAAGGAGGAGTTGGAGAAATGGAATGTATGTGGTTGGTCGTGTACGTCCTTTATGTGGACTGCGGGAACTCATGGTCTTGTTTTGTAGCTTGTGCGAGTATCTGAACGATTCTTCGTTATTGCTTTGGGATTGCCAGTTCCAAAGTATGAAGGACATCCTCTAGGTATGGGTTTGAACCTCTGCATTAACAACATTCCGTTTTTTTTCTCCATAACCGCACGCTATGTCCACGTCATCTGCTGACCCTCACTCTTCCTAGATCCTCCACTCAGATCACGTTTCCAGGCTAGAAACATTGCCGTTCCAACCTTTTTGTCGCAAATAACTCAACTTAAACGTGTAGCTCCCAAAGTACCTCAACGTACTCTGGAGCGTCTCATCTCTGTCGGATTTGTATTGAGATCTGTCACCTCTGAGAAAGGAGTAGCAGTACCAGAATTCCCAGCCCAACTAGACCACGCTGCTCGAATCTTGCAGAGCTTCCCAGACACCAACTTGCGTTGTATCTTGGACATTATGTACCCATACCCACTATTATCGGGCACAGACGAAGAGCAACGCTCTATTATAGAATCCACTTATCAACGATTTGATATGTTGGGACATTCTGTAGATCAAGCTGGAGCAATGACTATTGCAAACCAGGCTACTGCAGGATACAAGATCATAAACATTGTAAAGGAAGAAGAAACCTCTAATCTTACACCATCTGGACGTATCCACCACGCGGATGTCACCTTTGAAACTATAGTGCCGTTAGGTGTTAAGCCCACTCGAGTAACTGTCAGATTAGCTGCTGGTGAATATCCAACCACCAAGTTGGAAAAGTTTGTCGAGACTGAATACCACGGTGCTCTCTTGGCTACTATGATGGTTGCTCATTCAGCCGGTGATTTGTGTATCATTGGTGAAAAGGGTGCCGGAAAGAGTGCTCTCTTAAGGTCTTTGACTAGTATGCTGGGTTACAAGGTCGAACTGATTCCTTTGTACAAGGATATGTCTGCTCGTGACTTGATGCAAAGACGTTCAACCAACTTGCTTGGTGATACTATTTGGGAGAACTCACCTTTGGTATGGTTTCACTTTCGAGTTCGCGATTAAAAAGAACGGCCTCAAATACTCGCACAATGAGCATCACTGACAACACACACTGTCACCACCGTAGATCAAGGCTGCCATAGAAGGTTCTATTGCCATTCTTGACCAGATCGAAGTCTTGTCATTCGGTACTTTGGCTACCATCCAACGCCTGACCTCTGAGCGTGAAATGGTCTTACCCGATGGTACTCAGCTAGTCCACCCCAACCGATATGTAAAACTCATAAAGAAGAGCGGCTTCACACCAGCAATGATGAAGGAAAAGAAGATCGTACCCGTACACCCCAACTTCCGAGTAATCTCCATCGCCCGACCAACCGTAACCGCTCAAGGTGGTGCCCAAAAGGGTAACTGGCTATCCCCCGAAATCTGCTCTCTCTTCCGATACATCCCAATGAGATCTCTCTCATACGTCGAAGAGATGTATGTCATTCAAATGCTGTGTCCAGGAATCGAGGAATCAAAGCTAAAGGCTCTCTTGACATTCGCCAATGTATTGCGATCTGAAAATGATGAGACGGCTCGTTTGTTGGCCTCGTCATTGTCTACTCGACAGTTGATTCGTGTGTGTCGTCGTATGGCCATGTTCCCTGATGAGGACATGCATAACTCGGTGCAAAAGGTCTCGTTGTCTCGATTCTTGCCATCAATGGCTAAAGACTTGTTGACCAAGCTCTTGTTGGATGCTGAAATCGAACCTGCTATTCGGGATGATGAGTTCTTTGAAAACGTAAGTGTCACGTCTGATCTGCATTTCCCATTCGACTTTTTTATTTTGCTAACCATCAATTCTCAACAATAGTTGAAGATTGAAATCATTAACAATGAAGATGGCAGCCCTCAAGCAGTCCGTATTGGTGATGTTATGGAACCTGTCGCCAAGGATACCAACCCAGTCTTGATTCCAGATATTGTTTTCCATGAAAATCCTAAACAGTCTGAAATTTTGATGGAAATGATCAAGGATTACCAGCTAGGCGAACATTTGTGTTTGATTGGTAACCAGGGTGTGGGAAAGAACAAGTGTGAGTATTATACAGCGGCTGGACTGTTTTTTTTTGTCCTGTATTGTGCCTCAAACAACTTCCTATTTAGTGACTGACAAGTTCCTGCAAGTCCTGAGACTCCCTCGTGAATACATCCAATGTAAGTTTGCTGAAAAAGTGCGGTGACGAAAGCAAAAAACAACCGTCTGACTACAGACTTGTATTAGTGCATCGTGACACTACTGTATACAGCTTGACTTCCACACCAAGTATCGTCGATGGTGTCTTGGTATACGAAGACTCTCCTCTAGTCAAAGCAGTCAAGAACGGCTACATCCTCGTAGTTGATGAAGCCGATAAAGCACCTACTCACGTAACATCCATTCTCAAATCGTTGGTTGAAGATGGTGAAATGGTCTTGTCTGACGGTCGTCGTATTGTCAAGAAGGACCCAATGTTGGGACAGACTGCTATTACTCCCAAACTCAATGTTAATGGGTTGGAGGAATACATCGTGTTGCATCCTAGCTTTAGGATGTTTGTGTTGGCTAATCGACCAGGTATGCGAAGCTATCGTATCTTCCCTTTTTGTTGGGCTCGTTTTATTTGTAGCGCTATTACTAACAATATTTTCTTAGGTTTCCCCTTCTTGGGTAACGATTTCTTCCGTGAAATCGGTGATGTCTTTGCTTGTCACTGTGTTGACAACCCAGACACCGAGTCTGAACTTGCCCTGTTACGAGCATACGCACCAGACGTTCAAGAAGACCTCCTCCGTAAACTGACTGCAGCCTTCAACGATCTCCGTCGTCTCGTAGACGAAGGCCTAATCTCATACCCATACTCTACTCGAGAACTGGTATCCGTAGTCAAACACTTGCAAACCTACCCCAAGGAAGGCCTCTCACGAGCACTTCAAAACGTATTCGATTTCGATCAATACGAGTCTGAGATCCGAGACTTGTTGATTGAAACGCTCAACAAGAATGGAATTCCAACAGGAATGGAATCGGACTTTAGAGTTGAATTGGGAATTGAGTTCCCATTGCCTGAACCACGTTTGGTTGAGACTTGGTATAGACGTAGCAAGCCAAACACGGTTGTGCAGGTTAAGGTTGCTAAGGATAAGGCGAATGCTAGAGTAAGTTGGAGACGCTGCGAATGCATGAAGATCTGTAATCTCTTCCTTTTTTGCTTCATTCACACAGCTGACACAAACATCTGCAATTTAGGGTAACTGGCGCGTCAACATGCCAGAGAAATGGCTGGACGTGGACCGCTCAGAAGCTCGATCGACCTTGTTCACAGAGCAAGTCTATGCATTCAAGCTACCAACCAAGGGCGAGTGTCTGGATTTAATGACTGCTGCAGATGGTACTATGATGGCCATCACCACCAACCCAGTAACTCTCAACATTGTAACTCCAAACCATCGCCAACAAATCGCCATCGATTTGTACGAGTACTTTCCCTTACAAAAAAGTGAGTAGCTGTTTGGCAGTAAAAAATGCCCGTTTGTTGGTTCTTTTTTTATAATTCAAGTTAAATTGTGACACTGACTTGAAAGGCCCGCCATTCATGGGTATTGACCCAATTGGCGCCAATTTCTACATAGCACCTCCACGTTTACGTCTTGCTGAACCTGCTGAAGGAAAAATCTGTCTCCACAATCCATCAGACCATACTCTTCTCTTGGTCGATTTGGGAAGCGGAAGCATCAACTCGATTATGTTGGGCATCTTTGAATTCACTGGTCCATCATTCATGAACCGCTCTTTAATGAGTGAAGGTTTTTTGATCTTTTACCAGGAGCAGTCTGAGAAGGTTGCGATTATTGATTTCTCGGATTTGTCGCAGTACAATATTGTAATGCCCGTTAAAGGTTGGTTGCTTGGATCTTTGTAAACGCGAGTTAGCGTGTTCCTAAGTGGGTTTTTTGGTATTAGTTGGCAGCATTCAAGTCGTTACTCCCGATAAGTGGTTTGTACAAGACTACGACTACAAGTTTGATATTCGAAAGAACTATATCATGTCTAAAGCTGACCCAAGTGACAAGTATGTGAAAAACAATCAATGGTTGTTAATGTTTTGTTTTGTTTTGAAAAACAATCTTTAATCTCTCTTCTTTACTCATAGATTCCCAACTGTATTCGAACCACTGGACACTCGCCCAGTAGAAGACAAAGCCAAAGTCATACAAGTCGAAGACATTGGTACTCTGCCACACGACCGATTCGATTACTACCGAACTCATCGATTCGCGTTATTACCTTCGCGCGAATCCCATGCTTCTGCAGTTGTAGGCATGCCTGAATCACTATTCGACTTTTCAACAACTGGTGTTGAGTTGATTACTTGGGATCGTGATACTGCCAAGGACACCATCTCGAACAAGTATATCAATATCTTGAATGCTCATTTGCATTTACGTAAATCGCAGCAGTTGGCTGTTGTTGTTCCTCAAGAGGTGAGATATGGGCTGTTTACTTGAGGGTTGTTTTTTTGGTTGGCGTGTTGGACAATTAGACGCCGACATTATTACCTGCCATGAAGGTTAACTATTCCAATCCTTCACTCGCAGGACGGTCGTGCCGAAGGCTACCTCGAACTCGTAGACACCCACGAAAAGAATATCCGCCGCATCCACATGCCTCTATCTCTCCCATCAACAGCAGTCCACCAAAAGGACTTGGCCACAATCCAAGCCCAATCTCGTGGAATCGATCCACCTCGCGAAGCCGTTCAAATGCTCGAACTAGAAGACGGTCGACTCTTGACTGTTGACCTGTCTGGATTTGCTCGAGTATGGCAAACAAACTATGCTGAAACCGTTGAAGAAATGGAACGATGGAAGAAACTTGTTGGAAGTCTTGATGCCCAGACTTTACGTCTTGTGTATGGCGATGGTAGTGGGGATGGAGATGGTGATGGCGATGGTGAAGGAGAGGGTAATGGAAATGGAGAAGGTACATGCTGCACAAATTCTGGCTGGGTGCTTTTGTAGTCATCGTGAATGTGCTTTTCATCTAGTTTTCTTTAAATAGGTAAAGGTGACGGTAAAGGAGAAGGCGAGGGTGAAGGAGAAGGCAAAGGTAATTGGAGTCTAATAGACTACCGTTTGTAAGTCTTTTTGCTGATTCAATATCCTCATTGTCCTAGGCCAAGGTGGAACTGGAGAAGGCTCTGGTGGTAGTGGAGGTGGAGGAGGTGAAGGAGGAGGAGCAGCTGGTGGAGCCTCCGACCCAGCCGACTCTGGTGAAGCGAGACAGAGTGGTAAAATCGATTTTACACAATTCAACCTCGTAAGTCATATTTCCAACAGCAGTGTTCTTTTTTTGCTTGTATTGTTGAGCTTACTTCCATTTATCTCTAGCGAGCTCCCAATGACGTGACTCAAGAAATCACTGATGCCGTCAAAGACGCTCACGAACTGGCGATGCGTAAACGTTTGGCCCAAATCCAAATGACATCAAAGGACATGGAAATGTTTAACAAGTACCGTGACAATGTACAACGAGAAGTACGAGAGTTGAGGACGATTTTGGAGGCTGTTGAAGCCAAGAACCGTGAACGTGTTTGGCTCAAGAATCAAACCACTGGTGATATTGATGACACGAGACTGTGCGTCCTGGAAACACTGGTGTCTTTTTTTGCTGGTGGAAAAGTCAGAGTTTTAACAACCCATTGTGTGTCTCTTTTAGAATCGAAGGTGTTACCGGCGAACGAGCCATATATAAACGTCGTGGAGAGAACGAAAGTGATCCAGGCTTCCAACAAAAGCCAAAGAGAATGTTCTTCCAGTTTGACTTGTCAGCATCCATGACGAGATTCAACGGACACGATAACCGTCTGGAACGGTCTTTGGAATGTGCCTTGTGTATGTAGCTGGATTGCATTCATAGCATTCTTTGCATGAAATCATCGGATGTTTTTGTGCTAATTCTTTTTCCGAACAGTGATCATGGAGGCCTTCAAAAACTTTGAACACAAATTCCAATATAGAATTGCTGGGCACTCTGGAGATGGTCCAGACATTGAATTCGTATCAGAGGGCAAATACCCCAAGAATGAAAAGGAGCAATTCCAAATCATTGCGAAAATGAATGCTCATAGTCAGTATTGTTTGTCTGGAGACAATACGATTTTGGCTGCTACTACTGCTATTAAGAATGTGGTTAAAGAGGAAGGAGGTAACTGCCTGTGGCTTGTCTCTTGTGTGGCTTTTTGCTCCTGCTCATAGTCTGCCACTTTTCTAAATCCTAGATGATTACTTTGTGTTGGTTTTGTCTGATGCCAACATTGCCCAGTACAATATAAGTCCTGCCGCTATCGGCAAGGCCCTCAAGGCTGATGATCGCGTGAATGCATACATGGTCTTCATAGGTACATAAATCGAGACATACCACCGTTGATTTTTTTGTGCTAACTCATTTCCATTTTCTCCAAAGGCACTATCGGTGACCAAGCCACCACATTGATGAAAGCTGGTACGTATCGCCATCCGTTTGAGTCTCAAAGCTCTTGGAAATCACCAACCCATTTTTTAACGCTAGCTCCTGGATCCTCATTTGTCTGTTTCGACAACAAGGACCTACCAAAGATCATCAAGTCCATGTTCTTGAGCTCATTGCTCAAGGGCTAAGGCTACCAAAAAAGTTATAGAGTTTTGTGTTGTGTTTGAATGTTGAATTGCTCCCACGAGAAGACATGTGATGACTTTTGTGTTATCTTTTTTCTAATAATATGAAGGTTTTGGTTGTTTCTAAAAGTCTGAAGGCATTGAAGCGCTGTTAAAGGCGTTGCGAGAGTGGAAACTTGGTGTCGATTCAGCATGGTTTTATTGAACACTTCGAAGGGCACCTTCTCAGATTTCCCCAATCGAATGAGAGAAAGAATTTCATCTGCAGCGAATCTGGACTATTATAATGATGTTATGGTTGTTCGAACACCGGCGAAAGAACAGCACAAGAAGAGTTGAAACGCACAATCTACTTGAAAAAGTGCTAAACATCAATAACGAGAAGCTCTTAGGACTGTGAGAGACCGTACTGACTCGCTGAGATGAAGTTTCAGGTGATTCTGGTTTATTAATTGACTAAGCGTTCCATTCCAAGATACATCCGACAAGCATGGTGTATCTTCCACCGACGCAGCAGGAAAGTGAAAAGTGAAGCTATTCTTTTGCATGAGAAAACATGCTGAGGAGAAACAAAGCCGAGATTTTGACACTGATTCATGGACCTCCAATTTTCCCTTTTGACATACGAGGAAACGGTCACCATAGCCGAGCCCTGCGCAGACGATAGTTCTATGTATATCCTAGTGAGGTGTTTAATCATCTCAGCACCGAGAGAAAAGATGAGACAAAAGAATCCGGTGCAACAATAATACGCACATGGCAATCAACAGACATACCAAGCTTCTGCAAATCCGCACCAAGTTTTGGCGACGTTCCAAAGCAGTCATTCCAGTTAGCAAGATTATCCAGTGTTGGGTCCCTGACAGCCTGCTGATTCAGGTTATACTAAGAGCTCTTCAGGCCTTGGTTCGCGAGGCCTGCTGCCTTACTGCTGTACATATACATCTCGAACAACTTGAAAGAATCCAAACTAAGAGCGCTGATGTCAATTTCAAATGCACGTGAATCACCGCGTGATGGCGGAAGAATGAACAGGTACCTTGATTAAACTTCTTCTACAACAGCAGCAGCACTGACGATATGGACGAACAATTTTCCTAGCTTGGGATAAGGTTTTGTGAGTTCTTGCCAAAAAAACCCCTCAAGCACATCGCTCCATAAACAGCATACAAGACATGTAGCGCGACTACATCCATGGTAGCCACAACGTTTGGGTGACGAGCTCTCTACAAATATAAAACATACGCTAGAGTAAAAGAAAGCAGACCATTTGGATTATATGCTGTCACTGACCTTGAGCAAATCATTCTTGACTTCCAGTTTCGACATGGGCGACATTATATTCACACCAGTACCAATATACGGACCCAATGTTTTGACGGGCGCTCCTTCACAATCTTGCATGCTGTTGGTGTTCAATCTTCGCATCACCACAGCAGTTACGTTCCCATATCTTGGTATTTAAAGCACGTAGCGAGAGGTTGGTAGGATTACAGGAGAGTTTGCCAGACGGCTGAGTCGGTGAGTAGAATAAAAGGTCTCTTATTTGAAAACGGTGACGTGTGTAAGTCGTTTGGCAGCATTACCCATCAATAGAAACACTTCAACTTACATCAAGCTGGAGGTGCAATCTCAATCCCAGCAGAATGGGCCAGCGGTATTTGATTCGCACAACGTTCTATAATATAAGCGAGAATGTCAAAGAAAAGGAACAGACGTAGTTGCGACATTGGTCAATACTTTGTCCATTGACGCGAGTTTCTGCGATGCAAAGGACAGGGCATCCTCCACCAAAAGAGCGACAAAATTCAATTCATTTGAAAAACATTTGGTTTTCCCTCGCGTTAGAGTGCCCAAAGACGGAAACCAGTCCAAAGATTCGAGTGAATGTTAAATGCTGGGTTGAATGTTTGATGTTAAGGAAAGTGATCGAGACACGTTCCTGTCGTGGATCGTATCTGAAATGAGTGAGAAATGAGTTCAGAATCGAGTTGACATTGACGTGATCTCGCTTCCTGTCCGGCAAACAGCGACAAAGTGTCAAATTCAAAAACCAAAGCGAGAAATTTGGTACTGTTTCAGGTAGCATAGTGGCATCTGACAGGAAGGTACTGCATCTGAAAAGACAGTCCTGATCCAGCAGGTAGGCTCCAACTTCAACACAAAAGCTTTGAAAATCAGGAAGATTCAAAACATGAGCAGTTGGTCCAAAACCAACATCTTTCACTAGTATGAGCGATGCTCGAGGATCAAAAGACGAATTGAACCCACAAATAAGAGGATCTTCTGCGTCTATCCCGGTCTCTTCCATCCCACCGTCCGCAAGAAAGTCGACATCAATCTTGAATTCAACACATCAGCAACGAGACTCTATTGGAGATCTTTATGTATTCTATTCTTTATTTTCATATTTTCAATCATCTAGAACTGTTACTAACTTGCTGTCTCTCTTCCAATAGCCTCGAACAAACTATACAATGGATCAGCAACGCTACTATGAACGCAGTAACAGTGACTCAAATAATCCTCAACAGCGTACACAACAGCCACCATTCAGCCCCGTAGGCGCTTCTTTAGGAGCTGGTGCTAGTAGTGATGCTGCAACCGTTGCTCCTCGACCAACGAGAACTAGAGTCTCGAGATGGGCTCCATTACCAGCTGATCGAGACGAGCCGGCCGCATTCAGTAACACCGCCAATAATGAATCGGCAGATGCTGGAAACTATCACCGATTTAATAGTGGAGGTGCTCCGACTGCTTCTAATATCACCAACTTATATAATACTCAACCGCCAATACAACAGCAACAGTCACAACTAGGCGATTATCGTCGAGCTTCTCCTCCACCACCTCGAATGAGAATATCAGCTCCCATCGCATCTGGAAGCTCGTATACATCGCCTCGAAATGCTATGGCCACCCATAATAATACTAATAGAAGCCCACCACACCGATACCATAACGAATTTAGGTTTCAGAATGACGCTGATAACCGTAGTCTGCCTTCAAATCAGTATAATCGAAGTCCTCAAAATGACTTTTCTCCATCAGAGTCAAGACCGTCGCTCATGAGTCAGATGGGTAAACGATCTCGAACGGAAGACATGATTCCAATACCCAGTAATAGACCATCTATGATGCAAGGTGTAGGCATCAAGCAGCAACCTATCTCTCGTGATGACGAAGAAGCTGAAGAAGAAGATTTAAATGTTGCTGACGACGATGAAGCTGCTCCAGAGGAGGAAGACGAAGACGATGGAGGTATCGATAACGAAGATATAGAACAAAAGATTGACTCGCTAGATGCTGAAATCGCTAAATATGAAGCCCTGCTACAGGAGATGAGACAGAAAAAGGAGGCTGGCAGCTTTAACGCTGATGGCAATAGTAATCAGAGTAAAGACGCTTCTATTGAAGAAGGTGCACCTGGTACAGCAACGCCAGCCATGCAGGAACCTCCTGATATCTTACAATTGGCCGAAATAGAGAATGAGCCTTTTGTGGTTGCTCCTGGTCTCCCACTGCATGAGGAGATTTATATGGCTAACAGGCATCGAGCTCGAGTCACAGCTCGCGCCATGGCATTACAAGCTCGCTCGTTGAGTGATCCCAGTCAGCCACTTCCATCGCAACAAATCTATAAGATAGAGGATTTTGATTTTTATACCGCAAATATCGAGTCACATCGAACATTCCGGCCATTACTTGTACAACATATTCAAAACCGTCGTAGAGACATGATGGATAAACGAGACGAGCTACGACAAACATATCAAGAGCTGCATGATGTTTGGAAGAAGCAAATTGAACGGCTTGATAGGGAAAAAGAACGTAAACGTAAAAAAACAGGGCCTGCACCTACATCAATACCTGAACGACCTGCACTCTACCATAATAGCATGAGCAATAGTGGAGCGGCAGATTTGATGATGTATGGAGGCGGCACACTAACTCGTAGAAGTCGAGCTGCAGCTAATGCATCGTTCAATTCGGATCTTGTAAGATCTGAGGCTGAATTTACCGCTGCCATCGCTCACATTATGACTCTGGATGGTAATATAGATCCTTCACGACTAGCACCGATACCTGATATGATACTGGAACCAATAGAACGAAATAGTGTCGTGCACTCTGACTTAAGTCAGCTTGTACGAGATCCGATAGACGAGAACCGTAGACTCTTGGAATCCGCTAGTCAGTGCTGGTCTGATGAAGACAAGTATGTCTTTGAAGTCAAATTGGTGCAAATAGGCAAAAACTTTAGAAAGATTGCCGAATTCTTGCCAGGCAAGACGACCCAGGATTGTGTACGGCATTACTATCGAGAAAAGGAGCGTCTCGGCTTCAAAACCTTGTTGAGACGTACTGCACCAGGTCCTGGTCGTGGTGGATTACGGAGAGCTCGTGGGGGTGCTCTTGCTCGCAAATTACTTCAGACTGGATTCGGCGGTAGTTCGACAACTTCAATAGATCCGAATGGAGTCGTTGAAGAGGTCGATCTAGAAGAATACGATGAAGATGTAGCCATGGATATCGAACGCCTACGTAGAAACACTCGAGATGCTCCCGCCAATCGTAAACAAAAGGTCAAACCTCCAGTAATCCAGCCAGATTCTGATGGAGACGACCACGCTATAGATGTCAGTGGCGGTGGAGGTCCTCCTGGTCCTGGAAATAATACGACGACTGGTAGTAGTAGTATCAGCAATGTCAAATGGACTGACGATGACAAGTCTAAAATGATTGAAGCTCTTCAGCAATTTGGCAGAGACTGGAATGGAGTTTCTAGCTTTATGGGCAACAAAACCGAGAATGAATGCAAGATCTACTATAGACAGAATCGATTTAGATTAGGCCTTGATGAAATCTTACGAGTTAATGATACCTCTCGCCGTAGTATGCCCAGAAAGAAACGTGCTGGTGGTCCTTCATATAATAATGACGACAATGCTGATGAAGATGGCGGTGTCAGTTTGGGAGAGGATCAAGGAGGTAATGAGGACTCTAGAGGTGAAGATGGTGAAGATATGGATGATCCTGATATATTAGAAGAGGCAAGGCCGAAAAAGAAGAAAAACGCTCGTAAACCTACCCAAACTGGAATCACCATGAATAATAATAGCTCCATTGATGTCATGGGTAATGAACCTGCTTCCGAAGATGCACGCAGTAGAGTCCGTGGTGGTCGAACACGGAAATCAACTGGTGCAGCCCGTAAATCAAGGCCTAATGTAATAGAAGAGATACCCGATCTCTCATCAGTCATGGATGCCTCTGAAAGCTATGATCCTAATGACTCCATTGGTGCATCACGTAAAACCGTATCGTATTGGTCTGTACGAGAACGAGAAGCATTTGTATCTGCCATACAAAAAGTAGGATGTGATTGGGAAGCCATTGCTAAAATGGTTGGCACCAAATCATCTGTACAGGTCCGCAATTATTATTCAAGTCATGCCAAAGAATTGGGAGTTGATCATATAACAAATCTTATTCTTCAACCTCATAATGTGAATCGAGCTAAAAGCTATGAAGAACAGCAGCAGCAGCAGCAACGACTGTCTACACCACCAACTCAGCCTCATCGTGAAGATGGTGGCGCTGGAGAAGAATATGTACATAGTGGCCATCGACGTACACCATCCCAATCATCAACTGGTAGCCATTCCCGTAGAAGAGACGAGGCCACATATATAGCAGCCGCCGATCTCTTGACTATGGCTCGAGGATCCAATAGCCCACATCTGTATGCAGTTGGAGCAGGACAGCAAGGCGGACAATATCAACCAATATATGCTCAGTCCGCTCGTGGTATACTACCGCCAATGGTATCACTACCACCTGGATCTGTAGCAAACACTATAATGACCCAGCATGCTCAATTTCCACCTGGTACTACCACGTTTGCATTACCGCCAGTATATATCCCGTATGATCGAGCTGCTGCAGCTGCCACCATACAACACTTGGCTGTGCCTTATGCAGCAGGTCCTGGAGGTGCTTTTCAATATCCGCGAGACTTTTATTTTAGTGCTGGTGGTCCTGATTATCAGGCTCATCCCATTGCGATTCAGCAGATGAGGCCTGAGATGGATGTTGATCAGGTATGCATGGAAGTCCATTAACCTTTGTTGTGCATATGTTCCTTGATTGAAACCTGTTGTTACAATCACAGGCTGAACGACACTCATCGCCAGTGAGGAGAGAATCGCCTCAGCGTCGTGGCGGATCCGTTCCATTACATGGACCACCATCACCTGCTGGCAGTAATATGGCACCTCCATCATTACTGATACGACATGACGAAGGCATGCGAACTGTACTGCCTAGTGTACGTAGTCTAATATCAGCCGCTGAAGGAGCTGAAGGTTTGGGCATCCAGATGCCGCCTACACATCAGCTAGCACCTATAGGACAATACCATGCTATACCACCACCTATGCATACCAATCTACCTGCTTTTGCACCGGATAATTCAAGAGGGCGTAGTCGTAGTGCTAGTCCTGGGTATGCTGCGTTTGGTAGCAGTCAGCAGCAGCTGCCGCAACAACAGCAGCATCATCAACATCACCAACACCATCAGCCGCATCAACAGCATCAGCATCATCAACAGCATGTACAGCATCATCAGCAGCAATATCGCGCTACCAGTCCAGGAACGATGATGGTTCCCTCTGGAATAGGAATGGCTTCTGCAGCCAGTGTTGGATCTGCTATTGATGATTTACGTAAGCATGAGAATCAAATGCCTCGTATGGACGCTCCTGTAGTAGTGGTGACTGCGATGAGTGAAGTACTCGATGGGCGTCGTGAAGTAGCTGAGTCTCGTGCTATTGATGTGCCAAGAAACGATGTGCAAGGCAGTGAGGCAAATAATCAGATGGATGAGGGATGAGAAGTTTGTGTGTATTATATAAGATATGAGAATTTGTGGGTGTTTGTATAGTTACAAATAGCATTTCGTATAAGTAAGATAGTAATAAGAATCATCATTCAGAATTCATTTCTTGATTCTTGGCTTATTCTCCTTTTTTCTTTCATCTCCTCCTCTCTTCTCCAATCCACGTCCAGAATGCCTGTCCCACTCTTTCGCCATCACTATCGGACGTGGATATACACTCGCCGGCAACACGCTCTTCCACGGCGTATGCACCACCGCCTTATCCACACCTTCCAGCTCTGGCAGCCACATCCGCACGTAGTCTCCGTTTTTATCATAATCCCACGCCTGCTTGATAACATTAAACTTCCTCTCCTCTCTCGGATCGTTCCCTAAATGAATTTGTAAAAGATACTTAGACCGAGGCCTTTTACTTTTTGATAATGTACTGACATACCAATTCCAGCCGCATAACTCCAGTTCCCGTAGTTCGAGCTACAGTCATAGTCAACGAGCCACGATTCAAAGAACTCGGCGCCGAGACGCCAGTCGATGAAGAGATCTTTCGTGAGGAAGGACGCGAGGTTTTGGCGTGTGCGGTTTGATGTGTATCTGTAACAAGAAAAAAGTTTCAGAAACAGGGCAAGATAACATGGAATTATAGGTTTTACATTTACCCAGTTTGCAGCATCTCACGCACACCCGCATCCACAAACGGCACACCTGTACGTCCCTCCATGAACGCTACCGCATGCGGCGATGTTGCTGATTTCGACCATGTCGTTGCATTGGGCGGTGGCGTGCCGCGTAGCGAGTACGGGTGGAAGAGCACGGTAGTGTATTTTAGCGAGATGAGGCGGAAGTAGTCGCGCCATAGTAACTATGTGTTAGATGTAAGCACCCCAAAAAACAGTGTAATGGGGAAGCAATGGGTTTACCTCAAACACAACCCAATACGCTCCCTCACATTCTCCATACACCGCTTCATACCGTTTCAGCTCCTCGTATATCTTGCGTGGACTTATATTCCCGTGTGCGAGGAAGGACGAGAATTTCGTGCTGTATGCGTCGCCCATGAGGCCATTACGGGTTTGCTTGTATGTGGATACGGCGTGTGTTTCAAAGAGGTAGTTGTTTAGACGGGATAACGCAGATGTTTCGCCGCCGACGAAGGGATGGGATGTATGTGGTGGGACTGGTGGTGGAGTTGGGTGTATGACGGGGAGGAGAGTTGATGTGAGGTTTTTTGATGGGTGGGGCGAGGATGTGAGGTGTGGGGATGCTGGTGGGAGCGGTTTGAAGTGTGGGAGGGGTATACATGGGCGCACCATTTGTGGGAGGGATTCGACGCGTTTGCGGAACTGGATGGTGTAAAAGTGTGTGAGGTTTGCATTGTTTCATCAAACTCTGGTTTTCAAACATTGGAAAAGCGACTTGCACGGAGAGTTCAAAGACATCTTCAGTAGAATCAGCAGCGTGCCACAGTCTTCATCTGCTCTCCATACTCTCCAAAAGCGAATCCATCAAAAGAAGACTCACCACAGTATAAACATCCGACAAATCCTGCACCCCAAACGGCAAATCCTCCATCGCGACCATCGAACCTCCATGCCTACTCACAAGCGGCACGCTAACCCTCTCAGCCACACGTCTCTCTATATCACGCTCCTCACTACACACCTCCTTCATACAATACACACCCGACACCTTGACACCATCACCCTGCAGCCCTCTCACAAGTGCCGGAATCACATCCTCTGGCCTGCCATACCGGATGATTAAGCTGCTGTTGTGCTTTAGGAGGGACGATTTGAGATCGTCGATAGATTCGATGAGGAATTTTAATCGGTGGTAGGATGTGCGTGGAATACTGTAGTGGCGGGTTTTTGGTGAGGTGAATGATGGGATTATCCGTGTCAGGTCAATATAGCGGGGGTCGAATATGTAGATGGGGAGTAGGTGGGTTGATGTTTGGTCGGTTAGTGATGCGACGAGGGGGACGTTGTCGTGTAGGCGTAGGTCGTTGCGGAACCAGAAGATGGCTGTTGTTACTGATTTGGCCATTTATTGTGTGGATCTGTTTTGATGTAGGAAGTGAGCTTCTGATTATCACAATTTCGATGGTATGTCAACGTTGGAAAACAGATAAAGGGAGTTGAATCGAGGCGCTAGAGTATTCATACCTTGTTCCTGTGCTGGTGTATGCGCTGGAACTTGTCCTTTACGAGCTGGAACGGTTTTTTGATTACAACTAATGTACGTTGCAACGTTGTCAACTTGACACGTTTTTGTGGATGAGTTCTGCTTTTATTCCTAATGCGTGTTATATAACTTTATATGCATTTAACTACTTCTGCTTGACTACTTGATTATTATGAGTTGCTGTAAGTTAGAGCGATCCTATACTATGTAGCTGATGATTTGTTTGATCATGGATATTCACTGCCTTATAAATCAGGTGCCATGTGTGTAAACACCATCCTCAACCTCTTTTTAGCCGAATCTACATCCTGCTTGACATCCTCTTCGTATTTGCCAAATATCCTCTCCCAATTCCATTCAGATCGTGACGAGAGCCCTAATGCATCCCAGTACTGCGAGTCGAGATCTTCAGTGCCTATAGAAGGGTGGGATGACCATAGATGGCGAGGCTGGACTAGTATCTGCCGCTGTGATTCCTGTACGAATTGTGATACCCATTCGTCATGAGGTTGTTGTTGCTGTTTAGCTGGTGGCGGTATATACGGCCGATGGAGATGCTGTGTAGATCTGTGTGTTGGTATTCGCTGATGTGGGATATCGGATTCTACTATGTGTCTCTTGTTGTTGCCAAATGGATGATGCTGATGGTGATGGCAGCGTTGAGACATGAATTCGGTATACCCGGCATCGACCAGAGATGGGAGTGTCGTATGAGGATGGTCATAGTGGTTGTGGTTGTAGTATGGGGTATGATGGTATTTACTCGTATTTGTTGTCTGAGTTTGAAGAATGTGATGAGCGAAACTCGATAGTGGCGTTGTAGAGGAGAAGAAGCTGCTACTGGATGCAGAGCATGCCATCATATACTATGTAGCTGTGGCCTGGTACCGGCACAAGGTTGGTGTAAAAGGAGCGAACGATGTCCTTCAACACTGGAGCGAGGCAAAAAAAAGGGAATGTGATGTCACTTTGAATCGGAGAGTGCACTTGAAGGACGGCTGGTACGTGTCAAGACGTGATTTTATTATAATAAAGATACCACATACAATTATGCTGGCAACCCAATACGAGAAAACACGTTCTTCGTCCCATTCAAATCGATGCCAACACTGCAACCAACAAATTTGTCGAGGTTCAACCAGCAGCAGAACAGCAGCCAAAGCTACATCTACGTGCTCTTTCACCCACGGAACTACCGCCCAGCTTTCGTTTGGATGCTTCCACGCCTGAAACAGTCCTTCATCCCGTAACCGATTTTCAAAACTGCAAAAATCCGTGTTTTCGTTCAGGACAAACCCCCTACAACATTGCATCCAGATCATATTACAAACACGTACTAGGTCATCGTCCATAGCCATCCAACCTGATCGAAATGGCCTCCCTAGTGCTGGTAAATACTCTATACAACACTCTTGGCGCCGTCAATTGTTAACTAACTTGTATACAAACTTTTACAGGATGAGGAATATGACGAGGATTATGAACCTAGTGATGAAGGTACTTGAAACTGTTACGGTTATACAATGAAATCACACTCCTGGTTGATTTGACACGACCACATTGACATCTGACATTCAACATTTGCCCACATTGACGCAGAAATCCTGGAATATGCACAATTCCTGGGAATGGATGTAGAAAAGGAAAAAGACTTGTTTTGGATTGCGAGAGAGTCGTTAAAGGCTCCTCTGCCGCCGAACTGGAAGCCTTGGTAAATCGTGTCTAGTTGCAAATAATGGCCAAGGTCTGAGCTAACACGCACACCACACACAGTTCCACCGATGATAACACGGTCTACTACTTTAACTTCACGACTGGAGAGAGTTTGTGGGACCACCCTTGTGATGAGCATTACAGGAAACTGTATGAGACGGAAAAGAATAAGAAGGCGGGCAAGGTGTGTACTAATCTAGCATAGTAGAAGCTATTGGGTCAGAAATATTGAACATGTTTTTGGAATTTTAGGCTGCTGAAGCACCCAAGGTACAGCCAAAAGCGGCAGACACCAAATTACTCACCAAGCAAGCGTCAGATGAATTGTCTGAACCACAAGAAATTGATGAGGAAGTAGAAGAAGAGATTGAAGAAGGAGATGATGACGACGAATTAGATCTATCTGAAGATGAAAAGCCAAAAGCCAAGTCTCCAGTCAATGATGTCTTATCGTCAGCAGCATCATCACCAAATGCACCCATTATCGCTAACAAACCAGTAGTAGTAGATTCCGTAAAGCCTATTCAGTCGCTCGTCAAGTCAGATGATTCTTTGAAATCCATATCGCCGAAACCTGCCCTGAAACCTCTCGAATCGCTAACACCAATCAACAATCACATATTTGCCACAACCACCACCAACAAAACTGTTGCTCCATCTATTGAAATCGTTGACGACGATGTAGCAAAATCCGTCCCGGCCCTGGATAAAGGCCCCGAAGGACTCCAAGTCAGAAAAGGATTTACAAACGAGAACGACAGGACGTCAACTAGATCCATGCTCTCGGCTCATGGGATTGAGTCCATGTCAAGTAACGAGCTTGCTAGCAGTGGTGGTGATAACAAGGGTCTTCCGTCGTTAAAAAAGGCTCCGATACCGTCTAGTGTCAGTGAATCGGCCGGTATTGCAGATATAGATACCATAAAGAAGAAATGGGCGCAGATATCGGAAGCTACTGAGGCTTCTGAACGGGCTATTCATGAATCAAGTCTGGAATCGTTAAGAGAGTCGCTGGTCAAGTCGTTGCAACAAGAAGAAGATGTGTTGAAAAAACAGCATCAGCAACGGATTGTATCTCTACGAGCACAGTTTGAGGCTGACGAAGCGGCTCTGGCGCAGTCGTCAAAAGATACTGTGAATAAGCTCAAGGAGGATTTGGCAAAGACTTTGGATGAGATACAATGTCAACATGCTCATAATTTAGAAGCTGCTAAAACACAGCATACGCGTGTTATCGAAACTGCTAAAAGGGAAGTTGATGCCCAGATTGAAAGTATTAAAGCAGACGGTAAAAGAAAGGAGGAGAAAGAAGTCTACGAATCTAGAAATCGGCTCGCAAGTCTGAAAAAGGAGGCTGAAGCGTCTATATCTGAACTCAGAAGGGCGGCATCTTCTGAAGAAGGTCGGATATCACAGGTGGAAAACAGTCTTGTGAATCGTAAGAGTGAGCTTGAGAAAGAGATTGAGAGTGTGGAGTCCACCTTGTTGGACCGACGTGTAGCACTAGACGAAGCCAATTTGCAGCATGCTACCATTACCGACCAGCTAGAGAATACTCGACGTGATTTAGAAACGATGAAAGTGGAAATGGTTACATGTCTTGCTGAATTCGAAGCTCTTAAACTCCAGTTGGTGGAAACACGAGAAGCTGTACAGGTTGCCCGAAACGATATAGCTAAACAGAAAGAGCAGGCATCTGTATCAAGCTCTGCTATACCGTCTCCCAACAATACCGAAAACCCTGTGATGGAACGCCCGACACCTGTAGAACGACCATCAGTAACCGCTGAAAGACCAAATGCACCTACTGGTGTAGCTATAGGTGGCCGTCCCCGAGTTAAGAGTGGATCACGCAACAACCGCACTATAGAACCCTCTCCATCCAAGATGGGCCAATTCATCCTTGAAGGATATGGTGTCGGCATGGCAGCCGATATACCCGACTCTCAAATGAGCCCGGCCAATCTCCACAATGCCATGAAAGACGCTACTGGAATGGAAAAGGCGATCTTAGCCGGCTACGGAATGTCAGGAATGTCATATGCATCTTCAAACGTAAACCTACCACCTCACGTCGCAGTCACCATCCAACGAGCAAGCAGTCACAATCTTGCACCTGCATCTCGTCAAATGAGTCGCACGTTTGGAGGGCCTGCTATGGCTCCCGCTACAATCGCAAACCCGATATTCAGTCATGCTATATTGCAATCGCTAGGTGGCACGCACCTTGGAGTCGCGTCTATGGAACGGCTTGCGGATCAGACGTTTATTGACCAGTCACGAGATAATGTCGCTGGCGCTGCTTTGAGGAACGGAGTAAATGCATCAGGAATCGATAATCCAGACAATCAAGATATCTTCCAGGCTTTAGGCGGTCGTGCGAGTGCTGGCATCAGTAACAGCAACAATATCAGTAGCAGCAGGAAACGACAGGTATCAACCACCACAGCCGCCGCAATGCAAAACCCACTGTCTGCATACTTTGGTGTTAAATTCACGCCTACTGCAAACGAGTTGACTGAAGCTGAAGAAATCGCTATGGCTTCACAGTGGGATCCGCAGCAGATGGCACCTTCGCAGCGGGCGTTGATGGAGGGGTATGGAATCGTCACGCAGGAATCGAATGTTTTTAACGGGGTTAGAAACAGTGGGAGAGAGTCTGCTGAACCTGCTATGGCTATGAATGTCGAGCCGACCAAGGCACGAAATGTTGGCAATTCTCGAATCGTTGATACACCAGTACAAGTCCAAGTCCAACAACAACCAAATTCCAGATTCACGCCACCAACCGACATCCCATCAACCATACGTCCATCCAACATGAACAAACCAAGCAGTGAAATAACCCCATCTCAGATATCATCGCCCCAGTCGCGACGATCTACCATGGGAAGCCCCGTATCGAAACGAAGCGAGGCTAGTCCTGTTATGAGGGTTCGATCGCCGTCACGACAGAGAGGCAGTCCGGCGACGGAACGGTCGAGACGTGATGTGGAGCGGGAGGTGAAGGAGAGGTTTGTTGAGAGTAATGGACATCATCATGTGGATCGAAAGACGTATTCGCCGTCTCGCGGTGGTGAGAGGGAGATGTCGCCGAGGAGGAGGGAGAGAGAGGAAAGGGAGCATATGAGGAGGGGGAAGTCTCCTAGACGAGGTTAGTAAGAATGAAAATTTCCTTTTTTTGACATTTTCACAATCTCTTGAACTAACACACACAACACCGTCTCTAGAAACAAGACCCGTCTACTCAAGCGATGCCAACGAATCCCCCGACTCTGAAATCTCATCCTCAACCCCGTCATCATCCATCGACGGCGACAATCTTGAAGACGCACAAGTATGGACTCCATCCAAACAAATCAGTCGTCGACTCCGCCGCGAAGAGAAACAAATCAGGGATTCCAAACGTACTATTCGTAAACAGACTCGATCGCTGGCGAGAGAAGAAGCCACACACTTTTATGGAGCTAGTCAGCAACGGGCCAGGATGGAAGAGCTGGCCGATAAGATTGATAGGGAGAATGAGGTTAGGAGGGTGCTGCAGGACAATTTGCATAAAGAGGTATGTGATTGGGGTAGAGGGGTAGTTTTGTCACTAGGCTTTTTTTGCATGTGCTCAATGCTTTTCAAACATTTTAGGTATCGAGGTATCAGTCACTAGACGCCGTCGAAGCCGAGATTGAAAAAGTGCTCAACAAGCTACGAACGTCACGCGATACAAGTGTGTCGAGGATGCAGGATATGATGCAGCCGAATAACTATACGTAAGTTCTCCTATGTCTTAACGTTCCTTTTTTTTTGCGTCAAGTCCATCTCACCCTGTCTTTTCCTCTCAACAGCACAACATCATCACCATACACCCTACACTCAACATCATACACACCACGGGTTGTCCCAACATCAACAACAAATTTTTCATCAACACACTACCAACCATCCATCCACCTTACCGGAATCTCAGACTCGCGCAAACAAGCATGGGATGTATCACGGGCTAAGACTGACAGGGAATTGGATTTGCATTCACAGTTTTTGAGACAGTTGGTTGCGAAGAAGCAGAATGCGGTTGGGAATGGTGGTGTGAGTGGGAGGGTTGTTTATTGAGAAAGGAGAGCAAGGGAAGGTGTAGATTTGGGGATCTTTGTATAGGGTAATTTATGGTTGAAACATGAAGGTTGAAAACAGCATACACAGAGTTGGCAAGTGGGGTTTTTTTGGGTTGGCAGCGATAACGCAGTATGATGGAAGGATGCTCCGATTACGTGTATTAGGATGTGAAAGTGAAGCTTAAGCGATTGGAAATGGTTGGCGTGAGCGATCGCTATAAGTTCTTCCTTCATATCCGGAAAACCACTGTCTTTGTTGATAACCAGGCATGAAAGTTTGACGCTTCACCATCGCATAGAAATGAAACCATTGGCCATTGGTAAAACAACTCTTATACTCTATATCTCACAATGCTCAATTATGTTTCATTATCCTATTGAGAACTGTCTTTGCATTCTGAACCTTCTGCCGCAATATTCCAAACCTTCAAACAAACCCTTCACACTCAAATCTAGTTCTTGACTGCTACTCCTGCTTCTCTGCCTATTACTCGCATGCCAAAAGCGACTGAGTGGATGGTCTGACGAAATCCGAAAACCTGCATCACTGCCACGGATTCATTGTGGAATGAGACGTTACAAGCTCCTGGGAATGCGTGAAGATTTGAGATGCAGTGTAAATACGGACGGGTGTGGTGGTGTCAAGGAGCGAGATATCGATGATGAATGGACTAAGTTATGAGAAATCAACGACGCACTGCGTATGACCAGGCTGTCGTAAACGGTTTTTCTTTGCTTCTCTCTTAGATTCTGTTTCGAGACGAAGTGACGCTGGTTATGTAGTGAGGCTTCGATCATCATCAAGACAGGAGGCAGCCCTTCCGTGACTGGACGGTTTGAACAGGACATGGATTGTGAAGCGACGGACAGATTCGAGAGGAGTCATTACTCTCATGCTAAGGCTTCAGATAAGACGATGTATTCGCCTTCTCGTGCTACTTGAATGGGAATTGTCTCCAAGGCGAAATTATCAGCAGGAAAAGGAGGTTCATCATTCAAGGCAGGCACGACATCATTCAAGGCAGGCACGATATCTTCCTAGGCCCTTATGATAGCAACTCCAGGCAGCCGCTTTTTGGTCGTGCCTTGATTCGTCTCAAGGATCTTATCTCTCTACATCCAAAACATGCAATATATCTAGAGCCAAGGCTGATCGAGAAATGGATATGGAATTACAATTTTGCGGCCTTTGAAAGCGGATGCTACTCCTTCGTCTGCTGCTACGGGTAATTGCAGAGGACCTTACTGACATCCAGTTTGGTTTGATCGTTTGAGAGGAGAACGAACAATTTCTTGCTGAGAGTAGCTTTTCTTGTTGACGTAGTACTTTAGGATATAAACAGAACTGAAAACCGCATATGATCGTTTGATCTTGTGTCACGATTTTTGTTGATCTGTCGCGACAATGTTGTAGTGGGAAAAGCAGTTCAAAACACGTGTAATAGCTCCTAAAAGCGAACATTAGTCGACTGAAAATCCTCGGTGTGAGCGATCGCCATAACTTGTTTGTCTCAAAACCTCAAAAACACTTGTGCTTCGCCAATTCCTACAACCCATTCAAGAACTAAGTCCAGAAACGATGTCAGCACAAAGCATCGTCCCTGAAAACGTCGATCCGTTCGCGTACTGGCCTGATACTTCATCGCCAACGGAGAACTTCCTGCATCTTTCTGTACGTCCTAGATCGTGGATTTCACTTCAACGCTGACAGAAAGCTCATGCTGCTTCATATGTATATAGCCGCCACCGAAATACGATGATTCTCTACCATGTCGCAAACTACGAATTGTTTATGTTGGAGCTGGAATTGGTTTGTGTGCTTGGAGACTGTGAACACATTCTTTTGGTTTCTGAGGAATTGTGTTGTTTTAGGTGGAATTTCCTTCGTGTTGATGGCGAGATATCGATTAAAGAATGTCGATTGGGTTGTTTATGAAAAGAATTCGACGTTTGGAGGGACTTGGTGGTATGTTTGAGAACTTTTCTCGAATCGCTCCACGTCTTTGCTCGGAAGCTTGACCATTCCACCATTTCAATTAGGGAAAATAAGTGTAAGGGCTATGCTTCACTCAATTGTCGAGAGCATTCAAAGCTGGCTCGTTCCCTTGAGAAAGACTTTTCGCAATCTGCATTCTCTGCAACTACAACTCCTACCCAACCCCACTCACCCTACTCAACAATATAGATCCTGGCTGCCGCTGCGACGTCCCATCCCACTACTACTCCTTCCGCTTCATGCCTAACGATTGGGTAAACGGCTATGCCACATCTGACGAAATCCAGGACTACATTTCTCAAGTAGTCCGCAAATTCAATGTCGAAAAGGACATTACATTTAACGCCACAGTCTTATCTGCTACATGGATTGATGAACGCTCACAGTGGTTTATTAAAACGGATGTTGGTGGTGTTGTGAAGGAGGAGTATGCGGATGTGTTTGTGAATAATCAAGGCTTTTTGAATCGGCCAAAGATGCCTGATATTGAGGTAATTGACCAGTGAGGTAGTCATTAAGCTGTGGTTGCCAAAGTAGCGACGCTTAGAAAGCTTGATTCATTAGCTGAGTAGCTTTTTTTGGGTTTCATTTAGGGTGTCGACTCATACGCAGGAAAAATGCTTCATACCGCGAGGTAAACTGCCTTGCATATGTTAAATAATCCCAACCCAACATTCTCAATCTTTCCACATTTTGCTCATCCAGATGGGACCGCTCGTACGATTGTGCTGGCAAGGATATCGCCATCATTGGCACCGGTTCTTCTGGATTACAAGTTATAACGGCTCTGGCACCCGTCGTCAAGAAGGTGTAGATCAGGTTTATCTGCTGCCCTTGTTTGGTTGGCACGAATCGGTGTGTGGGATAATCTAACCTCTCAACCCAAATCTTCAAAGCTGACAGTGTATATGCGTACACCGAGCTGGATTTCTCGATATCTGGTACAAGAGGTGTAAGTTTCTGTGATGCAAAAAATCTTAATAACTTCGCTCAAGCAATAGCTACTACATCTCACTAATCTCAACACAACTATATAACTCACCAGTCTGCCAGAATCAGAACGCACGAAATATCGAGACCCTGTATTCTACCGCTCGTACTGGAAACGAGCTTGGATTGGCGGTGAAAAGGCATGGGACTCCAAATGGCAAAACAGTGAAACACAGCTCAAATTCCAAGAATTGGTGAAAAGGAGACTGGACAGTATGGTCAAAGATCCAGTGCTGAAGGAGAAGTTGACGCCGAAATATGCTTTCGGGTGTCGGAGAGTGACGCCAAGTGGGGATGCGAGAGGGTTTTATTACGCGTGAGTATGGAATGAGGTTGTGTTGGAACTTGCCTCTTTGACTATAATTCCCTTGCTTTTTTTAGTGTACAACTCCCACATGTAGAAATAGTCACGTCGCCAATCGACCGCATCACTCCAGAAGGTGTGGTATCAGTAGGCACACTTCGTAAATCTGAAGCCCTGATTCTCGCCACTGGATTCGAGGTAGTCTTTCGAAATTCATTCCTTGTTGCGATTGCGTAACATAATCCGTAACTTCCTCGTGGTTATAGAACACATTCATCCCCCACATCCAAATAACCGGCCTCGCCAACACAACAATCCAAGAAAAATGGAAGTCCGGAATCGCAAAAGGATATAAATCAATTGCTGTCAGCGGTTTCCCAAACTATTTCCACGTCATGTCTGTCAACTCAACAGCATCAGCAAACTCCATTCACATCCATTTGGAGCAGGCTATTAACTACGTGCTGCAGATTGTTGTGTTTTTGCAGCAGCATAGTGAAGTGAGGTATGTGCATCCGAGACAGGATGTGCAGGATAAGTGGAATGAGGAGGCGCAGGAGACGTTGGCGAGGACGGTCTGGGGGCCGAATCAGAATTGTAACGGATGGTATGTGCTTGCTATGTGCGTCCTGTCTGTAAAAGTGCGTCGTGCCTGTAACACATCAACCTCACTGTTGCTTCTGGCATTCGTAGGTATCGACGAGTGGATCCAACAACCGGCAAACTGGTCGTAACAGCTCACTGGCCAGGACCAGGAAACAGTTACCAGGACGCTCTATTCAAGCCCGATTTTAGTGAATACCACGTCGTCAAGAGTGATTCTGTAAGCGGCATCGCTCGTCTGTAAACTGAATCAGTGACCGAATTGGATGAATGTCTAAGAAAGTAGTTTAATATTGAAGAGTTCTGTAGTGTTTACAAAATGTATGAAAATTACCAGAAACAACAAACAATGCAAAAGGAGGGGCTCTCTCGTATTTATAGAAAGATACCGGGCGAATCTCAAAATGTCCAGCAGTATTACGAGCCAAGCTGTGTAATGATGGCGTGGTGGTTGTGCCTGCATCGGATAGTTCGTGGTCACCGTCTGCATCACGATCATGTTATGGTCATCGCACCGTATGGAACAGTCCTCTACGCGTCAGACACGTAAAATATCCTCGTTATAGTATCAGCAAGCAACTACCCGTCGTAATAGTTGGGTAAACCAGCTGTATGTAGTTTGAGGACTGCTGGGTTGTTTCGTAACATCTCTCAGATACGATCAACTAGGGGCCTTGCTCGGATACAACATAGAACATATACTATAACCAATACACCTACCCTCAGCAAGACCGCAGTCCTTCATTTGGGGGTCAAACCGAACCAATCATACATACTCACTACTAAAACACGGTTTTATTGGAAAATTCACCACGGTGAAAAACCCTTGGCCAACTATTAAACGCGTGGCCAAAAACTTTTTATGGTCGTCGAGACCACAAGTTGAAGAGCAGAAGAGATTGAGATTGAGCGAGCCAGGAAACGTTTTTCAAAGAAACAGCCGACGATATGATGAAAATGAAGTTAATAAAGAATAGTAATGATGTATTCAAGGCCGCGCTAGTGACGTTTTATGGTCGTAAGATGACACGACTGTGTCTGTCCTTTCAGCAGATGCTAAAAGTTCCTCTTCTCACAAAGGAGTGCTAAAGTACGCAAACGATGATAGTAAGATGAAGGAGCGGAGTTCAAAGAATAGTAGAGGAGAACTGGATTTATTCGTTGATGATAGATCAAACGTCAAATCATACGGTGGCTAGGGCAAGGGTATTTAAATCAGAATTTAGAAGAGTTAATTCTTAACTTTCTATAATTCTGATTATTGACTGAAACTTGCCCAAAGGTATGAAAGGACTAGCAAAAGAACATATTACACTATTACTCATCATTATTTGACTGGTTTCTTTATGATATAAACTTCTGATTATTGACTAAAGACACGATCTGTGTCATAAGATCGTGACACAGATCGTGAAGATTAATGAAATAAATCTATTATCGTATGATAGCATTCTTATGAATTTTTCCTTTCCCAGTCTGCACAAGAAATTTAAGTAGATTACTAGTAGAGTTGCATAAGCGACATATTTGCCATCTGCACATGGCACTCATTTACGGCAGCCTTCCTAACATCTCTACTAGCGGAAGGAGAAGCGAAAAGTCTGGGACCTTCTTTCTTGTACTTCTTGCCGGCAAGCATCCAACCAAACGCTTTGATTGCCTTAACCAAGTGTTTGACGGTGTATTCAGCTTCAATCGTTTTCTTCCGATCATCATCAGCCGCATACCAACGAGCCCACCAATTTTCCATATACTCCAGAGAAGTTTTGTCTAGATCATGTTTATAGCCTAGACAAGAGCAAAACAAACTGTTGGTAAAACGAGCAGCAAGGACAGAAACGAAAGGCTTGCCTCTGTTCCATGTGTCCTTAGCTTCTCGGCGATAGGCATCACTGTAATGCTCCAAAGGGTTGTGGCCAAGATCTATATATTTTTTGATTCCAGCAAACCATTCTGTGCAGCCAATTTCGTAAGGCGTCCATTCGTATGTCTGCTCCGAGTACACCGAGATTTTCTTATCAGCAGCATAAGCGGCATAATCAGCGGCAGGGACAAAGGCGGCAAATATAACGAGTCTATCCTTTCCAGGAGAAGTACCACGACGATTCGTAATCGGATCATTCACCACACCATGATGAGGCAAATCTTCCCAGAAGAGAAAAGCCGTACCAGCACACAATATATCGGATTTATAATCAGCGAGGTCATAGCTCCTGGCTGGGACCTCTCACGAGTTGAGAAAGCCGTACCTCTTCCATCATCTGAAGCAAAAAAAAAAGAAGAAGAATGCCTTTATCTTTACGAGAAAAAGACGATGAAAGCATACCAAGATTCATAACAAAAGAAATTCTATTAGCCAAAGGACCATCTTCGTGAATAATCTGATTCTTTGAGGAATTCGAATATCGGATGATTTTTAAAGGCCCCAAAACATAATCAGGCGGGATGTCAGAGCAGAGGCCTTTGAGATGAGACGGAAGATGTTTACAAATAGATTGGATTTTTACAGCCCAACCTGTATATGCTTTTTCGGTAGGGATCTGCGACATATCCCAAATGTCAGCTTTTCCAGTGATAATACCAACGGTTCTGTTTATATTGTAAAGTATTCCTACTATACTTCTGATGTATCCCGATGCTGAGCCTTAAGACTCAACGAAAACTTTCTTGAGTTTCTATTAGCGGTATTTCTAACATTTGGATGTCCCCAATATCCATAAAAGAAAATCTTGAAATCCTCGTAAGAGGTAGTAGAGGCCCTAATTCCGAAGATATTGACCTTAGTCAAATAGTTCAAACGGAACCACGTAAGAGGGTCATCAATAAGGTGAGATCCTACAAAAGGAATCTTGGATTGAAATGAACCGTAAGTTGCTAGTTGCAACATGAAGATAGTTTCGCAAGAAGCAATGAAGTTCTCGGACTTCGAGTTGCTGCGACCGTCGTATTTTTCGTAACCTCAGCTGCTCTAGGCTCCTCGATCCTAGATGTATCAACCGTCACTAATGCAGAAACTGAAGACGAGTTTGTGTGAGGGTCACTTGTGCCACTGGGCACGGGTGCCGGTTGAACCGAGTTATCTCCTTCAACGCTTTCAATGAAAACGGGAGATGCGGGCAATGAGAGAGGAGTGGTAACAGCTCGCGTGACTGCTGATGCTATCATTGTTTCCAATCGAGAAAGCAAGTCTTGAGACAGATCAGTAGCTACTACTGGAAGGGCCTGAATCTCATCTTGGTGAGTATCTGAGATTCTTGAACCTAATACAGATATCTAAACGGAGAGAAGAGAGGTTGAATATACCGATAGAGTTCTTAATACGCGTTCGTATTCGAGCTCTCTTTCCTGAAGCTCAAAAACAGAAGAACACTAGAGTTCATACTGTTTCCACATGCATGAGCTGTGAATTCACCAGCATCAGCATGCTTCAAACGTACATTTGGAACAGGATATGATCTATGTATTGTAGTAGTGTTTTTTTGGCATCAGGATGGGTTGTGACGTACGTTCAGGATATTGAACAGAAGGGGACGCAGAGTGGTTTAGAGAAGACTGCATCAGGAGTTGGCTGACGCTGGGGACGTGATTGTTGGTTCTTCGTCTGTGCGGGTAATCTCCCAGGCAAAAATAACTGGATTGTTCAAAACAGCAATCAATCTCACCGCTGCTTTAAAATCTCTTTAGGTGTCGACGAAAGGTTTCAATGATACGTCAATGAGTCGTAGTAACTCACTGGCAATGTCCAGCAAACAAGTTAACAGGACGTCCTCTAGGAACCAGACTTTATCTTAGCTTTGCAATTGCAACACATCATACCACAACTCTCATCTGTAAACCAACATCCGATTCAAGTACTAGAAAACACAACTAAAACTAGTTTGATTGAAGCAGTGAGTTTATCCATTTCCATAAAAATACAATTGACAACGCATCAGAAACAGAAATAATGATAAAGGAGGGCCTTTTTCTCCAAAGTATACAGCATGGGAATCATTTCATTTTTTCGTAACAGTCTAGCTACAAAACCTAAGGATAATACGCGTTAGCAAACATCCAGCCAAAAAGAGTGAAATCGGCAATGATATCAACGCCACTGACCTCAACAGAATCAGCACTCACTCACAACTTGGCGATCGCATTCAGCGCCATCTCAAACCTAACCAACGCACTGCCCAACCTCCACAGCACATAGACATTGGCGCCCAGCATGCCCATAATCATAAACACTGTAAAGTACGTGATGAAATCACGACTAGTCGCAATAGCCAGCCATCCTTCACTACCTCCTGCGACCATCATCCTCGTATCAGGTGTAGCAGCAATAGGTTTGTGTGGTGGTAAGACGGGTGTTCGTCCACGTATTTCGATATCAGGCGAGTCGTCAAGCAGCATGGTGTTACGTGCCGAGCTGTGTAGTGATGGTGTGGTAGCTGTGCCTGCGTCGGATAGTTCGTCGTCGCCGTCTGCGTCACGGTCTGGGTGGGATTGGATGTATGCGGTCAAGAGTTTGGCCAGTTCTTTGTGTTGTTCTTTTACGCCGTCGATTGTGCTTTTTTCAATGACAGCTATCGTGAAAGTAGAAGGTTAGGATTGGGGATTGTGCGAGACGGAAAATCGCTAAGAAGAGATATTGGAATAATGCAACTCACATTTCAGCATGGACGACTTTGTGAAATCGACCTGTACAGATACACGAAGTCGTGTTTGATGTAGTCCGTTTGCTGATATACATGTACGGACACGGTTGCAGAAGCAGTTTCCAGCTGGAACATCAGGTGTGACAGTGACTCCTTCCACACATACGAATCTATTGCGTAAAATCGAGTGTTTGAGTGGTTGGTTGTAACAAAACACTGGAAACACAGAGATCAAAAGCGACATACACGCGCAAAACGGCAGATAACAAGAGATGACATTGCAAGGACAAGCAAACCTAACTCACCGATCAATCTCACAATGCTTGACAGTCTCCACAACATTACATCGTGTAGACCTCAGCATTGCATAATTCAACGCCAATGAGAAATCCAGCTTGCGTTGCCATCCTTCCGCAACAAACGAATGCAGCGTGAGTTCTTCATTAGCTTTACTACCGCCAATATTATTCTTGTCACCATCACTACCACTTCCACTACTTCCACTCCCAGCATTCTGACCAGGGGGCATCCATGGCGACACAACCAACCCGAGATTCTTACGATTAACTTCCAAGAACTGACGATTCCATCCTTCCGCATTCCCAAAAATCAGATTCCAGACTCGTGACATGTGGGTTGGGATTGTTACATCCAGGACCTGGGTATACGATTCGTGGATGACGTCGTCGGGACATACGGCGACACCAGCAAAGCGGCGTTGGCGTGTTCGTGGTGGGGATTTTGAGGATGATGGTTTATGGTGACGGCGGCGTCGGTATAATACTTTGGATGCTTTTACTGCTGCACTGGTGCTGCCACTTTTATGTAGCGACTCGCGGTCTGATGATGTGCGGGTTGGGTTTATGGCTGTATCACTTAATGCAGCTGAGGCCAAGACTGGTGCAGCGTCTTCGAGTTCGTTCTCGTCGGCTGGTGTAGCAGATATCGGTGATCCATCCAGATTCAAATCATCGAGAGATCGACGGCGACGACGTTGTGGGATTGTTGCGTATGGTGATTCTTCAGTTAAAATAGGCAGGACTCCTCGTGGTACCGTACTGGTTGGCTGCATGGACGAGAAGAAGGTTTCTGCATATTGTTGGTAGCGTTGGCGACGATCTAGAGTGCCGTAGTCGGAGCTGGAGCTGTTGTCGGTCAGGTAGCCAGCTTCTCGTATACGTTTACAGTCTTGGCAGGTTCCTGTTTCGTCCTGTTCGTTCTCGTGAAGGGGACAGGAGCGTCGGAATGTGTGGAGTTTGAATGATACCGCACGATCCTATGAGTAACGTGAGATGTGAGTATTGAATGATGAATTCAGTACAAGATCATATCGTCTCCTTTTTTGCAATCTCTATCCATTACCTCCTTAGCAATCTGCCACACTCGATGAATCAAATCATATGAGGTATCTCGATCAAAGAAGGTGGCAAAGAAATACTAGAAGAGGACCATTATGGTGTGAGTCGATTGCTCATCATCTTGCCTGCTTTTTTGTTGTCTAAGCTCATACCTTTCGACCTCCACGTGTAACGAACTCTAAGGAGTTTGGTATCAACAATGCAATATTCCTCTTGTCGATATTGACTATATCTGCCAGTCGGAGCACCAGCTATGATAGAAAAGGTAGGGATAAGTCGATCGGCAAAAAAAAAGATTCAAAGTGCTTTGTTAAACTCACATCATGAGCCCAACCCAAAATGTTTGCATGAAAGCACAAATGACGTTCAGATACATATAATCGGCCTTGAATCAATATCTAGACAAGGATTATGATTGTCAGTATGCCAAAAACAACCATATTTCACCAAGACGCGCCTATTGACAACATACCTCCTTTTGCCACGCACAAGCGAAATCCTCTATAAGCACCTCCCCAGCGGGCACAGCAGCAAACAGCTCATGAAATTCTACATCCCGACGTTTACTAGCGTACGGCAATACAACCACCGGCTGAGTACTGCTTGCAGTTACAGGTGGATTTGCAGATGATGTCGACGATGGAGTTGACTGGTTTCCATCAAACGACGTGTTGATATTGAGTCCTGCGTTACTATCTGCAACATCCTCTTCATCAGCGTGTTCAATCTCTACCTTTGTGCGTACAGGGGTAGTTGGATACTGCAGTGTCGATGCAGATGGTCGTTGTTGCGTTCCACCTGATATAGTAGCCGATCTAGCTTTAGGAGGTGTTGAGACTGGTAATGATTCCGTTGAATGGTTGTTTTTCATGTTTGAGGAACGTGGTGGAGTTGTTGATCCATTGGCAGTTGTTGGCGTGGTTGGCGATGAAGAGCGACGTAGTGTGTGAGAAGGAGGGATGCCTAGAGATTCTGAGCTTCTGTTACGGTACGAGTTTATGCTCAGCATTGTTGATTTGTTGAATGGATCGCTGCCACGTTGGTCATCATTGTCAGGTGCTAGTAGATGATGCTTTCCGTTGATGGAGATGTCAGTTATGTCGGCTTCCTGGGTGTCTACGAGAGTGGCGGTCGAGTCCTGCTTGAATGAGTCGTGGACATCGAATTCGTTCATGGTTGGTATGTGTTGAGCAGGTCAGCAAATGCCATCAAGATGAAATGCCGCCTAAGAGGAGAGTAGTGGCAAGTTAGTTGGATGGACGTACTAGTACGATGAAAGCAGACGGTTCGTGTACTGTGGACCATGTTGTTTACCTCTAGTTTGCAGGCTAGGTTGTCAGTTCAGCCTGCTGTCTATTTGTGATTGAGACCAAAAGCTTGTTTCTGAAATTCAAGACTATATACACCGCAACACAGTATTGATCGCGACGTGTTCGGCCGTATCAGAGCTATAACAACGAATAAAAGAAGGATCTGATTGAGTTCTTACGTTTCCAGTTTGAAAAGTCGACACCTCCATTGCCGGAGAAAGATCACCCAAAAACTACACTTCCAACTGTCTATACGAGGATAACAGAGTCCGCTACGTGATGAACTGTGAAAATCACGTCGCATTGCCACTGCTTTCACCTTCCTGGACCGTCGAAGGTCCGAAAAGTTTGAGATCTCAATCTCCGCTCAAACAAACCCAGACTAGTAGACTTGCATTGGACGGTTGAACAGTGTATGGACGTGCAATATCTAATATGGGCTCTCTAGAAATACTGTCTCAAGTCGTTGGCTGGGTAGGTCTCATATCAAACATTTGAGCTGTTGTTGTTTGATCCTGTTTCGTCTGATCTTCTTGTTGGTCCTTCGTTACTAACCATCATATCGCTTCTCAGGCATACTTTGTAGCATGGAGTATCAGCTTCTATCCTCAAGTCATCTTGAACTACAAGTAAGCCCGTGTTTGGAGCAACATCAATGAGCAAATGTTTGCGTCGATTGGAAGCTTGTCTGTTTGATATGCAAGCCACAGTTCTCATTCACTTTATAATTGCTTAGAGTCAAGACTCTGTTTGAACCTCTAACTCACAATGTCCCCTTTACTCTTTTAGGAGACTATCTGTAACAGGCCTCTCCCTCGACTTCATCGCCCTAAACCTGCTCGGCTTCACGTGCTACTCCTTCTACAACATCACATTCCTCTTCAGCACCACTGTCCGTGACGAATACCGAACAATCAACGACGGCCAAGACCCTTTAGTGACAATCCACGACGTGCTGTTTGCATGCCATGCAACGCTCATAACAATGGTAACAGCCGCGCAGTGTCTCGTATATCAGAGGGAACCGGCACAGAGAATCTCGAAACTCGCGAGGGCGTTTGTGATGTGCGCAATTGTGGGTGTTGGCGTGCTGGGTGTGAATGTTGTGTGGGGGCATACGTGGGTTATTGATGTGGTGTATTTTACCTCGTATGTCAAGGTGTGTTGGTAAGAGAAGTGAAAACGACGCTTCTATTAGCCGTATTCAGTGAACGCTCTTTTTGCCTCAATCTTCCAACACACAACAGTAACACTTCCAATCTGTCACACCAACCACAGATGGCAGTCTCAACAATAAAATACGTCCCACAAGCGTACCTAAACTATAAACGCAAATCAACCATCGGATGGTCAATAATCAACATCCTCCTCGATTTCACCGGTGGGATCCTCTCGCTAGCACAGCTATTCATCGATGCGTCCATACAGGGTGGATTTGAGGGTATTGTTGGTGATCCTGTCAAGTAAGTGCATGTCGCATATAATTCGACTGTTATTCAATTTTTTTGCTTACTACTTCTATTACGCTCTCATGGTATAATGTATCATTGCATAATGTATCATGGACAGTAAGAGAATTGATATCTCACCTTCATCATTTAACTATAGGTTTGGACTGGGTTTCATCAGCATCTTATTCGACATAATTTTCATTTTTCAGCACTATGTGCTCTACCCACGGCGGTTCCTGCAAAGCAGGTCCGGCATTGAAACGCCGAGACTGCACGAAGAGCTGGACGAGAGCAGCAGTCCATTGCTAAATGGAAGTAGTCTGCGAGAATGAAACACCACCAGTTGTTTTCGGTTTTAACTATAGTTTTGTTTATATATGATGTAAATATATGACTTTGAATTGCATCAGGCACAAGTTTTTTTTTTCATGCGATAAAAAATTATTGGGGTTCTTTAATTTCAAAAATTCAAAAACGAGGTATTCTTTTTAACTCTTCATTGGTACTTTACACTGGACACGAGGTCAAATTCATCCCCCAACGTCGCAACCCATTCCTGGAAGCTCATTGTGCTAATCGATCCATTCGACGCCAGCTTGCTCATAGCCGGCAGCGTTATATCATGGAAGCCTACAGATCCGGCTTTACACATCCATTCGTCTGTGTCTGATGGTGTTGATGCTTTAAGGGTATATGCTGGCTCTTGTTGTGGTGGTGGGCATGGAGCAGCCATTGACATTCCACCAAGTATTGTACTGTCTTGTTGGTCGATTCTCATGGCATTTGTATCCGGTTCTTGAGTAGCACATTCAGGCTCGACTTTAACATACGTATTCCCACTCATAGCAGCATGAGTCTCCAGCAAGACTCTCAGAAGCTCCAAATCAGAGTGTGATAAAATCTGCTGCTGCTGTACTTGCTCATCGCGTTCTTGATCTTGAATTACTCCCTCCGTAGCAACATTATCACACACAACGGAACCACCACCACCCACTGAATCCTCAAACACGAAATCCACAAAGCTTTCCGACGTTACTGGCGGTGATGGGTACTGCAGTGTTGCTGGATCAACAGACATATCTGAGGGTGTAGCTGTTCGTGACGATGTGGCTGTTCGCGAGTCACGTTGCAGACTCCCATTATTACCGTTCCTTCTCCCACCATGCTTGACTTTTGCCTTGTTTACCGTCCAAAGAAACCCCTTTCCTGGGCGATTGAGCGGACGCGGCTTCTTGACAAAGACGGAGTGCACGGAGAGGTTGTGCCGGATCGAGTTCTTCCATGCCGAGTCGGTTTCGCGAAAGTCTATGAGCGTAGCGTAGTGAGAAATCCAGAGCAAAAAGCGAATTGAGTCAAGTGATAATGGCCCACATACACGGATGCCGCTCCCGAATCGCATCATAAATCTCCTGCAGACTCAGCGATTTCGTGACACTGGCTTCAATCGCCTCCCTAATAAGCTCACTGTAGCTCGTCCGGGGCCGTGGATACCGTCTCCCATGTTCCTCTTCCTCCCCACCATCAGTAGCCGCATCACCAAACGACTGGGATATATGCCACGCCTTCATCGTCTCATACATACACTCCACCGGCTCCTTGATAACACCACTTTTTTTAGCAGGCGATGCAGCAGCACGCACCGGCGACGGTGCACGCGACGGGTTGCGTGAATGCATGCGGGATTGTAGTCTTGTTAGCATGCGTGGTGGTGACGATGTGGGTGATGGTGCTGCACTGCTGGTGATTAGGATATCTGGGATGCCACACGGCGGGTGCGTAAAGTTCCATGACATGGATGGTAGATCGTCATCGTCATTGTGCTCTTCAAGTGACGTTGAATGCATATGATGGTACTCGAGTGTAGTGAATGGGATCGAGTGTGTCAGATATGTGGTATCAGCGTGATGGATATGTGTGGCGTGCTGCTCTGGTGGTGATCTAGGTGCTGAATGGGTGGTGAGGGATGTAGCGCTCAAGTGCGTTTTGCCTAGCATTTTTTGGGGCGTGTGGTGGTAGATCTAGGATTGTGGATGGGGCTGATATAAGAGAGATTATGAGATTGAGTGTCGGATTGTTGGAGGGGTAGTTCGCCAATGCCACTGAGTGAAACGGCCACCTGCGCGATTTTTTTGTTTGGTGAGGAGCTTGCTTCCGGGGTAGAAGCATGACGAGAGGTAAAAGCAGCGGACGTGGCGAGGAGAGAGTAGCATGCTGTATTCTTATATGTGAAATGTGAATGGAGTTGGATTTTATTGCTTGTATGTATATAGCTTGAAACGCGTCCAACGATGTGGTTACCGGAAATCCAACGAGATCTAAGTAGCTCAAAAAGTCGGGAGACCAAGCAAGCCACACAAACTATTTCATTCTGATATATACCAACCGATTGACACGCACTTACAGGTCTCTCCAAAACGGAGCCAACGGAAACCTCGACATGAATAAACCAAAAAACCAAAAAAACGTAAATGACGGACCTGAATACTTGTGAAACTTAGGACTTAAGAGTGTTAAATTCTAGGGAAGCACTAGGATTACTTAGTATTGGAGTGTCGCTCGTTACATGTAAGATAGTGTAATTTCTGTTTGCGTCATTTCAGCACATACATTTTTTCTGTGCTTGGGAAACTTGGAATAGTTGGTACTAACACCTAGAACACAATATAGAATCTCCTTTGGATGTGCTCAGCAGTGAATTTTGTTTTTGAAATCCCCGACGTGTGTCAAGAATCACGAAATGGAACTAGGTCTTCTTATCGACTATGAGGAAATACTAGTCAACGGTAAGAAAGTCCTCATGGACCAATATTGACTTGCTATATGTGCTGCTCTTGACCTGGTGTGGCTGATGGGACCTGGTTCTCCAGGTGTAAACGAAACCCAGATAGTGGTGTCGAGTATGTATTCTGTCGTCATTGTATCTCGTTAGGAGTGTAAAGAGAATCGGTCAGTGACGGAAGATAGCGGTGCTTGACTGTATGTGTGAACGAGATGGACTCAAGACCTCCACAATCGTCAAGCAATCCACTCCACATTAAGTGACAGCATTCACTCTTCATCAGTCATGGTTCGATTTGACATACAAAATAGCTAATGGTGACTTGCACTATTTAGCACCATCGTACATTCCAGACCTCAAGAAACGTTGATGTCGTCCTGATTTGATATTCCTGCACAAAGTTCTCAAACTCGACGAAACATAGCTTTCAGCGTATCTTCCCATGCAAATCGTTCCTCCTCATGATCTGAATGTATGTTACACCATTACTGGTCGAGCAACGGGGGGTCCAATGTTCAGTCATCGTAGTTCAAGAATGTGCAAGGTGGAGATGTCAACAAGATGGGAGCGAATTGTGGCATCATCGCAGCTTGTTTCCATATTTCTAGCTGAATAGACACGAGACCTTGGTTGGGAAGAGTAAGAAAATAAGAGTGATTGACTGTGATGTTCATGTTGGCACCGCAGATTTTGATGACGAGAGCTAGAAAAGTAAACATGACATAATGTCAGAATGACAGAATCAATAGTATATAAGCGGAAAAGCAAAAGTAATCCCGTGTAATTGATCTTGTACGTTGCAAGTCTTCCTCATCACCAACCTCCAACAACATTCACAAATATCGACTTACGATGATGAACAGCTACAACGACAATGGCGAGCCTCCGATCCCAGGTTTTGCATCTCCCGTCGTAGTCTCTTCCCATCCACCTGCCACCACTCAACAACAACAACCAGCAAATCCAAATCCAAGGAAGCGAGCATTCAACATGGAAGAATCCCTCGCAAAGGAAAAGAAGCATATCCCCATCATAACAACCTCACAATCTAAAAAGGTCAGACACTGTATTCCATTATAACCTACATATTGTAAATGTTGTCGACATTTGCAACATTTGAGCACCACACCGTAAAACAAGACAACAATGGAACTAAAGATATGGAGATTGTTTCTCTCTTATCAGATGTCCTCTCATATCTCCCGATGGGCAAAGATACAAGACGAGGTCGCGGCTACAAACAATACTCAAGAAGAGGAGGCTGAAACGCTGGCGGATAATGGGGAGGACTTGAAGGAGCCGGCACCAGTCGACTTGTCAGATGAGGCGTTGCTAAAGGTAGTGGTAATAGTGATGATGATTACCTCCTTGTCTTGGACATCCACACTGATTACGATCACATTTTTGCTTTCATAGAGACTGCCATCAGATGCATCCATAAACACCGAACACTCGGATATGACTCTCATGGCATGTCTGCTATGCCAACGACAATTCAAATCGCTAGAGGATTTAGCTAAACATCAAGTGAAATCGGATCTGCATAAAGTATTCATTCAATTTTATCGTTTCCTGTTTTGGCTTTACTTATACATACTCTCACATAGAAAAACATGACTGCACTCCGCACAACCCAAATAACAGACCTCAGAACAACACTATCGATACAAGCTGCCGCCGAAACTGCCAGATACCGTAACCGTGTCGAAGCTCGAAGACGGAAATATGCTCCTCCTGATTATAATCACAACAAGTCACGGTCTATGGTGGCGTTTCCAATGTCTGGTACTAGTGGTAGTAGGGCGGGGTGGAAGACGACGTCTGCAACACCGTATGTGCTACTTGCCAAATTTTATCATCTTTTTTGCTTGATACCAACACACTTTACACTTCACAGAATCGAACAACCAACCATAAACGGCATCCAACAAGACAATGCAGGGCGTCGCATTCTTGAAAAAATGGGGTGGAAGGAAGGTGAAGGACTAGGTGCCAAACGAGATGGTATCGTGCAACCCATTGAGGCATCTGGATATGGCAGAGGTGCTGGATTGGGTAGTTTGGATTATCCAAGTATTGGGGGTGGTGATTTCGCAGAGTCATATACGGATCAGACAAAGAGGATGGCGAGGGCGAGGTTGGATCAGAGTTGAGCATAATGGGATGGGACGCGATGGGGGTTTTTTCGCATGGTGGGTGATGTATAGGCAAAAGGACAGTTTGCATTTGTATACTATATTTGACCATAATAGGAATTGCAGTTTTAAAAGTAACTGTTGAACGTTTTCTTGTATTCTGTCTTACAGACGGCCAAAAGAGAAGAACGACGAATGTCGCATATCGAATCAATACATCGTATGTGACCACCCTCATCTCCAACTTCAACATTTACAACACAACGAGTCTCCCTTCAGCAGTTTGGAATAACATCACTTTCTTTTTAAACTCTCTACCTCTATTCCCATCCATACAAAACATACAAAATGCTACTCCTCCCCATCATCCCCTATAACAACCCTCCCCACCTTCCTACTAACTCCATAGCTCCTCCTCGTGCTCTCCCTCACATCCTCAACACTAACATCATCTTTCGCCCACTCCAGCACCAAATGCCGGCCATACAAATGCGTCGCATGCAAAGACTCGAACGCATTCTTGGCTTCCTGTTTCGTTAAAAAGTCTATAAATCCGAATCCGCGGTGGGAGCCATCGAGTTTTAAGGGCAGACGGAGGGATTTGATTTTTCCGAATGTGCTAATGAGGATTTTTTTTTTTGTAAGCAAAAAAACTGCAAACAAAAGGTGATGAATGGAACAACAAACAAGCGACAGATGGTCGTTGAATGATGTTGCAACGTACGAGAAGAGAGACTTGATATCCTTTTTGGATGCCTCGAAGGGTATGTTTCGTACGATTAGTTTGGTGCCGTTGGCGGCGATATCGGAGCTGTTTATGTTGCGGTTGAGGTTTTGGGTGGTTGGTTTGGTGGTGTTTGAAACTTTGAGGGTTAGTGCGTGGTTATCTAGTACGTGGCCCTGTGTAGAGAGAGAAGGCAGTGTGGGTGAGTTAATATCAGGAACATGAAAGATATTTTGTAACAAGGTGTCACATCCATGCTGTTCGTTGATAAGTTGACTTTTTTTCAACGATGACAATTCACAACTCGTATGCCAAAACCACCGAGACGAAACACACACACAAAAACTCACCTGCATGACCTTAAGCGCCTTAGCCGCATCATCCCGCACTCCAAACTCGACAAACCCAAATCCCATACTGAGTACCCTGCCTGTCTTTTTATCAGGCTTGGTCGCAACCCTCACGCTCTTAACACTCGGGAACTCATGTACTGGGAAGATATCCTTGAGAGCTGATTCGGTGGTATCAAAGTTTAGATTTTTAATAAAGAGGGTTGTGGTTGGTCCTGTTTGGGTGGTGAGATCCATGTCGTCGGGTGTTGCGGTGAGTGTTATTGGTGCTGCTGGTATTGGTGTTGGTTCAGCGGGCGCTGGAGTAGGTGCTGGGGTGATTTGAGGTATTGTTGTTTCAGGAGGAGATGAGAATGTGCCTGTAGGTGCCCATTCAAGAAAGAGTGGGAGGTGTTTGAATTTCGTGTATGCGAGGCTCTTGAATGCTACTTTTGCTTCTGTCGGGTGCATGTATTCCACGAGGGCGATGGTGCGTGATGGTGGGAGTAGCACCTATGCGAAAAAAAATTCGATGCTGCACTCAACATATGAGTTTAACTAAACGTAAAACTTACTCGTCCCATAGTTCCAAACCTCCCAAACAAATCCCTCATCTCCTCATCCACAGTAGTAGCGGGTATATTCTTGACCAGTATAACCGTATCGCTTCGTGACTTTTTCGATTTGGCAAACCCGGTTTCGAATGCGTCTATCGAGACACCGTGTTGAGCAAAAAATTGCTTTGTTTCGGTTATTACGTGGGTTTCTGCTAGTGCGAGTCGGACTGCCATGTCTGAGGATGATGGATCGAGAATTGCGGATTTGGGGACGTTTAAGGAGCGGGCCATGGATTCTACTACGGCGTCACTCTAACACATGCAAAAAACAACCCAGTCAGAAAACAAGAAGGATAAATCACGTAAATCATTTAGACCAAAACTCACATTCATAAACAAGGTATTCCACGTAAACGAATGCCCAGACTCCTCCTTCCTCTTCTTTTCCCTTTTTTGCTTAAACGTCAACCCATCATCCCCATACCCTTCACCATTACCACCATTCCCATTCTCACCAAACCCACCACCACCAAGCACCATCTTCTCCCTCCCAGGCAGCACCTCTAGTATCCGTCCCTGGAAAATAAACCCATCCAACTCTAGATATGCCTTCAGCGCATGCTCTGGAATCATATACGTCACAAACGCATACCCCTTTGGCTGTAGATTTGTCTTGTTTATTGATAAGTGAATTTCAGAGACGGGACCAAAGGGGGAGAAGAGCGCTTCGAGGTCTGATTGCGTGCATGCAAAGGCGAGGTTTTTGATAAAGAGACGGCCCGTGTCGGATATTATGGATATTATGTCGGCGGGGAGTGGCGGTGGAGGGGATTCAGATGCTGGTGGTGTTATTGGGGTTGTTGATGGTGCGGTTGTTTTGGCATCATGTATTATATCCATTAGCTCGTCTTCGACGTCGTCTTCTGCTTCGTCGTTCATGGGTGCGTCTTGTGCTGCGGTATCATCTACTATATCTATCGATTGGGATATTTTCGATTTGAAGTAGTCCAAGTCGGATATAGCTGGATTGTTTGCTACAGATTCCACTACTATACTAGTTGCTGCAGCAGGAGCATCACTCCTCTCGCTACGATTCGTTTTCGACTTTTTCATCTTTTTCACAGGTGGCTCTACAGCAGCTTCGACTACAGGTAGATCCTGATACAACGTATCATCGTCTCCTGCCTTGACAGTTTGACCATCATTCTTGACTGCCTCAGCATCATCCAATGCCAAATCCGTCGCCTTCCTCTTCTTCTTCTTCTTTTGCATAGCAGCCGGCACAGTCGGCACAGCAGCAATCATGTCATCGTTAGCCCACGTCCGTCCCGTTGCAGCTCTGGGTTTCATAGCCTGCATATATTCTTGGAACTGTGGATCTGATTCAGCAGTAGCTAGTTTCTGCATGAGTTTGGTCTGGTGATCGAGCCGTGCGACTTTTGCAGCTGCGTTTCTGGCCTTGATTGAGTCCTTTTCTGATATGACTGGTGCTGATGTTAAAGGTGTAGCGTTTGAGCCTGTTGCGGTCTTTTCATGGGCTGACGAGCCTTCAGAGTATCGAGACCATGGTCTGGGAAGTGATGGATCTCCAATCTATTGTATTGGGAGTGGGTATGGTCAAACGATCATCTTTTTTTCAAAGCACACAAAATGTTGACGCTTACTCGTTTAGCGAATTCGACTTGGATCTTTGCCGTGTCGATAAAAGTATTGTCGAAATACTGTTGAGCAGATCTGGCTTCTTCCTCTGTCTTGTATCCAATATAACCAAACCGTCGAGATCGTCCATCTTCAGTCGTGACCAGTTTGACATCTGTGATGGTTCCTTTCTTGCTGAAATGCGCCTTGAACTTGTCCTGGCTCATATACGATGGCACGTTCTTGACTACCAGTCGAGATGACGCCATTTTGGGCTGCTTTTCTTAGAGCGACCGGTGCTTCTTGTCGTTTGTAGTTTTCTGAAGAAAAAAGGTGAGTAAAAAGGCTTTTTGGCAAAAGACACGTATGGAAGCTAGTTCAAATATTTAAGTTTCGCATTTTAATTTGCTCACAATATTCTTCTTCCCTGTTTCTTTCCTAGAATCTCATCTACGATGCCACCAAAACGATCAAGAAAGATATCAAAACCAGTCACTCCCCACGTGTCTGCCAACCAGAGCACGTACTTTCCATTAAATCTCATATCATGGCTGCACGAAACGGACGGATCGCATCTCGTTCTACCTTTGATTCTCGTCTTTACCATTCTCATCAAATGGAGTGTTGGACTCAATGCATACTCTGGCAAGCTTATAGAAAACAACGTTGAATCTTAACAGTAGCGATTTGAATTCTAATTTATTCTTCAAATATAGGAAAAGGACAAGAACCCATCCACGGTGACTTTGAAGCTCAACGACACTGGATTGAAATCACATACCACTTACCCATCAACATGTGGTATCGCTACGATTTGAAGTATTGGGGATTGGATTATCCTCCGCTGACTGCTTATCATAGTTTGATTATGGGTGAATTGTAAGTGTGCGTGTTGCATGCCAAAAAATGCTAGTGTATAACAAATCTTTGTACTAGTGCAAACGCCATACAACCGTCATGGATTGCACTAGATACATCTAGAGGCATTGAGTCAGAGTCCCTCACAGTGTTTATGAGAGCAACTGCTCTTATAACCGAGTATTTGATATATGTTCCTGCTCTGATTATGTTTGTAAGGAATTCATGGTACAGGACACGGCAATCTCAAGTAAGGTTCCTATTGATATAAGTATGCTTTACACTTCTGATGCTATTTTATACAAACAGGATCTTTGGATACTGCTAGTTCTGATGCAGCCGGCGCTGATGATTATAGACCATGGGCATTTTCAGTAAGGGAACAAAAAACGTCATTACGATTCATTGCTATTATCTAACCGCATTCATTTAGGTACAATTCCGCCATGCTTGGACTCTCACTACTAGCAATAGCATGTTTCGCAAGCAATCGATACCTTTATGGAGCAGCATCATTTGTCGCTGCCATCTTCTTTAAGCAGATGGCATTATACTATGCACTTCCGATATTCGCGTGGTTGTTGGGTCGGTGCGTTGGTGGTGGTAGTCAGAGGTCACCTAGTTTCTCTCACGGGTACAGGAAGTTGAGAGGTTCTTATTTTGCCCGCACGGTTCCGTTACTAACAAGAGGTTTTTGTAGATTTAAACTTTTTATAGAGCTCGGAATCAGCGTCCTCATAACAACCACCATCCTCCTATCCCCATTCCTCGTGGCATCATCACCACTCGACGAACTCGCCCAAATCCTGCACAGAGTCTTCCCTATAGAACGAGGCCTCTTTGAAGATAAAGTTGCTAGTTTCTGGTGTGCCCTAAACGTCATCATCAAACTCCGGACTCTCTTCTCAACACAGCTGTTACTTGGACTGAGTACTGGATGTACGCTCCTCGCACTAGCTATACCTTGTGTGAATGCATTCGTATATCCGTGGTCGCTGAAACGATTAGTGTATGGACTGACAGCGTCGTCGTTAACATTCTTCTTGTTTTCGTATCACGTGCATGAAAAGTCAATCTTGCTGGCTGTTATGCCTGTGACTCTGTTGGTTATGGAGGAGGGTGCTGTGGCTGTTTGGTTTAATAATGTTGCCATGTTTAGGTAATTGTTGATACTGCCTTCATTTGGTTTTTTTTGCTTACAAAGCTTCTCCACTTAGTATGTGGCATCTGATACAAAAGGATGGACTACAACTACCGTACTTTGGAATACTGACTCTCTTCAATTTCTTCACGTGGTCATACTTTGCAGAGGAATGGAATGGGATACGATGGAGGATTGTTGTGGTATGTATCGTGTGCAAAAAAATCACCAGTCTATCAACTTAATCCTTTTTCTTGTAGCTTTCGCATCTTCTCCTCGCATCGCTACACGCACTGGAATACATGCTACCACCACCAGAACGGTACCCACATATACACGTAGTTGGCAATGTGCTGGTCTCTGCTGCACATTTCTGTGGCTTCTTGGTTTACTTTACGTGGAGGATGGTTCATATGCCACCACATGATGAAATTGTGGATAGGAAAAAGGACGAATAGTGGGATCTAGTTAATAGAAGGCCCCGTTTTGTAAGTATCGTATATAAATACATTAACCTATTTTTGCACATAAAGCCAAGGTTTCACTTTGCGTGAGTTTCGTTATTTGCTTTATTTTGTTGAAGCAGATCAGGTATTAAAACGCAAAAGACTCAGCCGTTTTATCGTTGTTATGAGTAGGAGGGTTCTCTATATCATGAGACATCCAAACACTTACCACACTTTACCACCACCTTGCCGAGGTCGTCAGCCATGACATCTCTCTGCAAATGCACTACAGTACGAGAGTGATTCGAGAAGATGGATGATTCGTAGGCCAGAGCCCAACAGGAAACAGAATTGAAGTGCCGGTGGTAGTTCTACCGCGCCTCTGGTTTGAATGACCACTCCAGCAATTGGTTAAATGGAAAGGTCAGAACGGACTGTAGCGAGATTGGTCAGAGACGCTTTAATCTTCGCATGACCTCACGGCGTGAGGAAGCACTTTAACGGAGTTGCGTGGTAGTTTTCAAATACGAGACGGGCACCTTCAATTGCTACCACACTATCCTCACAACGAGCTTGGATCTCACAGCTGAGGGCTTTGGCAACGTTGATCGTCTTGTTTCCTAACGATCTGCATCCCCACCCCCTCAACTCGGCAGCGTTAAAGTCAACATGTCAAGTCAACATGTCCATTTTGAAAGTCACTTCTGGCTGTGATGCCATGAGACTGCTGTCTTGTCGTGTTGCGTCAGTTGAAGAAAAGCAATCGACTGAGGTAGTTGGCACCATCACGGTTTCTGCTCAATTTAAAAATTCTCTTCGGGCATCTGAGCAACAAACGCAAAAATTATAACATGACCGATGGGATCTCTGTAGTCCATGAGTAAAGTCAGTATCGTAGATTTATCTCCAAATGTTGATCTTGACGGTTTGTTCAATCCCAAGTTCTTGACAGAAAGCTACAACCATTGCAAGTTCTACTCAAAATGTATGTATTAATGTCAGTATTTGGTGTTGAGGTCCTTCTTGGACCTCGGAATACATTTTTGATACTCGCAGGCCTTCATATTTTGAAAGCTCCCATCAACCCCTTTAAATAACTCAAAAAGTAAAAAAACGTAAAAGGACCATCAATTGCTGAACCGTCCTCTACTTTTCATGAAAGATGGTTTACGTCCTATAGCACTTTGCCATTAATCTCTAATTGCATACAGTCTCTAATTTCGTATAGTACTCATAAATCAATCTTTGTTTGCCAATATTCTTCATTTTATACAAGCATATCATGTAACGAACGTCAAAATATTTACTCCCAGTGCCCTGACAATGGATTGGGAGGGTGTTTCTTCATATCAAGATGTAGCCTGGGGGAAAGTATGGGTTATTATACCATCATTTTTGGATTGCACGTTTGGAATCACTTACTCTTTGAAGATATCTTCAGCGGTCGGTTGATGCATTGTGACTTCTTCATGTTCTCGTTCAAGTAACTCTGTCGAACAGATGTGATATTCAGCATCTGCCAACAACAAGTCCATTCTCTTCAAGCACAAACTTACCTTCACCCAACAGTCCAAGATCCTCGACAACATCACTACTAGTTCCAATCAACAAAATTTCAGTGTGGTAGTGATCCAAGAATGATGTGGGGTTGACCGGGAGGAACTTTCGATCACGGAACATGGATTGTAGCGCTGGTGGTAGGTCAGCTGCGTCTTTGGAAGAGAGGCCAACCCCTGCAACTGGAATGGATGGATTCTTGACAGAAATGATGAAGGATCCTTGGCGTGAGATGTCGAATTCCTTTTGGACTTCTCCTAAAGAGAGGACGGGCAGTAGTGAGGAACAGGAGATAAAACAAGAAACAGTATGGAGCAAAGGATGATTTACCAATCTCCTCCGGCAACTCCAATACGTAGGCCAAGTGAGTATGAGTCTTGTGCGTGCATAGCATGTACATGCCGGCACCACAACATCGAGCACCGGTCCAAGTCCTCCCTGTTAGAAAGGATTAAGAATAGTGAATTGCACACGTCTTGCACCCAATGAATCAATGTTTACGCTATCAAACCACCAAACCTGTTGAAGTATGTTCCTCCTTGAATCGAAACTCCAACTCCTTGCCGAGATTTTCAAGTCCAATACGCTCGTCAAAGACATGCGTGACGAATCCCCACTGTAAAGCAGCAGTGTGGTTAGACCAGTATCGAGTGCGCCAATAATGGCCTGTGAGGACTTACGTTTCGCTCATGGTTGTGAATAGTGGGAAGCCTCTTTTTGCCAATGATGATGACTCGAGTTTTTGATACTGGCTCCTCATGCTCGTGACTTCCTTGGTGGAATGGACGCAAGACCTAATGATTATGGAAGTGGTACTTCAGATGCAACCAAGTTTGGTGAAGATGTATTCAGTCCTTACAATGTAGAATCTCAAAACATCTCGGAGATGATGCGCCTCTTCCAAATCGGCACGCTAAACAATATGAGGGTATGTATTAGCAATCTCTTCAACAAACAATCCAGTCTGAACAACTAGAGACGTACTGGTCGGTAGAAGAAATAGATATGACCCGTTTCGAGCACGTCCTAGTCAACACGGTCAATCAATACATCCCAGGTATGATTTCCAAGCAGCTCCCCACACCTTTCCAGGCTTGTATTGAAAGTGGTCGCTCGAAAAGCCTAACATCCAGAGGACGTTAAGCCAACACACACACACACCGATGCATAACTCAATTCTCTCACTTTCAGGCTTTACATTGCCATGTTCATCATGCGAGCCACTAACACCAAGGTCAGTCTCAGATTTGAATTGCTTTGACGCTTCATGTTTTCCCTCCGCGTTGGCTCCAGATTCAGCATGACCAGAGCTCATAGCTGCAGGATGATCCACTTGTGACGGATCAACTGCAAGATGTTCTTCTGTCTTTGCAGTAACTTCTGCCTCCTTTTTGATGTCAAGCTCTCTGGCCGAGTTTGATGACTCTTAATTCAACATGATGAAAGTGAGCGTTCACTCTAATAAACATGTTGCCAAATGAACGGACATTCACGTAGTAAAGCTTACCAGACGAATGCGATTGTTTTTGTTTTGATGGAGAAGGGTCATGTACATCATCATGATCCTTTGAGACTTTCTGCACTTTGGTTGGTAATCCGGCTGGATGCTTCTTAGTTCCAGAAGACGTATTGTATGCCTTTATGTCCTTCGTCATCGTGCCAATGTCTTATATGCTTTTGTCTTCTGGGTATGTGTTGATGCGTCGAATGCGATCGTTGTTTTGAATTGTGCAAGTCAACACAAGAGCAGCAAGAGATATAGGACATTTTCATTTTCCTTAACTCAGTGAAATAATATTTTCGGATATCGTAAAGCAGTGTGCGCAAGACACGGAGCTAGAAATGGCGGTGGATGCGCAAGGTGCTGAACTCGAAAAATATCAGAAAACGTGGAAAATGAGTTCATATAGCTAAGTGCATCCGCTCACATTAAATTCATACCACTTATAATTCAGATACGACCTAAAGACACCTTCTTTCAGCAAGCCCATCTGTGGAAACTTCGTCGTTTACAGGAATCAAAAGCTAGTAGCAGCTCAAGCTCATATTAAAAGAAGTTCGCCAGATTAGAAATTTACTGCCTTGCTTCTCTGGACCCCAGTTCCATTCACTACTTTTTGCAGATTATGTTTGCACTCCAGCTTCCAGACAGAGCAACCTCTCTTCACATCTCGAACGGCTTCCAGAATGGGAGACAAGCTAACACTCAAGTATTATGCCAATGAACTAACGATAGCTCGATACGCTCCAACTGTAACTGTGTCTCCAGAACTTGTTGCAGCACTGTCACAACAATCACCCATCGGCACTATCGCATACACACCCGATGAACTCTCAATTGTCGTCCCAACTAGCATAGCTAACTTATTGCCTCCAAATCCTGGTCAGTCACGTTGCTGGTTTGAGCAATTCATCGTAGCATCAACTTGGAGTTTTTGCTAAAATGAATCAGCCAAATCAAACACAACAGATGCACGTGTAGACGAGTACGTGACGTTTAAAGTACAAGGACCACTGGACTTGGCTATGCTCGGAGTTATGGCCAAGTTATCGACAGCATTGGCTGAAGCACAAGTGTCGTTGTTTGCTATATCAACTTATGATACCGATTATATACTAGTCAACAGGTCAAGGTCGGCATTCGCTAGAGATGCATTCATGAAATCTGGATGTGTTGTGCAGGATGTGCTTTGAGTATGTGCCAGATGGTAGGGTGGTCTTGTTTTATTGAATGGTGCGAGGGATGGCAGAAACCATGTAAATTAGTAATTGTAAGTAATAATCACAGTATTGAGTACTATATACACGCAGTAGTAGCCTCGTCCACGGCAGAACTGTGTTCATCAGTCGCAGTCACGTCCTCGACACCTACAATTATCCGCAAATACTTCAGGAGCCACTTCTTGAGCTAACCGCAAGCTGATCAAGCTTAAACGAACTGTATTTCGAAAAAGATGTCTTACAAGACGAACGATGCGACCGTTAATGAGATTCTGGCACTCACGACCAGGCAAGTTGACTCATTTTCTTCTTTTCGTTCGACACCTTATTGACAAGGAACTAAATCAATGTTTGCTTCCTGTTAGACTATTGGATGCAGTAGCTTTTGGTGATTTTGAGCTCTTTTGAACCTGCAGAAGACAAGTCAGAGCTAACATTTGACATTTTGAACACAGGGGATTGGGAGAGCTATTCAATGGTAGTCTTCCACGTTCAACAGTTGATTATGAATCGTAGCAGTTCTAATTCATCTTTTCTATATCTAGTTATGTGATCCAATGATGACCAGTGTAGGCAACAACGCTAGTTTGCAAATGTCGGTTGGGTGACTCATTTCTCCCTCCAACACAGTTTGAACCCGAAGCAGGAGAACACCAAGTTGAAGGACTACTCTTTCATAAATTCTATTTTGATCAACGTGCAGTATGCCATCCTTCTGTCTTTCATAACTTTAGAACCAGCAAACAATAACACTCTTTTTACACCCCAGGCAGCAGTCACGAATCCCCCTATACACACCACCTTAATAGACCCACGAGTCCGTATCCTAGCACCCGGAGCTGCATGCATCAGTTATGTTAGACTGACACAATCTGTAACTCGAGACGGTCAAGCCTTTACAAAAAGCTCTCAAGAAACCAGAGTGTGGTCTAGAGACAGTATTGATGGAACGTGGAGGAATGTTCACTTTCATCGCAGTGGTTTTCCATCTGCGCCAAGAACCTAATTTGTTAGAGGAATGCCATACACTCAAATAGAGTCATTTTTTTGGCTGGACAACAAATCCCAAGTCTACGTCTCTCGAATTGCTTCAGGAGAAAGGTTAGAAGACAGTTGCCATATCCGATGTTTGATTTCAACTACAGGAGAATAGTTATGAAGGTCTGAATCTTGAATCTTCAAAGGAGATGAGTATGCCAAAAAAAGCCGGCACAACACAAGTACATTGGTCACGATCAGCCAAAATTGTCCCACTAAACGGCCACTACAACTCCATAATCCCAGAATCTTCTCTATGGAGATCATTCAATTCATACAGGTTGGAATTAGTATACACATCGTGTTCCTATTTAACTTCGAATGATGCGATTAACCAGCATATGCCTGCGTTGAAACAAGAGACCAACCTTTAAAAGCTCAACACTGTCACACCGGTAATCACTGTGACGAAACATTCGGTTCAGCTCGATCCAAGCGCGAGGCAAAAACCAGCCAATCGAAATGATCGCGTTCGGTTGCTTTTCTTTCCAGTACCGTTTCAGCCTATGGAATGAAATGAAGCTTTGGAGGTCAGACTTTCAAAATTGCGCAAGACTTTGTAACGCAAACCTCGACGTCTGGCATCGAAAGCCTGTCATGGCAGCACTATGTAAGATGGTGATGCCGTCACCCTACTCAGACTTTCATCCACAAAGGAAATTTGGGAAATAGCATTTTCATATCTCAGAGAACTCAAATTGAATTGTCGGAGCAGATTTCTGAGAGATAGTTCAAAACTTGGAAAGAAAACAACCATAAACACCCCCAACAACTCCGTCACACACGTTTGATTCCAGTTCCTTCTCAAGACATCTCAACACGTAAACAACCCAGCCGACACAGACACGCTTTTCATAACTGCTGAAACGCCTTCTATTGACTAGACAGCAAATCCAAAGTCCACATCTCTCCCATCGCCTCACGAGAAAGATTAGACGACAGCTGCCATACATGCACATGTCCTGACGCATCACCGGATGCGAACATATCTGATGGTTTGTTTGAAAATGCAAGAAATGTAATCCTTGTTTTGGGTTTCTTGTCCAGTTGTGTGAGTTGGAGGGTTGATGTTGGTGTGGTGGTTGATTTCTAGAGAAAGGGCTCAGAAGATTAAAGAGAAAACAAGACAAACGAAAAGACGTCGTATATCGACAAGACGTACCGACAAATCATAAAAGTACGTATGACCATCAGCAGATCCAACAGCATATACAGCAGGCCGTGTGTTCGACCATGCAGCGCAAGACAAGTCCATGGATGAAGGCTCGAATGTTAAAATAGGATTTGGCTATGGAAAATGAGAAGCATTCAGCTGGTGCCAAGGCCGCGCTTTTATTGTCTTCCATTTTTGTCAGACCTGTAGAGCAGTATACAGTCTCACTTCACGATCATTCCCACACGTCAAGAACAAATTCCGATGGAACGGCGAGCACGATATCGAATTCACTGGTCCCAAATGTGAATTGAATCCAAATATTATGGGATTTGAGAGCGGTGCATCTAACCAAGCGACATTAGAGTTGCTGTTTTACCAGTGATATTTTTTCGTTAACACCAACCTTCATTCTTATCAGATATTCTCGTCCCAGCAGCACCACACTTCAGCACAAACCCAGTCTCAGTCCCAACAATAACCGTATCAACAGCATTCCCAACCGTCTGCTGAAGCGCCAGCGCCGTGATTCCAACAGGGAGGTTCGCTTTTACTTTACTCAGTGATTTTTCCACTCGAGCGACATTAGCCAACATGATTCGTGATCCGGCGACTGGGAATGCCAAGTCGTTTGAGAAGGAGTATATGAGGATTTTTCCTTCTGTCGATGCCGTTAATAACTATAGCAACAAACAGGTGATTCAATGGTTTGATATTGGATTCCAGCCATCGTTCTTCTGACACTCACATCATACGTATTCGATCTGGCAGACGGTATCCACGCAACATACGATACTGACTCATGGTGCGCCAATTCACCGTCACCAGAAGTCCCAATAACTGGATTCTCAGTCTTGTTTGTGTCCCATATTATGACTTGGCCGTGGAATGTACCACCTGCTATTATCGTGGGTTGTTCAGGATGGTAGGCGATGCACATCACACAGGTCTAAGTAAAACCACATAGTGAGAATCAACAAGTCTTGGCAATGAATCTTTTTTTGCGTTTTAGGGCTACACATACCGAAACTTGAGCAGAGAAAGTGGGCTTGTCAGTAACGACCCGCCGACTCGATAGAGTCCAAGTTGAGATCCGGCCTTGATGGGTGCACCAGGCAGCGTGATCTCGTCGTCCATATCTGAGAGATTCATTTGAAGAGTGTCAAAGAAAAAAACAAGACTATTACGTGCAGAATCCTCACGATGCAGCTAAAGTAGTCCCACTATGCGACCACGACAGCCCCGTAACCTCTGAATCTTCATCCATGTGTGGATCACACAATTCATACAGTTTCGAATTGGTGTCCACATCGTCTTCCCATTTGACTTCGAATCCTATAATATCACAAATCTTGATGTTTGGATCTAACCAAGTAGCATGCCGAGAAGCCAAGAGACAAACCATCAAAAGCCCTAGACTGTAAATTCCGTAATAATTGAGACGAAACATCCCGTTCGGCTTTATCCAAAAACGCCACCAGTTTCTGCTGCTGATGCACATCCAAACGAATGTTTTGTGGTTGATTTGGTTGGAGATCCGTTTGAGTCTGTGTATAAAAAGAGAAACTGTTAGCATATTGCTCGATTGAAATTAGATTTGAATGGTGAAAATAGTTACAGATGAATGTAAATTCGAATTTGTTTGAGTCTCATCGTGTGTGAAACTTCTTGGAGTTGTTTGAGTGGATAGATCCAGCACAGTTTTGGGCCTTTGCCATATAGATCCAATGTCTACTGATCGTGGTTGACTGGAAGTGAAAGCTAGCATCATTGTATGCCCTGTATTGCTATCGCAATATCTTAGGAAATGTAAAATGACTCTACTACGTACCAGGACGTGACAGTGACATATAAAACAGCCTCGAGACACATCAAATCCGCTTCCTATGAACTGTCTGCGCTTGATAAAGACGTTTTAACGCGTTATATTAGGTGGAAGCTGTACACGCACTACCGCTGCTCGTCCTCTGCGTCTACCAACATCCAGCACAAGAACAAAAACGATCGCTCATACACAATCAGAATGAAACTGGACAAAAACACTATAATCGTCGTCGTATGGAGCATATTTGCTATTGGTGCAGCTACAGACCTGGAATTTGGAAGCATAATCCCAAATCAATTTATCGTTGTTTTCAACACAGACATTCAAGATGCAGATGGTAATGTGATGTTGTGGTGAACTGCTTTTCAATGCGTCATGATGATGATTATGAAATTGGAACATTCCTTTGTCCGTTTAAAGGAAACAGACAACCTGCCTGCTAACGCACATCAACGTTATAGTCACCACGCACTTTACCGAACTCAACCATACAATCACATCCATAACTCGCACTTCAGATACACATCCACTCTCGGACCCAGCCGTAAACATTGAAATTAACCACCTAGATTTCGACGGCAAACTCAAAGGCTACACTGCATTCATCACATCAGATGTCTTCATATCTGACGAACAGCTCGTATCGATAAAGCAAGCTATCTGTGACTCTCCTCAAGTATCGTTTGTCGAGCACGATCGTGTATGTGTTGTGAGTGATCGTACTGTTGGTGGAAGAGGTGGTGGTATCAGTGCTGCGTTGTTGCACTGGTATGGTCCTTTTCATCGATTGAGTCTTGGGGGGAAGGAGGCGGAGGATTTTGTAGTTCAGGAGGGTGCTGCTTGGAATCTTGTGGTATGGGACAGTGGTGATGTTGCTCTTTTTGGCAGCCCACCTGAATTTTCCTTTTTCCCATTTCACATAGCGTCTATCTCATCGAACACTCAAGGCATCGTCGGCTAGCACTTCATATATATTTCCTGATAGTGCTGGCCTCGGAACGACAGTGTTTGTCGTCGATACCGGCATCGACGTCACCCACCCACAAATTGCTGGTCGAGCTACCTGGGGTACTAGTCTTGTCCGTGCACCCAATACGACTGAATGTGAGTGACCATTCAACGAAAAAAAGATCAAGATCAGTCTCGCCTGCTAAAGGAGCATATCCTCTAACAATCTACTTGTCACATAGTTGTAAACTTTGACGACAACTCACATGGCACTCACGTTGCTGGCACCATCGCATCAACTACATACGGAGTAGCAAAAGAAGCTTCCCTCGTAGCCGTCAAAGTAATGGATGCTCGAGGTTCAGGTAACACTTCTACGATTTTGGCAGGCTTGCAATGGGTTCTTAACAATGCCAAGGAGCCAAGCAAGTCTATTATCAATACGTCTCTGCGGATGTCCTCTTCACGAGGTAATGTGCTTTGAGCCAACTTTTCTCATTTGCAAAAAGAAAACCGTCGTCTCTGGCATGACATTCACGTAATGAACCCTCTCCTCTCCAGCCATCGACATTACAGCAGGCATCATGCTCAACAAGGGCATCGCATGGGCAGCTGCAGCTGGTAACCAAGGAGCCGACGCATGCTCCAATTCTCCTAATCGGGTAGATGGAGTCATGACTGTCGGTGCAATCACATGGCAGGATATGGTGCCTCGATACTCCAACCAAGGTCCATGTGTCAATATATTTGCACCAGGAAGCAACATCACTTCCATTCTTCCACGTAATGGATTTGGAGTAAAGGTAGGTTGGAAGGGATGCAAAAAAACTGACAAGAATACGATGCGGACCCATTCCACTCACACTCGAGTGAACTTTCAAACGACTAGTCCCTCTAGATATTAACCATAACTTTTGTCGTATTAGAGCGGCACATCGATGGCCGCACCAATGGTATCAGGCGTAAGCATCTATTCATGTCTTCAGTTCCAGTTCCTCTTTCTCTCTTTCTCGGCTTCTCACAACCATCCACAATAGCTCTTTGCACTTGCTCGATCAGTACATCCTGAACTGTCATCGGTAAAGGAACTCAACGAGTATGTACTCAAGTATGCCACATATGGAGTCTTGGATGGTTTGAATACCTCTACACCTAATCGTCTTGGCTACTCTCGATTCCATTAGGTCTTGAGACATGCCTTACCTATATACCAACCCAATCAAGTATACAAACCAACATCAATAGCACACAATGTATAGATAGCACACATAGTGTCTTTAGCAAACGGGCAAATATATTTTTGTTGATACACTAGAAAGTAGTGTGTTTATGTTTCGTGTTCATATCGGTGAGCGCTAGAAGAGTAAACACAACACGAGTCAGTCAAATGAACTCAGCATATTATACATTCCGGTCTGTACATACCCGGGGATATCGTAACCAACAACATGTTGACGTCCAATCATTTCACCAACAACAAAGAAGCCCACGACTTCAACACCCTTTGCGGCGACACCAGCAGCCTGTTTGATGGTGACGTTCCTCCAAGATCCGTTTTGGAATGCCGAGATGAAGCTGGCGTAGCCTTGTTGGGCTTCAGCCAGGTTGAAGTTTGTCAATTTCTGGTGAGTGGCTACTTGACGGACTACTTCGAGCCCTACACGGCCATAGTAGATGATTGGTTCCACCATACCTAATGTAATATAAGTAGAGGAAGTTGGTTTAGTATTTATGGTGCAGTGATGGTGGTATTTCGTGGTCGATATGCAATTTTCACGGATGGAAAAAATGTCGGAAGTGCAGGTTATTAGGAGATGCATCCATGAAGGGGGTGGATTGTAGTGCATCATTTTGTATATAAACTATTACATATACTGTAAACTTGCCAGTGAGTCTTCCAACGACAGCGGTTGCTTGTTGAGCAGCAGCCTGAGCAGTTGCAGCAGCAGGTTTGGCAGCTTCAGTGCTGGCGAATCGGCTACGGAGAGCATTAGACACGGTGTGTCGCAATGGACTCGACAGAGTGCGGCCCCACAAGCTGTTCATCCTTGCTATATTATAGTATATGTTGGAATCGGGTGAAAGAGTGTGGTGACTATCATACATACAAGGAAGAGGGAAGATTATTAATTGTTTACGTGTTTTGTATGTATTTTCCACCAGTAGACACGGCTTTACATTATTGACATTACTCTCCTTGTACGTGTTTTCATCGTCAACACTTGCAAATTGCATCAAACCATTGTTGAATCCAGGAAGATGCTGCGAGCAACGACCGAGGCAAGTCCGCCATCACTTTATATTGCCATCAGAACTAAGATACTTACTATTCATCCATAGCATTCGGAAGACTCGGCCTACTTGGAACAAGAGCTCAAAACCCTCTTGCATGTATTCGAGAGAAAGGAGGGCGAGGACACTTGGCATCTACTCGACGAGGCACTCATCAAATTCAGTGCGGCTCTACAGAATGCTACAAACCATGCTGCAATCACTACTACAGTCAAAAAGGCTAAAAACCCAATCATCAATTCGGTATAGTTTGTCGTGACAGTGATTCAACACAGACACGGGATCGTTTCATAAATTAAATATCCTATTATCTCCTACTTAGATCATGTCGGATCGAACACGACTGTGTCGTACCGCCGTAGCACTGGTAGACGCCCTCTCTGCGCACATGGGTGAAGCATTTGAACCTCTCGTAGATCTAGTCGCCCTCCCATTAATCAAATTGACCACACGCGCAAACAAGGTGTCTGTACAGCTAGGATCATCGGCATTAGCACATATCGTAGAAAACGCTCATGTACCTGGTCTACTACCCAAACTACAAGACTCGGTAAAGGACAAGTCGTCATCTTGTCGGCTGGCAATCCACGATACGACATTGAAAATACTGTCGATTGTTCCTGCTGGTGCTTTGGAACGGTGGCTGGATGCTATAGAATTTATTATTCGAGAGGGCATGTCGGATTCGATAGCGGAGGGGAGAGCTGCTGCTCGTAAATCTTTTGAGAGATATACGGAACTGTTTTCTCATCGCGCTGATAGGTATGTATCAATGACGGAGATCATGCGCATCAAACAAGTGATCTTTTGAGACTGATCATATCTTCTTTTTTCGCCACCAATAGTTTTGGGGCGAGTCTGCCAGAATCTGCCAAACGAATGCTCCATTTAGCTTCAAAACCTGTCACAGTCACTGCACCAACCAGAAAGCACCGCCAATCAATGGCCCCAATGTCTCGACCATCATCTTCTGGTTCGACACATTCAACAGTTTCAAGTGTCGGTAGCATCTCCAGTATACATAGTGCAGCTAGCTACGAGCCGCCAGCACCACCACAGGTGATACGTAGACCAATAGGGCAATTTGGTGTTGCCAGTAGGATACATCATGAAACTAGTAATGGTATCTTACCAGGATCACGTACCATGCCATCAGGTGCAGGTGCACAACGAGTACCAATAGCACCAGCTGCTGAAAAGGACAAGGCTGGCAGAGCTCTAAACTCTCGGCCAATACGAACTCCTGCTCCAGCCGAAATAGTGAAAAAGAGCAGCACAGCATCATCACGGCCTATAGCTAAAGGTCCTGTTGCTAGTACGACTGGTATGGTTAATATAGAGCCAGCTACATCTCAACAGAGTGTTTTGCCATCGCCCGTAATATCAAGGCTACATACAAACACTCCATTGTCAGCAGTTAAATTACCAACAACTACTCCGTCTTCTGATATTATAAATGCAATGACCACGCCATCGACAGGGTCTGTATCTGTGCCTCAATCCGTAGCACCAGCATCACAGAGATCAACACCTGGTAGTATGATCAGACCACCTTCACCTGTAATTGCAAAGACACCTATATCAGTCAGATCATCACCTTTAGTGAGAAAGTCGCTATCGCCAATACCACCATTACTTAAATCGTCGCCTTCTCCAGTTAGAACAATATCTCCCAAACAATCACCATCATCGCAAACGACGTCGAAGAATCCGTCAGTAGCTTATAATATCACGCCTCCGCTTAATACTACGATACCTACTCCAGCTAAACGAGTATCTGGTGGTGGATCTATAGGTGTCTGGGCATCAAGTACACCCTCAGCTCAAAACAGAAGATCTCTGCCTGACGCAGCAGCTCTAAATGATGTACTGCTAGCAGTCAATGAAACTCACACACCACCAGTGGATAATAGTAATCCGTTGATGAGTGTCAAGAAGGCAATAAACGGCTCACCTCTGCTTCCCGGTGGTATGACACCACTAAAAGCATTGGCAGCTGCTTCTAAACCGATAACGCCCTTCCGAAATTCACGTATTCCTAACGGACTGCAAAGACCAATATCGGCATCGACGTCTCAGCTAAAGAGTCTAAGCAACGCCGATTGGAATGGCTTGTCAATCAATTCCAAGTCTCCAGACCTGAACGTTCGAGTAGACGCTTATGAAAATCTCGTACGAGTAATTGTGAATACCCTTCCAGCACAATTCAGAAGTAAATCATCTCGGGCTACAGAACTGGTGCAACTAGGACTACATGCAACTAGTAATCGGATTGTGATTGTTGCCTTACTCGCAGGTCTCGAACTGCTCAAACGACATGGTAATACGGATATGTTGAACACCATCTTTCCTAGTGTCTTGGCTTTAGGTGGTGCATCATCACAAAAGCGAAAGATACTAGAAGCATGCGCAGATGTCGTTGCAGCTACAAGAGATAGGTTTGGTGTGGAGGGTGTATTAGTAGCATGTGACTATGCTCTCAGTCTGGAAGGGGCTACCAAGTCACATATTGGAGCAGTTACTCTGCTAGCACAGATTGATGATTATGCATGGGCTGCTTATGCTAGTAGTGAAGCAAGTAAGTTTGGCGAACACTGGTGCACAGATTCTGAGGTACTGAGCAACTTTTTTCGCCTTGGTTTTCCCACAGATGTCACATCGATACTGGCAAGACTCGGCTCGGTCGCTGCCACGGTCGGAAATGCCATGTCGGATGTCGCCATAGCAGTCCGTAAAGTACACATAGCCAACCCAGAAGCATTTATGGCTTGTTGGCCAACTCTGGATGATAGTCATCGTCTAAGTTTGACTGCAGTATTGGGCGATGATCCCATCCGAGATGCATCGATATTAAGCCCTGAAGCAGGAATTGCTGCCAACAATGCTGCTGCTATTGCCGTCACTCCTACACCAGTACCACGGTTGAAGCTATCTCTCTCGCCTTCCACAATCAAACCACTTGTCAGTCCATCTAAATTCAATTTGAAATGGGATAATGAAGACGGTGATATAGAAGGAGTTCCTGGGTTGGCTCCAGCATATGAAGAGATTGTTATGGTTGCGGCAAGGAAGGCCATTTACTTAGTACCTCATGATATCCTTGAGCTGTCGGATGTTGGAGTCGAGGACGCAGATGTCGAGGAAGCAGGTGTTGAGGAAACCAACGAGTCTCTAGATACCGAGCAACCACCGTCGTCTATAATCAAGATTCAAACATTATCGCCGTTTGAACTGTCTACACCACAATTAGACGAAACTGAATATAGTGATACTAGTACGCCACGGGCCAGTCGACTGAACGATCTATTAGATGAAGACGAAATAGAAGGAGGAGGTATTGATAGCAATAGTGACGAACCACTCGTCGAGCTCAAGGTGCCTGATAGTCCAGCAGAGTCAGTGCATACACACATTGATTCCGACGATAATGATGGCTCTGAATCAATGGATCATAAACCGCTCAACGTGGTGAATATCATGACGACTTCAGCAATAAATTCGCCCATGTCTCCTACTGAGACTTTACATCCGTCAAGTGAGCCACATACACCAGCTCTCAAGATGTCGGGTTATATTAGTAATAATAGTACGAGTAAATCAGTCGAGTATGCCATGTCTCCAATTATCTCTATGGAGACACCGTGGAGGAATCCTAGGCGGCTGGATTTCTCGAGTAATAATAGTAGCACCGACGATTTAGTGGCCAAGTTTCGTGGTGATGCTGATGTAGTAGCCATGACAGCAGCCGCAGCAGGTCAAGCAGTAGCCATGATGACGAGTGATTTGGAAGCTAGCATTGCAGCACATACCTTTATAAATCGGTTGACTGACGAATACATTCTTCAGAACGCAGTAGATGACTTTGTAACAAAGTTGACGAATGATGTTATTGCAGCTTGTGTCTTGGAACAAGCCGGAGAGTCAGCTACAACATCAGAAGGAACCGAAACTCGTAAACCAACCAAAGAAAGCACTCTGACGAACGTAAAGCAAGTCATAGAATTGATGCACTCGGATTTGAGTATTTTGGCTACACGAGCAGCAGAACTGTTGCAACTAGTATTGACATTCACGTCTCCGATATACGAAAAAACATCCGCACTAGATAGTATTGAATCCAATACTTCAGCTCATGATTTGAAACAGTCTGTTTTGACTTGTCTGGCAAACAATCATAATATTATACCAGGTGACAATGCTACAATGCCAGAGTATAGTAAAATGGACAATGAAGCCATTGAATGGTGCTTTGAGTGTCTTACTCGGCTCACTAAACGCCAAGATGAATGTAGCAAGGACAATGAATGGAGACAAGTCATTCCGTACCTTGTGGATGGTATGGAAGCACCATCGTCGCTAATACGTAAAGCTGCTTTTGATTTGGCTGTGGCGCTTGTGTCGCGGTTTGGTGGGCCGGAAGAAGGAGGTGATTTGGAGAAGGATTTGTATGGACGGATACGAGAAGTGGGTGGTGAGAATCGAGAGGTGCTTGTTAGGAGTATGATTGCAAAGCGATTGGTGTGAGGGATTGTATAACTGTATAGACTATAAAATGGGATGAAGTTTTGTTGTTATTTGTGTGTGTGGATGCGAAAAAAGGGGACTATTTGGTAGATGGATTGGTGCTTCCAAAAGTTCAGTTGGTTACGGGATGTATGCAACAGGCGACGGACCCAAGTATTCCAGCGCCTGACTTCGCAATCTGTCAACACAGCAGCTTGATTCCAACAGCACCAAACGACGCCAGCATCTCCAAGAAGAAGAGGAAGAGATCCCACAAAAGATCAGATCAACCAAATATTGATCCGAACCTATTAAATTCCACTTCTTTTGCATTTGTTACACATTCGGATGACATTGACACCTTGTTTGACGACGCTGAAATTCCCCCTAGCTATCGCGACAATCCAGTCATCATTGAAATGGCAGGCTCGGGTGTATGGTGTGCTGAAAGGATTGAATGATTGAATATTTATTGGTGCAGAGGTTGCAACGACAGGAATCTGAATAAGTTATTGAGAAAAAGCACGCATGACCCCCAATACACCATGCAATCTTGTAGCTTCCTCCTAATACTACATGCTATATAAATATCCAAAGAATCTACAGACCCTCTATTGCTTGTCGCGTAATGTCACGGAAGCTTCCAACACCCACACAAGCCGAGCTCCCAGACAATATGCAAGTGGTGGGCATCGAACTATCGGAAGGAGCTTAGCAAGCCATACATCCAACTGGGTGCCCGTGCACAATTCGACTCTTCTTATAGATAATATGACGACATGCAGCTTGATTCCCACTGCTGGACCAAACCACGCCAGCATCTCCAAGAAAAAGAGGAAGAGATCACGAAGGAGATCAAATCAACCAAACACTGATCCAACCCCATTAAATCCCACTCCTTGTGCTTTGGGACTCACGGATGACATTGACATCTTGTTTGACGACAGTGAAATCCCACACCCAAACTCAGTAACGACTGCCAACACATGGACGCGTGAAAACATACCAAAGAAGCTCGTAAAGTATTTCAATCAGCGGTATAGCCTCTTTTCGAGGTTTGATGAGGGGGTGCAGCTTGATGAAGGTAGATGATGGTTTGAATAGTATAAAGGGCTAGATGGATATAACAAGTTATCACTGCTTTGTATAGAGTCATGGTACTCTGTAACGCCGGAATGCATCGCGCGACATATCGCTGGTAGAGCTCAGTGTGGGGTTATTGTGGATGCTATGTGTGGTGTATGTTTGGCTTTACCTAATCGAGTTTTCACAACTTCTGTTGCTGATTAGGCTTGTTGATGTGTTTAGGTTGGTGGGAACTCGATTCAGTTTGCCATGTGCTGTGAAAAGGGTATGCAAAAAAAATTGTCGCCATCTGTGGACGAACGTACTTTTAACACAATTTCTCAATACACCAACATAGTCATCGCCATCGACCACGATCCACTCAAGATTGAAATGGCGCGAGCTAATGCTCGTGTGTATGGTGTGGCTGATAAGATTGAGTTTGTTGTGGGGGATGTGTTTGAAGTGTTGCCGACTCTTACGGTAATGAGCAAATAACGCATTGTTTGGTAACTCAGATACCGACTTTGGAATTACGCATAGGCCGACGTTGTGTATACATCACCGCCATGGGGAGGCCCTGCGTATCTGAATGCAGAGACGTTGGATGTTGGTGATTTGCCTGTGGATATGTATGCATCAATCCTCTATTGTTCATATTTTTTTTTGCTTACGCTTCAATTGCTTTAAGGGCGAAATTCTACGCCATTGCCAAACAAATCACGCCAAACATAACCATGTATTTACCTCGGAACGTCAATCCAGAGTCGATAGCGGCGCTAACGGGAGATGATGAAGGGTCGGTGGAGGTTGAATTGGTTTCTCTGAATGGACGGGCAAAGGCTGTGATGGTGTACGTGGGTGGGCTGGTTGGGTCCCGATGAAGGGTGGCGGTTGTGTCGATGTTGCTTTGGCTTTTGTAATGGTTGCCTTGGCTTGGGGCTCTCTTGGAGATCTGATACGGATGAATGTTTGAGTGGACTGCTTATCCTCCCACTATAAATCAGGGTTGATTTTTGAATGAGGATACGTTTGTACGTAATTTTTAAACCCTGTATATATGTGAATGTCTCATATTGAATGGAATTATTATCTTGATATATTTGAAATGGGTCGTGTTGTGATGCACTGTACTGGAACTGATGAAAATTATTCAGTGCAAGTTGCGATTTGCCTACGTTGACCACGGTCTCTATTAGCAAGGTTGCAAGATGACTATTAGCTTTTTTGTACATATTCAGGGAAATTTCCCTCCTTGCCTGTGCAATTCCTCGCCTCGCCTCCGTCCTTCACCACTTCTATTTTTCAAGTTTCCAAACATACAACACGAAACATTAGATTTAGACCTGAATAGAAGGCGAGACCAAGTCTGAACGATGCTATGCCATGCATGACACTCTGGTATGCATACTGTGTGGGCTTCACCCTCCACCTTGGGGCTAACATGTGCCTTGACTCGCGAAATTGCCGCACATATTGATTGGTGACGTAACTTGCAATGTGTAGATTCGAGACAAGGAGTAAGTGGATTGCCAGTGGATGGCGGCGTATGGATATGCTTTTTGGTATGTAGTAGACTCCTTCTGTTGTGGTTTTCCATTTTACATTTGCATTCATTTTGCAAGTCAGCTTTAAGCACAACTTACTCAACCCTGGTCTTCTCAAACGTCATCAGACCTTGGGCTACCTGACGCTTGTGCTCGCTAGTCGTATGATGGGATATGGATTGTGGAGTAGGTGAAGAACATTTGGTATGTATACATGTTGCATTTCCTGTTTTACGGCTGACGTTTCTAACAATTTCTATCATCTGATATAGTGGTCTTCTCAGTACATTCATGTATTTCCCGGAGTAATGGTCTCGATTGTATTTGCATTGATTGTGTTTCACGATGGCTCATTTTCTTTTGTTGAACACGAACAGTTTGCAACGAGGGGCGTGAGGGCGACTCGCTACTATGGATATGTGTTCCAACGTTCACTGTCTGTTGTCTTGCTTCGGGACCGCGTATCTAACAACGTTTTTACTTTTCATCAGGTATTTAGCTCATGCAGACTAGAGGTCTGTAGTGGGAACCCACTTTGGAGAAAGCTGAATGTCGAGTAAGGGTCGTATATGCAACGTCGACTGGAGGTCAACGCCACTCCAATATAAAGCGAGGGGAATGAGCGAGACGACTAGAGGGCTGGCACTTGGACTAGAGGTCCTTGAAGCTCTTCAGCACTTCTTCCCCTCATTTCTTGGGCTTACGGGCCTGAAGGCACGAGTACATCTTCTGTTACTTTGTTTCGTTTCAAACTGATTCATTTCTCCCGTTTCACCACATCAAGCTTGTCTGGATTTAGGGGCACGAATGATACCTCCAATTACATGGTGTGTCTGCTGGTCGTTATCTTGATCTCATGCAGGCATTTTATTCATTCCTTTGTACCGTAGGTATCGAAAATTATGCAGTCTTCTATCTCTGCAGAAGGGAAGCACTTTGGAGTAAAGCTGAATGATCACCCGGTGTCAACTATGCAGCGTTGACTCGATGTCAACGTCCTCCAACAGCAAGTGGAGAAGGAGCGCCATGTCTTCTATGTCTGGCACTTGAACTCGATTCGGGCCTTTCGCCCCTCGTTGCTTTCATATATTCGAGTCTCGCCGTATGAGCTCAAGGTGAATACCCTCTTTCGATACTTTTGAACGGCAGCATCGCCAAACCTCAATCCAGTTTTCTGTCGTTTATGACGTTTTGCAGATATTCTGATCATAACCAAACCAGGAATGTGAACACAGTATTTAGTTTGTATTATCATCAATCTGCCTACAAAATACAGTGAAACAGATGCAAAGAACAATGCCGAAGTTGTGGTTGTTCTTGACTACTTTTGTTCTCATCAATTCCATGAGCAGCAACTATCACTACCACCACACACGTAACAAGTACATCACCATTCAACCTCTAAAGTAAAGTGAATTGCTGCCTGATGCGAGATTCGAGCTCAGGAACAGCTTTAGCAACAACTAGCTCCTGAAAGTATGGGGAAGCGGAATGTGCTTCCAGAGCAGCTTGATCACGGTATTCCTACGTGAGACGAGTGAGATTTGATCATTCAGCATATAATTCGTACCGGTATGTGTCAAACTTCCAGCCAAAGGGCTTACTTCGTATAAGCAAAATTTTCGAGGATCGTCGACGGAAACATGGGCTATATACTGCAAGCAGCCTGGTTCTTGACGTGTTAGAGTCACCATTTGCCTGTAATTTGAGTGTAGACGGTTGAGAATCCATGCATGTAGATTGCAGCAGATGTTGACTGTTGATGTCCATACTTTAGGAGGCTCGAGATCACGGCTTCCTTTCCAGGTTTGGCAATCCACGTTACGACTAGAACTACAGACATATTGTTGTGCGATAGATAGTTGGTAGCTTGTATGTTGTCAAGAATTTAAACTCAGCAAATCGACTAGAAGCAAGAGCAATTTGTAAGCGACCGAATAGCCATAGGTGGATTAATGAAAAGATCTACATTGAATAACTTACTTTGTCCTTGCTCTAGAACGATGATGGATTACGACTGCGTGGTTTTGGATATTGAAGGTATGAAATTTGACAATGTCAAAACATCGACATATGACAACGTGCTAACGTGGATTCTCAATTAGGCACAACGACCTCAATCGCATTTGTGCACGATATACTCTTCCCATACGTTTTGAGAGTGTTGGATGACTTCTTAAAACAAAATTGGAGTGAACCTGAATTGCAACTTCTAGTCGACGCTCTGCGCAAACAGGTATTGACGAATTATTACAATCATGATCGTGTATCATAGAACTGATCCCAATACATCGCTCAACGTGCAGGCTGAAGAGGATGTTGGACAACATGTCAAGGAAGCAAACCGCATCCCTTCCAATTCAAGTGCTCACGAGATTCAGGATGCTGTCGCTGCTTCTGTTAGGTGGCAGATGAAACAAGGTGGGGCCTCATTAGCCTTGTGGAGGAACCATGGTATATGATGCTGATGTTTGGATTAATGCAGATCGAAAGGCAGGGCCTTTGAAGGCTTTTCAGGGGTTCGTATGGCGATATGGGTATGCTCAAGGAGAGCTCAAGGGACAGTAAGTTCAACAAGTTCAATTGCAGTTGGTGGCTAACGTTGTGTCGAGAATTGGCCAAATCTTATCTTTTTCGCCTACATCTTACACCCTTCTCCTTCTTCAGTGTATACTCAGATGTCGTCCCAGCACTCGAAAGATGGAAGAAGGCCGGAAAAGACATTTATATTTATTCGTCTGGCTCTATCGAAGCTCAAAAACTGATTTTTGGATTTTCTGATGCTGGGAATTTGCTACTTGTAAGGCAGACAAGGGCATTATATTATTCACATGTGGATGATAATATACTGACAGAACCTCCATCTCACTATTACGACAGTATTTCAAAGGCCACTTTGACACTGGCATCGGGATGAAGATTGAGACATCTTCCTATACCAAGATTGCAAAGAAAATACACCACTCACCCTCCCGAATCCTGTTTGTATCTGATAACGTTAATGAGATACGAGCTGCTGTTGGTGGTGGATTGCAGGTTGCTATAACGGATCGGCCTGGGAATGCACCGATAGATTCGAAGCGTGATGCTGCTGGACAAGTCACGTGTCTCGTGGCTGGTCAGAGTGTGCATGTTGTGAAGTCGTTTGACGAGTTGTTTTCGAATTCGAAGCTTTGAGTAGTGCGAGAAAGGAGGATTAGGAGACGAGGGAAACTTTGTATATAGCACTAGAATACAAACACCATGATTAGTACAAGGATGAAGCAAGGTTGTATTGAATGGTGTTTTCAAAGGAGCATTCTATAGTTTCTGGTATGACTTCCAAGCACGGAAGTACTTGCTCGATGCAGCAGAAAGACCTAAATGTTTAGGTTTCCAGCCCAACATCAATTCAGCCTTAGCATTATCATAAGAAGCACCGGATGCTCCAAACTTTTCATAAACGGTGGTTGGTTCTCGATACACGATGGGACCTTGTGGACATTGCGAAAAAAAAACCTTAGGACCAAAACTGGATTGATTTCGCACAAAAGATTGCTTGGAACAAAGATATGCACATACCTCTAAATCCAGATGCATTCTTGTACGCTTCGCCCAAGGACTGATTCGTCTCTGGCACAGGGTTGATAACATTAAAGATGTTGCCACCGATGGTGAAGCGTTTCTCGATTGCGAGTTTGTAAGCTTCAACGAGATCCTAAATGCAACAAAAAAAAAGACTAAAACTACTGGATAAGTGGCAAATGGCAGACAAGATTTCATACCTCAACATGAACAGTAGCTCGAGGAGAATCAGGCTTCCCAATCAAATCCAACTGCTTTATTGCTGGATTCACGACCTTGGAGTAGCTTGCGGATGTACCTGAACCGGACAAGCCTAAGCGACAAAGCACTGTATGGGTATTTCCTGAATGCTTCAGCAGTCTAAACACACAACCAACAACACGTACCATAAACCAACGGTGGCCGCACAACAATGCCCGAAAACACAGTACTCTTCAGAATCCTCTGCTCCAGCGCCGGTCTAAACGCCACAAACTCTGGCGGGTTTGTCGGATCTGCCTCACTAGCAAGCCGATTCAAATGCGTTGTGTCTCCATATACACCCGTTCCAGACGTGTAAATCACAAACAGCCCTGGTCCGTGGTGTTTTGCGAATGCGTCGATGCATGATTCGACTTGGGCAGCATGGTCTGCACGTCGTTTGTTGTCTTGGGATACGTCGATGAGGACGTTGATTTTGGATGCGATGGAGGGGACCCATGAGAGGTCGGAGAGGGTGCCGAGGATGGCGGTTACTGGTTGGGAAGAGGGAATGGCGTTAGTATGGTGATCAGTAACGTCTTGTTGACGAAGAATGCAAAGCAATGGTGGTGGAAGAAAGAGGAGAGATTCTCTCTTGTAGAGCCAAGCAATACATGTAGCTGATCCACCCAAAACTTGCCTTCCACACGTTCAAGGGCGTTAGCCTTTTCAGGTGTTCGTGCAATGGCATAGACGTCGTATCCATGATGAGCGAGTAAGCGCATGAGCGGCTCGCCTCTAAAGGAAAATGAAGCATAAAGTAAGCTTTTGAACTTAAGAACTCCCATCGTTGCATCTCTTGAAACAACCCAACAAGCTGCCACCTGTCCAACCAAAAGCTCGATTGCAACGTACATGAAACCAGTGGCTCCAATTATGAATACACCAGTACGAGATTCTCGTGAAGTCATGGTTGTAATTAGATCTAGTCTGGCAGTTGTCTTAGTATTTATATGTGATCGTGGATGCAAGAAATCATGACAAATCGGCAAATTGGATGTGTACGACGTGCTCAAGACCATCACGATTTGCACATAGTAAAGAGGCTGTTTTCTCAGGTTTGGTACTGAAAGCATGAAGCATTTTGAATCTTAGCGGAAATTCAAGGCTGTCTCCTTTCGTGATCTTGCAAATTTCCTGCAAACCCGCACACATGCCTCTGAAGATACAACACACTGCTATTCATACTATCGTAGCGTTACCGGTAGCTTGGACACATGGCGGTACTTTATACTAAGCGTATTGTTTGAGTGAAGCACCAGTGACGTGGTGATTGCACGCGAATTGTTTCTTGAGCTAACTTGTTAGAGTCCTTTTGGTGATTTATTGCTACTACGGTAGCAGACAAGGAAATCTCAGACCGCCAATCCATTCAAGAGATCCGCAAAACTCGTTCACAGACCTTTCCGTGAGTTGTAAAAGCCACTGTCATGAAGAAAGGCACAGTTGCGTCGTTTTGTCCAAACACAAAACGACATTCTGAACGGAAGAGCTTTGTACTAGCAGAACCTTGAGCAACATTTCATATTGTTCTAAAAGATCGTATTACCCCAAAGTTGCTCAATTGTGAAGTTTCTGGACCGTGAATACGCTGTCTGGCGGTAATTCGTCAACACTCAGACATCTTTCCAACAGACTAGTATATCATCGCAACTCTGAGAAAACGAATCTATACTCAGAATCTATTTTCAACCCCAAAACATCTACAGTCTCGTCTGATGCGCCTTCCACGCCCTAAAGTATCTATCGGAAGCAGCTGAAAGCCCTAAATGCTTAGGCTTCCACCCCAGCAACAGTTCAGCCTTGGCATTATCATACGATGCACCTGATGCGTTGAAATTCTCAAACACATTCGTCGGTTTTCGATACACGATGGGTCCTTCAGAGAACAAAAATCAGATCTCTGCATTATCTGGACGTACGAGAACAAAATCTCAGAAACAGACATATTACGGACCTGTAAATCCAGATGCTTTCTTGTACGCCTCACCCAGTGACCCGTTCGTCTCGGGTATGGGGTTCACGACGTTGAAGATGTTCCCACCAATGGTGAACCGTTTTTCAATTGCGAGTTTGTATGCTTCGGCAAGATCCTAAAACAACAACCAAAAATTGCTGCTTTTAATACTACTGAATAACACACGACAAAGCGAATCATACATACCTCGACATGGACAGTCGATCGAGGTAAATCCGGTGTTCCAATCAAATCCAACTGTTTGGTAGCTGGATCCACGACTTTGGCAAAGTTGGGTGATGTATATGAGCCCGAGTATCCTACATGAAAGCAAGACTTTTGAGACACACAAAAAAGTCAAAGTCACTGGTAAAAGTGCGTACTATACCATAAACTAGCGGCCCACGAATGACAATCCCAGAGAATGCGGTGCTCTTAAGAATCCTCTGCTCCAGCGCTGGTCTAAACGCCACGAATTCAGGTGCGTTTGGTGCGTCTGCTTCCGTGGCAAGGCGATGGAGATGTTGGGTGTCTCCGTAAACACCGGTGCCAGATGTATATATCACGAATAGGCCGGGTCCATGATGCTCTGCGAATGCGTTGATGCAGGCTTCAACTTGCACAGCATGTTCAAGACGTCGTAGGTTGTCTTGCGACACATCGATGAGGACGTTGATCTTTGGTGCGATGGAGGGGACCCATGATAGGTCTGCGAGAGATCCCAGGATAGATGTGACTATTGAAAGACGTTGGAGATATGTCAGTCAAAAGGTCTGAAACTGTGATTCAAGAAAGATGAAATGAGTGACGATACCTTCCACACGTTCAAGAGCATTGGCTTTCTCAGCCGTCCTGACGAGCGCATACACATCGTATCCTTCATGTGTTAGCAAGCGTATCAATGGCTCGCCTCTATAGCGTGAAACAAGTGGGAAGTTTGGAATCGAGAATTGGGACGCAAAAGTTGCATCTTACATGAAGCCAGTAGCTCCGATGATGAAGACTCCAGTCCTAGATTCTCGCGAAGTCATGGCTCCAGGCTACTGGCGACTAGGTTTGGTCTGGTGGTTTCTTGGTTTTGGTAAAGTGATCAAGTTGCGAATATGATTGCGTGACAGTGCAAGTTTTTGATCCAAGCTTGCAAACACGAAGACGTAGAAGGAAGTCGGTCCAAGCATATTATTTATTATACAATCAGAGTAAAAGACAAGAAAAAACAAACTATATATTGGGAATGAATTGGCCAGAACCTTCCTGGCCAAAGACCTCATGAAGCCTTCTCGGAAGCTAATAGATGCGATGCTGTTCTACAGCCGTTATAAAATCATGAGTGGGCAGCTTTTGATCCATGCAATACTATAGACCGACAGCTTGTCTCCCATCAGCCAGCCTTTTGAGATCATCAATGACTCCAACCTCTACAGCTTTACCCTCCGTATTACTAGATTCTCGGGTATCACTCCTACTGGTCTCTATAACCGACGGCGGCCTCTGCTGATCCCAGCTTGGATCCCTCCCGCTCTCATTCATACCATACTCCTGTATAATCTCCTCATCCATATCATACGCATGCGTCCGAATAGCATAATACACAATCATGGCCGATACACCTGCAGCAGCATGTATCACAGCACCTAGTATCATCCATATCGCAACAATAAAGATTTCATTCTGCCGTATCGATGTTGCTATTGTTATACAGTCGTGTGCTTGATCGTATCCACAGCCAATTATGGCGGCGATGGATGTGCGTTTGTCGTCTGAGAGGGTTATCCATGTTGTTGAGGCGTCTGCGATTGTGTTTGATGCAATGAAGCCGAGGACGAGGTGCACGGCGACGTATACTATTGCGAGGATTGAGGAGATTATGAGGCCTATGTAAGATGCATTTGTTAGTAAAGGATTGAATCGATCAAGGAGGGACATTGTTCCTAAGCTTTACCCATAGACGACATCCGAAGGCTGTAAAAGCATATGGATGCACCCCTCGCAAAGTTTAGAGCTCCCAATACCGTCAGAGCTATCAAAACCAAAGAATCAGGCATATGCGGTTAGCATCACTTCACTTTTATCCAGCTTGCAACCACAATGTGATCATTTGTGAAGTTTCAGTTGATGACATAGATATCTGCATCCCCACACTGTAGAACAGAGAGACTGGCCTTACCTAGCAGCAAATCTTGCGGAAACAGATCGCTCTGTCCAGGGAATGGTCCCGTCCCTTCATACGTTGAGGTCGATACAATCACCATTGCAAAAGCATTGATTAGCAGCAGGGCGATGAAGAAGAAGAGAGTGAACTTGGCTAGCTGTGGATTTAGCCATGACCTCCTTGGCGCGTCTTCCTCCTCGTCTTGTTTCAACATTTTGGGTGTTTGTTGTGGTTGTGTTTTTGAAGAAGCTGATACAGGAGTAGGCTAAAGACATCAAACGAATTTCACGCCGTAAAGATGATATTATATTTACAAATGGCTTCAGATGAGCTTAAGTTTACATTAAAGACGTGGTAAAGTATGACAATAAAAGACCATAATCCAAAGACCGTTATCGAATGTCGTTGCCCTCCACCAGAAGTGGATTTCGGAGCCGTTCCAGGCGATGCAGTAGCAGACGGACTAGCCGATATAGCTCCTGGATTCAGACACAGTGCATTGCTTCCAATAACGTTAAGATAGCCAGGGCAACACTGATACTTTGGGCCATAACACGTAGTTCCACAAGTGTTTGTATAGTTGAAGAGAGCTCCACTGCTTTGGTATACTATCGGGCATGTTCGTCCAGCTGGAAAACAGATTGTGTGAGTGTTGATGGTTGGCGTGTGTAAAATCGATCAGGGACTTACGACAAGACCCATACTGAGTCAGGTTATAACTCGGTGCGCAAGAGACAATGGGATCTGCACTTGTAGAGTCACACGTTATAGGTGTGTACGTCGTAATACATTGAAAGGTAACTAACCAAAATATCAACAGTGGTTGTTAGAAAAACATTCTCCTTGAAGGATCACACCGACGCTTTAACGATTAGATTGTTCAGCTAATCTAATTTGCTCACCATTTACTTGACTTAGCGTCTGATTCACAGAGCAAAAACTCGCACTATTAAGAGCCTGTTCCTGAGATTTCAAGCACCCATATTTATATGCCACAGTATCATTCGAATTCGCATTATTGGAAGGAGAATGAATTGAAAGACAGGTTACTGGGTACGCGAAGGCCGGATCTAATCATCAGAAAGGTGTTGGGATTTGGTTGAGAACCCATGCATGTGCTCAAAAACAGTCACAGTGCTGACTTTACCTGGACAAGCTTCCTTTGCAGTCATGTTCTGCGCATAGACTTGAGATATCAGCCATGCTAGTATCGAAGCTAGTATGAGTTTCTTCATTCTACTTATTGGAGGTTGCGAGTGATTCGCGAATTACTGCTGCGGCAACCATGATTTTCTAAGCCTTCTAAGATTCGAGGCATGGACGACAACGTGAATGTGGGATTTGATCCCGATGGTAACGTATAAATATGTATACGCAAATGAATGGATCGTACGTTACATATTACACGTGTTTATCTCTTGGGTCAATTCATCTTTGCGTCCAAACAATTCACAAAACTCACGACAATCACATCGTGGCTAAACGAGCAAATTATAGATAGTAAAAAGATATTACTATTTTCTTTTTATTTACAGTATGGCAAACGCTGGAATTAAGTGAAGAAAAACGTTTGAACGGCGTATATTGTATTTCCTGAGCTTGGGTAAGCCTGGGAAGGTGTTCAAAGGAGCTCCCTCTACATTTTAGCCGTCTTGCTAGCCACGCCAGCAAGCAAAGTTGGGGGTTGGAGTCCCTTAATGTTGGAAATTGTTATTGTTATGAGTACTTCAGTTATTCGTTGTTCGCTAGGGTTTTCAGCGAAGGAACCCCTGCAAACAAGTACGATTTTGGGTGCTAATGAAGTGATAGCACATTGTATTATATACGTGTCTTTCTCTTCCTCTAAATTGTCACTGTGTCCAAGCGATCTGACACAAAGAATTCAGGCAATGGTGGACAAAACACAGCAGAGAGCATACAGCCAGATCCTCTCGCTATTTGAGATTTATTTGCAAGGTAACAGGGCCCCGTGCCGGATTAAAACAAAGGAAGGGAGGACGTATCCACCATACAACGTCTTTACGCGTCCTTCAAACAGTCTATCTCTGCATGACCATTAGCTCCCACAGATACTGGTCCGTTCGAGACAACAGTAGCTCTAGTATCATCCCTATCGAAATACAGTACTATTTATAACTGAATGTGACAATGAACCGACCCTCTGTCTACATGCATACCTCAACAAGGCGAAAAAGGTAGCCATTCCAGCCAACATCAGCAGAAGAGCACACCCTGAAGAGTATTGGGCTAGTTCCGAGTCGGGATAGTATCCAGTCATGTTTGCCATCGCCATCGCTGTGGCATTCATGTCAGAGAATGGTTGAGTGCTGTATGCCAAATCACTAGATTGCATATCCTGGTGAAGGGAACAATATGAGACAGTTCGTGTCTAAAGCAACACTTTCCTGAAATCAGTCCAAGCGTCTTTTGTGGCATACCTGAAATCCCAACGCACAAGTCCCAAGCGCGACAACATATATCGCCTTCCCCAAAAACTTGTGGTACATTGAAAAACTAGCTTTATCCATTCTCCCAATACTGACTGCCGGCAGCGTAAACATGTACAGCCCAGCAATAAGTTGCAAGCTCCACAAGCACAGCATCGCAATTCCCATCCACGAGTGAGTGGAGTACGTGGTAAAGAAGGGAAACACGACTGGATCTTCAGACAGTTTCTTATAGTATACGATGGCTGTGAGTCCGCCTATTGCACATGAGAGGCCGAGGATGTGGCATGCGATGTGGAATGTCCTATTGTAAATGAATGAATTAGGATACGAAGTGTGTAATAAGAGCAACAAGAAACGTACTTTAGTACAGCATGGTCCTTTATAAACCACAGCAGCGGAGCACCAAAGGCTAGCAACGATTCTTGCATAAACACGACGACAAACAACGACATGAGGAGCGCATGCAAGCCGAATATAGACGACTCGTCAAGTCCAAGACCTCCTTCAGCCTGATAAATCCACAGGAAGAGAATAATGAAGAATATAGCGGTGATGACTCGTGGTGCTACCCATACAAGCCACGATGAGACAGAGCGGGTTTCTTGTGATGGTGGTGTTTGGGCTATCGCTCCAGCGACTAATAAGAACATGTTAACAGCCAAGCAAAAGTGACAAACAGACCTCAAATCCGTCCCAGCACTTACACGACGGGATATCCTCCGGATCCGTATACTCGCCCACACCAAACACCATATACCCAATGAACGTCCCAGCAACAGCACTCAGCAGCAACCCAACATTGAAAGTCATGATAATCAGCATCACCACCCAATGCAGCAGTGAATCCAATGCAGCGAGTAAAGCAGATGGGATGCGTCCTTTGTACCGCATCGCGATTGATGTTGATGGATCTACGATAAAAATTAAACCATGATTTAGATGCCCGTATCGACGATTACGTGCTTGAATCACAACTCAACTGGTTGGAACAACGTGGTTCCTAACATGGATGCGGAGTGCAGACAATGCGATTGTGAGAATTACTGCACCGGCATAGGAACCGGAATCCTGCACTAGCCAGCTGGAAAATAGGACATAGTCTCCGAGTCCGAAATGGAGGGCCATGATGCTCTAATACAATTCATTTTGAAGTTGTGGTGATGAGTCAGTTAAATGTATCATACAATACGATTGGTGAATGCATCCATCCATCTATGAATGGGAAAACGTGGGAGAATTACCATGGTGGAGGTAGAGTTCATTGCGTCCATTCTCCTTCAGCGAGTAGTGAAAGAATGAGAAGATTTTGCTGGTCAGGCGTTGTTACCGACAGAAAAATCGTCTGTGCGTCAACGCTTTGGAAGGAGGTGGAGGATGTGGAGACTATGTGATAAAGATGCCGATGAATGAATCAATTGCGATGATCGACGTGAATTGAAAGTGCTCACCCTGTCCCGGTGTCATCCTTTTCCTTGGTGCGCTAGAGCGTTACTTTCAACCAAGAAACTCAACACACGAACTAGAGACAAATGTTACTATAATATATGATTGTTTATTCTACGACTACATTATTTACGCGAAATTGTTGTTGTTTTTTAGAGTTGTTTTGACCGTTTTTCTCAGTTTTTTTGGAGTTGTTTCATATAATAAAACAAGCAAATAGCCAAGCCCAAGCCCATATGAAGACCAACTACAACGACAATCTACAAGCGGAGGAGAAGCTTGATTAACTTTTATCCTAAATTCCTTCCTTCCAATCAACCAAGTAGCACAATCCATAAGCAATCATACCTTTTACTCCTATATGTATAAAGTGCCATCCACCACGCTCAGTAAGCACGGGCTTTAGCCATAGAGCGTGTCTTCCTTCGTGGAGGTTCATCGGATTCATATTCATCAACCTCTATATCCGACAAGCCTTCCGAAGACCTCCTGTCCCGTTTGGCCTTTGGGATGCGTATTCTCGACACCTTTATAGAATGCACAGCAACAACATGTCGTTGCATATCAAACTTGCGAGAAAAGTCCTTGTCACATTGCTCACAGTGGAATGGTTTTGCGTTGGCGTGTTTCGAGTCAATGTGGGTTCCTAGATTATACCTTTTATGAGATTTATATGGGCACGAGCCAATAGGGCACCTAAATAGCTTGTCTGACGGCGAGCGTTCCAGATCCTTTACCCATTCAGCACCAGACTTGTTGTATACATCAGCCTTTGATATCTTTTTCGTGGCAGTTGTGGATGACGCTGATGACGAGGGTGACGAGGGAGATGACGATGAAGATGGAGTCGACGGATCCGAGTCCATTTCCCAAGACGATGGAGATTCAGGAGCATCTGTCAAGCCAGGCATACCTGAAGTTGGAGAGAACTCTCGATCCAACTTGTCTGCTATAGACTCAGAGATTGGCATACTGACATTATTTGATGTGAAGGCAGCCTGAGCAAACATACCATTTACATCTTGTGGTCGTACCAAGACCGACTCATTTGTGAGTTCAGTCAAGGAGAGTGTTTGGTGCGATACATCGGTACCAGTAGATAAGAAGTCCTTCATCATGATAGATGACATATGATACCCTTCATCATCTTCATCGTGATGGATGCTGTTGTTATCACTATTACTATTATTAACAAGCATACTGGTGTTGTCTACCTTTTCAGTATCGAATTCCCACGAGTCCTGAGCAAGCAAGTCGTCGAGGGAGAGGACCAGCGAGTCATCATATTGGTAGCTGTGGTTTGGCATCAATACAGATTGTGATGACATAGTATTATTATTCATCAAATTCTCACCAAAAGTATAAATGTCAAACCAGTCCAATGATGGCAAGTGGAGGTCAGCGACAAAAGCGTCAAAGGAGTCGAGAGACGGCTCAAATGATGCCTGGATATGATTGTCAGTAAATGATGTAGGTTCTGTAGACATTTTATATGCTACGCGGTGAATTTGTACCTTGTTGTTTGATTCTGGGTTGTTTAGCGATGGAAGCCAAATAGAGACTTCTTTTTAAGAGCGATATATCGATATCTGGGCTCTTAATGCGTTGAAGATGACGGCGAGCTCTTACACAGTCTCTTACACAGTCTCGTCTGTCGTCTTCTATGCTAAACTTTGTCGAGTTTGAAGGAAGAAGCTGGAAGAAGAGTAAAACCAGACCCATCCGTGACTGAACAGCATATCGTTTGAAGAAAATCAATAAAATTCGGTTTATGCACATAATAACATCATATTAACGCGTTCGTCACGTTCGAAACCGAGTATTATTGGCGAAAGCCCAATTGTCGAGACCGCAACGTATTGAACGAATATGGAGAGTCAACGTAAATCTGTAAGAGAAACCCTCATACAATCTGTCGGCTTCTGTCCGAAAGGTATACTTTATGTGGATCTACTCTTAAATCACTATTACATACTCTCCATCTAACATTCATCAAACATTTTAAACATTTCAGATGCAATCGGATGGCTATATGCAGCCCGAGGCTACTACAAGATAAAAGACTACCATTCATGCGTAGAATGTGTCGCCCCGGCTCTCCGTAACGAAAAGACTAGACGAGAAGCCCAACATTTACTCGCATTCTCCCTCATGCATACAAATCAAACAGAGGCTGCTGCAGGTGCATTCTTCAAGTCCGTGTCTCTGGGAAATGATACGGATTGGCAACCACTCGTAGAACTGTTTCTGGAACATCCGAAACTTCGTCTGACATAGATAGGGTAGAACGATTGTTAGATCTGTTGGACGAATGGTCAACTGGACACATAATATATAGGTCGAGAACATCGTCACCACATATACACCACCACCACTCTCTTTGTAGTTATAGTAATTTGATACATATCACACCAGCAACCAATATATTTCGTATAGATCCTATGTAGTCGTGTCTGCTGAACTTGGATTGAATGCAACTATCAAAGAACCACTTGGTGCTAAGCGACAGGTCCTGCACCCAAACTCTCCAACCGAAACACTTTCATACTTGGTGAGTATCAGATGCTATGATTCGACTAATGTACAGAGAGGACACCAAAAAACTCTATGCTATAGTAAGCAACATCGTCCGTGTTCGAATAACAGGGTCATAATCCCTTCTTCCCGTGTTGCTGATTATATCCTAGTAACGAGTAGCGGACGCTTGAGTATGGAGACATACACGTGTTGTGTCATTTTCGCCAACAAAAACTGGTTTTGCGATGAGCAAACATTAACTTTTACCTTCACGATTCCTTGAAATCTCTACAGCATAGAACTGTAGTCTTGTCACTACGATAAGTAGTAGTAAAGTCAGAGGCTGTCACAAGAGCTGCTTAAGAAGATTAATACGAGAATGTTCTTTCTTGCTACCTACCAAAAAACGTATTCTCCTGTGTATACTCCTCATCAGCATTTATTCTCAACAGTGTCCCAAAATTGTAGTCTTGAATCTTCTTCTCGTATCTACGGTGCATTTTTCAACCGTGTTAGCCACTTAACATCCCAAGCGACCAGATTTTCGTTTTTTTTAACTCTTACTTTGTATGAAACTCCCTCCATTTAGCCTTCGCCTTCTCAGACTTGAAATCATCATCAACGTTGAGTGCGTGGACGTCTAGTTCTGGGAATTCGGCTCGGAAGTCGTCGTATAGGTCTCCGTCGTGTCTAGTTTGAGAGAAGCGAGAGGTATCAGTAATGACGATCGTCGATTTCATGAGAATGGTGTAGGTAAAGAGAGACCAAGACGCTGCAATAACATCGTAAGCAGCAGCGAAAAAGTTTCAGCGAAACAAAGTTGCTACTCGCTCTGATGACGGAGATCAAAATCCCGACACTGTCCTCATTTAAATAACAAATACACCGATTCCACAATCTTCACCCTCATCCACCACAAGCTCTCCCCTCCAACGTCCTTTGTACAAAACCGTCAAATGTTAGAAGCTTACTTGGTCAATTTTAACGTTGAAGGATCAAAAGATCCAAGAAGTTTAAAATAGACTTCAGCTTGATGCATGGCCTTGACTGCCCATTGCTTTTCTATGTCTAAATATGGAAAAGAAAGCGAGACACATGTCAGCAAAAAAAGCTCGACGAAATGAACCACTAACGAGACGATGCTCTGAATCCAAACCTGGGTGGTTTTCCGCCGTCTCTGGGTCGAAGGTACTCATCTCTTAAAACTCTGCTTTAAACGATGCGAATCTAGAAATGCATTTGGAGTCGAGTTTGCACCAAACGAGCAAAAACGCAAGAAACGAGGTCTCACACCTTAACACATAAGGACGCAACACTGTTTTTGATCCTAAAACACTTTCAAAAGAATGCGATTGTTATTGTATATGCAAAACGAGCCCTACTTTCTCAACATTACAGGTATGCCATATACTACAGGCGCTGCACCATTCAAATACCGCAACGTACACGTATCTCGTGAACGTCCTACTGCCTCTGACAATGTCACGTTACGTGATTCTTCTTCTTCGTCTTCATCACCGTCCTCAGAAGAATCAAGCAACCCCCATCGTTGCAACACATCCTTTGTGAACTTGTCTATATCACGATCAGTTACGTCCCATAGATTGGCAACGAGAGCAGGACTATGATCCAGTTAAGCACATTAAGAAATTAGTTCATTCACACTTCACAGCTAAAAAAACTGATTCTCACAAGTAAAATGCTTACGATCCAGCGAATATGTAATCCAATGCTACACCAAAAGGATCGAATTCACCTTCAGCTTTCAATCTTCCAGAACTACAACCCATTAGGAAGGTGACGGCACATTGATCGAGTCGTCTTATACGTGATGGGCGAAGATATTGCTCACCACCACCATGTCCAAAGTATCTAGTTTATGGTGATTTGAGGTCTATCAGTCACAAGAAAGTCAGTATGATTCGTAATATGAGGCTTACATAAAGATATCAGACTTGGACAACCCATCTTCAAACGCTTGTTCAGTGGGAGGTTTACCAACTGTTCCCTTCCAGCTTTTGCTAATGGAACAAAAAATCCACTTCAGAAATTGATTTTGATGCATCTTGTCACGACATTTTCAAACATACCTAGCCAAAAAACCCTCAAACTCCTTCTGAGTACTAGACAAATCACCAGATGGATTCAAAACATAACTGACATTCTCACTCGACACTGCGGCCATCTTGCCATTCTTTTCTTGCACAAGGCGATCACGGAGGAAGGACATGGATGGTAGTCGAGAAACGGATCTACCTCGTAAACATGGTATTGATTCCCATGGAATCGATTGCAAGTACTTGTCAATTATAAGTATCAAATGGTTTGTGGGAGCACTGTTGGAATCCAAATTAAATGCTCCATCTTCGGAAAGTCCAGAATCGGTATCGTGATGGAATTTGCAGAGAGCATTTTTCAAGTCCTCTGTCATCTACGAAAAGGGGAGGGTGGAGGGTGAGAATGGAGGAGGAGCAAAAAACGGAACACCCTGGACTTCATACCCCATCAAGATCAACTTCATCATACTCAACACTAGCTCCTCCATACTGAATTGCATCCATCAAATGATAAATGGCATCTTCGCACGCATCATCGTCAGGTCGTGGTCCCAATCGTAACAACGACTCAACCAATCCAATATCAAGTTCAGGCATCCGTGCTTGATTTACAGACTTGGCACGTTGTGCAGCACTTGAATTCTTTCGTGATACGGCCTTAGTCAACATCTTGTTTACTGCAGCTCTAAACTCATTTATAGCATTCGAATCATCATCGTCCTCGTCAGTCTCAGGTAAGCCATCAACACTTATAAACCCTCTAAAGCCACCCAACCACACCTTTTCAACATCGTCCAACAAGTGCCGTAATCGATGATCTAGTTCTTTACGTTGCTTCCACCATGATGCTTTGCCTTCTTTAGTATCAGTGGTTTTGGCTTGCCGAGTTAACTCATTACTAGATGCTATTATAGTCTCCAATTCTTCCTTACATCCCTCAAATGATAGCTTCTCATCATCACCTTCTCTAGATGATTGCCTCCGTGTTGGCAGACGAAGTAAAGCTGGAGTACGATCATGCTCGATACGAGTCAAGTACAAATCACCACGATCCACATCAGCGGATATAGACACCACTACATAATTCGATGGCAATGGATGTACATACCGTTTGACAAAGTCATCTGTGGTCATGACCATCTCGGTCTTATACTTTTGGTAGAGCAAACTATTACGACTCTTGTCTTTGAGATCTAAATTACACGATACAGATGGCCACGGTACAATCGAAGACTCGGCCTTACGTCTCAACAAGTCCATGAATTCACGTCTCGCCGTTAACCCCAAAGACGAATGCAATAAGGCAACAGCTTCTGCTGCAACTTCTTTTGGTTTTGATACGGGTCCTTGTAAGCCTAGATACGATGTAACTATCGACAATAAAGCTTGGCCATGAGATGTATCATGAACGAGTTGTGGTCTTCCACGTTCTCGAGCTGCTTGACCTGCCTCCTCTAGCATTTCGTCAACTTCAATTGCCAACGAAGACAATACCGCAATATTACGATTCTTGGATGATTTTACTTTTGATAGACTCTTGCTAGGAGTTGCTACATTAACGGGTGGTCGAGATGGAACACACCACGGTAGCGAGAAGGCTATTGTAAAGATAAGGTTCGAATAATCTAAAGTAAATATATCGTCCCTTCTTAAGTAAACCGGATGTACTCACCAGAGTCACCAAACATGTCAAACAATGGACCACCAGTTAATTGCGCGACGAGCTTACGTAGTCTCAACTTTGCTCGAGTTACTGAGCAATCTGGGGCTTTAATGACACAGTCATTTGCATCAGCAATCTTTTGCTCTGCTTCACCCAGATTGCCAAGCTCTCCTAAAACCCAACCTATTCGAGGAAAAAAGAAACTGATTTAGCGAAGCGAAAAATGACCAGACCACAAGTCCCAATACTCACCAACTCGAGACTGCACCTCACTTTTGACTGCAGCCAATATAAAAGCTTCATGGTCAACTACTCGGGAACGATGTTAACACAAATGCAAAGAGCCATCAACCGCGAGCATCAATATACTTACCCTTGACAGGACTATGATATAAGTTACCCTTGGCAGGACTATGATTATTCATTCGAGGACTTGAATGCCGCGAGCTCATAGGGGTTGAGGATCGACGAACATGTCCAGAGTGACGTTTGTCTGGCGTTCTAAAGTTAGAAAGACAATCAGCGAATTGATCGTCCACAATCAAAGACGAAAAGAGCAACAAAAGTATTCAGTGACATACCCAAAATCAAGTTCTTCCGTCACCGATTGCGATCGAATAGCGTCATCAACACAATGTTCAGCTTCATTGTATTCTAGCAATGCTTCATTCAAGTCACCTGAACGATACTTTAAATCACCACGAACGACTTTTGCCCATGTGGAATCTACGATTGAGATATCCAAAAGCATCTGAAAAGTTTCATATTGCAAAAAAAACTCAGATTTCAAGATGAATGACCATGAATGAGACCTGCGAAACTCACCGGTACTTGACGCTCCAACCCATTTATAATCTGCATTTCAGAGTCTTCCAATCTAGCTCGTCGTAAATCAACATCACCAAGTGCAACCAAAAAGGCACTCTCGGCCAGACTGGATTGCACACGTTGAGAGAGTGACAATCCTCGTCGATACACATATTCAGCTTCCAGAGGTGATCCACGAATAACATACAGGTGGCCCAACGAGCGATATAACGATAGGAATTTCTAAAAGCGAAACAAGGGATTAATCACACATCCTGAATGTTTAAGACTTTCACTTTACCTCAACCAGCTCCCATTGAGATCCTTGACACAGGAACGAATCAATACCACTCTCTGCCTTGCCATCATCATCAGCAACGTTCGATGCTCGACCACACGCTCTCAACAGAATCTTGATTGCAACGTCCACATCTTGTAGAGCATTTCCAACACTTCCTGCTGCAAGAGCTAATGACGATCTGACCCAGTATGCCAAGCTTTGCAGAGAATCTCGACGAGATTTGGAAAGGTTAGATGATTCTTGTATCTCATCGAAGATAGTAGATCTGCAGGAGAAATTATCAATCACCTGTTTTTTGCATTTCGAGACCAGATATTGTTTTTGCTTACCCTTTCTTGAGATTGCCAATAGCACACAGATAGTTGGAATACGAGAGACGCCATCTCATACCAGCTTCACCGAAATCAGGCGAGCTTTTACAACTTGGTGTTTCCATAATCTTTCTGCCATTCACCAAAGCTAGACCAGCTCGTCCCGTAAATCCAACAGAAACATACACAAAACCCATCTCGGCAAGCACCAGGAGCACATCTAAGATTTCACAAATATGGTATGAACACGACGGTGCTCTGTCGGAACTGTCCAGCCAAAAAAAGATAGTGCTGGAGATCACATCACCTGTTGCAACAGTTGGTGCGTTCCTAAGAGATGCCACACGTAAAAGTAACCGAAGTGCAAATATTCGATTCAGAGGTTGTTCCAAAACTCCAAAATAATCAGCGAGAGATCCTGCGAGAGAGCGACAGTGAGGAAAAATCAGACCCAGACCTTCCGCACACGTGCATAATACCGAAGTGGCCAACTTACGAATACTATAGTAGGTAGATTCAACATTCCGAAAATAGTCAAGAGCTTGCGAGACATGAACTCGGTCTCCTAAAGGAAAACAATCGTCAGACTGATGTATTTTTTGCGCTTTGATTGTGAGTACTTACTCTTCTGATATGTTGGCACACTCTGCAATAATGTAGACCACAGATGTAATGCATCTCGGAATGGTTGAGCAGCGTATTTCCCAACCGAGTTCAACACTGTGCCATAATAAGCATTGGCAATGGCTAAATCATTCGAGACTTGTGCTTCGAGATTTGGTTCTTCTCCCAACTCCTAATATCAACAAAGTTAGATTTGACAACGCCACTAATTTGCAGGGGGAAAAAATACAAGAAAAGCACCTGGGATTGCAGTAGCGCTATGGCCTCCTTGATATGTACTATACAACTATTGTTGTCTTCCTTTACTCGTAAAATTCGAGCTCTTTCCAGCAACGCCCTACGAACTGCAGGTTAACAAACAAATGTATATTGATTCTTACGTTAGTTTTTGCCTTACCTTGATCGTCGAACAGGATTTCGAGTCTCTGAATATTGTTCCAACAACAAGTCCATCAACTTTGTTTGAGCGAGCAACGTGCTCGAAGACTGAGATAGACTCTGTGCAATCTTAATCTCATATTCAGCAATAGCAGAGACATGCTGATTGAAATATCGTTGATTCGTTTGGGATATATACACGCCTGCACGAACGAGACGTTCCAACAATTTAGTCAAGAGTTCTGGTCGTGGATATTTACCGGGAAATAGTATGTGCTTTTCAAGTTCGGCGTAAGTACGTATCGGAAGAGCAAGTATTGCTGCTTGTGTTGATTCCATGGCAGCCTAAGATAGCACTGTCAATACATGTTCAGAAGTGGAATTTTTTATACTAACCGATTGATCGGACGATGACGCATGGCATGTTGCTAAAGCATCCAACCTCCTAGCCACTTGCGTTTGCAGCTCGTCATCACCAGGAACTAGTTGCTGACACGTTTGTAATGCTAGACACGACAGCTGGAAGAGTTTCGATGCAGTTTCAAACTCTCCACTTTTATAGCGACTGCCACCAAGATTATACGACGTAGATGAGATAGCACGTAGGCCATCTGGATAATCAGAAGAGACTGCCAGTGCCCGATCGAGGTAACTGTATGCTTCTGAAGGACACACACGAGCCAAAGCATTCAACATCTCAACAAGCAGTCGATCAAGCTTGGACAGATCGACTGACGGTGGTGCGTCACCCTGCAAGGTTTTTACTCAATTTTTTGCTGTTACAGCATTGCCTCTCAAAATTGCATCCACTTACACTATAAAAGCTCTTCCATGTATCAAGCAATTCCGTCAGAGCATCAAGCAATAACATACTAGCAGACCCTGCATCTCCTCCCTTCATGATCGCCCTTCTCAATCCATCAATGGCACGAACTTGATTTTTGATGACCCGAGTCTCATTCAATGATGATATGACGTCCTGAAACACGGCAATTTCTGCTATTATGTTACAAGCCTGATTATCATCCCATTTCTTCTTTGTTTCAAAGTCCAAGAGAATGGCTTCTATATTGAATGCCAACAAATGTCCTAGAGCGGGAGCGGCCTTCTGTCCATCTAATCGAGATCTTGCATAGTCGAGTGTTGTCTTGATGTTGGCGTGGATTCCAGCCTGAAGCAAAAAAAGGTATGATACCAACTTCAAATTGCAATTGACACTTCATTACACACATACTCGTTGACCATTGACTAGCCAATGTTCACACCACATCATGAAATCTACTTCGATATGTCCATTATGAGGCAATAACTGACTCAATGAAGCAACAGCTTCGTAGAATGCATGCAGCACTTTCATAAGCTTTGCGTCGTCTATATATGTATTACAAGAATCAGCGTGGACTTTACATACAAACTCCTTCAAACCCGGAGACTCACCTTTACAATGTTTTTCAAACGCCATTCCAAACTTGTAGGCATGTTCATGAAAATGACTTGCCGTACAAGACGACGTCATGACATAGAAAGTCAATGCCAACTCTCGTAGTCTCAAAGCTAGCGAAGGATCTATACCTAGAAAGTAAGACCCAGAGTCAGCAAAGAGGGCACACAGAGACGCCACCATGTACCTAGATACCTGGATCTGTCATGGAAACACGATAAAAGAATCTGTACAAACAATCTGCTTGTCGTGATCCAGCTGCAGGGTCTAGAGCACGAAGCCTTTGACACCAGTGATGCATACCATATGGCTTTACGATGGATGTACATAGATTCTAGATGAAGATAAACAGTTGAGTACCTCGAGGTAAAAAAACCGAATAGATTTACTACCAATGCTGTCGTACCTCGCTTTTACCACGTCGACCATCTCCCAACCAGCAACGAGTAGCATTATATAGACATACAGAGAGTATTGCAGCTAGATTAGGATCTGAGCTCTCCACTTGAAATGTCAAACAATCGTCCTGTTTGGTCTCCTCCTTCTTTGTTTGGACAACCCTCCGAGTACTCGTCTTTGATGATGGTGGTGTCGACTTGGTTTCGGTCGTTTTCATTATAGATGACTTTATACATGCCAAAAATTTGAGAGCAAGGTCGTACTATCGATAAATTGCGAAAGGTTTAGGAATGTGGCCAAAAAAACACCATCACAATGAGTGTGTTTCTCACATGGCCGAGATCCGTCAACCGAGTAGCAATATTAGAGGTAGTACGTTCCACTTCAAGTATTCCTTTACCAGAATCAGCGCCAGACTTGTCCAAAGTCTGAATAGCGACAATGCAAACATCCGTTATACTGTTCACCACCAATTCTGGTGCTTTACTAGTAGTCGATGACGATGATGCAATAGTAGGCTTCTTTTTCACACTAGCTTTGACAACATTGCTCGTTGTAGTAGTGGCTTCATTCCTCATACTAGACTCCTTCTTTGGCAGTACAGCCAATACCTTTACAGCGTGTGCCAAAATCCTCAATGCCTGATGTGGTAGTTTCTTGTCGGCGACATCAGATCCAGGTCTAGAGTTTTCCTTGTTGGATTTAATGCGAGTTGAGACACTAGTTCGTGGTGGTAGAGAAGCCTTTGTTATAGTTGGTTTTGGTCGAATCGTCGTCGTTGATGTTGATGCAAGTAGGGATTCTTTTAATTGTTTGGCTGCTTCCACGGCCGTAGATGCGTCGCCGAGTCTGGCTAGAAGTGCTTCCATGACGAAATATTTAGTGCATTCCTATGTTGGTTTAATGGGATCTATAGTCGTAAGCTGCGAAATGGGCGCTTGATGTTTGGAGTGTTGAGGAAGTTGAAACAACCTGCAGCGGGTTAAAGCACGAGCTCTGGAAGTGATTTTGCTATATTTTGCGATACATTTGCACGTGAAAACGCGTAAAAACCTTATTCCAGACTACTTTGAAGTCTACTGATGATCTCCTGGTCAATAGTCAAACGACGATGGCAACGGTCGAAAGTCCGACGATGCATCCTCTGTCGGGTATCATAGATCTAGAAAAGTATCCATTGCATGCTCCTGAGTCGTCCGCCTATAACGCTCTGATTGAAAGGACCAGGAACGGCTTCACATCAAATGGCATTGCCGTGTTGCCCAAGTAAGGCGGTCTTTGATGTATTTTGCATTCTAAACGTTTCTAATCCGCATTATAATGTAGTTTCTTGCTTCCTGGTGCCGCTGAAAAGGCCTCTCGAGCTGCTCTTGCTCGATTAAACAAATCACATCGCAGTGATAACTCACACCCGGCGTATGTCCAAAGGTCTACTTATCAAATTCAAGCCCATATACTCATTGCTATCTACGCAGTTGGCTGATGCCGGAAGCTGAAGCAATGGACGGTTTGACCAAAGGACACTCCTCAAAAACACTGGTCGCCTACGATGAGATCGAAGCTGATAACCCCATGCGAATTGTATACGAGTGGGACGCTACAATCAAGTTCTTAGAAGACGTACTTGGTAGTGGAAAGATGTATCGTACTGCCGATGAACTTGGGGCATTGAACATCCATGTCTATGAGCATGGCGACGAGCTCAACTACCACTTTGATCGTGGCGAGGTACGATTTGGAGGGCCGTTTTCGATATGCTCACGACCGTCTGTCGCTTACGGCCTGTCTTGACATAGTTCGCAATCACATTGCTCCTATATCCGGCAGCTGAAGGAGGTGAATTCCAATACACACCACCAATAAACCGATCCTTTCCTACTCCAAGCCAGCAAGAGTTGGATCTAGTGGAAGCCATAGTACAAGAGAAGAGACCAGATATGGTGTTTACTCAGCCGCTTGGTGTAGGTGATTTATGTCTTTTTAAAGGAAGACAGTCTCTGCATAGAGTGACACCTGTGACAAAGGGCAATCGTGTCTTGTCAGTCTTGAGTTATGAGACGGAGCCAGGTGTTGTGCTTAACGCCTACACGCGTGAGAAGTTTTTCGGAAGGCTGTAGATGTAGTTGTTCTTTTTGGTAGTAGTAATAGTAAATCATTGACCTCCCGAATGCAATTAACGACGAGAATCTCACAGTTGGATTACTTTTGAGGCTTTCTATATATGAGGAAGTTCTATGTAGCACCAACTATTACTATTTTACCATCTATGCTAATTGAAAATTACGTCGATTACAATGTCCCGATCAGTGAGGAACAAATCAAAGTGGTGGTGACACCCTCTTCATTCCACAAGCTGCCACCAACTGCTTCCATGTTGTTGGTGTCCACGCTGGCTTATATTTGGCCTTTAGAAATAGCTTCCTGCTTTTCACGTTCATACTTTTCCGACAGACTTCGGAAAGACTTGATGCTCCTCTCATGCTCTATAGAGAGCAGCGACAGCTTCTCCAGCGTAGCTTGATGCTCTACAAAACATATGTTTTAAAAACTGACACTTTGATCTCGAGACACGAACAGACAGACCTCTCGTGACAGCTGCCTCTCTCTTGCTGGCTTCCAGCAGATCTTTAGCAGCAACGGCCTTGTTATGTTCGAGCGTTTCCGACAGCTTATCTACAGCAGTTTGATGCCGTAACGACACATCATTGAGAGCACTCAACATGCCCTCCAGATCCACCGCAGCGTGCTGTTTCAACGAACCGCCGTTGAGCGTGTCTGAATTGTTCTTTTCCAGTGTTTTAAACAGCTTATCTAGAGCAGTTTCATGCTTTAAAGACACAGCATTGAGAGCATCGACCTTGTCATCGAGATTCTTCGATATTTTATCCAGAGCAATTTGGTGTTCGACTGAAGCATTGTAAAGAGCCTTTTCCTTGTCGATTTTATGCTCACTTTTCAGACTGACAAGGGCTTCTTCCTTCTCTGCTTGAAATTTGGCGGCCTGAGCTTTCAACACAGCAGTATTGCGCCATGACTGGTAATACGAGCCTATTGCCAATAGACGCCGACTCAATCAAATAGCCTTTCATGTCCACAATTCCAAACATCTGAAGTTACCAGCAAAGAACCATATGATGGCAAGTACAGGTCCCAAAATAACGGCCAAGACGATAGCCGTACTAATTGTATAATTTTTTTATCAATCATTGAGTAAACTGCTAGGTGAAAGCGGCAAGAGAAGACCAACTCACGTCGGAAATTGCTCTGATGAACCGGAGCTTGTAGATTGTGCGAAAGCTGGTGTAAACAAGCCCATACAAGTCAGAGTAGCCAAGGCAATTTCCAAGGTATTGAAAACCATATCGAGAGGTTGAGATAGCCTCTCTTCTAGTAACTTGCTTCAGGTCCAGGCGAAGGAATGTCGGGATTTGGAATTTTTGGACGCGTCCATTCTTGATGTAGAGAATGTAGAGCACTAAATTGATAACGGAAAAAAGGCCGCTTTCGAATCGCGTAATGGATTGCTTTTGACACCATTTCTACTACCCTCGATTTCAACAATAGAATTGTTGAAAACAGCACCTTGAACTTCTAAACATCAATACAACAAAGACTTCAACAAAAATGGGTAACGACGGCCTATAGGACAAAGTGCCAGGCATCCAGGCAACTATAGGTCTGACATGTAAGCATGGAAGGTTTCTCCGTTCACCAAAGCGAAGCTTCATCAGATATGGCAACAAGTACTGTTGCTGTTAAAGAGACGCACCACGTACCACTATCGTCTGCAGTGGATAGGGACCCCTGCCAGAAATGGTCCATGAACACGAGATGCTGAGCAGCACAGCGCTGATGGTTCGTGCCTCAACACCTCCACCTTCGTTTTGCGCTGCATGGGCTCTGTGGGTAATTGAGGTCAACGCTTCTTCGGATTGCTGGTCTTGCTGAAGAAGCCTTGGCGAGCGAAGGAGGTGGAGGTGCCACGAAAGTGGTTGGTTGAAACGAGGTGTCTGGGTGTCTGGTCTCTTAGGCCATGTGGGCATAGACTGTCCCAACGCCCGTTTGAGAGACACAGACGGCCTATGTAGTATAACCTTGCACCCTTTGTAACGCATTCATAAAGTATTATATTCAATTCATACACACATGGAATTTGACTGAATTTTCGGTACTAGAGGTCTCCGTAAGAGAATAATGGTAAAAACAAAACTCTTGCATTAGTCGACGTTCTACGAAACCAGACCACATAAGGAGCATGATTGAACTCATATCCTGCTATATATGAGCTCGTTTTCCTCTTAGATGGTAACGTGAAACTCTCCAAAGCTTCGAAATGTTATCAGCACACATCACCGCCGACCGAATTCCATAGCCCATCGCGTGTCATATGACTGGAAGAGAGTCTGAATATCTCGTACGAGTAGTATAGACACGTGGCAGCCCTGAAATTCCAAGTTTACTTAGTCCATGATGGGCAAACGCGAAATCTTGGGCAAAAGTAGATTGATGTCACATATTGGCACGATTTCGACGTTTTGTTTCGCTCGGAAAAGCACTATAATAGCAATTCATTGAGTTAGATATCTCATAACTGTGCAGAACTACCATCCCAGTTCAAGCCTTACAAACAGCCAAAAAACATTCCAACAACCCCATCGCATACCAAACCAACAACAATGTCAGCAGCTACAAAAGCCGCCGATCTCGCCTTCAAAATCGTCGGCGGTGGCCTCATGGTGTTTACGCTTGTTGGAACTCTGAATAGTATTGCGACGGTTTATGATGTCAAACAAAGGGCGGATAGTAGGCGGTCTGAAGCTGTAAGTCAAGGAACTGGGTTCAGTAGTCGAGGCGTCTATGTAGCTTGAAGCCTGTTTAATTAACTGCTGGATTTGTATGTAGGAGCAACGACATCAAATGAGCGAATTTGCATCGGAGGGGCAAGTACAGGCTGCTGCTGTCCCTGTGGAGAAGCAATAATAGGTTTGGACGAATGTGTTCTCTTTACGTGACGGTGGTTCGTTTCTGATTCCTATTTTCGATAGATCCAACCTGAACAAAAACCATCGCATCTCAAAAACATCAACACCCTTTTTGATTGTTTTGTATATTATTGGAAATCAACTGCAACCGCCACATAGAAACATTAGTTTACTCTTATGACATTTCTTGAAGTTCAAGAGCTCTGTTGTAAAGAAAGTTAGGTTGAATCAGGTTGCGTCACCGGAAACACAAACAGGACTTACGGCTCTGACTCCATTCTCGCTGGACGTGGAGACTCTCCCGCTCGGCCCGCTCCAACATGTCGTGCAGACCCCGTTTGTGAGAGTCGTGAAGCCTCCATCTGGGAGAGCTTGCCATCTGGATTTATAGCTGCTGCGAATTTCTTGATCATGATGCCGTAGGTTGCTATTCGGAAAGAGAAGAAATTATTAGCTGAAAAGTTCGTTGGGCGAACCAGATTGGAGAGTCAAGTCGTGTACCTTGCATCAAAGCAATCTAAAAGAATGTTGTTGGGTGAGTCCTTGCCCAAAAAAAAACACATTCTGGCCTCGTATCTCACCTCACTGAGCATAGACAGCTTATCCGAGTACCCTTGACCAGACACATCAAACTTGAAATCTTTTGCATCAGTCATCATCTTCTTCATGTTCTTCAATGGTCGAGAAATGGCGATTGACATGATTGTTGTAGCGAGGATTGCAACCACACAGATGCATGCTGCAACGATTGCAGTGTTTCGTTGAGCTACTTCGCCGCCAGTGTATACGTCCCCTCGTGGTATGGCTATGACTACTAGCCATCTGTTGACAAGAGAGTACTGATATTAGCTAAGGGTGAAAAAGAACACCGGCTTTTTTTTTCCTTACGCCAAATTCGATCTTTGAATCCACTTCGCGTCCAAGAATACGCTTCCAGTGGTTGTGGTTACAACTGCTGAGAATCCTGAGCTGGGAACGCTGGCTAACCCACCAAACAATTGGGAAAGATAGTTTGATGTGTCCTAAAGGAGCAAAAAACTCAGCCACGGCAATTTCTTCTATAATAAACAATTCACTTACGGCAATCACAGAGTTAGGACTAGATATAGCAGTGTACATGCTAGTGCCATAGTTCACTTGAGACGCGTTTGCACTTGATGATGAGACTATGATTTTGGCAATGGTCAAAAAAGCCACCTGAAACCCAGTCGCTTGCTATAGACCAATATTTCACTCACTCATTTGACCTGCAGAGTTCACAACATAAACCACTGCATTAGGAGTAACTGGAATGGTTGCCAAAGACCTTTCCAACCAAGTCACATCCAGGCCAATCCATGCTGTAAAGGTATAGAATCCTGCTGAGTAGTTTCCGTATGGCTGGTTGTAGTATGCGACACGGAGGTATGGTACTATTAAAAATCTATACTGTGAGACAGTGGCAAAAAATCCGTTGCTGCCATCAACATACAGTACGCATTGTACCCAGTTCCATTAGCACTGGCGGTAAACAGTGGAGTACTGCCCCAGAATGATGGCTATATGTACGTGAGAAGGCTGACGACGACGCTTGATGTCGAGAACGTACACAATACATACTGTTTGTGCATATCCAGAGATAGAAAGCACTTGGTTGCCATGGTATGGCCCATTGTAGGTGGAAGACACAGTCCCCTAGAGCAAAAAACCCGTCACTTCTCGTAAATACACCCCAACGTGAAGAGGGAACAACTTGAACATACGATACTGGCTTGATAACTGAGGTCCAAAGCTGAGTCAAAGCACTTTACAATGTATGTTCCGGCATTGTATGTTGTCGAGTCAAAGTAACAGACTAAAAATGTATTCGAATGAATGCCTTCAACAACGAACACAGATGTCAAACGGGTTTCGTACATGTGTTGTTTTGACGTCCCCACATTAGTCCAGAGTTATCTAAACAAAGGCAGTTCAAAAGAAGCAAAACGCAAAAAAACTACTCATCTCGCTACTCATCGTACCTCCAATGTACGTCCCAACAGTCTGACACGCAGGCATATTAGCACAAGCCCGATACATCAATCCCAGAACACTGCTAGTCCCAGTAACAGTTCCCAGATTCAAAGATGTTGTGCCGGTTGACTGTACCGATGAGTCTTGGTTCATGAATGCGTAATAGTTTGGCTGTTCTGTCATGGACGCCAAACTTGATTCCAATTGGGTTAGAGTGTTTGTGACTAGATGTAAAAACGAGCGAGTCAAATACGGAATAACTGGTGCCAAGTAGGTCGGGATACCACGTACGGTTTGAAGCGAGACGTTGCAGCGAGTTAGATCTGACTGATCCTGACATTGAATCTAACGATGTAGATGTGGAGGACTGGCTGACCAGACCGACTACAAGGCCGAGACCACCGGCGATACAAGCGACTTCCACTATATCATGAATATTTTATCAATTTCAAAGTATCATTTTGTTGCTGCTCTAAATTCTTGGCAGTCTGACTGTGAAGCAAGACGTGCCAAATACTCACAGATAAATACGGCCCATATCGGGATCTTGAATCCTGAAGGTCTTGAACCCAGTCTATTACGAGATGCACGGTTTAGACGCAAGATCGTAATTCAGGACGAAATTTCAAATGATTTAATGGCAAGTGTTGTAGATCTTACCGCGATTTCACAGCATCCGTATCCGACATCATTTTATCTACCTGATCCTTTGATGAATGACGGTCTTAGGTTCTTCTTTGTCTTCTTGAAATTCGGTTTGCCAATTCCTGCGTAGCAACCATCAGACGAACGGAAACTTTTGTAAGGGCGAAGAGGGCATCTATATTGGCCACTCATGGCTGCCTAAAATTGATATTTAAATTAATTGGTACTTTAAGGTAAGCTATCTGCTCCATCCTCGTTTTCTTTCTCAAATGCTCAATGAAGAAAAATCAGCATACAAAATATCTCTGAAATCAAGCATGTTGATACCTTCATTTATTAAGTTTCAGCCTTGTCGGAGAGCATCTTTTACTTGATTACGTTCTTAATACTCGTATGGGTTTGATGACTGACATCTTGAACGTTTTGTAGGTAAGAAAAAAAACACAGCGGATTACCCTCGAGTTCATCGACTGTTGGATACGATGACACTATTTGACGGGCGGACAGACAAGGCGCATTGTGTACAAATTATGTGTCCTTATAATTATGTTGAATGTCAAGTTTTTCTGATCCTCTTCTTTGGATGATGTCGTTTGGGTAAGCCAGCACACACATCAATGGACTAATCAAGACCTCATCATTCTTGGCAGGATATGCAACAAGTGGTATCGAATATCCCATCTCTGTTTGCTGCTTCTCGTCCTGAGCTAGAGGCGCAAGCTAGAGAAAAAGCTCACAAAGGTTGGCATCACAGCGTTCAACAATTTGTTTTCTGTTCACACTCCTAACATCCTTCCCACACCAGCCACTGCCGAAGTATCAGACCTGACAACCCATCTCTTCAACGAATCATCACTCGGCCTATATCGTATACACGAGAACGTCCACCGCCGAGTTCCACAGCTAGTCCGTGATAGACGAGAATTGAAACTGATCAATGATTTACTGACTAAAGCAAACAAGGATTTGGTTGAAGCCAAGGAAATCACATCCTCCTTGAAGGATATTACGGCTTTTCACGATTCGCGGCAACTTATGATGAGGATTGTAAGGGCTTCTGATAAGAAGGCTTCAAGATGAGTACTGTTTATTCAGAGGGATATATCTGTGGTACAAATTAATGCGGTGTCTCTCAGTGCCTATTGTGTAAATTGTAACTTTGTGAAAAGTAATAGATGTAGACAGTTTTCTAACTTACCCCTAATCGGTGTGTGCGGTTTGCGATTTGGTATTCTTCGGCTGCAATCATATCGATAAAGGCATTGCTAGTAGACGTTGTTTAGCTCTTGAACGGTTGAAGTTGAGAGTTTGAAAGTAAACTCACATGGACGGATAATGTACAATGGAAATCTCATTCCACCACAGAATCCCATCTCTTAATCCTCGACTATCATGCTGTCCGGCAGCTGGAGGTACCACATTTCCAACCAATTTCGCGTTTCCTCCCCGTTTTGCAGCTACTGGATTGAATGCCTATAACAAAGAACACTGTCAGAGGAATACTCTCATTGACAGGAATGCTGATCTCACTCACCTGTCCATATTTATAGTACTGGGCTTTGCCGTCCGTCAACGACGTGAAATTCAATAGGTTGAGCATGGTGATACTGCCCGGATTCTTAGGTGTGAATCTGGCAGCGAATTCCAACAACTCAGGAGAGAGCTCCAAGTTCTTGCTACTATCTGTCGACGGTTTAGGCAGAGGCCCGATTTTGGGATGAGGTTTGGCTTGTAGCTCCTTGTTTCGTTCATCATATGTATCGAGTAGTCGTGAAGGAATCTACAACCGTGAGGAACATCGAAGTTTGTTCCAAATCATTGCATTAATGTGCCATCATTAATCACTCACACCAACAGTAATGCGATACGACTGCAAGACACCTTGCATCACATTCGTCTCCAACGATTGAACGCCATCAACCAAGACCATAACATCCCATTTCGTTCGATTGATGTAGTCGGAATCGATGACTTCGGTTCTGATGACTTGGAAGTGGACTTTGGACGCAACGACGATCTTTCTGCCTGATGATTTTATGGCGTCGAGGGTTGATTTGATGTTGGTGTCGGCAGAGTCCTTGGTGGGTTTTAGCTGGAGAAGGTATAGGCTCAGGCCCGGCATAGTCGAGTTTCTGAATGGGGAATGTTAGTAAGGGAGGGTTTGAAACAGCTTTTGGGTTTGCAAAAGTAGAGGTTCAACATTAGGTAATTCGTGGATTTGATGACTCTGCATCAGCAGTGGGCACCAGTGGAAAACAAAGGGTAAAACTCACGTACTTGAGGTCCGAAGAAAGCACTAGTCGCCTCCTTGTCTTCTTATTGAACGTTGGTGTGCTTAGTCAGAAGGCAGTTTGGCTCAAAATGTTGCCGGACGACAAGATAGACGTGATCAACTTTTTGAGCGTTGAAAATATCTGGCCTATACGCTCTTCAGTCAGTTCCTGCCCTTTTGAACGGTGTCTTGCTGCAACTTAAAGTCGGAACTTCAGACGTAAATCTGTGGGAGAACCGAAAACGTGATAGAGCACACAAAAACTGATATTATGAGAACTTTGAGTCCTCCGGTGACTTTCGCAGAGGCATGAAACTGCATCGAGAATTGCAGGTAGACTTGAATGTCTATATACAAAAGAGAAATTCGTGTTTGCGGCCTTTTGCAATTCGCACAGGAAAAGTTTCATGGCTTCATGGCAGTCCATTGAGTGGTGACGTAATTTGCTCATACACCATCAAATAAAATCCCTTTCATGTTAAAGCGACGCCTATCCGATTACGCGATCTCACACCGCGTGTAATGACAAACAAGATGCTATTGCGAGGGCAGCTATAGAAACTGAATGGCTCTCAATGTCATGGCTTCCACATCGTAAACATCGTGGTATTAGGTAGTACACGAAGCTCGATGCATGGAGATTGCCTTGGTGCAATAGAAAGGGCAGGTGATTATGAAAATTGCAGATGCAGGGTCCAATTGAATCCGCATCAGTCTCTATCCAATAATTGCTCCATATATCGCGATACTTCGTGCAAACTCATAGCAGACTCATAGCAAACTCATAGCAATAGAATTTGTAATTTCATCATCCATCGTTCGGACCACCATTACGGGTCCAACGCTTGCGACCACGATGTTTTATCTCCATACCAAGCGGCGAAGACATACACGTTCGTTTCAGGTCTTGAGATGCAAGATATCGTGTCAGAAGTCATCACATGCAGCAATTGGTCGCTGACCCGAAAACGTGTTGGACGCAACAGGAGCCACTTGCGTGTAAGTTCAAAGGGCGAAAGACTTCCATATGAGCATTCCGTTATATCTGCACTGCCATGGTGGCCTATCGCCCGACGTAACCAAAGGAAATAAGAGTTGCGTACCTTCGCGATTCCAGCGAGAACCTCCACAGATCTCAACCACAGCGAGCTTTCCATGACCTTTTGATGTAAGGCTGTATTTTTGATTACTCTAAATGCGGAATCGAAAACTGTAATGCGTCCTTGGATGGAAATGGATGTGCTGATGAGCAAGCACCGATTTATCGATTTTGCAGTAAAACACCACGAGCAAGTCAATGAGCAACCTTAAGTAAGAGAAGGTATCGTATTTAAAGTGGCGACTTGATACAGAGAATCTGTATATACCTCTATAGAACATTGTTTCGCGAATGTAACAGAATTCGGGATTTCCGTTTTGCAACGTCACGCTTGACTCCCTTGTCTCACCCATTACAACTTTATCAACTCTGGCAATTTCGTGGTCAGTCCGTAGCGGGAGGACGATATCATAAAATGGCAGCCATGACGCAACTTGCCAACAATTGGTTCAAGCTTGTCAACTTTAGCTCGGACTACATTGGAGAAACTGGGACCTTTATGTTGGCATAGTAAGTTGCCGAACCGAGATCACGCAGAAACAGATCCTAACCACGTTCTAACTATGTTTTCTCACCCAGTTTCGTCCTCCGTAAATCAATCGCATTCGTAATCGGCAGTATATTCGATTATATAGAAATCAATGGATACTGCCAGGACTACAAGCTTCAACCACACCGTGTCATCACACCGGAAGCACGAAAGAAAGGTGAATGATTGTTGAAGATTCGACAGTTACTTTCATATAGCTCCAAATCTATCCGTTGATATTAACTGCACATTCCACGAAAAAAGCATGGGACAGATTCATGGGACCACAGGCCATTATCGGTACCTTATTGATTGATTTCCCCATAAGCTATTCGTTTTACGCTACGTTGAAGTATATGTACAATTTTGACGTCAGAGCAAACCCCAATGATTTCGTTTGGTGGGATACTGCACTGAGGGTTGCCGCTGCTATCGTGAGTACCATGTCGGCCAAGTTCGATTTGGGTACATAGACGTCTAATATTTCCTTGTTTTTAGTACATCGATGACATCTGGTTGTTCTGTATGCATGTGCTGTTTCACAAAGTGCCATTCCTTTACAGGTTTGTTGGGAAACGCGAGAATTGAGCAATCAGGATTGCTGTAACCAACACACATCCATTTGTAGGATGAATCATAAATACCACCACACCAATACCTCTTGCAGGCCTCTGATATGCACAAACACGATTGGTTTGGGTGATGTGCTCTTCCAGGCTCAAGCTGGAAACATGGTTGCCGTCTTATTAACTCGACTGCCATTCCACGCCTTCTTGATATACTCCTTTTGCGTGACTTATATGGGGTACATGATACACTGTGGATATGAATTGCCATTTGAACCATACACAAGGATGTGGCCTGCGTCGGCCTTCCATGAGGTATGTAAATGCTAAATAGGAATTAGAGGTTGAATTGTACTGACTGATTCTCGGGTATTAGCACCACCATCTCTCATTCACACAGTCATACCAAGCTTACTTGCCAGGCCTTGACTATCTGTTTGGGACAGACAAGGCGTTTTGGGAGTGGCGTGCACGGTTGCGAGATCCCAAAACAGGGAAGTGGCATGCACCGAAGAAATGGACCCCGCCAAATGATGATACGACAGACCAACAGGCGTCTTTGATTGTCGATAAGGAGGAGTAGGTGAGTAAATCGGAAATTTAGTATAAAAATGAATAAACTTGTAAGTTGTTTGGAGTAAAGAAGTGCATTGTTTCCATACTGAGTTTGTTATGCTGCTGTTTAGCTCGATATAACACCCTTATGTCGTAGAATTCGGTATGTTTTGTTGGCCTTTACACAGTTTGGGCTAGACGGGCATGAGAAGAGCCCAATAGATAAATCTGAATGCCCTTCCACATATAAAACACAATTGATCCAGAAATGAATAGTGCCAGATCCCGAACGATGGTTCAACTCGAGTCTCGACAACTTTGATCGTCTCAACACCGCCTACACCACCGTTCTTAGTAGATCAAGCATGAAGAATTGATTTCAATACAGGCAAGTCCAGTACAGTCACGAACAGGATCCTCTTGAAATAACAAAAACACGAATTGTCGTGCAAAGTTGAAGTGTTGTTGAACCGATGAATTGTACGTGTTTCACTAGTATGGGAATCTGGGATCAATATAAGGTTCACGAATTGAGGTCCAAACCACGTTTTTCATACCGTATTGGTGATTGTCTCCCCCAACCTCAAACTTGAGGCTCGCTGAACATTCGCCTTTGATTCCTAACTTCTGATCCAACAACTCACTAGAGGATTGGAATGAAGGTCTCCAGGAGCAAGATCCAGACCTCCAGACCACTATATCTATGTATACAGAGCATGGCATAGTCATCGTAGCATGATTTGAAGATTGATTGGATACTGCTTTATTGTACTTGTTGTCAAATGCTGACATCCACATTCTTTGTTGTCCAGCCAGGCCAGTACTGCCACATCAAGAAGACCACCTTCTATTCCATGGAGGAGAACAGAACCATTCAGTGACTTATCCCACCTCTGAATGTCGTATCTTTTGAAGATGTTGCATCAAGTGTTACGGTTGCTCCATTGCCTACGGCGTCTGAAAACTGAATGGATCTATATGACGCTCCCACCGTCAGCAGAGGGCATGTGCAAGTAGTGGCCATGAGCACGAGATGAACTGCCAATCGTGCCTAAAAAGCTCTGTTGGCTCGTGAACCCATTTGCTTGAATCATAACATGGCTTGATTGGTGAAATGAGTCTTGTCCAAACGAGTTGGGTAGAGTGGATCCACGTTTACGTGGTTGGGTCTAGTACTGATGGTAGCTAGACTGTGAAAAACACCCGTATCTCAACTCGGACAAGTATGTTTGAGTTACTTTCTATCACAACGTGTCTCTTTGGAATACATGTAATGCAGCCAATGCCGGTCCCAAACTCGGAGAAATGCAGAGGGCCTACACTAACAACATTTGTACTGATTTAGTGGGGCTCGAAGCACTAACCTGTTGACACCTTCATCAGAGAGTGGTTGATCCGGGATTTATTCGGGAGCTGAGTGTAAAGTGTAAAAATGAATGTGTATAATACAGAACATATCGGATCATACATCTGATTGGTTCTGTGATCGTAGCGCTGGATAGGCTGTTTGACATTGACGTTAGAATCGCGTTTAATGAAAGGAAATGAGAGAGTCCATGCGATAAGCCTGGGGAATAACGAAGAAATCTATTAAGATCGCCATTGATTGTTTATACTTGCCACATGTCTTTCATTGAAGCCACAACAACAAAGCTAGAAAACATTGGATAGTATTGATAGAGCGCTCCTCGATTGATATTCCTCTGTTTGCCACAGTTTACATCGGGCTCTAAATACATCAGGTACATTCTGCGCTGTAAACTCAAGAGCAACTCAACATTGTCAACTTTTTGGAATTGCTCCGCTATTGCGCTAATCGGTGTATTGAGACGATGATATGAACTTACGTTTCTATAGTATTCATACCTATAGACCGTCTTCAATATGGCGGATGAAGCGGGGAAAGCCCCTCAAACTGAAGCATCAACATTGGAAACGCAAACAGTTTCAGCTGAGAATGAATTGCAGCAGCAGCCATCTACTACACCTCTGCCGTCTGACTTTGAGTCGTCTGCTGAAAAGCTGGAAAAGATTAAGGAACGATTCAATCAACAGATTCTTTTACGAAAGCAATCAACTGTCAGCGGATCTCCACCCGACGAAGCTTCGTTGTTAGAGAGAGTTATGAATGAAAAGGATTGGGCTTCACCTATACTAGAAGAGAACGAAAGGAAGCTGGCTGCTGCTGCTTCCGTATCTGGTGCTAGTGATGCTACAGTACCAAAAACAATAATTATCGATGCTAATAGTAATCACGCTGCCAAGCTTGACAATACCAATATAAAATCCTCTTCTTCTCCGATCGACGAAGACGCTGTCGCTCCATTATTACCACCACGACCACGCCTTGGTGTGCCTGATTTACGAGCACGACCATCATCTATCGCAATAGAAGCCATAGTCGCAGCTGTACCAGATGAAGATCCCAATGTAGAATGTGATCACCGTCGATTTATTGATCCAGCTGGTCATGCCACGTGTCTCAAATGTAAAACTAGAATAGCTCCATTAGCAAAACTACATGCTGAACGTGACGGCCTGCAGTACAAGCTTGAAAATGCCAAAAAGAGGATGGAAGAAACCAATAAACGTGAGGAACAGCTGGAATTGGAGTTTGATAAACAGGCTGCTATAGTAGCTGCCCTTCAAAAGGCACTAGAGGCTAAAGAAGCTGAAGTCGTCACAGTACGACGAGATATCCAGACAATGGGTGAAAAACTCGTAGATGAGATTGAGAAACGAGCTGAAATGCAGCATTCAAAGGAAACCTTCCAAGATGAATTGGAGGATTTGACGAAAAAGTTGTTTGAGGAAGCCAACATCCTCGTGTCTGATGAGGCCAGGAGGCGGCATTTTCACGAGACTAGAGGAGTCGCTTTAGAAAAGCAACTAGGTGAAATAAAACAGGAGTTACAGACGGCTCATGATCAATTACGAGAGCTAAAGAGTAAAATGGAACGATACTTGATATCTAGAGAAGCCAGTCAAGACGAATTCGACGAATTTGCTATCGAAGAGCCACCATCAACGCCCATGCTCGAATCCACTGAACTCACTCACACTGAAACTGCATCGACCGAGTCATCAGATATAATAAATCCACGGGATGTGACCATGTCCGCTAGTAGTAGTACACCTATACCCTCGTCCGTAGTAGCAACACCGTCTACCACCTCATCACCGTCACGATCTGCCGATAAACGAGCATCCTATGGTCCTTTGGTTATAGAAGATGAGTTTGCCGACGTCATTGATCCCATCCTATATGCCGAATTCGTAGAGTTTTTGAGTCAGCCAATGAGCATGAAACTCAGTAAAATAAATTTTATGAAGAATGCACTAGAAGATGATGTAGAGCCATGTCTCAAGTTTGGTGGTAATCCTAGAACGAGCACCAAGAAACTTGTAGATGCTATGACCATAAATTCAGTCTTTGTAGAAGAAATACCCAAGTCTGAATTGCTAGCCGAGGAAGAACGAGAACGTAAAGCTAAAGACGCATGGCATGCACAAGAACAAGCGAGACTTGAAGCACAAGCTCGTGTAGAAGCAGCTATAAGAGCTACTGATGCTGGATTGGGAATTGATGTATCTGAACCTAGTGCTGGTGAAGGTCATCCTACCATCAATGCAAGTGGCACAAATCCATCATCAAGTGTGATAACACCACAAGGTAGTCCGAGTCATAATAGTGCCTCAATAACATCTCCAAGTGGATCACCACAAGCAAAAGCGGATGTAGTCACGACAGCATCGTCGTCTGCTAGTGCTGTGGCCGCTTCACTCTTACGAAATCTGACACCTCGTGGGATAACGGGATCTGAAGATCATCTGCCACCCACTGCTCCAACCACAAATAGTAGTAGCGCAGCAGCAGCCAAGGCAATGCCCACCAAAGCCATCTTTAACAAGACAATATGGGAACGAATGTCTTCTGGCACTTTAACAGGTCGACCCGTAGCAGCACCACCCACATCCGTCACGACTGTAACTATAGAAGGCTATACACCACCCGTATGTATGACATGTGGTCGAACAGGTCGATGTAGATATAGGTTCCGTATATCCGAAAACTCTAACGACGGGTGGATTCCAGTATGTATGCAATGTCGAGATCGTATAGTCGCCGCCTGTGATTTCTACGAATTCGTACGACATGTCAGAAACGGATTATATCGAGGTCGTAAACCAGAAGAGGTATATGTAGAGTCCTTAGCAGTCAAACGACGTATGTTTTTCGCTAGGATTGGAGCAGCTCATTACGCCAAAGTGGAGCGAGGGTTGGGTAAAATACGTATTGGTAAACCTGGATCACTGGCTTCCAAAGCTTCCAATGTGTCTGTGAGCGCACATGGTCTAGATGCACCACCACCACGCAGCTCATCTATTATACCGCCCGTTACTCCAACGAATGAATCAAGTGGTAGACGATCGTCTGTAGCATCGTCTTCGGAGGGGTTGGCACTTACAGAGTCAAGTAGAACATCGGAGGATGCGCAGGTACCAGCAAAACCTGTTGTTGAATTGGGCGCTGATGGTTTGCCTAAAATGACGTTGAGCCCATTGATGCCCAAGTCATTGTTGGACTAGAGAGGTATACACAGTATCATCGTGAAAGTATTTAGATAAAATGTATCTTTGACAGCAAAATAAACCTTTGCAATAATAGTGTAAGACTCGATTTTGGATTCGAATAGTTGAGTGTGGTTTATTTACTTAAATATGGCAAGGCAAAAAAAAATCTGCACGGAGACACTACGCTGTTAACTAAGCCAGCCACAACTCCACAAAAACTTCGTATCGTCATTGAGTATTAATAGCCAGCAATGCACTTGTGCTTTAGGCGCTGTTCGAAGAACATCTTGCGTGCTGGTCCTGTAAAAACTAACATACCATTTGGCAGGACAAACCCACAAGCACCCAGCTCTCCCGATGCTCCGAGTGGTAGATATTCTGCACAAACCACCAGATGGTATTGAAATTTCAAGGATACGATTTGATGCTGGTATGTCGAGAGTATCAAAATTGTGTCAGTGCCAACGGAGAAAAACAAACCGAAAACTGGACAGAGAATATGCAATACGTTCATTATAAACATTGGGTGCCTCTACCACTCTCCAAATCCCATATTTTTCAGCGTAATCATATTCTGATCCACATAGGATACGCCCATCAATCAACACTTCCACAATGTAAATACCAGCTTGTATAGTGAGACTACGAATCTCAATACTAGTATCAGCATTTCATATTTTGAGGGTGCAGCTATCGGATCCTGATATAAGTAGATTGTCTGATGCGACGACGGAATATACACGGCCTGGGTGTCCTGTGAGAGTACCTATCTCAGTCCGTGTATGTGCATATCATAACAGTGCTGCAATTCGATGCGCGACTCAGGATTCACGAGAATGAATGTTCGTTCAAGTTGGCTTGCACGTGCAAAAGTGCAAATTCCAATGTTGAAGGATAGTGGTCTTTCCTGGTTGCAAGTACACTGCTGGAGACAGATAATGGTAAGCTCCGAGACATAGTATGGTGAATCTGGCCTAAAATTCCAAACTGGAACGGATGGGCTGGCTTGAAATTCCTAGAAATGAATTTTCAAAAATTCAGTTGAAAATTGACAGGTCTTCAGAAATGAAGGACACGAAGGAGAATTTGCATACTTTTCGAAACTCTGACGGATAGCGAGGTACTTAAATCAGACAGGACTCAGGCAAGTTATTCGGCAGCTTCCATTGAGTGGCAGTGCAACTTACCGAATATTCATAAATTCCAACTTGAGCCCTCAAAGTCTATAGGTAATAGGATTTCTGTTTATTGTGCACCTTTAAAGCACTCTATAACAAACCCACCGTCTCTTCACCCATTTCAATACACCCAGATTCATACGCAGCAAAAAATACCCCCACATTCACCAAAAAAACAGCCAAGCCGCAAAGCTCACCCATCAACGTCAAATGACATTGACACAGACAAATCGAGACCAGGATGCATCATGTTCAACTCTGGGCAGTACTGGAAGCCTGCTGTCCAATATCCCAAGTGATGCGGCAAAAACGCCAAAAGAGCTGATGACTTGGATTCAATCTCAGCAAGGTGTGATACCCAAGTGCAAGCCGCCGAATGTACATCAGTTTCTGAGGAGTCGTAAGGAGGGGAATGGGTGTTTGGTTGAGACTATACGTGAGTTGCTGTGAGTTTGTATGTGGAATACATCGTGTACTGACGCTCCTTTGTTTGTAGAGAGATTCTTGAATAAGGCAACTACAGTGATTTGGGATATGGATCTTACAGAGAATGTGGAATTGACATGTATTTGATAGATGGAGTACAACCATATGACATCTGCTCTTACAACTGTAAACAAGAAGCTGCCATTCAATCGGTTGATGAAGGACGCTCAAGATATATTACGACGCGGAATACTGATCAAGTGTTTAGAAGCTGTGGTGCTCTCTATATGTAATGTCTATATGCTGTCATGGTGTTTTTCGAGTATGCGCCAGCTCACACTTTTCTTGGGGGGATAGATTTGACAAACCCGGTTCCAGGAATGGATCGCATACGTGCGTATATACACTGCTCTTATGATTGAAAGATAAGAGTAAGAATTGACACTTCCGTATATCTATCTGGACAGCGCTCGGGTTTGTATCAGAAGAAGGTGGTCAAACGAGACGACACATAATACTATTGATTCGTTACAAGTCAGAATGGGGTGCTCTAGGACTCTCAAGACGCGATGATCTGGCTGGTCGAGCTATGAAAACGTTTCCAGTGCGTAATCCAACATCCGCCGATTTCCCAAAATACTCAACCTTCTCTCGTCTCACGTCTCACAGGATGTGGTTGAACTGATCAAGGACTATCATCAAGCTTATATAAACAGTTGAGATACTACTTTTCTTGCTGTACTGCGCAAAACTTGCAAAATCTTAAGTCTAACTAAGCCACTCTAATCTATTTAAACTTCTTGTTGTTTGCAGATGGGCATGTTTTGAAACGGATTTCGTTGGGAGTGCCTGCAACGCATGATTTGAATAATGTAGATAAGGTCATATGGAGGGTGAGGCATAGTTGATGCGTTGTATTTGTGTGTTTTTGCAACTTGCGTCGGAAACGTTTCACTCACCATGGTTTTATAGCACACGATTGTTGATTTCACTGCGGGTCTGTGGACGCAGCAAGCGAGTGAGAGAATTACATACTGGAGCCGAAATGCACTGTCTCCATTGTCTAGTTCGTCGATGCATATAGTGTTTTAGTTTATGGGAGAGTTTACGCCTTGTGGAGTGCATGCTATATAATGAATAATAGAATATAATGGGTGTCAAGCATCATGTTGCTGCATATAGTTATATACGAGCTTATCTTGCCAAAATCGCTCATTGAACCCTCTTTCCCCTTGTTTTTATGTGTCACACTTCTACTCACTGACAAAACCTGCTCGACGAAGAGGAACGACTTTGTTGTATATATAGCGACCATGTCAGGTCAGCAAAGAGTCAGGGTCTTGTACGATTTCGCAAGCACAGACGATTCGTCATTGGCCCTCAGGAAGGGAGAGACCATCGTTGTTTTGAATACTTTGCCAAATGGGTGGATCGACGGCATGAATAGCAGAAGTGAGCGTGGATGGCTTCCCTCCAACTACGTCGAACTCATCGAGGATCCTCCTTCTTCCACTTCATCGGTAAGTTTAACATCAGGAGATGGTTTGACGATTGAGGTGACGAGCATGAAACAACTTGCTCCGGAGTCAACTTTTAATGGTCAATGGCATATCAGTAAACGTATATTCCATATATGATACTCCACTTCACTGTCTTGTCGGCCAAGCTTCGAGCTTTTACAAGCACACAACAATCGTTTTTCAACTTCCGCCAAAGATACGCAAATGCTTGGCAGATACCAATGCAATTGGAACTGTGCAATTTATATCGGTTACCTGCATACTAGATTGTGCCGAAAGGGACTACTTCCGGATCCCCACTCGCTCTATTTCATCCTACGACTTTTGAAGCTAATGCAGAGTTTCTTGTCGCTAGGCTGCAACTTCTAAATGGATTCGACAGCATGATAATAATGGAAATCTCTTTTATTGTAAGCTGATGGGAAAAGATACATGTGGCGTAAAAACGAATCTAATGGTTGACTTTTACCATAGACAATACTGCAACACATGAATCGGTGTGGAGTCTGCCAGCTGGGGAGCTAGACGATCCTGTCGCAATAGCGAGCGCAGAATCCTTTGGTCGAGACTCTGGTTATCAGTCGGGAACTTCAGCAACAGATCAATTTACTAGTTTGTCAAGAACAATGGCGAATAGAGGGGCTTCTGATGCTGAAAAGGTAATAGGCTACTCGTCTTCAAGATAATGTATCATATTGATACCAATACCCTGCTGTAGATGCCACCGAATTGGAGAGCCAAGAACACGCCGGAAGGCAGAACGTACTTTTATAATGTCATCACAGATCAGACGACATGGACTCTAGACAATGTAAACCCAGAAACAGGTGAACTGAATGCCAGCAGTTTATCAACAGATCGGTCTTCTGGTGGCCATGACTCAAACTCAAACAGTCGGCAGAACGTACCCTCGTCACCAGCCGACGACGTATGGTCATGGAACAAGTTAACAGGAGACGTAGTACTAGCCATACATCAACTCAACCACTCTGTGCGAGCCAACAACAAGGAAAAATTTATACAGCTGGCATCTGGAATAGTAGAAACCATTCGGCTCATGTTGTATGCTTCTGGAACTGCACGTAAAGATACCGGTATTATAGCGAATTCGAAGCTCCTTAAGCTTCATCATCGTGGAATCATGTCCACATTATCGAAACTGGTATTAGCTGCCAAGACGGCTGCTGGTGTATGGCCACCACCAGATGCAGTTGCCAAGATGCAGCAAGCTGCTAACGATGTATTGTTGAGTGTGCGTCAATTCGTGGCTGCTGCTCAAGAAGTCGGTGTAGAAATCAAGCCACCAGGTCTTATACCAGCTGATGATGCTCTTGGTATACCCGAAGTATATTCAAATACCAACGCGCCAGGACAGTCACAATCCACCAATATACCACCAACACCACCTCGTCGTGGATCAGGAAGTAGTGGCACAACAGCACTGAAACAAGCAGCTGCTATACCGATAAACGGTGATGCGGATTCCGTCAGTCATCCCAATGACTCGGAATTGATTGCTGCTCTGGAAATGTTTACGAGATCGATAGTACGAATGATTGCAGGTCTTGTCGCTGCTGTACGGGAAAGTAAATGTAATTCAGCTACTTTGATATCCCAAGTACGAGCCATGGTGACAGAGGTCGGCAATTTCTTGGCATTGGTCGATGAGCTGCCTCTAGATATGCTGAGAGACGACTCCACCATGGATTTCAAAGTCGCGAAACTCGCCTTGTATAATACCATATCGGGCCTCGTCATGGCTACCCAGACCGCTACGTCACCTTTAGCGCCAGCAAATGCTGTAGAACAGGTGCTAATGTCGGCTAGCCTGGTAGAAAAGGCTGTCCGAGATCTGTTAATCGCCACCAAATTCTTGGTCGAAGAAAAAGAATACCTAGAACGAGAAAACCTAGCATCATTCATCGAACAACAACGTAGATCGTCTGGCCCACTTCCTCATCCTATACCACGTAGAGCAGCTTCAACAGGCCATCTAGAATCCGACTTGTATGATCACGAAGGACAGCATGAGCCGAGACGAGAAGTATCTATGCCATCGCTATCGGGTAGTATTCCACGTGGTATCAACTCGCCATCCAAAAGTATGGTAGCGCCATTATCAACGCCACCTGCTACACCGCCCAATGAGTTACAGACTGATACGGCGTTGCGGTTGTCGTCGTCGTCTACTGACAGGCTCAAAAAGATTCTGGAACCAGGAACTGCGTCGTCAGATACTGCATCTAGCTTGAGCTTGAATTCGTCAAAGGCCTGGTATCTAGCTCATGATTATCCACCGCAGGATATAGTGCTGACTGTTGAAGGACGAGTCAAGGCTGGCACGTTTGAGGCGTTGATTGAACGATTGACACTTCACGATGCTCTTGGTAAGGAACCCATAAAATGTTCTGGATCGAAGATGCATTGTCAGCTGCTTCTTCAATTTTTTTTCGCTCGTCTTCGTATTCACTCACATTTCCTGTTACCAAAATCTAGACACATACTACTCTCAAAGCTTCATGCTAACATACCGCTCCTTTATATCCACCACCGAACTATTTGACCTCCTCTTCAAACGCTTCGCCATCCAACCACCCCCAGGCATGTCTTCCGAAGAATTCGAAACGTGGTCTGAAAAAAAGCAAACCCCCATCCGTCTCCGAGTCTTCAACGTTCTCAAACAATGGCTTGAATCATACAGTCTCGACAATGACGAAGACAACACAAACATGAATCGTCTCAAAACCTTTTGTAACAACACCGTCAAACCAGTACTGCCTACACCTGCAGCACAGCTCGAACGCATGATTGAGAAACGACAGACGGGTGGGATTGCGGCTGTACGCAGAATTGTGGGCAATGTAAATAGTAGTCCGGCACCAGCAGTTATCTTCCAGAAGGGGCAGAAGAGAATCAAGTTTCTGGATACGGATCCGTTAGAGTTGGCGAGGCAGTTGACGCTGATTGAGATGAGAGAGTTTTGTAAGATACAGCCGGTTGAGTTTATGAGGAAGGCGTGGAGTGATAAGCAGAATTTGGTGTCTGTAAATATTCGAAATATGATTGCGCAGTCTAATAAGGTATGTTGAGAGCGGTGGCTAGTCGGTCAGTGGCGCACTGATGATTGTAGCTGTCATAATTTCATTTTGTTCCCGTCGATAGATAACCGGCTGGGTCGCCTCCAACATTCTGTCTGAACGCGATATCAAGAAACGGGCGCTTATGATCAAGCATTTCATTATGATTGCTGAGGTTCGTTACATTGACCATGTCTTCTCGAACGATCTTTAGATACTGTTGTTGCTTTGTTTTCCTCTCTTTGAAAACTCACAATATTCTCACCATAGCGCTGCCGAGCGCTAAACAACTTCAACTCCCTCATGTCCATCCTCGCCGGCCTACAATCCTCTCCCATCCACCGTCTCCGCCGCACATGGGACCTCCTCCCTGTAAAATCAAACCAGTCTCTAGATACCCTCCGCCGTCTCATGAACCCAACAAAAAACTTTACCACATACCGCGAATCACTCAAATCTGTCACACCGCCATGTGTGCCCTTCCTCGGTGTATACCTGACAGACCTCACATTTATAGAAGATGGAAACCCGGATGTGCTCAGGAGTAACTCTCGATTGATTAATTTCGGGAAGCACGCCAAGACGGCGGATTTAACGAGGGAAATACAGAGGTTTCAGCAGATGCCGTATAATTTGGTGCTTGTGGGGGAGCTGCAGACGTTTTTGGGGCAGTGTTTGGATGAGACGACGCATACGGATGAGCAGGTGCTGTATACGACGAGTTTGCAGTTGGAGCCAAAGGAGAGAGAGGTAAGCGGTGTCTTTATTGAACTGGGGTGTGGTTGTGAAGTGGAAGTAGGTTGCTCTGTTCGCTTCTGATTTGCATATCTGACTTTTTTTGCCCGCTCAAATAGGATGAGAAGATTGCTAGACTGTTACAAGAGTCTGGATTCTTGTGATTCGCCCGTATTAAAAACACCATAAAGGCCCCATATCATCCAGACAACTTGAAAAAACACCATCATGCCTACATTATCACCATCCATACATCCAATTCTTTGGAAGGAACCAAAGAGCAAAAAGGCCACACCATCATATCGCATAATTGATTTTAGAAAGTAGTACAAAAAAACTGTCTCTACATTTTGAATAACATACTCTTCATCGTCACACTTCGTTGTGGTTTATAATTGGTTATAATTTTTTTGTTTTGATTTGAAACAGACACGAATCTCTGAAACAAGTTCTAGACAGGAACGATTCAGGCATCAGGCGGCCTTTAGCCTGACTCACAGATGTTGACCTGCAAACATGAGAGGTTTGGCATTGTGAGCCAAAAAACGCTAATCGGAATGAAATCAAATAACCCAACAACGGCGGGATCTTCCCATTTGACTCATGACCAAAAGATAAATGTGTTAAGAACAACATACCAAAGCCTTCTCGAGTCCCATTCCAGTCTTCTTCTCGATCTTGTGTCGTAGCGAGACACCGTATCGTTTAGCGTAGGCTTCCTTGACTTGGGCCATGATTGCGGGTTCACGGTGTCTGATCATTAGACGAATCTATGATGGATGAATGGTATTGAGCTTTTAGCTAAAACATGGCTTTCCAAAACTGAAAAACGTAAAATGATGACTCAATTACCAATTTCTCTTCATTAGTGTTCAGCATTCCAAAACACTTTTCGATTTGCTCGGCGACAAAGAGAGGTCGGTCGTTGACGGAATCAACTGAAGAAGAAGAAAAATGGTTGGTTGGTGATTAGAAGAAACAATCTCAATTCTGCCGTTTGATCTCTGAAAAAGGCAAACCACTTACGGAGCAAGAGCAGCGCCTTTTCCAAATCACCACTGAACTCCTTCTTTACGACAGTAGTGAATGGCTTGTTGTGTTTCTTTTCATATGCAGCAAACACTTTTTTCTAAAGATATTAAAACAAAAGAAAAGACCTTCTTCGTCAGTGGGAAGTCCTGATGCGAACTTGGGATAACAAGCAACTCACCAAGTGTGCATCACTACGGTTACACAGGACCGAGAAGAATTCGGCTTCATCGGTACCCCATTTGCCTTCACCGGCCTTGTACAAGCGTTCAACGTCCTATTTTTGCAAAATAAAGGGAGGAGATGTGTTAAGGTCCATCAAACCCTCTCTGCACGGTAAAGTGTAAAGCTTACCAAGTCAACATCCATGGCAGCCTCACTTTCAGGACGTTCACCTTGCAGCAAGATGGTAACGAGTTTCTTCATGTTGCCACCAAAGTCGGATTCAACAAACTGGGTTGAGAAAGATATGGGGGATGATGAAAGTTAGAAAATGGAAAACATGTTTTGCTAACACAAAAAAGCTGCACAACTCAAGTGCTTGCATAGAAACATACCTTTTCCATCTTCTTCTCATACACATCAAAGAACGCCTCCTTCATAGCCTTAATCTCAGCATTCGAGCGTCCAACAAGGACCTCAATGACGGTTGCTTCATCGGTACCAACACCGTGCACGGCATGGTAGAGCGCTTCAGCATCTACACGGGCCAATGGCTTAACGAGATCTTGGAGGAGATGGCCGACATGGCCGCCGACTTCAGAGTGGAGTTTCTTGACGAGGTCTTCACCTTAAAACGAGAGGGCGTTTCAATAAAAGGAAATAGTGTAGTTTGATCCTGTAAGTATACATACCAAAGTTTGCCTTGTAGGCTTTGCCGATTTGCTCGCCTTGGTTGGGGGTGCGCTTGCCGAGGATTGTTACGAGGACGTCCATGTCTGGTGTTGATGACAAGAACAATAGGAAGAACTAAGAAACAAAATGGATATAACGGTATTTTGATGAGTGTAGGCATACCTTTTCCGATTCCCTTCATGGCTTCACGGAGCCCGTGGACGTCATGGTCGACCTATTAAACAACGTGAAAATGTTGGACCCCAGGAGGCGCAATATGTGATCCCAGGATGAAATTATTACCTCGGCGGCAGAGAGCAGTGGGCTCTGGACAGAGTAGAAGGATGATGCAGCAGACATTTTGTGTTGTGTTGTGTGTTCTATGTCAACAAAGATAAATGTTAGAAGGTTGGGTTGACATGGGATACATCGAAGTGGGCGTTCTCGAGGCGCGAACGGGGAGGTAAATTAGAAGCAGGCTTACTTGGAACTAGATAGTGATACTTTCTATGTTAGAGAACTGGTATGGTGTGCGTGGGTGGTTGGTAATTATCACAAAAAGAAACAAGTGGTCTATGACCGCCGACTCGGAAACCAGCGAGTAGTGGAGTAAGAAAACAACGTGCAATTGCGTGAATTGTAGGCGTACCTTTCTAGTATAATATTTTGTATTGTAGGTTGCGTTGCAAGATACGATTGTTTGAGTTGTTGGGATGTTGCGAGGTGTCGAGTGTGGCAGTGAATCTCGGTGCGCGAATCAGAGAACAATCGAAGCATCAACCCCACCACCAAATGCCATTTCGGTGCTCCGAAGGCGCAGCTACTCATTGCCATGGAGAGCGAGTATCTTGGTGGACGTGCTTGTTGTCTGCAAGCTTGGAATGTTGTCGTTTTTGGTGCTGCTATTTATTTGGTGTTGGAAATGGCGTTCTTTGCTAACCGCGGCAGTGAAAATATGATATATTAACCTTTGAATTATGCTATGGAATTTAAAATGAGCGTGGTTGCGGTTGTTGCTCTTAGAACTTCTCGGTAAAACATTCATTTGTGACTTTGCTGACTTTGTGACGCTACTTGCAAAGATGAAACCAGAACAAATCTCAGACAACGCAGAAGCGACAATCAATGAGCAGGCAGTCAAAGTACGAAACTGGGGCCGTTGGGGAACCAATGATGTTCTAGGGTATGTGGACTTGGCCTTTTCCAGCTTGATCCCCTTAACCAGTCTATTTGACCCTACAAAATCATCGTCAATCGAAACATAACCTTCCTTATACTCCACTGCTTCAAACTCATCACTAACATCCGATCTGAGATAGAACTCTCAACTTCATCACCCCCGAAAAACGACGCAATGCTGCCACCCTTGTCAAGAAGGGGATTTCAATCAGTTGCGCCATGGAATTTAATAATCGTGGGCCTCAAACTGGTATATGTTCCTCTTGCATTGATGTCTTTTCCAACATGGGAACATGACATCTGACTTGTGGTTTTTGACATACTTTTGCAAATAGGTCTTCATGGACGTACGAATCCGTTGCATACAATGTAAGGGTGGGTGCTACGAAATTGTGGTGTTGAAGATGTGGGAAGGTGCCTTCTTCCAATAGCTTTGAGTTGGACGTGACTTTGTGTCACAATCCATGATGGAGATGCAACCGTCTTGCATGCTTATTCTGAACGTTTATTCATGTTTTCATGATATCCACACTGCTTCGAAGCCGATACCATCAAATCTGCAATATCGCGTCACGAAGTGATTGACTATTTTCTCATAGGCTGCTCACCGGTCTCGACGACCAATCCAAACTCCTCCCTCACGGAGTCGGTTTCGCTGACGACGTGATCTCCATGCCCTTACAAGCTGGAACACAGTGGGATGGACTGGGCCACTGTTTCGATCACGGACATGCATTTAATGGACGTCCGATGGGGATTGTTACCTCTTTTGGAGGTACTTCCTTCCTGACACCTGTTATTCATTGGAACATTGTTGCAATAGTTCTAACCGACACTTTTGATTTCCTAAATTTAGATCAAGTAACAGGCATCGAAACAGCGCGCTCACAAATCGTGTCCCGGGGCGTCCTCCTTGACGTTGGTCGCGCATACGGTGACGAGCACGGTGAACTCGAAGACGGATTCGCCATCAAACCGGAGCATTTGAATGGAACTATTGCCAAGCAAGGAAATATTACTGTTGGCACTGGTGATTTGGTGCTGGTTAGGACAGGGCAGATGAGTCGGTGTAAACGTTTAAAGGCGTGGGGAGGATATGCAGGTAAAGTTGGAATAGACCAGCAGTGCTTGAAACATGGGTAATTTAAAAAGTAGACGATGTTTTTTTCGTCTTGTAGGTGGCGATGCCCCTGGAATCTCATTCACATCCATTCCCTGGCTGCACGAAAAGGAAATCGCTGGTATCGCGACCGACACGTGGGGGTTCGAATGCAGGCCTAACGAGATGCCGGATGCGTTTCAGCCTGTGCACCAAATCGTGATTCCTAATATGGGGTTATTCATTGTAAGTGAATCTATGTCCGTTTTCATGATCTTTTTCCGATTTCATGATCTATATCCGTTTTCATCTCGTTTCTAACTGTGTTTTGTGACGTAGGGTGAGATTTGGGATCTGGATGCGCTCGCTGATTCGTGTGCTGAAGATAACGTGTATGAGTTCATGTTGGTTGCTGCGCCGATTCCGTTTACTGGGGCTGTTGGTGAGTATGGGCTGCTAAGAGTATCAATGTCTTCTGTTCCAATGAATCTTCGTTACGTAGGTGGACCGGTCAACCCAATCGCGCTCAAATAAAAAACCCAAAACCTCTGACCATGGATATTCCTCATAACGAATACAAAATGTTACTAACAAAGTATACGAATTATATATTTTCAAACTATAAAACTACATGTTTTCAAACCCCATTTGTCTTACTACCACTCGCCAAATCAACCTTAAACTCAAAATCATTCCTCCAAAGTCCAGGCCTTCCACTTTCAATAATTGGTCCACCCTCATCTATTTTCTGTACAATGTATCGATCTTCTTCCACAAAGACCGCGTCGCCATTGTTGGAGACGACAATGATTGTGTGTGTGCGTGTTCCATAGTTCTGGCGTGGCGAGTTCTCGCGGTCTATGCATATACCGGTGGTTGGGCGTATGTAGTCTGTGGATGTGGATGTTGTCTTGTCCCTACACAGCAAAGTACGTCGTGAGCAAAAAACGACCTTGGAACGACTCCACATGTTCCTCCAAACCAACGAGCTCGCCGATTCACAGTGTATACATACCGTAATAGATCCAAAAGCCCCTCCACAACCTCCTTCGTACTTTCCGCCTCATTCACAACCTTCTCAAACCGCTGCCTCCCGGAATGCACCCTCCACCACCCGCCATCAACTCCCCTCATATCCCCATTACTAAGCCCATAATACACATTCGGATCCAGCTTCTCCATGTGTCGTCCATCAATCCCTCCCATTCCACAATACCACACGTCATTATCTCGTAGGTTTCCCGACACAATATTAAACCCATTATACTGTAGCCGTTCAGCCTCGATACCCGCTACATACGACTCAGCAGTGACTGCCTCAGCCGGTGGGGATACTAGAAAGTTCTTTACGAGATGGCCGCGTGATTTGGCGTCGAGACGTAATGGGGATAATCCGTCGTTAAAGTTTGTGAGGAAGCCGAAACGACCGTCTGTTGTGAGGCCGACCCACGTGCCGTTCTTTTCTTCGCCGGCGCCCGCGATTTGGACGCCGTGTTGCTGGGCGATGTCTTCTTGTGTAGGGGTTGGGATGTTGCGATCTTGGTTCTGGAGTTCGGTTAGTGGGCGAACTTGGCCGAGATCGACGCCACCGATTAGATGTGGAGCCTGTGAATGTAGGAGAAGGTGGTAGATGCGATCAGTAATCAATGTAATGATCAACTTGTGCATCAAATGGGGTTGTGAAGCTTTAGCTAGACATGCACATACCGAGTCCCAGAAGCGAGCTCTTCTTGCAGGTCGATCGACGAATTCATCGCGATTAGCAGCAATGACTCTAATATTCAAAGAAGGGGCGGTGGGAATGAGATTTGTCAGTTTGATGTTTTGATGAAGCACACAGACTAAAGGCGATGAATAGAGGAAGTTGATGCTTACAGCTTGTACTTTTCATGACCGAATAATAAGAATATAACACACATATTGCCTTCCACCAGTCACTTTGTTCAAAGTAAATGAGTGCACAAATTGTGGTGACGAGGAGTGAATGCTGACTGAGAGTGATGTCACTCACAACAAGACACGAACGAGCTTTGCAAGAATCTTAGGCTAGTATTCTACGTGTCAAACGCGAGATACAGAGGTCTTCCAACCTTACCTCATAGCGAATAAGCGTCTAAATGTGTGAGGATCTATTCTATTATACAAACAGGCAATTCTACCTATTACTACTACTATTTTTTTGCAGCCCTTTTACCAGCAGCAGGCGCACTCTGCGTCGGCTTCTTTGTCCCATACCTCGATCTCGCCTGCTGTCTCCCCACAACCCCAGCACAATCTAGCGCCCCTCTAATAACCTTATACTTCACACCAGGCACATCCGGCACACGCCCACCACGTACCAGCACGACCGAATGCTCCTGCAAGTTATGACCCTCGCCTGGTATATAGCACAGCACGGTCTCACCCGACGTGAGTTTGACACGAGCGACCTTACGTTGCGCCGAGTTTGGTTTCTTTGGCTTCATGTTGAATATCTTGAGACATACACCGCGACGCTGTGGACATCCGTGTAAGGCGGGGGCTTTTGATACGTGTGTTGGAGTGAATTTGCGGATTCCTCGGATTACTTGGTTTAATGTTGCCATTGTGCGTGCGTTGGATGGTGTTGTTGGGGTAAGCTTGGATGGGATTGGTGATTTATAGTGGGATTGGATGGGTACGTGTGGTGCTATTATGTATGGGGATGTTGGTGGCGAGATGGATGTGATATGTTTGGGGTTTGCTGATATCAAGTGCATCCAGCGTAGAGTCCCTGTGTTTGAGGGTGATTTACGGCATATTAGATGTGTAGTTAGCGAGGCTCCTCTTGTGTAGCTCATCTTCAATCCTACTAGTAAGAGCTATAACGATCAACCTGTTTTTTGCGATTCTTGGACTTTGAGCATCAGGAAGAGCGAGGCCACGAGGCGAACTTGAGCTACCGGACGAGCTGCTCACGTGATTACTGCAAATTTGAACGTGTTTCGCGTTTTAAAATCTCGGGTCCCTCTTTGACTCTGACGTCCTCGCTGTCGGCAAACATTCCAAACAGAAATGCACGGTCGTTCTTCTCGTCCAAGTCACGTTCGTGTTAAAGATCTATAACAAATGCCGATGCAGCGAATCAGACGCGTTCTCCTTCCATACCAACTACAATGTGTTGAGCTTCCATCTGCTGAGCTTCCATCTGCTGAGCTTCCATCTGCTCAGAATACCTCCAAACTCGATGCTAATCAAAGCGATGCATGCAGCAATATGAAACTAGGTGATCTCCAACAGGCCAGCTGTGATCTCCTATCGAACGTGCCATATACAATACGAGACTACCTCCCTGCCGCTTGGAACCACTGTTGGAATCAAGCAAAGTCACCGTTCAATTGGCGAATCCTGCTAGAACAGACCTTCTGGACTCCATTGATTCTCTATATTGCATTACCACTGGTATTAATAGTCGGCTATCACGTCATTGGTGCCAAGAAACAAGTCGCAACCATCACGCCGTTAACATTGAGAACAGCATTGCAAACAACAGCAGCAGGCAATAGACAAACACCAGTACAACAAGTGTCTGGAAATTACAAGGTCCTGTCAGTCTCAAATAATATGAACAACATGGCATTGGAGGATTCAATGCTGAAGCAACATAAACTACTCGCTGATCAGGCATATCAGGCTATAACCTCGGGGCTGGACAGAGAACAAGTTAATCATGATGTAGCTGGTGCATTAGAGTACTATAGACGCGGTGTCAGGGATTTGAGAGCCGCTTTGAGCATGCAGTTTACAAACAGAGATGAGAGGTAGTGCTAGTGATTCCATTATTGTGGAGTATTCTATCGCCTTTTTGGTCTCTGATGACTGATTTCATTGTAGAGACAAGGCTCAAGCTCTGAATGGAAAGCTGCAAAACAATTTGAGTCAGATCGAGGAGAGGATTAGAACTTTGACTGCTCAGTCCAAAGTTAAATGTGAGTTCCATTAAAAACGATGAGAGTTATAATTGACTAGTAGATCCACGCTCATTCGTCTCCTCTGTAGCGCCCACTTTCACGGCGCCAGCATCAGCTGTTTCGCCTATGGTATCTAGACCCACAGTGAGCAGGACAAACTCTGGACAAGACGCGGGGCAGGCATCACGATCATCTCAGGTTGGGCGTTCCACTAGCAGGATACGTAAAGTCGATGAAACTCATCAACCCCATATCTCATAGCAACCAAGACCGGTATCAGTCTCACAGCTCAAAGGCATCGACACAGTCATGGCCAACAAGATATTGAACGAGGTTATGGATGCTCGACCTAATGTCGCGTGGGATGATGTAGGCAAGTATCACCGTTTGCAATGATTTGATATCCTTCAGCACTCCTTACGGTTTGCTTTTTGCCTTTGGCGTTAGTTGGTTTAGACGCTGCAAAACAGGCACTTAGAGAGATTGTAGTGTTGCCTTCGTTACGGCCAGAGCTCTTTACTGGTTTGCGGGCTCCGGCTCGTGGTGTGTTGTTGTTTGGACCACCTGGAACTGGGAAGACTATGTTGGCCAAGGTATCGTTTGGAGAGACGACATACACTTTTTGTCCCGATTGTGCTGGGCCCTGAATTGTCATTTTGATGGCTCCATTTAGGCTGTTGCTCATGAGTCGAAGGCTACCTTCTTCTCCATAAGTGCCTCGTCCCTTACGTCGAAATTCGTATGTCTTCATTGGATGTGTATCTGCCTTTTTTTGCTCAACCACATTTCATTGGTAGGTTGGCGAGTCAGAAAAGATGGTGCGGACGCTGTTTGTCATGGCACGACAACTTCAACCATCTATAATATTCATTGGTATGTCGCAAAACCAGCGATGCTGTTGAATAACAATCATTTCTAACTTCAATTGGGGGTTTCTTTTGTTAGATGAGATTGACTCAATATTGACGGAACGAAGTGAGAATGAAAATGAAGCTTCCAGACGGCTCAAGACAGAATTTCTGTTACAGTTTGATGGTATTACAACGTCGACAACGGATAGGTTACTCGTCATGGGTAAGTGGTGGTACTACGTGATCAGGTTTTTGTGCTGCTGTTTGCTGTTCTAATACGTGCTGTTAAGGTGCAACGAATCGACCTCAAGAATTGGTATGTTCGCGACCACACATCTTTAATCTCCAACAAATGTGAAAATAACTTATGCCGGTTCTACTCTAACTGATAGGACGAAGCAGCTCTACGTCGTCTCGTCAAGAGAATTTACATTCCATTACCAGAACCAGCAACACGACATCAACTATTTCTACACTTGTTGAAGGGACACAAGCATGCTATAAGCGATTCGGATATACGTAATATTGTTGGATGGACTGATGGTAGGTGAAGTAGGAGGTAATCGATTGATTGTGGTCCCTTTCCACTGTAATGACTTTTCTGTATCTCAAGGTTACTCTGCCAGTGACATTACTGCTCTAGGTAGGATACCAAGCGATCATATTTTGCTTTACATACTGAACACCACATAATGAACACCGCATAGTCAACACAACCAAAATACTAACCGTGACGACAAATCATCAAATAGCGCGAGAAGCCTCACTTGGTCCATTACGGTCACTAGGAGATCAACTGGTATCTACACCAGCAGATCAGATCCGACCCATCATCTCCAAGGACTTTGCAGAAGCCGTACAAGTCATTCGACCGTCCGTCTCTCGTGAGTCCTTGACAAAGATGGAAGCCTGGGGACGTGAATTCGGTACTTTCGGTTGAGTAGGAGAGCTTTTTAGAGTGATTTGCATTGTAGAGATCATGAAATCATGTACATGTGTACATATCAATAATAATCACGACATGATATGGTCTTGACATTCCGGGAGAGGGGTTGTTTTTTGGGCTTCGCTCTTGAAATTGACGATTTTGGCCAACATTGTAAGAAGGAAGAAAAGGGTGGCGGATGTGGATTTGGTTGCTAGCATGCTATTGAATGAGAATGGAATCGTAAGCTGCTTGTTATCCGATTCTGTTTTTATCAGCACACATCAAAAGATCTTAGCGAGAATATATGCTGATACACTATATATCCATTAGGTGACACTCGAGTTGTGTGAGCAGACCATTAGGAACTGATGTAAACACTGCGACTTACGTACTCTAGGCAAAATATGTCTCAAAACAAGATCCAGACGTCTTCGGAATCAGATTTGGCACGGATTCGATCAATGTTCAATATGATGACGGTTTGATATGCTTCAAGGTTGCTCCATTGCTTTGTACTGAGGTTCAAGTCACTTGAGCGTATTTGGTTGATCTTCTGGGTGAGGTGATTATGTAACTATTATGTAATAATTACAAATGCGCAGTCACAGATGCGGAGGATAGTTATCATTAAGTACATTCAGTCACGCTGTGGAAGAGATTTGTCTGCATTCATAATCAACCAATACCTCATTGGCACTCTCCCAAGTCAAGTTGTAGGCTGAATAAACGGCTTCCAAACCTCAAACAACCAATCACTGACACAAACAGCCCTACTGTCATGTAAATTAAGAACCCCTAGATACCAGATTTACGCGTTTCAACACGACATTTCGTAGTTGGGATACAGCACCGACCAATGAAACATGGTGGTGTTTTCTTGGGCTTCGGCTTGTCCTTGCAGTCGCCAGTTGCTGATTTCAACAAAGACATTTGGCTACGAGTTGAGGAAGAAGAACGAGGATGGCCGATATTGAGAAGCAGCAAATGGATAAAGTGACTAGCATGCTATTGGATGAGAAGAGAATCGTAAGTTGGCATGCTAGGTCAATCAGCAAAGTGGCGAAAGATCGCAGCTTGTATGAAGAGTCAAGTTCTGACTTGATTTGCATCTTATACCTGTCTTATATTTTGAATCTCGTATTCTCTATCGTGATCGTATACTGATCCAGTACATCCATTAGGTGACATTCAAGTGTTTGAGCAGAGAATTAGGGATTGATGTAAACACTGCAAAAAGGTAGGCTTACATCTGAAAAAGACCATATCTGACATATCAATTCATTGATTTGAAATGGCCTTCATCGTGTTAGAATACTGGAATCATATGTTGAATCATCAAAAGATCAAGCCATTCCTATCTACTATTTGCAAGGCGAAGCTGCCGCTCCTGCAATAGGTATACTGGCTCTTGCTGTGGAGAAGGATAATCTTGATGGTATGTTATTTGAGTGTTGCATTATATGGTGTTGTCTGCATGAGCTGCATTCTTCAAGTACATCGATCTATCAAGAAGTACTGAGTTTTTTTTGCCATGAACCACAGTTGCCAAGGAACGATTCAAAAAGTACACTATGCATGTATATGGACTCTTGCCTGAAAAGATCCAGGTTTGTTGCACTGGGGTGGAAAGTACGTGAGAGGCAGTGTTGCTCAAACGCATACTTCTCTGTTTTAGAATGCTATTGATGCTATGATCAATGTGGATATCCTGGTTGCTCGCGATGATACCCCAAGCTCTTTCGCGTAAGTGCTGTATCAAATACTGTTATTATTTGTCGAACTAGTATGATCTCTATTCTCACGTCGTCTCACTCAAAATAGCAAGGCCCGAATTGTCAAGAATCATAGTGTCACGTATGCTCAACGTGCGGCTGTACCAGACAAGGCACCTAAAGCTGCAGCTTCTTCTCAAGTAGGATGTTTTCACCGCAGTATGCATCATTTGCATTTGATTTGACTTTTTTTGCCAACACTTTCATCAGGCTTCCAAGCCAACAGAGGCACTCAAACCATTCGCTTCCTCGTCTTCTACCAAATCATCGAATGCCAAAAGTGGCAAGGGGAAATCGTATGTCCGTCGCAATCTTCCTATACTTCGAAGTCTTGTTTGTCAGAAACTTCATCTCATCATAAACTCTATTTTTAGGAGTGCTGCTACGAAAGCCAAAGGGCAGCCCTTCTTTAAAGGTGGTAATGCTTCTGCTGCCAAAACAACCGAAGCATCCAACAAGAAACCAGAACCACCAGTTGCGTTATCCAAGACTGATAGTACTGCCAGTCGTGATACATCTTCACCAAAGAAAAGAAGACGTGAAGAGTCTGATGATGAAGGCATGTGTGATTGTGTACAGGTCGAAAGTTTGCAAACCTGTACTTCGATAGTTTGATGGTTTTTGTTGTTTGACTTTTTTTTTCCTTTCACAGAGGAGGCTTTCGAAGATGAAGAGATGAAGAAGATAAGCATGCTGGCAGCTGAAAATGCTCATGCAGTCCAGAATCAAGCTGAAGGAAGAGATGCTGCTGATGCTGGTGGAGAAGACGAAGACGAGAATATGCCATCCTTCCAAGATGATGAGGATGCCAGTCCAGTACAACCAACACCACCAGAGAATGCTCTATCTGATGCTATGGATGTTGATCAAGGTACTTGTCCCTTTGTGTAGAGAAGGTTGAAGCGTTTTTGCTTATCGAACAAACATACTTCACAACAAAATAGAACCTCAACAGGAAGCTGGTGATGTTCGTCGTGTCAAGAAGACGAGAAGGGTCAAAAAGACCAAGCAAGTTTACGATGAGAAGAAAAAGATGATGAGTAAGTCAACTAGGTTTTCAAAGGTCACCCTTTTTTCGCACTGCTTGCGAATTCTTAACCGCATGTTCAACACAATCCTATAATAGTAATGAGGGATGTAGTGGAAGAGGAAGAGTATTCCGAAGATGAAGTGATTCCTCCGCCACGACGACCAGCACTACCAAAAGCAGCAGCAGCAGCAGCTCTACCAGTGGTTGCACCCAAGGCATCAGCCAAACCATCAGGAGGATCATCTAGTCCACCTCCAGCCAAGAAATCAGGTGGTGGAGGTGCTAGTAAGAAGAGTAAAACGAAGGATACTGGAAATCAGCAATCGCTGTTGAGCTTCTTTGGCAAACCAAAGTCATAAGAGGAATGGGATAATTTAGGGTTTGTATACGTATTCAGAAGAGCGTAGATATGTACATTACTTAAATATAGAAATAGGAAAAAAACCAATCAAATGCCTCGTAAGGATTCACTTTTAGTGATTACGACACACCACCAGTCGACTCTACTCTATCAGCAATCCCTCTCACATGAATCATCCACCCAATAACAATAACCAGCGATATACAATACGCATAGAAAAAGTACTGCAGCATAATCCTTGTGCCCCAGCTAAACACTGATTTCGACCTCACAAGCACCGTCCCCAACACCCCAAATCCATACACTATTATCAGCACAAGCGCGACAATGACCCCCTTTGGGAATTCGACAGCCACCGATCCGATAATAAGTCCATAGATGATTATCGCAAGACACAAGAGGACTTTTTGCGATGGTGTTGTTAGGCCAGCCTTGATTTTGACGTTGCGGTAAGCGTATGCGTGTGTGAATGAGACGAGGATGCCGCCGATGGCGTATAGGTAGTGGCCGACGTCTGTGAGGGCGAGAGTGACACGTCAGCCAATTGAAAAGAGTGCTGCTGGATGGAAAGATATCACTGCAGCTTACAATGCTCCCACGTGGTCCTCGTATATACATAACCATCATTCAGCAACACAGTCAGTGCTCCAGACGTTGACGGTATAGCCAGCGCGTCTTCAAATACATGCTTGAACATGTTTGCTGCACTGTGGAAACCAGCGCCCTGTTGGTAAATGGCTGCTGAGACTGTGAAGCATAGGGATACGAGGACGATTTCTAGCATGAGGTCGTGTTAGTGCATCTGTGGTTTTGGTATGGGTTTGAAGATGTGTACCTGTTCGGGATCCAACTTCGAATATCCGAGATTCAAGCAGTATGAAGAATTGGAAGGGGAGTGTGCCGATTGGTTCTATGATGCGTACTACGTCGTTTGATGTGTACCAGCTAGTGGGAGGGGGGATGTGTCAGAAGGGTGTTTGATGATAGGTGTCAGCGACACACACGGTGTGAGAAACAGAACGGGAAAGAGGAAGTGTTTCTTACCCAGGATGAGATGCATCGTATAGCGGGATGTCATTTGCGAATACAGGGATTATAGTCATTAAAATCGTCCATAGGTTAGCGAATACGAGCAGATACAAGACTGTATTCACTCGAATGTCTATCTCGTCAGGAGCATCCGATATCAGGTTTGCAGATGATAAATCCTGTCTCCTATTGTCCAGTGCCATGAAAGAGATCTGCAAATTGAAACCGCGTCTAGGATGTAAAAGTTCAAGTTTGTTCTGATTTGAGAAAAACACAAAAATGGATGCATGTTGACAAACCCCACAAAACATCGAAAAGCCTAAATTTGCTTGTTTCTTACATGGGAGAGCTAATCATGTCGTATCTACCAGAGGATGTCCTGATCGTCTTTGCACGGACAGCTGGCACTCTACTGGATCCCTACGTCGCTCCCATACATGCCATCATCAACACATACATCCCTGCTCCAGTGCACTCATTCCTCATCCAAATCAAAGCATCCCACTCCCAATCCCTGCCTCTCATGAACCCAATCGACGTGCTATTGATAATTGCTGCTTACTTGGCCATCGTCACCGTCGGAATGGCTCTCATGAAAAATCTGCCTCGCCAAGATGCGAAATGGTTGTCTCTGTATCAGAATACGACGGCGGTCGCACTGTCAGCGTATATGATGTATGCTATCTTGACCGAGGCGGCCAGGAATGGGTATACGCTGTTTGCGAATAGGCTGGACGAGAGTGAGAATGGTGTCAAGGTATGTGTGGAAGAAAATGGGGAATGTATTTCTGTGGTTGCTTGAAAACAGATTATTGTGATAGAGTTGGATTCGGTGAACTTGAACTAACATGTTCTTCCTGTCTTAGATGTCCAAGCTCATTTGGCTGTATGTTGTCGAACTTTTTTGGCTGGTTTGAAGCTTACAACCCCAAAGCTGACACATCTTCCACTCAAATCAGATTCTACTTTTCAAAGATAACTGAATTCACTGATACTGTAAGTACGAGGTGCAATGTGCAGGAGCTTTCAACATTCATACGATCTCTTTGTGTGAGGATATTTTGCTAAGCGGAACATCACTAGTTCATAATGATACTAAAGAAGAATAACCGTCAAATATCATTCCTGCACTTGTACCACCATGCATCTATCTTTGCTATATGGTGGTTGGTTACGTATGTTGCTCCCGGCGGTGAAGGTAGGACTGTTGAGGAACTCGAGAAGAGCAATAAGGAAGGCTCATTTGCTGGTTTTTGCTTTTCTTAGGATACTTCTCAGCTGCCATGAACTCATTCATCCACGTCGTCATGTATGGATATTGTAAGTGCGAGGAAGACGCTGTATACTTTAAGTCAGCTGTATCAATGGGTTTTTTGTTGGTCCATCCCACTCAACAAACCACTGAAACCTGTCGCACTCCTTATAGACCTATTCACATCATTCGGCGTCAAATTCGTTTCAATAGTAAAACCATACATTACCATGATGCAAATGACACAATTCACACTCATGACCGTCCAAGCCACATACGACACATACGTGAACTTTAATCACGGAATGTGGAGCAAGACACAGGGTTACCCATTAGCTCTGTCAGTCATCCTACTAGTATACATGCAAACTATGCTGGCACTGTTTGCCAATTTCTTTAGACAGGATGCCAAGAGGAGGAGTGCGGAGAAAAAGAAGACTGCTGCTGTGGCTGCTGCAATTGATAGCAGCAGTAGTGGTAGTGCTGGTAGAGAGGTTAAGAATCATCCGTTGGAAAAGAGTGATTCGGGCTTTGCAAAGGAGGATTAGAGGGGCTGTTACGATGCATGCTGTTTTTGGGATATATATGACTGCCGCAGTAAAGTACAGAGGTAACTCTAGTATGACAGGAAATATAAATTCAAGTGTACGAATTGTAGGTTGATTTTCGGTTGAAGGAAAGTGGTTCGAGCACATTCGTCACGCGCCGTGCGAGAGTCTGACCATTCTTGGTAACATAAGCGCGAAAGACAGGTTTAAACTTTTGCTGTGTTTGTGTTTGCAACGTGACGGCTGTTCTTGCACTTTGCTGCTGTGATAAGAGCATAACGAGAAGCAACGATAAGGAATGTCCTGATGTCGAAGCTAGTACGCCTGCCATGGCGGACGAGGAATAAGGCATTCCACGGTGATGGTATCCGGCAGATAAACTGACTTGCGTCTTCAAAAGTCTTGATAGTCTTGATTATGGATTCTCACGTTTCCGGATGGATGACCTGAGTTCGGTACTCTCCTTATTAGCCTGAATCGCTTGGAATCATTACGGACGAATCGCATCACACCAGCCCAAACATCCGATTCAAAAACCTGGGTCTCCAATCATTTCATTTTCAAGACCATTCTGTGTGATTGCTTCTAAACGAACGACGAAAGATATCGTACATACCGGAAGACGCCTTTATATCATTCGCAGAATAGAGTGGATGAGAGTGAGGATGGGTTTAAGGTGTGTTTTGAATGAGACGTTTTGAATTGATATTCAGATTTTTTGCTGGAGGGAAGCCGCGTTACTGCTGACTGTATCATTATGTATAAAAGAGTGCCACTTCTGTCTATTATATGGTGTAAGCTTCGAGTAACCCTGCTGCGACGGGGTATAGTTTGTTTGAGGGACACTGTCCGGTTGAGGCTGGGTTGACGGATGAGATGTAAAGTACAGACGAATTCTCCTTTTTTTTTGCTTGGAACAGGACAAAGTTGATAGTGATAGCTAGGGACGATATTTTTCCCTCAAATCTATCGTAGATGTCGAAACTCATTTGGTTGTAAGTGGTTTTGAATGTTTGAAGCGCTCTAACGCACAAAGAACTCACATCGATACCCAATTGTATTAACGCTTCTTTACAAACATCATAGAGCCTACTCATACCGTATGTCTGATGTGGTTTATTTTGAAACTCTGACAAAGGTCATTCCACCGAACCTTCTTACGGATTTTTTTGATGAAGACATTTTCTGATGAAGCGGTCTGCCAGAACGGCTGATGTGGGTGTAAACGTAGGGAAGGAAGATTTTCAAATGTTGTAACTGTCGCATGTGAAAAAAGAGCAGAAGCTGCGACTAGGATGTATCACAGATAGCAGAAAATGAAAACGCAAACAAGAAAGTAGACACGATGTATGGTATATCAACAATCTTCAGTTTTATGTGATGTGCAGAAATATTACAACAGGGTATGTGATGTATGTATGTGTGCAAGATCAGACGTTGAGAATATGCCATTTCAATCATTCAGTACCACTATCAGCAGAGAATGGGTTTGCGAATCGGTGTTTCCTAAGATTAATTATAGAGCACAATATGTTCGTTAGTGAAAAAAGATAAGGCAACAAATCTCCCAAAGAAATGAAGGTATTACCTCGCACTGGCATTCTTCCTGTTGTGATTTCCGATTTGGGCCTTGTGCTTATCTTTATACGATCTCCCTCTTGGTTGACCTCGCCCTCGTGTTGAGGATCCACCTCTTTGGGCAGGAGCATCACCGCCTCTGCTAGATGGTAGACCTGGTTTGGCATGTGCAGTTGATTGTTGTTGTTTATCATCATTATCTGATGATTCACTCTCATCATCGTCGTCTTCCTCCTCCTGGTGACGATTATGATGATTTGGATTGGGTTCCAGACCGCCTGGCATAAGAGATTCCATGCGATCCTGTAAAGAAAAACTATTAGGAGACGCAAAAAGAGCAAGCCAAAAACGGCCGCCAGTTGCCCGCACAAACACCACATAAGTCGCAGTTCTTGATTAGACTTACAGTATCTCGCAACAACATCTTTGCCCAACCCTCAATCTGCTCATCAGTCCAATGAGTGAAATTCTTCATTTCACCTCTAATTCCGGACTTTCTCGACGACTTTTCAAAAGCACCTGGAGCTGACGTATATATCTTGATCAAATACGATTCAATCTTGGGATCTGGTGCTGTCATAGTTATTTTCGTGGACGGTCGAGCACCCTTTTCGAAAGCAGTCTCCATCTCATCTACTGCTTGTAGTTCGACTGTTCCAGCTAGTTTGATGTCTGTTGAATCATACGTGTCATCGTACTCGTCATCATACATCTCATCGTATGCAGCTGATGATATGAAGGGGTCTTCTTGCATGAACGCTGGATCGTTCAAGAGAATGTGGGATGTTTTGCTAAGTGAGGATTCGAGATTAGAATGCGCGAAAAACATCAGGATCCAAGAAGACTCCATAAGCGAGCTTACTCCTTCTTGCCGATTGACACCATTGACAGATCGACATCCTTTCTGGCAAAGACATCAAACTCGTCTCCGTCAAATATGTTTCGGCGAGTCGACAGGACGGATTCTTCAATATCCGGTTGATCTAGCGACATGTCCACTACAGCTTCTATACTACTTGAGCGTTTTAGTGCAGGAGGAGGTGGTGCAGTTCGTTGCCTAAGATATTGAAGGTGGAAATAGCATAAGTTTTTAGCGTTTCACAGAGTTTGATGGGAGGCTCGAAGGAAATCACTCTTACATGAGACGATCCAGTTTGGCAACGTAATCAGGTAAATCGTCTTCCAAGATTTTCATTATAACTGTTTCGGCATTGTTATTGAATGCAAGTAGACATGCCTGGCAGAAAACATATTCAGTTTTCATTCAACGAACTGCTCGTGGTGTTGGCGTACCTCAATAAACCCTTCACCAAGTTCTGGAAAGAGATCTTGTACTTGTGATATCAATGAGCTTCGACGAATGTACTCTTCGTCCAGTGGTGGAACCTACAGTAAAACCTTGTCTGAGGCAAACGAGAAAAAAGCGGAAATTATGCCATGATCACCTCAGAGTACGAAGGTATTCCATCATTATGTGAAGCCTGTACACCATCAGCACCACTATACTGATGCGACTGTCGTTTCTTGTCCATCCTTCGGACCTTCTTGACACGTTTAGCTTCAGCGTTACCACTGAAAGCCAACAATTGTTCCAAGCTAGCCAATATATAGTCAATCCGAGCATCATCACCATCTAATCGTACATCTTTAAGAGTACGTAATCTACCAGCCAGATCATATTCTACATCCAAATCAACGAGTAATGGAGCACCGTGCAGGAAGGGTACTGGTTCATCGAATTGAGCTTGATCCAATAATAGGTGAATCAAGTCACATAACTTTTCGGCTGCTTCTGTTGCACTTATTATTGGTGATTGATTGGCTGCTGGTGTTGTTTCATTGTGTGTATCTAGTTTACATGGCTGGAAGAAGGCCGAATCGAGCAAGTGGTATACAAGACTCAATACGAGACCTTTCAGTGCTTTGACTCGATCAGATAATGAGGTTTGATCAAACATATCGATTACTGGTTTACTATTCTGTACAAGGTTGGCGATACTATAGGTTGCGAGGAGTGTGGGTATGAGGTCTGGTTGTTGTATAAGTGCTGTTGCTAGTGTCATACCAGCCACAGTGGCAGTAACCTCAAACGACCATATAGCATCAGTCAAGAATTCAATTTCGGCTGACACTTCGTCGTTGGCATCACTATTATTATTAGGTGGTTGGCCATTCGGTGTTGAAATTGATGTGGCCGAGCTAAATGTATCTATAACAGCGACAGCACCACTGCCTTTACCCTTCCCTTTACTCTTCCCACCACTCCTCTCGGTAGCCTTTTCACGTCGTCGTTGCATACCCTTCACAGTTGAGCTCAAGACACTCACAGCGTTCAAGAACTCGACTATATACGACTCGTGTGAATCCAATAACGTGTCCAAAGCAACGGACACAGAAGCAGCATTGACCTGACCATATATAAACACGAAATCCATAATGACTGGGACGCTAAATATACCAAGCTTTGACAGAGCTAGCCCCCAGTCGTCACGATCCCATAGCGAGTCCAGTTGATCTTGTTCATCAACGAGACATAATCGTAGTATCAATATAAATACGAGACGAGATAGTACTTGATGTTCTGCTGTGTTTTGTGCTGTAAAGGTGACATTAGTAGTTTCTGATTCTACATTGAGATGTGAGTGTGATGATTTCAATAATTTGCTACATTGAGTCAAGTAGCTATCGAGAAACGACGGTAATGAATTCGACGTAGGCGATAGTATGGATGACCAAAAGACCTGGAATGAGGTGTTTAATAGCGATGATAGCTCGGATGTAGCGAATTGCAAAAGCTCAGTGAGCTCAACTGGTGACAATCGAGTTAATGGTAGTATTGGAGGGAGATTTATAGGTATTGCGTCAGCCTCCGATGGCGGTGGCATCGTTATCTACAGGGTAACGACCTGGATTTAAAGTTCACAAAGCTTGAAGCTGTTGACATGGGTTTTGAAGAATGTGGTGCAGTTTCCGGGACTGAAAGAATAAGGACTTTAACAGCTCCGTGCACCTTCCGGGACGTGTTTTTACGTGTTTCTTAGTACTACTAGCGTTATTTCTAGTGGAACTGTTGTAGAACTCGCCAACATACATGATTTCGACAGTTGAACAAATTGCTTGTGTGTTGTGAGAGCTGCTGATCAAATTCGGGCTTCTCGTATTTCACATTGATACGTGGATATAGCTTTCTATTTCACTCTAAAGTAGAAAGTATACAAACACGCAACAAAGACTCAAGACAAACGATTGCCAGCTCCAACAACCTAGATCAAAGGCGTCACAACCACGTATTTTCCCTCCAAGTACGCGTTCCCAACGTTTTGTGGTGACGTGGGATCGTAGGATTCCAGATCGTCCTATTTGAAGTATTTGCGTCAGGTCAAAGGAAGCCCAACCAAGAAAACATAATTCCGGAAAGCTCACCATCCAGCCCAATGTCCACCACGAAATCAGGATCTGACTCAACTCTCACTACCTCGGGCCCATGCTTTACAAGTACTGGCACGGCTGTCGTCCAATATAAGTAGGCCAGTACGAATGCTGCAACCACTCACACCCCAAAACGACACGTTGAGTAAGACAAACAACGTTATGCATGCTCTGCGTCAATCTCTCAATCATTCGTTTACTTCCTGCATACGTTTCATCTAATCCCGCGGTGAGCAATTCATTGTTGTTGGACACGTGAAACCCACACGAGGTTTTCAACTCCAATATGGGCATTCGAGATTGAGCTCTGACCGCAGCTATATCCAGCAAGCAGTCCATGGATAGGGTGACGGTTCTACATAGTATAGCCATGGTGGTCATTGATGGTAGAGTAATGACGTAGTATAGTGCTTCGTGGATTTCACGTTGACTTCCATCAACATGGCAGAATACAAGACTTAGCGATTTAAGACACTTTAGACGTTTAAGCCAGTCCAGATCAAACCGGATGCTTGATATTCGTACATGCACTAATACAGATTCACTGTTCTCGAGTATAGCACTCGTGAGCACGTCCGGCAATTCGAAATATACATGTGGTCCGTTAACGGCATCTACTCGAAAACGTTCAAGCTTCAAAGCGGCTACACCTGCTGCTATATCCGTAAAGACTCTACTATCCCGTGACAAGAACCGGAAGTTTAGCTGTAGCTCCTTAAGTTTGGGAAACTGTGTTGACAAGGTCCCCCACTCAAATTCAGATATAAGCATTGTAGGAGATACTGATAGATGTGTCACGGTTGATGGCATACGTCGTAAAATACGGTTGTCTTTGAGTAGCGCAAGCTCCTTGAGTTTGTTTGCAGCCTGAATCCTTTCATACAGCTCTATATGATGTCCATCGAACAAGCCTCGCCTATTCAGACAAAGTGAGTGACGCTTTAGCATTGAACGTGGTTGTCAATTACCCAGCTCAACAACAGCGAAATGCGAGACAGACTACAAACATGCTCACAACCACATTCACTCACCAAGCCTTTGTAACGTCCATATCCAGCTCACGGATACAATCAAAAACCGGCTGCCTATATCCTTCAAACGGTTTGAACAAGGCGTCCACACATCGTTGACCGACACCAACGCTGCTCGAAGATATATAGTTCCCTGGAACGCTCTCATACAACATCTCCACAGCCATATAGTTCAGCGTCTTGCACACCAGAGATGCAGAATACAGCTCTCGCGTCAGTAGGTATTTGACTATGTTAATCCAAATGTCGTTGGGAAGATGGAGGCTTGCCGCAACAATGATGATGAATGTTAGATCTTGTTGCCGCTGAGGGTTGAGATGGGAATTGTGAGCTAGCAGCATACCTGGATTTCTCAGCAGTGAGGGAAGTGCCTTCCTTTGTGGTTACATGTGTTGTCGTGGCGTCGCTTGGCACAGAATCTGATGTTGCTGTTGAGACCACGTTTCCCATGATGGAGGCCTAATAATACACGTACTTTAGAGTTAATTACACGTAATCCAGCGCAAATCAACAATATTTGCATCAACGCTGGATGGTATAAAACGATCAGATCTTGCAAGGCCTTCATGTGGTACATGCACAGTCACCTTCCAAACTCGAATTGACAGGAATGACGAAATTGATCGAAGAGGACTTAGAGGACGTGAGTTTTCGTGTTTATTAGCTACTACATACGTTACTTCTAGTTCTGGTAGAACACATCGAGGTCACTTGAATTCAGCAGGAGGATGTATCGAAGACGAGGAAAGCTTGATTTCAATGACACAACAATCTGGACAATGATATAGACAACACTCCCTTAGCTCAGACCTGTATTTGCTATTTAAGCCTCCTAACTTTTTTACAAGTGAGTGTTTTGTCGAGACGACTGAATATAGTAGCTTTCTGCAACGTTCCAGTCAACGGCCGTCCACCATGCATCAATATAGTCACGACGACGGTTGTTGTATTTGATATAGTAAGCCTATATCAGAAGAGCGGCGTGAGAATTCAATCTTTGCGTCGTTTGATATTTACCTCGTGAAAACAACGAAAACTTACATGTTCCCAGACATCCAAGGCAAGGATGACATCAAGTTGTCGTTCTTTATCACTATCATTAAACTCTGGAATATCCTGATTGGCAGTCTTTACCAGCTTCAACTTGCCCGTAGCTGGAGACCTCACCATGAACGCCCATCCAGACCCAAACACACTCATAGCCAATGCAGTAAAAGCCGCCTTGAATTCATCCCATGATTTGAATTGCGCTGCAATATCAGCCAACAGCTTTGAGTCACCAGCAGGCTTTCCTTGGGCAAGAGACGGAGGACACAGCGAGTCAAAGTAGATTGCATGGTTGACATATCCACCACCGTGGTTGCGGATTACAGCCTTTGTCTTTGCGTCAATTGTAGTATCAATAACAACAGAAGTCTGATTTTCTTCAGATGCAATGTGTCGTAACAATTGCAATGGTGACTTTTCAACGTTTGCTGCTGCTGCATTGTAGTTGTCTGAGGGTAGCGAGTTAGACACGTAGAGGGTCGAAACGAGCTGCAATACACACCAATGTAAGCTTGGAAGTGTTTGGTATGGTGTAGAGTCATGGTTCCTTCATCAATTGCCTGAGGTCCCGAGCCGATGGTTAGTGTGCGAAAACGACGTCTTGTATCACAAGAGGAGAGGGAACTTACAGGCTCATAGGCAGCGTATTCGTATCGTAATTTCGGGAGTTGTAGTGCCATGGTGTAGGTTTTTAAGGTTTGAAAAGGTCGGTTTGTTTGGTGAGAGATTTTTGCTGTTGGAGCGGCAAGAAAGCGTCACACACAGAACTACTATCCCTCGCAACCTACCGAGGACGCTCAATAATAAGGACGACAGTATCAATAAACAAGCTCTCCTAACACTGTATCTCCGTATCCCACGTCTCCTCTTACCGCCTCACCATACGTTTCAAAATTCCACGAGACTTTTGGAGTCACAGGTAAAAACTGAAAGAAAGTCTTTGCACAAGTGTGGGAACCTCGATTGTGGTGTGATCAGTCTAAATGATGGAGTATACTAACCTTTTTGCTCTCTATTCAACCTCCTCAGACTACATTCAAATGACATCAACAATTTCCATCTTCGGAGTGTGCCAGCTAGAAACAACGACACCAACTAGCGCCAATAAACCTGAATGTCGCGGTCTAGCAAGACTGACTTCCCAAGGAGACCGTCTCAAAGTAGACATCACTCTAGATCTTCCCGTCGGGCGCTACAGCATCTCCGTATCGGAATTCGGAGATCTGTCCAATGACATCTCGGCCGGGCCTTCTATAATGTCCTTAGGTCAAATCGCTATCCACGATTCTGGACAAACTACTACAATCCTATCAGTCGATGGGACTGTTGCTGAGCTTCTTGGTCGATGTATGATCGTTGAAGAGGAAGCATCGGCTGGTAATGAGCATAAAAAGCGAAACATATTGATTGGAGTGATTGCACATAGCTCGGGCCAGTTCCAAGATCCCAAACGTGTTTGTGAATGTGATGGGAAGACCAAGTGGGAGGCGTGCTCGTTGTAAATTGCTTGCAAAAGCAATTTTCATGAACCACAAACGAATAAACATTGCTGCTAAAGAGCTACAAGTGTAATAACAGCAAATATAAAGAACATGCCTGCTCCCTGTAGATCATCATTTCATGAGTTCGACCAATCAGTGTTTAACCATTCAGTGTTTCTTCAGCTGTTGCACGGCCACTCGTCTCCGAAACAGGAGTTGCGAATTAGGTATACCCGGAGCTTCTAAGAACGAACCCACACAGCTCCCTCTGTTCCCTTGATTGCTTTGGTGATTAGGTTGAAATTCTGATGTTGCAATCAACAACGTGTTGCCCGTAATATAGACCTATAAATCCACGAATCCACGTATATTAGAGCGAATAACACGTAAATCAGAGCAATTCAATAGCTTTGGATTCGCCAGTCGATAGTATAAAACGGTCACCAAATTCATATATAACTCATAAAACATTCAAAACATCCATTCAGCATCCAAACTCGAGCTCTGACGATAATGAACAAGCGAAAGAGGGTCTTTACAGAGTCAGGTACTCCAATAAGTGTGTTCATAAGCTCAATGTCCAGAGACTAACCTATTCTTTATATCTTGCTTAGTGCGGGAAGTCATGTATGCTTACGGAGACACGAATCCACCTGCTTCTGATACTGTCGAATTGATGGAAGACCTGCTACTTGAATACTTTTATGATTATGTATGCTTCTCCTCGCATTCAGTCTTCGTACGGCCTCAAACACATCACACATCTGAAATTGCAAGACCCCAAGCGTCTGTTGCTTGACATGCTTTCAACCTAGTTGAATCCCAATCAAAAGCTCTAACTCAGTATTTTACCTAGTTACGAGAGGTGAAAAAGTGCTCTGGAGCTAGAAAGACCAAGTTGGTTGATTTCTTGTTTCCATTGAGGCGAGATCCTCCCAAACTGGCTCGAGCCAAGGAACTGATTGTCAAGGATAAAGAGATTCGGAAGGCACGACAGATCGCTGGTGGTGAAATCGACGATCTGCAAAAACTCGCAAAGGCGAAAAACCAATAAGTAGTATAGAATTGTATAGGAGCGTCTTTGGTTGCATTGACAACTGTATAAAACATCATTCTTCTTGCTTTCAAAAGTGCTTTTATTTATGTTTCTTCCGTATGCTTGACTGTACAAGAGAGAAGGAATCAAAAAAATGCCACTATGTTCATTCAGAGTTGTCTTGTCTTCTACTAGTATTTACAGCTTCAGCTTCTTGTTTTTAATTCCTATGTACAGGCTCTTCCCTATTCTACGAGATGGTATCTTATACACCCCACCTCCAGAATAGCCTGTAAACAAACCAAGTCTGTAGCTGAAGTGAAATTCGAGACAACCAACTCAATACCATCGGAGCCATCATTGATGTGGTATCGCTTGGAGACGTGGGGATATATTTGGTGGTAGGAGCGCTTTGCATCCTCGTGCTTTATCTTACGGAGCGTAGTGAGTTCCTTGAGTTTTTCCTGCAAAGAGAGATTGCGTTCCAGAGCTGTATCCAATTTAGCCTGAACACCACGTCCAGGTACATGTGAGAATTCACCGTCCGATGTAAGGTATTCTAGTTGCGGTAGTAGATAAGCAGCAGCAAGGGAGCAGTCCTTTTGGTCTGGCTCACCTAGAGCACCACGAATGTTGTGTATATTCTTAGCTTTCAGAAGCATGTCTTGCGCTGATTCCAGTCGCATCTCTTTCTCCTATAGTCCGTCAGTGTGAGTTGGGTTGATTTATAGGTAGTGTCTAATTAAAATGTTACCTACCTTTAACAAAACTGCGAGCGCTTTGACTTCATCTTTCGTCTTGACGACATCGTCCTTGGCTTTAATTAGTTCATTCTACGTTGTTGTTTGATGTGAAGTTCCACAAAGCCTCTCGCAGCCTTGAGATCCCTTACCAGGAGAGTAGCTCGTACAGTAAGTGGCCTAATGACCATCACGCAGCTTCGACGATATGCCGCTATTGGCATTGGCTTCTTGAATAACAAGTTCATCTTGTTTGATGTGACTAACAGCCAGACGAGGCCTCGAGGCTGGCGGAACCAAAACAAGCGAGCTGGTGAGCTGGTGGCCAGGTCAGCCCAGTGATTTTACTAGTATTACGTAAGTGGCGCAAGCGTCTGTTGCTTGGACATGCTTCAACTCAGTTGAATCGTCAATCAAAAGCTCTAACACAGTATCTACCTGTTACGAGAAGTGAAAAAAGTGCTCTGGAGCAAGAAAGACCAAGTTGGTTGATTTCTTGTTTCCATTGAGGCGAGATCCTCCCAAACTGAAACTGACAATCAGTTCCCCCAAACTGCCTCGAGCAAAGGCACCAAAGCTCGAGCAAAGGGGCTGATTGTCACGGCTGATTGTCCAAGGAATTGGCACGACAGATCGCTGGTGGTGAAAGCGACGATCCGCAAAAACTCGCAAAGGCGAAAAACCAATAGTTTGAACTTTGATCAATCTTTGAAATCTGTACAAAACATCATTCATCTTGCTTTAAAGAGTGCTTTTACTTATATTTCTTTGCAAATCATGTTACTTGACTGTGTACAAAAATAGAAATTCAAAATGCAAATGTTTTCATTCAGAGTTGTCACGCCTTCTACGTGGCGGCGAGGCCGATGAATCACGACGAGGACTCTTGGTTGTGGACTTTGGCTTATTACCAACACTTCCTCTTGATGCCACTGAACCACCATCACCAATAGAGCTTGATCCCGATTCACTGCTCCCACTACCAGATCCAGTTCCACTACCACTGCTGCTCGTACTACTAGACCTAGATCGTCGTCGTGGTTCGTGAGAGGTAGATCGTCCTCGTGACTCTTCAGCTTCTTCTGGTGTTTTAGGTCTGGACACCTTCTCATCATCCTCGTGTCGACGTCCTTTATCACCACTATCATGAGAGCGACGAGGCTTCTTGGAATCACGTTCGTCGTCGATGCTAGGAGATCGTTTCTTCCTATCACTACGTTCAGACTTTTCTCCACGATCACGTCTATCTCGAGACCTATCACGGGGTTCACGACGATCACGATCTCGGTCACCACCGCGACCTTTATCGGATTCACGGTCTCGACGAGACCTATCTATTTTATCTGCGTCTCGATCACCTCGTCCTTTATCTGATTCCCCTCCTCGACGGCTCTCTCTGTGATCACGGTCGTAACGACTGTCTCTATGTCTGTCGGAACGATCATCATATCGGTCTCCTCCTCGACTAGATCTGTCATGGTCGTATTCTCGTCTGTCTCCGTCTCTCCTGCTACTACTGCTATATCCATCGTCTCGTCTGCTACTACTCCTACTATAGCCGTAATCGTCAGGCCGTCTGTAATCTCCTCCTCCTCCTCTTCGATCGTCTTTGCGATCATATCTGCGGTCATCGCGTTGTTCTCTGCTGTAGTCGTTTCGGTTGCGGGCCTGATTGTCAAATCGACCTGATCTCGATGCTGGTTGTTCTGCTTGTGAAGGGAGAGGTGCGTCTATTCTCTCTGTCAGTTGACGAGCTTTAAGAGCAGCCGCCATTCGTTCTTGTGCTTCCTGTATGGTAGGTTTAATTGAGTTTAGTAAAGGCAGACCCCATGAAGATATTCTGATATAAGCTCACCTTATCTTCACGTAACTCCTGCTTCTTTGCATCCAGAAACGCTTGCGGTATACCCCCTATTGTCTCTTGAGCACTCAGTAGCAATTCCCATAATTCAGTCATAAAAGTTGCGGTATCCTTCATCAAGAAACCTGTAAGATTGATGTGCATTTCTTTTGGATTTGGTTCCTAGTATTAGCATATTATTGACGACTTGCTTTGACATTGACGAAGAGCAACAAGTAAAGCAAAATGAGTCAAGAATTCCAAACGTACTGGATCATCAAGCCATTCAAAGACCATATTGACAACTACTTCATCTTCCATGTTAAGAATAGCCGTGACTCGTTTGGTAATCCAAGGATGCATGACTTCCTTGTTGATTGATTTAGTCTTGACCTGGGTTGAATGCCAAATGAAGTTTGAATGATTTGATGTCGAAAAGCAACCCACTGATTTTGAGATGAAGGGCAAATACCTTCTTGTCATATATAGGTGGGAACTTTATAGACTTCATCAATTTAGCTTGCTTGTCCTTGAATCTGACATCCTAAAAGTGAGAAAAGGAAATCACATTTGTCGTTAGTTCTCCATTCGAGTAGAAGAAAGTAGTGATTTCGCGACTCTGAAGGCAAAGGCACGATATGAAAACTTACTTGGTCAAGGCTTGCACCTCTGAAACCTCCGTCAGCCATCCCTTTGATGTTTCTTCGCCCAAAATTGTAAGGAGTCGTTGCTCGAGATCGAAATCAGAGACAGGAGTAGGAGCACTTGGAGAAATGCGCGTCGAATCACGTGTAAAATGCTACAAAATGCTAATCTCTTATATCGGAATTGCAGTGATCGATTGTGATTTTGTGCCTTAAACCCCTTTCCAACATCCAGCGAATCGTAGGGATTGAATTGTAGCGACGAACTAACTGTAATGGCATCAGCTGTGGAGCCTAGGCGTAAAAAAGCGCATCTAATTGTGCCAAGAGATGTAGATCCGTTTGCCTACTGGTATGGAAACGCTGCACTGGGTTATTCTACATTTCTCCATGTTTGCTCATAACCACACCAGCGAATTGCTAAGTTTTCGATTGTTTCCTCATTTAGGCCTAAGCCGAGCTTGAACTTTGACGAGAACTTCCTCCATATCAGGTGTGAATCGTACATCTTGCAAAACATGGATTTTGCACGCAAGGTCGCACTACACTCATTGACCACCAAACCCAATCATTGACCACAATTACACCTCTAGTCCACCTCCAGTTTACGATGAGAAGCTGCCAATTAAGCCTCTGAAGGTGATCTTTGTTGGGGCTGGAGTTGGTGGCATCAATTTCGCAATCATGTCGCAGTACAGGCTAAAGAATGTGGATCTAGTTATATATGAGAAGAATGAAACTTTTGGAGGCACATGGTGGTACGTTACGATACTGATGAACGGCTGATCGTTGTTGACCCGTCTTCCATGTCGTAGGGAAAACAAGTATCCCAACTGTCGATGTGACGTACCTTCCCACTACTACTCGTGGAGATTCATGATTAACGAATGGTCCATGGGATATAGTGGCAGTGACGAGATCTGGTGCGTTCTACTCAAACATTCTGCCATGAGACATCAACTAATCAATTGTTACTTAAGGGAGTACGTACGAGAGGTGGTAGAAGAGTATGGCGTCGAGAAAATGGTCACCTTCAACTCTCGCGTCTTATCTGCTACATGGAATGAAGCCACCGCCAAGTGGCACGTTTCAACGGACGTTGCTGGAACAGTAAAGAACGAGACCTGTGATATCTTTGTCAATGGGCAAGGATTTTTGAACCGTCCCAAATTACCAGATATTCCGGGTGTAGAGAGCTTTGCTGGCCAGTTTTTGCATACTGCGAAATGTGAGGCATTTGTGTGAAGATTGTGAGGCTTGAAACCGCTCACCATTTTGCACATAAAACACAGGGGATCGAAGCTATGATTACTCAAACAAGGCCGTCGCCATCATTGGAACTGGCAGTAGCGGGCTTCAAACGATTTCGGGGGTCGTAGACAGTACGTTTTTGCACCTGGTTGGTACAAATTGAACCACCTAACTCACGCCAATATCTGTAGAGGTCAAGCGCTTGGATGTCTACATGCGTACTCCCTCTTACATTGCTCGATTCATGGTACCGGAATACTTTAATGATGATATGCAGAAGCAGTATCTCAACCCTGGTTAGTTCCGCGTTCTTTGATTGAGTCTGAGATGTCGCTCACCAGCTGGTATTTTAAAATAGATTTTTACCGTGACTGTAAGATTTTCTTTCACTCGTCGAAAAGCAGTCGTGAATTTTCACGGTTCTAAATCACATCATGGCTTAGACTGGAAACGAGCATGGAATGGAGGAGAGCGAACATGGGTCCTGTAGGCCAGTGGATTGGAGATGATGATATGCTCATTGCTAACACGTTCTTCCTTACAGAAACTGGCAAGGCTCTGAACTCCAAACACGTGTACAAAAGATGTGTCTTGACCGACTGGACGAAGAAGTAAAAGATCCTGTGCTGAAGGCTAAATTGACACCAAAGTATGGGTATGGTTGTCGCCGAATCACACCATCCACGAGCTTCTACAGAGAGTGCGTATCATAATTGATTGTTCAGTTCGTTGCTCGAAAGTCGCTTACAAGAAATGCTTTCCCCCAACTGTTAGCATTCAAAAGAAACACGTGAATGTAATCACAGACCCAATCATCCGTGTCACTCCAAAGGGCGTCGTAGTCAAGGATGAAGCAGGAAATGAGATCGAGCGTGAGATTGAAGTGTTGATATGTGCAACTGGATATGAAAACACGTAAGTTAGTTTAAGCCACATTCGGAAGCCCTATTAAACGTTCCTAATCATAATTCCGAATAGATATGTACCACACATCAAGATCACCGGTCTGAACGGAGTATCGATGCAAGAGAAATGGAAGTATATGGCTAAAGGATACAAGAGTGTAGCTTGTGCAGAATTCCCAAACTATTTCGTCATGATGGGTCCTAATTCTTGTGCTGCCGTAAGTGCCAGCGCTTGCTTTGAATGGTGCTCTGAATGCAACTTGTTGACCTCATCGTTTTAGGCTAACTCGATTCATATCCATGTAAGAACCAATCATCCACAAGAGCGTACCTCCACTAACCTTGCCCCATATCGTACTTTTCCTAGCTGGAAGCTTACGCAAACTATATCAACCAAGTGATTGTGAAACTCCAACAATCGGATATCAAGTACCTGCATCCAAAACAATCTGTTCAAGACGAATGGAATATTGAAGCGCAGCATGTCCTGCAACGCACAGTATGGGGATCTCAGAACCAGTGTGGGGGTTGGTACAAGAGGGGTGATCATGTCATTGCCCATTGGCCAGGTGAATATGTTGCTTGGTTTCGTGCGAATCTAAATTGAAGGCAAATCACGACTCCAAATACTAACCGTATTGCAAATAGGACCTGGTAACTCCTTAAACGATGCTCTGTTCAAGCCTATCTACTCTGAATATGACATCACGTATTGGAATCAAGACCAACAACAAGCTGCCGCCCGACTCTAGTTTCATTTTCGATATATTGTATTTGACAAAAACTTGAAATATAAAATGAGCGTTTATGGACTGACTCTACATACTATGTATGGTGGGGGTATATATCGTGATCTATGTCACAGCGTCGCCAAGATCAATCTCATCAGGCAAGTTCGGCAATGGCTTTGATCGTGGCGCTGGTGGCCTCTTGCGTCTAGATGGTGATGGTTCTGCGTTCGCTAGTGATGATAGTGGTATGACAGGCCCATTGAATCCGTCATTGTTGGTGTTACTGTTTCCTGTTCCTCGCCTCTTAACTAACGGTATTGGTTGATCCTCGCCGAGCTGTCCGGGCACTAGGATTGGCGACTTATTGTGGTTGCTGGATTGGGTTGCCTGTCTTATGATCGGCCAGGACATCTGGTGATCGTTGGTGCCCTGCTGTGGCGATACTACAATCGGTGACGTGGTATGGTTGTTGCTTGTGTCCTTCCTTCTAACCGGCGATGTGATCTGCTGTTCATTATTAACTTGCCGTGGCGATGTCGCTATCGCCACCGTATTGAGACTACTCAATGCTGTCCCATTCCCTCTAACAGGTAGTGGCTGCTGTTGTTCATGGTCTACTAGGCCTGGCGGCACAGATATCGACAACGTATTATGATTATTGGCTACTGGGCCTCTCCTTCGTCCTGGCGACGGCAGTGGCCGCTCCTCGTCTACTTGTGACAACACGGGCAACGTAGTTGTTGACGACGGTGGCGAATCATCCTCTATTGGCTGTATGGATTTTATATGTCCTCCCGTTCCATCTTGTCCAAATAACACCACTGTCAAGGTATTGAACTCGATTATGGCGAGTATAGAGGCAAACAGAACCGCAAGGATGCAGATCACAACGTTTCCAAAGTATGGTGTATAGTAGGAGTTGTTGGTCAGACCCACTGGCACGAATACGGCGCCGATTGCGGTGCTATTTATGTTGGTGCTGTGTGTGCTGTTTGAGCTTAAACCGACTCCGGCGAGTGTGTATGCTCCAGAGCTAAACATCAATACTAGGAAAAACGAGGGTCAGGATGCGACGAGTAGAGAAAGATCCAAGTGCATATTGCGTTGTTACATAGTATCGATATCAGAAGAATGACCGACCACCCAATCTCCACGGCCCTTCTAGATTTGAGTCCAGCTCTCGTCCAAAGCGCCAGATAGCGAGGCAGCAACACAATCATCGCTATAATACCTAAGAATCAAATGACAATGTGGTATTAGATCTACATCCAAAAATCTGGAATGAAAACATCAGTTCATCCTGAACTCACAGCTAATGCCTGAAATAACAACAGGAGCTACACATGTCCTGAGGGGATGAGTGAGAGCAGACTCATTTATGCCCAAGAACAACAAGCACTTTGGTGTTGGGACCAGTGCTCCTCCAATGATTGTACTTCCACCACAACATAGGTTCAACAACACTATCAGAATGCTACGACTCCACGCTGGCCGTGCATCATACGACTGTTCGAATGCCTGTCGCGTCATTTCAGATACTGATTTGCCCGTAGCGGCTCGACTTCCAAGTCGTAGTAGTTCCTGCTCGTTACCTGGAGCTTAATTTCTTTGGCGCAAGTTGGTGCAACCAAAACTCTCACTTTTTTGTGGAGAGAAATAAATTACGAGGGAGACAAAAGTACGCGACAATTGCACAATTCTGAATAGCTTTAAGGTTGGGAAGTTCGTACTATCCTGGATCTATATGCGAAGCAAGTTATCATACAATAATTACAATAATATAACACAGATCTTCTCAACCTCATCACCATCGACCTCTTCTTCGACCTCATCGCTGACATCCTCTTGTTCTTCATCCAGCTCCTCATTAGGACTCAAACCCAGCACCTCCACCATAAAATTCAAAGACAAAGGAGCACTATGCGATTCCAACACCGTTGCTCCCCACAAGAAAGCCTCCTCGTCTAGTTTCAACACGCCATCTTGCACCAGCTCGTTGTAGTGCTCTCGTGCAGCTTCTTCTGTTTCTAGCCCCAATATTTCAGCAACTTTGGCAGCAGTTCTAGACGATGCCAGTGATTTAAGAAGAGGGTTTTCGTGTTTGAGATATACAATCTTCTCAATAACACGCGTTTCGTCATCAAGCATGAATTCGTTCTCTTCTAAGGGATCAAGAAATATGAAGGAGGTACCAGAGGCAGCTCGTGACTCTATATATGATTTGCACTGGCTGCGGACAAGGCCAATAGCGTGCTCTAATATCCTTCTCTGGCCTACATAAATAGGGAAAGCATTACTAAGTTTCGATTCGCCTTAGGACAACAGAAAACAACTACGAAATGAACAATAAATTACCTTGACGGTATATTCTAGCAAACCGCTTCCTCGCATCGGGTTCTTCTACACCATCACTGTCATCACCACCTTCAGCAGTGACTGGGTTTTCTAATAACCTAGCTTCTCTACCCTTGAGCAACTTCCACAAATTATGGTAGACTTCAATCTCACAACGTGGAGACACTGGATTACACCCATCTGTCAAATCACCATCACATGTTCTAGTCAACAAGACTCGGATCATTCGAAGCATCTTTACAGGTATCTCCACATCGTTCTCGAAAAGTAGGAATTGACGGTCGTCAAGACCTAGATCTTTAAGATGAATCAGCTTTTGCTGTAGACGAGATAGTGGTGCTGAATTGTCTTCTGGTGTTGGCCGATTATCGTTCGAGGAGGTCTCGTCACCAGTACTATCGGTATCTACAGCGAGCTTCACCTTGACATAATCTTCCTCGTTTAGACTAATCACAAATCCATAATGTCCTAGCAGGAGCTCGTTTCCTTTTGGTCCATAATTATTCATTACTTCTGCGCCCTTGGCAACTGACTGTTGAGCAACGAAACTGATGCCGTCGTGAGATGTTATCCATTCTATTTTATGTCCTCGAGCGTGATTCAGCATGTCTAGGACTGGCCACATTGCCAGTTCGCATTCTTCTACTCTTGGATCACCGAGGATGAATGGGTCGTCGGCTCTCATGCTGTATTCTTCCGGCTTTTTGTTGGTGTCGACTATTTTATCGGGTTCACTAGCAGCAGCACTACGCCTTTTAGGAAAGGCTCGACTACTTATACTACAATATGCCCACAGCCAGTGGTCGAATGTGAGAGCTCCAGGTGTTGGAAAGTACTTCTTCACTATAGATTCGTTCGAAGAAACGGCATCAAAGGCTCGACGAAGCTCCTTACGCTTTTCACTGACAAAGTAAGCCATATTGGTTCCATTTAGCTCTCGCTCTACCATGTCCTCTTCCCACACAATCGGCAAATCGTATGTTTCTGGCAGCGTTGATAAGTACGGATACCAGAATGAGCCATCCTGCTTTACATACAGCTCATGCACCATATATGCAATCATGAGCATAAGGCCTTTCGTCCAGTAGCTCCAGGTAGATCCAAATTCCGGAAGCAATGTTGCAACTGCCAGTCCAAGTTCTGTCTTTTCGACCATGGATTCGGAGAGCACGATCGAGTCAGGAATGTAAGCGATGCGTTCACCTGGATTTATGTTGCTGTTGGCGTATACACCTCGTTCACCATCACGGATTTCTACTTGCAAAAGTTCCAGTTTTGCTCCTTGTTTCGATGCCCAGCCAAAGAGAACTTGCTGCGTATCAGCAGGCATTCCTTTACGTTTTTTAATCGTAGGAGCTGTATTACAGTCCTCTTTCTTTGTCGTTGCTCTTTTACCCATCATTGTGCGTGGAGTTTCGTGTCATTGAAAAAAATCAACGCTACCCATCACCAGTGAATAAGCCGGTGTTCAGTACACCTTCTCTTGTCGAGACATGCATAAAATTTATAATGGACACTGATCAATTGAAACGATCGCGCGAAATGAACGTGATAGACGGGTTTGACAGGACAGATAGTGACGCGTTGAGACATTTCTTGACAGATACAGTCGAGTTCTAAGAAAGGAGAGCTTTTGTTTAGGCATTCAAGCAATGTTTAGCGGATACTGTCAAGTTCTTGTATCATTCACATATTGGGACAGGTCTTGGCAGATACACTCAAGTTCTGCGAATATTCATTCATCATCCACAACAAAACCCCATTAGTCCACCCAAATCCAACTATAGACGAAGAATATGCGTCAAACACGAGGTCATCATATTATAAGCAAGCCCTCAATTACGTTTACCTTGAGGACTATATTCAGCTCCATACCCAGACGAACCAATAGCGGTAGCATCGAAGTTTTCATAGAATACTCCTTCACCAGTAAGATCTCGCTGTTTTGTCCATGCACAGAAAGCAGTGGTAACAAACGCTTGAGCTACATGCAGCTGAGCCCTTTTTGCATCAGATGCAAGATGTGGACATTGTGCCTCAATTTGAATCATTGCTTGAATAGCCACATCTATGAATCGAATAAAAGTGAAGAGGAGAAATAGACCCTAGAATTCCTAGTGCACGACAAGGGTTTCTTTATTCTTACATTGCAGGGGGGCCCAAACGTTTGGAAAGTCCCATTGAAGTCCTGAAAAGAAACCAAAACATCAATACCAACAAGAGTCGTGTCTTTAACAGTAACAGAGAACATGAAAGTATAAGCTCGTCGGTCGAAGAACCTTACCGCTCGATTCTCTAGTGACAGGCAGTCCTCCCTTCCACATCTCAAGCGAGTACTCAATATCAGATATCATTCGACGAGCCCCTTCACACGAGAATATCCCAGCCCAGACAGCAAAGTACTGTTCGGACGAATATGGCTCCAGACGTAGCTTTCCAGTTTCAATATTCAAATCACCACATCTGAGTGATTGGTCACAGAGCTGTGACTTGATTGTCAATTCGCGTTGATTTCCGAGCTTTGAGTATTCAATGCACTTGGCTCTATTCCCACGACCCTTGAAGATGCTGGCCAAAGAACGTTCTGAGAGCAGGAGTATGCTGTTGAGATCGATTGGGATGACTTTGGTTGGTTGTTGCCTACAAAAGGAAGTTGCTTCGCGATCAGACTTGATTTGAAGTGAGCAAATATTCGCTTTACCTAGCCAAGTTCTCCATACTAGAATTTGAGACTGGTCCAGGAATCCAACGGGACGAAAAATCCCATCCCGTCTCTGCCCCAGTGGCCAACTCAGAAAACAACTCTGCTGGCGGAATACTAGTTGCCAATGCACTAACATTCAGATCTAGATTATACGCTTCAGGTCGTGGCGAATCTGCAGTCACAAAATATCGAGATAGATAGCCTTTCGATTTGCCAAACTCAACTCTCTTTGGACGAGTTGACCAATATGTCAATTCTTGTTCCAACAAGGTAGTGTTGAGCTCGTCGAATGATTGAAATTCCAGGAATCGAGCAATCGTTAGAATCAGAAAGGGAGGCTGTGATCGATTGAGGTAGTATGTTCGAGATCCGTTTGCTAAACAAACGATGTTGAATGAAGGATGAATGGTGCTACAATTCACGAACTAAGGATGCGATAATTTGGCATGTTGTACTTACGCACAAATCCGTGAACTGCAAGCATATCAAGGAAGTTTAGCAGCATGTCTTTACTCATGTCATAAGCTTCTGACAAGAGGAGCCCTATAGTGTTGAGAGGGTGTCATTTAAAAACTCTCGTCATATGTTTGATATATTTGAATCAATTTTACCTTCCGTAGTAAAGTACGTATCCCAATAATACTGTTCCTCAAACATTCCACCAGGCACCACAAATTGTCTAAAGAAATGTCATTTGTGAGACAGTCTCCAACGTCACTTGTCAGACAAAAAAAGCCCGTTATATACCTGGAAACAGCAGGATCAAAGCTCGACACACACCCATCGCACAACAACCCCGTCCACTTCCTCGCCAATTTCGGCCATATATGATGAATCTGTTTTGCCCAATCACGCAACTTGGAGTCCTGAACGCCCTTCAAAAATGACGGCTGAGCTGGATAATTCATTCGTGCCGGAACCACATCAGATCCAGATGCAGCAAAGTTCTCATTCAGGAATGACGATAGGCTTGATGGCGAGCTTTGACTGACTTGTTGAAAAGATCGCAAGACTTGCTCGAGCGGCCTTTTCGTGGGCTGAAAAAGCGAGACTGAGTTCAGTGACATATATCCCCGTTTTCTGATTTGGATTCCTCACCGCGTCTACAAAGCCTGCAAAGAGACCAGATCGTTGAATGACATCGAGTATTTGTCCTTGAGTGTACAAGACTTTAGAAGCTGAAATTGATGAAGTTGGCACTGCCGACGACGATATTGACACCATGGCGATAAGAAGCATCAATGGCGACATTTGGAGTCAACGTCCAGATGCGTCGTCTTGAATGCTTCTGTTCACGAGGTTCCCTGGCTGAATGTGGGAACACGAATCAAGAAATGATTGACAGCCAAATCACCAAAACAGCAGTTGACAGGTACATCACAAAAAGAAATGAATTGACAGGTCCCCAATCTTGAAACGGGCAAACGATACCAAACAAAACATGTTTCAATTTTGAAAGCTCTAAGAAACCCCATGTATTCACAAGTGCGTCTAATTCTATACATCTTGCTGCACCAACAACATCTTGTCCAATAGAGCGACTTCCTTCTTGAGCAACTTTACACAGCCCAGTGACACGGTTTTGATCTCGTGGGGAGGCGCCGACTTCTCTGTAGCAGCAGCCGTATCGACAGGTGTCTCTGACGCGACACAAATGCGTTGGCCACGTTCCACCATTATCTTCAACCAGCCTTCACCATAGTAGAATGACTTGATTTCTTCTTCGAATGGAGCGACGGGATGTCGTAGAATGTGGTTGATGAATTTGTACGATAACATTAAGGTCTAAAGTTGGTATTGTTAGTCACGAATGAATGAGGTTATTTTGCTATCGAAAAAGGATCGTTTTTGCGGTACAACGAACGAAACTCACTTTCTCATTGTATAGCAAACTATTCCGTATTCCATCAGGAGTATTCCTATGCGAATCATATCCGGCTTCATTGAAATATGGCTCAGGATTTAACACCAGGCCTTGAATAGAGACGAGAACCTGCATGAGACTTTTGGCAGGACTCTAGGAAGCGAGTGAAAAGCTTTTAGGAATGCCATTGTTCTCTAACTTCAGCACCAATTTCGAGCGTACCCAAGATTCGGTGGCGTTACCACTCCAAGTTCCTAATATTGACAAGCAGACGCGGCCATTTTCATACAAGTTTGGGTTGATCTTCCCGAGGCCACCATCATATGAGTGAAAGAAGAGGTCTGGGGGAACGCTTGGATATCTAAAAATAGTTCAAATAGACGAATAAATATGAGCTTCAAGGGGACACAAAATATGCTTTGGACATACTCGAGAGGAAATCGTGCATCAAAGAAAAACAGACAGCCTTCATAAGCAGTTCCTTCTGGTCCAACAATCATGCATCTGAATGCATCAGTTTGATCCTCGAACGACCGTACTAGAATGCCCGGAGGTAAAGCCTTGGTCAACATTGAGTGTTCTGATAATATTCGTTTGGCAAGAGCTCGTGGTATGTTTCGTTGGATTGAATTATAGTATTTATGATCGATTGGTATGGATTCAGATGAGGCAAACAAGTCCCATGACGGCAGCTGAGAAGGTACTGAGATAGTGCCTCGTTTGGGGAGTGGTGATGATGGTGTTGATATATCCATTGTTTCCAGAGTATTGGTGACTTTAATGACTGAATCCTCTACTTGGTCGATCGTCCTACCATCTAATTCGACTTCGTCACCGTCTTCCTCGGTAACCCAGCTCTTATCGTCGTCATCAGATTCCGAATCTCCATCGTCATCGTCCTCTACTATCTTGAATATAGATGATGGAGGTAAGACGCCCTCTCGATTAGACAGCATGTATTTCACCACGACCTGTCCGTCTCTATTTATTCTCAATATTTCGACCAGACGGTTTACTTCTGGAGTGTCTTCGTCCACAACGAGACCAATACATCCTGCAGTAAAGTCTAGATGTTCTGGTGTCTCTAGTTCGAATAACGACAATTCTTCCACTGTACTTGACAAGACCATGCAACTATTTACAGTTTCATACCAACGTATGTTGGCAAGTCGATCTATGGCGTTTACAGAGACGACGAGACCTAGTTTCTCTTGGTTTTCCTTAAGCACCACAATTTCACAAGGCCAAAGTTCGTATTCGTCTGGTGATAATACAGGAAGGAGATTCGTGGAGTATATACCAGTGCTCACTGAGCCATCCTGCCACAATACATCCGCCCAAGTCTTTGTGCAAGTAACGTTCAAAGTAAATTGATGTGATGGAAGGCCCGTAGCTGCCTGGGCATGAGTTATAGGGAACGTGCGTTTAGCATCCTCTTCATCTTTGAAGACTACTTTATCGCCAAGTTGGAAACTATAGGAGCACCAGCTGCCCATTAAGACTCTCACGGAGGCTCTAGGTACTTTCTCCGGTGGAGGGCTTCCTGAAGGATTGCTTCCGAAACATGCCAGCCACTGAACAGTAACCAGAATGGTTTGAGAATCAATCACAAGTCCAATCTTGTGCTTTCTAGGGATGAAGTGGCCACGTGTCCAGCGACCGTCTCTAAGGCACTCTGGAGGGCAATTTACATTGAGGCCTGCAACCAATCTAAAGCAGAGGAAATTAATGAGTTCTTCAGTGACTAATTGAGATATTGTACACTTTAGACCATTTACGAATACTGACCTTTGCGTTTTCAGGAATGAATTGTTGTCAACATCTCCAGCAATCTCTAGCAAGTCTGGGTACCTGACGACACAAGTAGACAAGTCCAGAAATTGCACCGTTATTTGTTCAGCACAGCCAACGGCCCGCCCAACCCATCCTCCTTCAATGACGACATAATCTGACACGTCAACATCGGTAGAATATGATATTCTCGAAGTATCTACATCTTTTATCTCGAATCCACTCGAGATTTGTTGTAGAGACGCAGACTGCCTCATTCCTATTATGACACCGCTGCCCTTTGATGACTGTTGTGCTGACGTGTCTTGTACGATATCTCCGGGCATGAGGGCACGATCAACGAGGACGACATCGGTTTCATTTGTTACATAAGGAGCCTTGCCATCTCCCGGCGCGATTATTACTTGTTTGTCTTTCAAAGTTCGAGTCAGTTTCAAAATATGAGCTTCCTGTCTTGACATTTCACTCTCGTCTTCCTCGTCAATCAAATCTGTAGTGCCATCGTCGCCATCTCGAGCAGATTTCAATACAATTCCATATTTGGGTATTGTAGCAGTTGGGTTTAACAATACAGCATCTTCAGAGTAGAGTGCCGTCGATAGAATTGGTCCATTTGGACTGCTCGGCGACTGATAAGCTTCATCAATATTGCCATTAGAGTTTAGATGAGCCAAGATACGTTGTCGTTCATCATGGGTGAGTGATTGAACGCTCTGCCCTCCAAGTCCAACCTAGCGAGATCAGATTTAACACCATTGCTCTAATTGGCGATCATTCAGCAGATCAGACCAACCTCTTTCATAGAATGCTCCACTTGAGCAGCACTGGGAAAGCTGGACAGGGAGTGATGAATCGCTGCTTCTTTCGACATTTTTGATGTTTGTATCCTGTAACGAGATTCAAGGTCAGAACTGTTCAAGATCATGCGAATTACGTTAAAATCCACACAATTTGCCAAAAATAAAAGTGTCATAGGAAGGATCGTCTCCTCCCAACATCAATGAAACTCACCTTCAATCGGAGATCGCAAACAATGAGGCAAATCAGACGACTAGTGTATGTGGCGAACTCACGTCGAGGGTCGGCACGTCCAATATCAACAACGCCTTGCTCCTCTCTTCTTCCGGCTCTCTCGTCTACGCAAAGGACAACCTCGATGAAGGACACCAATCTGGTAAACGTTTGCACTCTATTCGACCTCAATCGCGTCGAATGCTCGTTAGAAATTTTATTCTGATTATCTGATTGATAGATCTCGCGTTCTTTACGCGCTTCCAAGACTCAAAAGGACGCTGTCTTGGTAGACATTAAATCCAAACATTTGGAGGTGTGCTCTTTGATCTAAATTGATCTTTTCCTTATAGCCAAGTACAAGGAGATCCTTCTTTAGTACACGAGAATCACGGGCTGTTCTCCAGTATGCATTGGCTGATATAGGGGAAGGCATCAGAGAGTGCGAGATCATTCAATGGTAAATTAATACTGTGTGAAGGGGTGCAATGGACCAATGTTTGGAAGAAATTCGTACTGAAATCGTCCTTGTATGTAGGTTTGTCAAGGTCGGAGATCGTATAGAGCAGTTTGACAAGATATGTGAAGTGCAGTCAGACAAGGCATCCGTGGAAATCTCGTCACGATATGATGGAGTCATTACCAAGCTATATTACGATGTGGGTGCTATGGCACGAGTCGGGAATCCGCTAGTTGATATTGATACTGGTGGGAGTGTTGAAGCTAGTACAGTGCCGCAACCTCATCCAACACCCCTACAACCAACACCAGCTCCAACTGCTACCAGTGCAGCTCCCCCAGCAACAACAACATCAACAGATGCCGAACCGTTCGTAATGACAACACCCGCAGTACGTCGCCTTGCCAAAGAACAATCCGTAGATTTAGCCAAAGTGCGTGGAACCGGAAAGAATGGACGAATCACCAAAGAGGATATTATGGAATACACTAATGCAGCTCCTCAGAGAGACGCGATAGCGAGCATCAGGGCAGATCATGTTCCAAGTAAGTACATACAAACTTAATTGGATTGAAAACTGTTTCCAGATTTTTTTGCGTAGGTCCAGCACCAGCCAAAGCACCAATATCCACAGCATCAAAACCACAAGAGGGCGAAATCATTCCTCTAACTGCCATGCAACGAGCCATGTTTAAACAAATGACTAAATCATTGGCCATTCCACATTTTGGATACTCTGACGAGATTGACTTGACCCAAATCTCGCTCTTAAGAAGCGAAATCAATTCTGGATTAGCTCGACATGATAGCCATAAACAGCCTCTAGTTAAGAAAGTGACTCTGATGCCTATATTTATTAAAGCCATGAGTATGGCCTTGAAGGACTATTCGATTCTGAATGCTCAATTGCTGGTTGAAGGATCTGATGCTGCTACTGCTCAACTGAAATATAACAAGAGTCATAATATTGGAGTAGCTATGGATACTCCTGGCGGGTTAGTAACTTTGAATGTGTTTAGGATTTTCGAAATCATATTGTATTGCATGACGGGCTGACTTTTCTTGTTTCCCAACCTGCTTAGACTCATTGTTCCAAATATTAAAAACGTCGAATCAAAGTCTATACTGGCTATTGCAGCTGAACTGGATCGCTTAAAGGATGCTGGTCGACGAAGTGCTCTCTCACCATCCGATTTATCAGGAGGCAACATCACCATATCAAACATTGGTAACATTGGCGGTACGCTACTCCATCCTGTAATTGTACCCACTGAAGTCTGTATTGGTGCTATTGGACGTGTGCAACGACTTCCTCGTATAGTTGAGATTGATGGTGAGGAACGTGTAGTAGGAAAGGACATTGTACATGTTAGTTGGAATGCAGATCACCGAGTCATTGATGGTGCTACTATGGCACGATTCGTGACTCTGTGGAAGGCGTACCTTGAGTCTCCAGGAAGACTGCTGGCTGAAATGTCGTGAAATATATGGTTTGGAATTGGAGTAAATATATGAAATATACATCAATAGTAGTAATATTATTCAAGATTCTGATTGTTGACGCGTTGCCAATGGCTCGGACACGTTATACTTGGCCTGTTCGCTGCTGTCCGGTGGTCATGGTCAGAAATGCGCAAAACAACCAGATATCGTTCTTGTCGCGATTGACATAGTTCCAGTACAGGACATAGGAGCAATGGCTTCCACACCTAAGAAACCTATCGCAGGTGCCTCCTCGGCGTCAAGTCCAGGTTCTGTGTCGTCGACGCCCTCAAAGAGAACAAGTGAAGGTGGTGGTGGTCCTGCCACTACCTGCCATGTAACTGTCAGAATAAGGTACGATCGCCGGTATCTCTGTATTCAATTGTGAAATCCTTTGCTTCTGCTCTTTCCATGCTATTATCATCAAACATTTCAAGACATCTCATCACACATCTTGACCACTTTTCGATCACGTAGGCCGTTGATGTCTGATGAAATTTATGGAAACCAATTCAGTGCATGGGAAGTGGACGAAAACACCAATAGAGTCGGAACTTCGTCCGAGTTCAACGAGAGAAACAGATTCAACAAGGAACAGCCAGAGTTCTTTTACGGTTGGTTGCAGTCGGCCTTTTCGCCACGCTTTGATCTGTTTCTGAATGTATTGCTGTGATCTCGATAGATGAGGTGGCTACTGGCAGTGACAATCACGCGCTGTACTCGAGTGCTATCAAAGAGCTCGTTATTGCAACAATGGAAGGATATAGTGGAACTACGTTTGCGTATGGTCAAACGGCTTCTGGAAAGACGTATACCATGATGGGAACAGATACGGAGCCTGGTATCATTCCTCAGGCGGTTGATGATGTGTTTACTTACATTCGTGAAGTATGTTGCAGTCACATAACCTTTTTTTGGTATGTTTGATCATTCTCTAAACAACTACGTCTTTTAGCAACCTTCTGATCGTGAATACTTGCTACGTGTGTCGTATATAGAAATCTAGTAAGGGTGATACGGATATTGGAAACTCACAAAATCCAACGGCTCACAACCTTCCTTGTTTCTCTAGCAATGAGACTATTCGAGATTTACTTGCACCAGATCAAACGGATTTACGCATTCATGAAGATCGCAAGGTAAAAGCCCAAGAAAATACTCCTATCATTGAAACTATTGCTGATCATCCGCAATTTTTAGCGAGGTGTCTATGTATCGCCACTCAAAGAAGAAATAGTTACAACACCAAAACAAGTCATGAAAGTTATTGCTCGTGGTGAACAGAATAGACACTTTGGATCAACGGATTACAATCAGCATAGCAGGTATGACCTCAACTTTTTTGCCAAAAAACGATTAACATCAAATACCTTTATCTTAGTCGATCACATACAATATTTCAAATGATTATTGAAAGTCGAGATCGAAATGCTGCATCATTGGTACCCAGTCCAGAACCGAAACCTGGTGTACTGGCAGGTCGACCTTCTCCTTCCGCGTCGAAATCATCGAGACCATCCGCCACCGCATCAACAGGAACCGTGACAATATCTCAATTGGTAATTGAAGGAGACCACCGCTGTCATTTTTTGTTCAACCTACTCTCTGAACCCTCCTTTGTTGATCAAACCTAGAATCTCATTGACTTGGCAGGCTCAGAAAGAGCAGCGTCCAATGCTGAACGACGAGCTGAAGGCTCGTTCATCAATAAGTCATTGTTAACTCTGGGCAATGTGATTGCCAAAATTACAGAAGACAAGGGTGGTCACGTCCCATTTCGAGACTCGAAACTTACTCGAATACTACAATCTTCGTTGACTGGTCAAGCTAGAATTGCTGTCGTTTGTACAATATCGTGAGTTAGATGTCACTCGTTCTGACCTTCTTTATAACTTTTTTCCTGATGCCTCCTTGTTTAGACCAACAACTGCCAACTTTGAGGAATCTCACAACACACTCAAATTCGCATCTCGTGTGAAGAAAGTAGTATCACGAGCATCTCAAAATCAAATGATGGATGAGAAAGCTCTGATTCAGAAATACAAGGGAGAGATTCAAGAACTTAGAGAGCAACTCTTTAATACTAACGAGTTGCTTGAAATGGAACGACAGAAGGAGACTGTATCTATCAAAGAAGAAAGATTATTGTTTCAGGAGCAGTTGCATGAGAGTCAGTTGGTGAGCTATTTTCGCGGTTCATCGTCTGTGTTTTGTTCTTGACTGATTGTTGATCTCTTCATAGGTGCGAACTGCTCTCAAGGAACGAATAGATCACCTTACAAAACTCATTTTGACCTCAAGCAATACGACACCTAAAGCTATATTGGATTGGAATCATACTGATGTAAGTGCAAAAAGTGATGGTACGCTCAAACCTCTCAAGTCCCATTCATTCGCTTGACTCATCATTCGCACGTTTAGAAGAGGCAATCAGTCATTGTTGAAGGCCTACTACCTCAATCTGCCAAATCGCCAACAGCACCAAATAGCGGACTATTACAATCGCCAGCAGAAAACGATTCTACAACAACACCAACATCTCGCCAAACATCCCAAGAAGATATAATAGCATCCCAACAGCATACATACTCGACTATAGGCACCACCACCACATCAGAACTCGAGAAAACGATTACAGAATTGAGACAATCGCATTCATCCAACCCGCATCTAGCAGCCATGCTAATAGACCTACAATCCAATCCGAAACTTACCTTACTCGCACTGGCCCAAACACGCATGGACTTGATTGAAGCACGACGAGATAGGGAAGAATTAGAATTATGTGTGGAAGAACAGCAAGAAAAGATTGCTTCTCTTGAATCTGGTGGTGGTGGAAGCGGTGGTAGTGTCAGAGAACATTATCAGCCAGTCCGGAAATCATCTATAGGCGGCTCATCAGTCAAATCATCAGGTACAACAGATGCACTGGATGAAGCTCGAGAGCAGATATCAGAGCTTGAAATACAACGTAAAAACTTGCAATCTCAAGTCATTGAATTGAAGGATCATGTGAGAAGGCTTGAGCTGGCGCAATTTGAACAATTAGAGTCACAGGCTAGAGGGGAGGAAAATGAGCAAGAGTCTTATTAAAAAGGGACTGCGCTTTTATATATATCCTTGTTGATTTCTTATACATAGTATACACACACGTTGCATGTTTGCTGTTGTACTTAGCAATTTACATATATAAACCCCACACACATCCATTCACTCAGTCATCAACCGCTTCATCACTTTTTGGAACATTGGCTCGTATACAGCGACGAACAGGTTTGGGTTTTGTAGCGAGTCTTTTATACATATATCTTTTTTATATTTTATAAATACTGTAAAAACGAGTTGCATATTTATTGTGGAATATAGCAAACCCACACACCGCTTCAGTCATCATCCTCATCACTTTCTGGAATAACGACTCGTTTACCTCGACGACCTGGTTTTGGTTTTGTAACGAGTTCAAGATCACTGACATCATCTTCTTCTTCTTCATCGTCGTTCTTTTTTGGTTGATCATCTTCATCATCGTTAATCTTGAGTTTGCTCGTCTTCTTTGTTATGCTACCGACACCTCTACTATTCCTACTGCTGCTGCTTTTCATAGCCTTCTGTACAGGTCCACGTGGTTTACGGGTACTGGTAGGCGGTGGTGGTGCATGGTTTTCAACATCTTCAGCGTCATTATCGTCTGCACCGTCCTCATCACTTGAAGCTGCCTTTTTACGAGTTGAGCGTTTGGCAGATTGAGGTGCAGCGACTCTACCACGAGGCCTACCACGAGGCGTACCACGAGATGCTCGACTATCTTTACTGCCGATCTAGGTATTTTGGCATGGTGAGAAAAGCGATGCGAAGAAAAAGCTATCTTAATTGTAAGTCATACCACATTCAAGGAAGCCATAGCATCAGCCAACGCTCCTTCTTGACCTTGTTCACCTTCACCTTCTTTACCCTCCTCCTCCTCTTCATTATTGTCGGGTTCGTCCAGCATCATGTTTCCACCAGGCTTGGCTTTTCCATGTTTGGCCTTGGTAGCCATAGCAGTAGCAACCGTTTCTTGTTGCTCAAGACATTTCTCGTGCAATTCAATCAATTTGCGTTCAAATTCTTCAATCGATGCCTTGTTCTCTGTCTTCGGCTGCTTCTTTGCCTGCGATGAAAAATATGAGCAAGTTTCATGAATTCGAACGGAGATCAGATGATCGTCGACTACATACCTTTGAGACGATCTCTTGGAAGTGTTTCCAGACAGTAGGCTCGTACAGCTTATCTTGATAATGTCCCATCCCTTCAACCAATTTCTTGATTGACTTTTCCGATGAGAAGGGCAAGAGTCCCAGACAGAATGCAATATCTCGACATTGTCGGTCAGTATCGGCATTCTTGAATCTCAAGACAAGTTTTTCTACCAGGCTCTCTGTTTGCTTCTCCTAACAAAAAAAACAGGACTGGTCAGCTCTGATACTCTACAACAGCAAGCTGGGTTTTGCCTTAACTGTCATACCTTCTTGATGAAATCAAACATGAACTTCATAATACTCTTAAAAGTATCTTCATCCACACCAGCTGGAATAGGTTGCGACAAGTTACTGATAATGTCTGGCAAATTATTATACACGGCATTATCCTTGGATGCCAACTCAGTAAAAAAGAGTTTGGCCAAGTCAGAGATTCGTTGATCTTCATCTTCCAAGCATTTGGCCATTTCACTAATCTGGCCCTTGACTTTGACCATTCCATTCAAAATCAAATGAGTCAAGACCATCAAGGTGTTCTTCTTGACGGCTTCGTCATCATCCTGGAGACGTTTATACAAGTGTTCAACGTTTTGATCAATTAGAGAGTTGAAGCAAACAGCCAAATCTCCAATGCCAATAATAGTGTTGAGACGGACGACTGGTAGTGACGATCTCTCCAGAATGGTCAAGAGTAGCTGAAGATTCGAGTCACAAAAGTCGGAGCTCACACACATAAATTTGCTCAGAGCCAGTACTGCATGTGTTTGGAGCAGCGGATGCTAATTCAAAAAAGACTTAATGTTGGTTGACTGTAATCTGGTGTTCTTTTTTGCGCCAGCGTACCGAATATGTAGAGTTGTGTTTGCAGATTTCCACTACTAGAGGTGCGAAAGCAGCCAATAAAGAGTGTTCGCCAAGAATCAGTTCATGTTCACGAATATAATTAATGGCTTCCGTGAATTCATCTTCTGTAGATCCAGTTACATTATCCAATTCATCTGCACCCGTACGTTTACCAGGCGTCTTGGCAAAATCCTCTACAAAGGCACGCCATGTCAGTTTTTTTTGCTTCTACCTTGCTCAACATACTTCAGCCATCTCTTACCAGCAGCTTTTCGTCTCTTCCAAACGACTTCAATAGACTCCAAGTGCACAATTTGCTTGATGGCAACATGACCAACCATAAAGCATAATTTGGCCAGATTCAACGAATCACATTGCACTACCTCTTGAGTAGAAGTAGGAGAATCAGAGAAGCCAGAAGCCTGAGTACCCATCATGACATCTCCATCTCCTCCTTCTCCTTGTTCTCCACCATCATCATCAATACGTAAATCAGATTGAATCTTGGAAGCTGTTGCTTCTACGTGAGAATCGACAGCACAGGGAATCTTCAAGACTCGTGAAGCTACACGTTTGATGACTTCACCACATATGACATCTGGATGCTCGGATAGCAAATATATAGTGTTTAAGCCTTGTTCGGCAAACTCAAACCTGAAAGGTTCCCAGTCAGTGTCCTGATCCCACATGACCATACGACTCAAATACGTACCAGTGCTCAGAGATGTCCTCATCAAGAAGCAAATCACATGTTTGCTGAAATATGGCATGATTCATAGGAAGACGTTTGTGGGTATCCGACAAGGTGCCTAATTTAGGAGAAAAAAAGGTCAGTCCGTCGTAAACGATACGTTTCTGGCTTGAAAAGCTTCTTTACCCTTCTTCCTTTCTGAAGCTCCCAACATTTGGAAGGCAACAGAGGCATAGCGAGCCAAGAGCAAGTCGTCCTATTCAGACAAAACAAATTCAGTAATTGGAGTCTATTCACAGAACTTCAATCATTCGACTCCTACCCGTCCACAATCGCCCAATCCAACTCTCAACAATATATCAGTCTTGTCTGCAATAATGTCTTTACGAGTCTTGGCAAACATGCTCAGAATCATAATGGCACCACGTCGTTCTCTAGCTGATGCAGCATCTGTCTTCTTACGACCAAAGATGCCCCATAGTGCATCAATGATGGCTTGTTCTGGCTGAACACGTTCCTTGACGATCATGGTACTCAAGAGTTGCTCAAGGGAAGTCAACTCTGCGAGATTCATTTCATCAGTCAGCCTAAACACAAAAAAAAGTAATAGCAGTTTGAATACACCTTGTAAAGAACTGCGTCCCAACGTCCTGAACACTCAAATCTTATTTACCGAATCAGATTGTATACAATAGTCTCCAAGTTTTGACGTTCACTCTTCGCAGGATCCATTCTAAAGTAGACTTTCTCATAGCTCTCAATCAAGTCTTCACGAATACCCTTTTCAGAATCACCATCAGTATCCTTATCCCATATCTTGTGAACCATTCTCTTGACTCCAATATCAGCACCTTCAACACCATATCCATATGCTTCTACAAAGAAACGCATGGCCTCTACTGCTTCTGTTTTTGTCTTTGAGCTCAATAGCTCACACAAGGTGGGAATGGCTTCAAACAATTGTTGACCAAATTTGATGGCCTCGGTATAATACTTGAGCAGCTTCTGGAACTGACCAAGATTCTGAGCCGTCAGGTCTGGGTCGTCTTGCGGTACTGGCTCATCGACTAGTTGGCCTTCTGGTTGCTCAGGCTTGTCGACATCCATTTCTTGATCTTTATTGCCATTAGGCGGTGCCGGGAGATCTAACAGTTCAGCGATAGCAGCTGCTTCGTTTGGATATTTAGCCTAGTGTTTCAAATGTTGATGAGTTCTCGAACAAGTTGTTAGCCAATAAACCTGTACCTGAATAATGTGCAGGATCTCTGTTCGACGAGACTCAAACACCTTCACATTAAGCTTTCCTTCGTCTTTAGGAAAAGCCAGGAAAGGACAGGTATCCATCATCTTGGTCAAAAGCTTGACAGCATTTTTTCGTACAAGACTACTCTTGTCCTTCATACGACCAATTACCAAATCTATAATAGCAGGTCGTGTCTCGACAGGAATGTCTGTGATCGTACCACCGAGGACTCGAGGCCTACAATCAAAAGGTTTGTTACTACAGTGTCTTTTGGTAGGGCCAACCCACAACAAAGCACCTACTCTGTCAATTTCATCAAGACTTGCAAGACTTTGACTCGAACAAAAGCTGACGTGTCTCTAAATCTGTCTTGAAGGATCCAATAGAACCTGTGCAATTGAGCAGCAGCAATCTCAGAGTTGTTTACAGCCAACAAGTTGTGAATGAGATTGCCAACAACTTCAATCATAGCACATCGTATAGATTGCGACTAAGGTAAAAGAAATCCTTGTTGGTTTCAGGATTGCTTGTACGAAACCAGCAGTAATCACGTGCATCAGAGTCTAGATGGACTTGCAAGACCACCAGCTGCTTCATCATTTCGCGAGGCAAGATATCTGACAGTCGGACCAAAAACTTTGAGAAGGTCTTGGCGATCTTGGAATGATCCTTCTCATTGAATTCCATGTTACCGATTTCACTATATGAAGAGTCAGCCATGCTCAATAACTGTGAAGCGCAGAAGACCAATATCTCACCGAAGGATTTCGTCTACCACTCTAGACGAATCGTAACGCTTGACTAGCGCATCAAGGAAATCTGCCATGGGCTCAGATAGGTGCTCTTCACCAGACTTGAGATTTAGCAGAACAGATGCTTGTGCACCTACGTATAAAATATCACTCTGAGCACTGTGTCCAGACTTACAAGTGGTAGCAAAGCGATTGATGCGTACCAACAGCATAGTTGTAGTCACGGACAGCAATAGCCCAGATATCAAAGATCGCCGTGCGCAACTCTGCCTTTTTCACATTCTCAGCATCTTCCAACAATAACGAAGTGCATTTAATGACCATACTAGTAATGACAAACGTTCAGGAGGGCTATTCCTTAATCGACGTATTCAGCGCACACAGCGGAAGAACATTGAATGCACACCACGCTTACTTGATGTAGGCGTCACGTTCAGCAGATGAAATCCATATTCGTTTCAAGTCCAAGACAAACATATCGTACAAGACTTTGAGAGCCTTGAGCTTCTGAGCTGGCCAATCCCAATCGACGTCGACTTGTTTAGCTTTACCACCACGTCCTTTCTAAATTGATTCGACAAAAGGATATGAATTATCTGAAATATTGGGACACAATTTTTTTACAAAGAGCCCTTCATACCTTGGGTTTCCCAATGTTTGCACGTTCTTTAGCACTAGCTTCAACCTTGGCCTTCTTTTCAGCAACCATGAGGAACCAGTATAACAGAAAAGCGTACATTTCCAGTAAAGTTCTGTCCAAGTCAAAGCCGGGTTGGTTGGCTTCTTCAATATCAGTAGCAACATTCTCGGAATGTCTCTCCAATCCTAAATGAATGTGGGACGGTCAATCTGTGATGGTGGCAGTGAGATCAACATGAATATACCATTTATAATGATATCTCCTAGTTTTTGTACTATTGGAGCTGGCAGGGATTCGAGACATCTACCACGCAGAAAAATGTGATTATTACAAGTTGATGTTTGGAGAAAATGCTGGAAGAGCTTACTTGAGGCAGCTCTGCAATGAATCAAAAGAATCTCCTTGGGAAAGACTGCTTGGATCAGCTATCAATGAGAGACATACATCTAGATATAAACCAGAGTAAGGTCGACATCTCCATCACTAAACAAGTAAACACAACGACTTGCCGTCCAATCGCCCATTCAAGTCGTCGGCATCCAGTTCCGAAGCATCGTATTCATTGTCAATGTTGGGACTTCCTTGCTGCCATGCCGACAGCGTCTCGTGAAGATCAAATGTCATCTCCATCTTCGCACTGGTCGAGTTTTCGTGGAAGTTGAAGCGTATAGCCGAACGAACGGACGGGTGTAAATAAAGGAGGCTTAATGTTTACATAATTACAGAATTATTGGACTTGACCATGGACGTTTCTCGTGATTTCATAGCAATGTTCCAAGCGTTGCGAAGCTGTGAAATGGTTTTGCACAGATCTGACAGTTCCTTCAACACGAGAATAGATCTACGTGAATTACTGTCGGAACAGTATTTTATTAGTCATGATACAGTCGTCTAAACGAATAACTGTAGGAAAGGGATTTTATTGGCCATGATACAGTCATGGGAGGATCAGAAAGATTTTATTTCTTCCCATGTGAATGTTTCGGGTATGGTCTCTACTGAGTTGGTGAGATATCCTACTAGGAACTCCAGAGCATCTACTAGTCTCGGTCCTGGGCGGTTGAAGAATGCATTTCCTATCGAAGAATATAGTGACTTACAATTCTCATTGACCTTCAGCGAGTCGTATATGCCATCTTGGCGTCACTTTCAACTCTCTTCCTTCCCTCGTCTTGCCGATGGCAGCACAAGGACAAATTCGATAAAGGTGAATACATACCATCCACAAGAGCCACTTGCGTAACGGTTTTCTTCAGTTGCTGCCAAACAGGCATTGCTTGTAACAATGCAGTTTCCCGTTTGGTTTCTTCAAGATTCAAGCCGCATGGCGCTATTATCAAGACTTCTGGTTTGGATGCGACGAGTTGTTCATGCGTAATTCTAAACGATTTTCCAGCTCCACTTGTAGCATTTTTGGTTGGGTTAAGCGGATGACTGCCTCCAGCCATATGGATGAGCTGAGGAGTCCAATGTCCGCCGATGAAAATTGGGTCTGACCTAAGTGAAACTAGTCGATCAGTTCAAGTCTTAATGTAAGGTTTCAGGCCTCGACAAGACGTTCAACAAACAGCATTTATCAACTCTCGATCAATATAATACCATTCTATAAAAGCGACATTCTTCCTTTGGGACGAAGCTAGGAATTTGTCTGCCCGACCGACAGCAGTTTGGATGCGTTGGGTCAAATCAGACCAACACTTGCTTCCAGCTTCTTCCATACCGATTGCTCTACTCACAACCAAGATATCGTTTAGGACTTCGTCGAGAGACTGTGGATTTAAGGATATTATGTTTGGTATTGGGTTCATTTGCTTGGCGACTCGTTCAACTGTAACAAGGTCAATCGCACAAACTAGAAAATAGATCATTGTGTTAGGATCGGCGAGCCACGGGAGTTGCAGCAAGGCAACATGTGGCCTCGAATTCTGATGATAGGCTCGTCACAATTTGCCTCCACCAAGACAACAAGAGCATCACAAACCTTCACACAAGTCCTGCGTCAGGACAATATCTGGCTTCAGGCTCTTCAACATCTCGACATCAAGGTTATATAGACTTCTACCCGATCCGATCTCACTTGAGACTTGTTTATCCACTTCGGCTGCAGTGAACTGAATGCGACTTCCAGTTAGAATTGGCAGATGTGTGATGGATTTTGGATAGTCATCCTATGTAATAAAGCGAGAAGTAGTCAATTTCATGCACTGGATGAGATTTTGCATCGTTATTACATCCTTCGTCACGCTTTTGCGTCAAAAAACACTTTCACATCAATTTCAAGCTCACCTCATGTGACCGTCCCACTAGTAAGGACGCCGCTGCCTTGGAAATAACGGTGAGCGTTTCGGTAGCTGAAGGTAGCAGACTGACTACTCTTAAACTCTTGTTCATGGTTGAGCAAAAGTCGAGAAAAACAATATTAGTGAAAACTGACACGCACATCACATTACATCTCATAGGTAGTAAAACAATGACTACCAAATCTCTTCCTAAAGGTTGGCCTGTCGATGGACGTGTCAGATATATCAACGAAAACGAATTCGACAAACGCATTCCACGTGAAATCATCCAGCATTTCCTACGTTTGCCAATAACTGCCATTACCATTACTACCACCACAAGCCCACAAGCAAATTTATTAGATTCGCTAGAGATACATGCGGTTGAAGATGTACCAAAGTCTGTTGTAATTCGACCCATTGCAGCCCAAAGTCATCCAGCAAATGGCCAATATGGATTGTTTGCTGCCAAGAAGATCGCACCGTATGCTCATGTATTGAACTACAATGGACTGGTTGTCCTCGATGAACATGCATCGCCTACCAGTGACTATTGCTTTCGAGTAAATTCCTTCTTAGCCATTGACGCCGAGTTTTGTGGGTCCCAGGCTAGATTTATAAACGACTATAGGGGAGTAGCTCAACGTGCCAATGCGGAATTCAAGGTATTTAGAGACGCAAAGAAGGGGGGTGTTTGTGTCGGAGTTTTTAGTCTGAAGGAAGGCATTGGGAAAGGTCAAGAGATTTTGCTGTCTTATGGCAAGGGCTTCTGGAAGGCACGTGCCGCTGTAGAGGACGTAGAAGACTACGACGAGATGGTTGAGGTCTAGCGAGGTCAGACGTCTGATTTGTTTGACGTATAATGTGTGCCTGGCTTCACCATTCAAACTCGACCTCTGACGACAATGGACACGAGAAAGAGGGTCTTTACAGCGTCAGGTAATCCAATAATCTGCAAGAGTCGGAGCTTATAAACAGACTAACCTATTCTCTATACCTTGTTTTGTTTAGTGAGAGAAGATATGTAGGCTTATGGAGACTCGAATCTGTGCGCTTCTGATGCAGTCGAATTGATGGAAAGACTTGCTACTTGAATACTTTTATAATTATGTATGCTTTTTCTCGCATTCAGTTTTCTTAAGTGCTTGAAGACGTCAAACATCTGAAATTACAAAATCCAAGCTCCTAGTGCTTTACATACACACAAAGTCTCTATTTGAATGGCAATCGGCCGCTCTGATACCATGTTTTACCTAGTTACGAGAAGTCAAAAGGTCTCTGGAGCAAGAAAGACCAAGTTGGTTGATTTCTTGTTTCGAGATCCTCCCAAACTGGATCGAGCAAAGGAATTGATTGTCAAAGATAAAGAGGTTCGAAAGGCACGACAGATCGCTGGTAGTGAAATCGGCCATCTGCAAAGACTCGCAAAGGCAAAAAATCAATAGTAGGAAGAGCAAAACGTAATATTGCAAAAAGTGTAGAGGACGGGGCCTTGCCTGGAAAATTGTATAAACATCATTCATCTTGCTAATGTCTATATTTATGTCTCTTTGGAAATCATGGTGCTTCACTGCGTACAAAAAAAGGGATCAAACATGCAAAGGTTTCATTCAGAGTTGTCTCGTCTTCTACGTGACGGCGAAGCAGATGAATAACGACAAGGACTTTTGGTTGTTCACTCTTGCTTATAAAAACTTCGTCTTGATGACCGTCACCATCAGAGCTTGCAACTACTGATTTGCTCACTGGTTTGCTCATGCCACTGCTAGGTCCATTCTTCTCCCGCTTCGTTTAGACCTAGATCGTCGCAGGAATAAATGACGAGACGTGCATAGTGTTGAATGTTATTTATATGTGGTGTTGAAAGCACTGGAGATCTGAATCAACTTCCTCTAATAAGCACTGACGTTTAATTTGTAACAGCAATGCAATTTATATATACTTAAAGACTTTTTACAAACTTACTCCTCTGCGAATGTACAAGCAAAAGTAACCACCATCTACTCAACCACTTTATATCGAATACACCCAACTTGTAGTATAGTTTCCAAACAAACAACGTCTGCACTAGACGAGAAATCACTCATATGTAGATCGACCCCGTCTGAGCCATCACTACCATGAGAGCGCTTCGATAGCTCATGATAAATTAGCTTGTATGACTTCTCTGCTTCAGAATACCGAATCTTGCGTAAATCTGCCAAGTGATGAAGCTTGGGTCTCAAGGCAGGATTGTGTTCCAGAGCAGCGTTGAGCTTCCCCTGAACTCCATGTCCAAGCATAGTTGCAAATTCTCCTTCGGCAGTCAAGTACTCTAGGTTGAGAGATAGGTAAGAACGAGCAAGTACTAAAGTTGTTTTGGCCCTGCTCACCCACTGCGCCCCTGACATTACGCATATTTCTTGATTTGAGCAACAAATCTTGAGCTGCTTCCAGACGCATCTCCTTCTCCTACAGTTCATCGGTGTAAGTTGGAGTGATATAAAGGAGTGTTGTTGGTGCCGCGATTACATACCTTGAGTTTTACAGCTAGGAATGTGACTTCCTTCAAGGCAGCCACAACCTCAGCTTTACACGAATCTTTTGTCTTAGCAACTTCATCTTTAGCTCTAATCAACTCAACCTATGTTATTGTTGATTGATGTTAAATTCAGCAGTCCCTCGAGGCCCTGAGTTGCCTTACCAGCATAGTAGATCGTGTCGAAAATGGTCTTGAGATCATCAAACACCTCACAGATGGAGCTATTGCCACGGACTTGCTAAACAAGCTCACGTTTGCTTTGCTTTCGGGACTGGTGACAAAGGTGTGTGTGCCTGTGTCGGCATCGTTACGGCCTGTAAAGTTACGGTTATATGAGGAATCAGCCCATCGAGCAATGTAAGGTCTCTTTGTAGCAACCAAATAATCCGCCATTCGTTTATTGTATGGGAAGAGTGATGTAGTGGCACGGATTTCAGCACCCATGTTACTGATAGTGGCCATATGGTGTGGAAGTCTACGGTGCCGCAATTGTAAGCCCTTGATTGGATTTCATACATACACTGATGATTTCAACAGGAGAAACAGATCATGAGCGGATTCCCATAGTGGTACTTGCTTGTCTCGTACAACCTTGAGGTTGTTTTCAATACGTTGATAGTTTAGATTTTGCAAGGGTTCCAAGTTTGAGATTGGTACGATTTAGGAGGGGGAGATAGTGGCGAGACACTTTACAGGCACTATCCTGAATGGTTGTGGAGCGATTTTCATAATCTCAAGAAAGATGGTCAATGTTCCAGAAGTAAGGGGATTTGTTGGAATGAATGCTGCGAGGTCTGAGCTTGTACGATTTGTATCATCCGTAAGAGCAGCAAACAGAATGCATTCTGCATTCAAATCTTGGAATAACTTGCGGTTTGTATCAAGTCTGAATACATAGCCTCTTTCGAAAAGTTTGCAATAACAGGATAGAAATGCTCTCAAGTGCATTATCACACCAAGCCTTAACAAGTAGACTTGAAATACGTACCTTGACAGTCCTTGCAATGATATTCATGGGATGTAACACGCTGTTTCAAAGTTCCTGGCAAAGTTCAAAGTGCTTTCCATCTTTTGACCAAACAAACAACTCGAGACAATCAGAAAAGAGGTGTTTGATTGTCAAAGCAAAATAAGAACGATTATAGTAAATCTAGGCAGTTGCTACCTCGCTCCATCTGATATATAAAATCATTGCAGCAATGGCAGAGGAGGATGATGATTTGGCCAGAGAGCTCGAAAACGAAGACGAAGAATTGGACGAAGAGGAAGAAGACGAAGAGGTAAATTATACTGCTTGCGATTCGCTGCTTACATTACACTAGTTCTACTCATCAATCAAACACGAACAAATCACTGACATTTTGGTCAACATTTGAACGTTTTAGAGACCTCAAAAGAAGAAGGCCAAACTAAATCCTTTCGTCGATGTCGAAGCTGCTGTTGAAGATGAAGAGGACGAAGATGATGATATGGAAGAAGATGATGAACCTGATGGGCCATTAGGTAAATTGACATAACAACACCAATTACCTACAAATTTTGACTACACACCGAACCTGAGTCTAATAATGAACAATTTACCAATACAGCTGATGAAGAAGGATTCGATGAAGAAGCAAACAAGGACTACTTGTCAGACAAGACTCACCGCCAGCTTGAAATGAGTCGCAGGAAGGAAGAAGATCAAGATGCAGAAAAGATTGCTGCGCGAATGAATCAACGCTATAGTGGTCATTATCAATCTGGTCAATATCGAGGAGATTATGAACGTGTTCCCAGAGAAGTACTTAAACCTCAAGTCGGAGATCCAAGGCTATGGTTGCTCAAATGTGTGGTAGGTATCAGGTGTCTTTGCTACGGTCGTTTCTATGCAGCATGATTGCAGAAATATTCATTTGCGATCATTTCATTAGCCTGGAAAAGAACGTGATATAGTATGGAGTATCATTCGCAAGTACACCGAGTTTTTGCACACCAAAACTCCCCTATTGATCACTTCCGCATTCGCCAAAGACAACTTGAAGGGCTACATATACATTGAATCAGACAAGGAAGCATATGTCCGCACTGCTATTGAAGGCTTGCGAGGCTTATATACTTCCAAGCTGTCCATGGTGCCTAATGGTGAAATGGAATCATCTCTCAGCATAAAGACAGCCAACAAAGAATTTCAGCTGAATTCTTGGGTTCGAATCAAGGGAGGAAAGTACAAGGGTGACTTGGCTAGGGTATGTAATGATCATTCAATGGAAGCAATTAGCCATCCGTTCATGAACGTTAATCTGTTCCATTTTTCTCCGCTCTAGATCAAAGAAATCTATGGTCCCGACACTCTATACTTGCAGATTATACCAAGAATGGATCCAACAAAGGCAGTCGAATCTCAACGTGAAAAGTCTCCATCACCTCCACCGACTCCTCCAGCTACAGAAGGCGAGGATGCCAAAGGCAAGAAGAGGAAGAAGGTTGTCAAGAAGAGAGTCGCCACAGTACGAGGTCAACAAAAGTTATTCAGTCCAACTGAGTACGGGTAAGTTATCCCACTTCGCGACATTGTTCGTTTAAGACCTCATCTGACAACATGCCTCCATCATAGTGTCCAAGTCCAAAAGGGCCCTGAAGGGACACTCGTCCACGGTAATGACACCTATACTGCCGACGGCTTCATGTTGCGTATCTTTAAAGTTGCCCAACTTGATACCGAGAACATCAACCCTACACTCGAAGAAATCTCGATGTTCAACGTAAAGGATTATTCGAAAGAGTTGGCTGCTCTCCCTGATTATGTGAACACTGTAAAAGACTTCAGTGTGGGTGAGACTGTCTTGGTGAAAGCTGGAAAATCTGGTAAATACAAGGCAATCATTACCTCGATTAAAGGAGACGAGATTCGACTACATCATGTTGATGAACCTGAAGTGGTACGAACTGCGTCATGTTTCATATACATGTTCTTCTCATCAATTCGCATGTACTAAATCATGTATTTCTGCTAGGTTCATCCCGTCAGTCCAGCAGACATCACCAAGAACTTTAGTTCAGGTGATCACGTCAAAGTGGTCAATGGAATACACAAGGATGAAACCGGCTTGATTGTTAGTGTCAAGGACAATATCGTCAGCATCTTGTCGGATCTCAACTTTAGTCAGGTAGTGATATAAGTCGTCACCGTTTCTGTAGTGATTTGCGATGCTAACAACATACTCGCTTGTATTAAACTAGTTTGAGGTGTTTATGAAAGATTTGAAGCTGGCTTCTGAAATTCAAACATCAACCTCATTCTCTGGTGGCAAATTCGATATCCACGATCTGGTCGACTTGCCGTAAGTGATGATTTGACTTTTCGCTTTTTTCTTGGCTTCTTATCTTCATTCTTTGTAACAACAGCTCTGGAGATGTTGCTATCGTTGTAAATATAGATCGAGATTGGGTTACAGTCATGAATCAATGGGGTGTTGTCACCGGAGTAAAGCCAGCAGAAGTCATCGTACGACGAGCATCAAAGAACGCCATTACAAATGATTCAAAGGGTAATCCCATACGAAGTGGAGATTCTGTTGAAATATCAGATAATCGAAGCACGCATCTCGGAAAACGTGTCACTGTATTGCACGTCTTTCGATCTCACGTCTTTTGCAAGTCGCGAGAGATGGCTCTAGAGCATGGTGGTGTCTTTGTCACCAGGGCTTCCAATACCATATCAACCAAACATAAAAACGATATGGGAATGAGTACAATCGGCGGTCGTGCAAATCCATTTGCTCCACCATCCGTGCCTATGAGTCGTCCTGATTCTCTACCACCAACCCCTTCATTCGCAGTTCCTCGTGCTCGACGACACAACTGGGTCGACAAGACTGTCAAAATCATCAAAGGTCCATATAAAGGATATCTTGCTTCCATTCTTGATGTCAATCCTCCCAAGGCTCGACTTAAACTACAAGCCACTAACAAGATTGTCACTTGTAAAGTCGATGAAGTGCAAAACCCAGAAGATACTAGCAAAACACTATCTGATGATGTAGATACTACCATGACTGCACGACGTCCATTAAACAATGATTGGGCTGCAGCATCATCGACTCCCTTTGATGGAGGCAGAACGCCAGGATATGGTGGTCGAACACCTGGATATGGTGGTAAGACGCCAGCCTATGGTGGTCGTACTCCTGGCCGTACAGGTGACCAAACACCAGCTTGGGATGCAGGCAGCAAAACACCAGCTTGGGATGCAGGCAGTAAAACACCTGGATATGCACCTCGCACTCCTGCACGTCAAGATGACGACTATTGGTCTCCTCATGGTGGTCCTCCTGATCGTGCAACTTCGGGTCATTGGGGCGAACGATCGTGAGTCCTTGCTTTTGACGTTCTGTAATTTCGAAATTATTGTTCTGTGACATGAAGGGATCTAATTCTTTGTTAGGGATAACATGGCTACCAATCCTGCAAATACTGCCGACTCACCTTGGACTGGTGTCAACACGGAAACTCCAGGTCGTTATGATGCAGCTCCTTCACCTTGGGGTTTTGGAGCTCCAACTACTCCACATCCTTCTTCGGTTCCAGCTACAGCACAAACACCATTTGCCCATCCCGACACTCCACTTATACCAGCTTCACCATATGCAAGTGCCGCCACTCCTGCTGCCACTCCACATGTGCCAGACACACCAGCCATGCCCGATGTGGAACAAGGTACATGGAGGACCGTTTCCCTTGCATTTTTTCGCCTGTATTTACAATGTTAATCCATTTTTGATCTAGTGTTGGATATATCTTGGGCCTCTGCTGGTCTCGAAGTCACATTTGTCGCTCGCAACAATACGACTTATGGCAATGGTCAATATGCTCAAACAGTCGGTGCAATTGAAGCCGTCGAATCACCATATGCCACTGTAAGGATATTGAGCACCAGCGAGGTTTTGCCACAGGTACCAATTGAATACTTGGCCTTTGTCAAACCTGGTAAAGGAGATCATGTTCGAGTCATTACTGGTGAGAATATTGATCAGGTTGGAAAGTTGGTCACTATCGATGGACCAGATGCTGTGGTGAGGATGCCTACAGGAATGAACATTATCAGGCTCGACGATTTGGCAAAGGTCACACCTACAGCGGCACCATAAAGTTAATAGCGTGATAGGCTTGGATGATAAATTTTAAAACGGATTGCATACGATTGTTGTATTTCAAAGAAGGAAGGGAAGTTGTGCTCAATATATATTGTTATATTATATGCAAACGACGTAATTGTTACTAATTCTACTGTTTGAATTTTGTCATGACTGTATCTCTAGCCGACTTAATGCAGTCGTTCAGGCCGACTCCACCATCGGCAGCACCAATAAAGGATATTCTATTCCCACTCCATTCATCCAAAGCCTTTCTAATATTTCCCATCCGATCTGCATGCCCCAACACATACTGCGGAATACACTGTCTCTGCACACCAACAACCACATCTATAGGCTCTTCTTTAATCCCCAAATGTCTACTCAACGCCTCCAACGCAACCTGCAACAACCTCTCATTCGACACATCATCCACCTCCCCAAACTTGGCCTTAAACGCATGTCCACCCATCATAACCGTCACCCGCGTCATCGGTACTTGATCCTGTTGCGGCAAAGCACACGAATCAAACACAACACCTAGAATCGACTCGTTCTCAGATGGTGGTATCAGGTACCCGAATCCGTCAATGGGTAAAATGTTTGGTGATGCGTATGCGAGATTTATGACGCATACATCCACATATGGGATTGCGGATAGATCTGTTTTGGGGATGGATTGTGGGAGGATCCGTGATAGGGATGGGATTGGGATGGATGATATTATGTGCGATGCGGATTTGTGTGTTGAGTCTGACAGCTTTACCTATAATACGTGCTTTGTGAGTTACATGGCAGACTTTGTCAGTATTGATGTAGCGAAAGTCCCTTTTTTGGCTCACCTCAATCGAATCACCCTTAACACGTAACTCCTGACACCCAACACCCAACTTCATCTCCACATTCTTCCTCTTACTCAGCACACCCACAAGCGCATCAGGTATCTCCTGCATACCATCCTTGAACGAATACACGCTACACGTCTCCTGCACATCCGTAATAAACCGCATCTCATCTTCATCACCACCACACAACTCTCGCAAATCCACTTTCGGCGGCTTGTTCAGCAGCATCCCCAACACAACAGATCCAAACTTGCGTTCCGCGTCCCATAGTGACGTGAATGTGGATTTAACACTCAAGTTCTTAGCATCTCCGGCCCAAATCCCCTGCACAACAGACGATATAAGCGTATCTGCGACGTGGTTTCCAAACCGGCGTGATATGAAGGAGTGGATTGTTTCATCATGTACGTGTGCCTTACGTCTAAATGGCTCGGATATGCCCGAAGCGATTATGCCTTTCGTTGCGGGTGCATTCGATGTGATGAGAGAGGATAGCGAGTGTGGGAGGGCGTTGATCTGGGATTTATAGTATAGGAAACGGTTTCGTGCTGCGGGTGATGTTTTGGGGACTTTGAGGATGTTGCGTTCGAGGCCGATTTTGTGAACCTAATATTGTTTGATGTGAATAAGCGATCGCAGGGATGGGAATCATGAAGTACGACTGAAATGAAGGCTTACAAGGTCTAGAGTTATAGCGCCAGGGAGTCCGGATGGCCGTAGTGTTCGTGGACCACGTTCGAATAGGATTTGAGTGTTAGTTTGTGGGTTTGGACGCTTTATGGACTCAATCCATCCGCCCCAACGTGAAGATTGCTCTACCAGGGTAATTGTCGTGGCTGGCAGCAGGCTAGAGAGGTAGTAGGTCGCGGCTAGTCCTGAAATACCTCCTCCTAAAACAACTATGTTAGACATTTTGAGCTAAAGGGCTCTTGAAGCTGAGATAATTGAAGCGACGCAAACACGAAATTGATGCCGCCAGTGAAACGAACTATATACGTGATCTATGAAAATATGCAAACATACAATTAAAAATTGTCTAATCGCTGTCTTCTTCGTCCGAGTCCTCCTCATCAGCTTCCTGCAAGAATTTGACCAGTGGTGCTGCCTATTGGGTTCACAGAAACATTAGTCCTGAAGTTCACACAATGTGGTATGGAACTTCAAACAAAACTCCTAGGAAGAAGAAGCCAGGATGCCGGAAACCAGGGCACGTACCAACTCTCGCACTTTAGCCATTGCTCCGGTAGTGTTTGCAGTAGTACCATGCCATTTCATGACTGCATCTTCCTCAGCAATGTCATGCTCATAGAATAATCTGAGCATAGCAGCAAATACTTTGTATGTGGCTTCATTCTCAGCGCAACAGCTCTATAAAAGCGGTTACAGCACAGTTATTTTTTTTCCTTTCAATGGTCGCCTATAAGCTTCTAATAAACCTTACATGCAAGATTTCCAAACAATCGACTTGATCTTCTTGCACCTTGGCATATCTCACCAAGAGTTTTGCACCCCATTGTTGCATGAGCTACCCGAAAAAAACGTGTAAGCAAAAAACAACAAAAGGATACCTCATGGTTTGACGTGGCCGCTTAATCCCTCACCTCCTTGGCACTAGCACTGTGATTCGACAGGTTGACATGACCAACCAGAAACGGTATAACAGATGCTCGAATGTCGTGAAACGTGGCGTTGTGAGCATACTTATTAGTGTTCAATTCGGTCGCTATGTCATCAACTGTATGGCCAGATACAAAGACATTTTGCAACGTCTTTTCAGCTTCAGTCTTCCACTCTTTGTCTTCATCATCTGATCCGAAACCAGTGCCCATTGTTGCACCATCGTCGTCACTTTCGTCGTCTTCTGATTCGGTATCATCCATTTCTTCGATCGAGTTGGGATCAAATGTCCTTCCTGTTCCAACAGAGAGTTTGTATGAGTCGTCCTTGTCCAGTTCTTTTTGCACATACTCGCATAGGATATGCATACCCATCTCAGTCAGTGGATAATTCCTTGCATCCAGATCGTCCAGATCGCTTTCAAATGGTATAGAAGGCCATAGATAGCCTTTACCTTTCGTACCAACCACTTTTCGATCGAATGCTTGAGAAAGAGAAGATTTCAGCAAAAAATACCCACAACCGAGGATAATGGGCCAAATTGTGTCTCACATGGCCCTATTCCTTCCATCAGTAGCTCGTCATCTGTTGGCTGATCTTCCGAGTAGGGCCGTATGGATAATTTAGAGAATGGTGGCACAGTAATATTGGGTCCGAGTTCCACCTAAAAATCACGAAGTTAAACGATGAGCTTTTGAAAAAGTTGAGATCCTGGCAGGTAATTCAACTGATTTGTTTACCCCAGATCCAATAATGCATCCTCTTGAAATCATAACATTCTCATGTATCTTGACTCCTCTTCCAATAATACATTGCTGGATCCTTGATTTGGCCTTGATTTCAGTATTGTCCCATATATAAGATCCATCAATGGTGACTTTTTCTCCAATCTTGCAGTTTCTACCAATGACACTTTCTGATACGTTGGTGTCAGATTCTACGCTCGTGTGAGAGCCGACACAGACTCTGGATGATAGAACTGCAGATCTAGAATCAAGAATGGACAAGAGATGGCTCTTGAGACACAAGGAAAAAAAGAAGCGGACGAAGACTTGCCATACCTGGTCAAGAAGACTGGGTTTTCCAAGTACACATGTCGCCTCGACATGTAATACAGTGTATCATCAGCGATGTTGCTGTCAGGTACCATTGGATAGGCCCATCTCCCAATAATGTCCTTGCTGAAAAAAATTGTACAAAGTGGAGGAATCAGGTTTCGGCTGCGACGCGAGTCATCTGACCAGACAACTGGTAAACGCGCATTCCTTACCTCACAGAATCATATGAATGAGTACTCCTCACACGAGCAGCATACTCATCTTCCAACACATAGCAATGTATGGTCGACGTCAAAACATCTGATTCCAAGACACCACGAACGAAATCCGTCCTGATGTGCTGATAATCAAAGTTTTCTTGAAATAGAGCTGGGACCTAAAAGTAGTTTCAAGAAAATCAGAACTCGCAAAAGCCAATGGTATAGATGGTTCTGAATCTCACATCAAGAGAGCATATATCAATCTGACAGTCAATCAAGTCGTTACGAACTTGTAAATCAGGGTGTTTCTGAAACCATTCTAATTCTAGCTCGATTTTTGATTTTGGTGGGTATACTTCTAGTGGTTCGTAATGGACACATTCGTGTGTTTTGGCGTCAATGATGAAGAGTGCTTCTTCTCCTCGTGCCCTGTTATATCATGAAAGAGGGGTCAGATCAACAGTTTACGGATATTGGTTTACGTTGAACTTGCCTTGAGCGATGGTTGGCACTAGCTTGCTTGACCACCTTCACGACAAAAAAAAGCCCATGAAAACCTCGCTTGAATTCAATTTCCAACGATCTGATTTAATTGCTTACCATAGTCATAATAGAATTCTTGTCTTTAGCACGTCGAGCCTTGTGCGTGGCAAGAGCCTTCTCCAAACTCATGTTTGAGACGACATCACCACTAATCAGTATGAAATCCGACTTGACAAGCCCTTTACGATCGACTTCTCTTAATGCATCACCCATGCTTCTCAATCCCAATGTTTCGACAGTTGTGATTTTTGTCGGTGCTCGATTCCATTTCGATTTTCTGGTGATGCGAGATTGTAAGACAGTCAGAATCAATGTATTATACAAATATACGTAAAATAGATGGGAACTTGATCTCAACAAACCTTATGTAGTCTTTAATCTTGTCTGCATGAGCACAGGTCAAAACATAGATTTCTTGGACACCGCCAACAGCCAAGAATTCCAACGTGTATTCGAGCAGAGGTACGTTTACTAGCGGTAGTAAGCACTATTTGAACAGGTCAAACACGTCAAGGAAAATATAATGTGACGTGTCTTGATGCACACGAAAAAATCAACAAAAAGGATGAAAGCTTACTCGAGGCTCGTCCTGTGTAAGCGGTTGGAAGCGATTATTGAATGAATCTGCTACGACGATGGCTTGAAGCACTTCCTCGCTCTCTATGTTCTTGTTCGAGTTCTGCTTGGGTGGCATCGCTATTGGCTGCTTTTTGGAATGGAAGAGACTAACAGAGTTTCAACTCGTTCGGGATTTTTCGCGTCAGATTCACTCGTTTCGCAATAGATCCATAGAACCCAGATTCCAAGCTGGCGTATGTAGATTGGATTACACCCAACGGGCTTGTGATTACGTGCGTGTTATGTACGATATTCTAAAACTACAATACTGTTTCAATCAAAGCCGTACGTGAGAGCATCTTCTCTCAAACTACTTGCGCCATTTGGTGCCACTACATCCTTTGACCCATTCAAACGTGAGCTTCCGACCCCATTCGACGTCTGCAACCGTGAGCCCATCAGCATGGCTTCAAGTCGATCGAACCGTTCATCTATGCGTCGCTGTAAACGATCAATCCTCTTATCCAGTTCCATCATCATATCCTGCTTTAGTAGAGCTACTGTTTCGGGTGCGAGTGCTGGTTGTATTATTGGTGCTGGTGCTGCGTTTACTCTCAGAGATTCCATCATTTTCATTAGAGAGATGTCCATTGAGTGCAAGTCTCTTGGGTCCTGTTGCAATGTAAAGTGCTTTGTTAGGGCTGTGTTTGAATGTGATCTTGATGCGCTGCGAACTTACAGCTGTACTTGGAGAAGCATCATATTTGAGCGACACTGCATACAATGTCAGTGAAGGTGTGGCTTTATTGTTTAGGGGGCGTATGCTTGGGAACTAGTATAAAGTAAGCGAGATGAGAAGTCTGGAGAAGTCAAAGTATCTGACCATGTAAACGTGACGTACACGTATCGAGAGCTTGTGTGTAGTAAGCTCAATAGGCAATACGGCTGAAAACACTGGTTCCTCATCGTCATCACTCTCGTCAACCAGCTGCCCTTGCACAGTTGACACATAATTGTCCTCTGAAAAGACTTCCAATACCCGTGTAGAAGATATTACCACCATCTTACGTAGATTCATGACATAATTTAGTGGCATGCATATATGTAGTGTGCACTTTTGTGCAGAGGGACTGGTTTTTGTTGATGTCGGGGGACTCATGACCACATACGACAGCGCAGAGTCGCCTAATTATGAAATAGAGTCAGTCTATATCGAATCTACACTTGAAGCCAAGTCGCAGTTACCAGTTTCGTCTTGGTTGAGCAGCTTTTGGAGATCACCATCACACACCCAACCAGAGACATCAAGATGAGGCAGAAGGCCAGCAGAAGAAGGAATGTCTGAATTGGCAGCCATGACTAGTCTCCAGATCGACACTATTAGCTCACCGATTGATCAAGGTTTGTCGGAGCTTTGCCAAAATTCGTCACGTTGGTCATTGGTGTGAATTGTCCAGAATTTATACGCGACATTTGGAGGGGTTTACAGGACGCGATCTTAGCATTCGAATTACATTGTAAATGATAGTAAATGGTGCTGTATTAATAAAAAACAAGAAATTATACACTACCAACAAAAGTTGCCAATGCGACCATTACATGAGGTGTACCAAAACGAGTAAGAATCACGTCCAAAAATTGATATAGAAGAGTTGGAGTATTCACTTTTTACCTCTCAACCACTTAACTACTTGGGAGAAAACGCGAGGCCGTCTTCTTTTCACGAGAGTTGACAAGGGCTGCAAGACCAGCCATTTCGACTTCCTTTCTTGCCTTTCTGCCTCTAAATAATCCAAGCTTAGTCTTATAAAACAATACTACTTTTACTGATGGTTTCCAGTCTACGGCAGTTGCGTGAGAAGCTGTGTAGATTGATTTGGCTTCCATTGCGTCATGAACACCAATACATCTCGGAGATCATCAGGAATAACCACTTTAACCACCACCACGTGAGGGTACTCATTCTGGTTGCATGATTTGAGTATCTTGGTTCGGTCTTCCTTGGAACGAGGAGGGATAAGGTTTGTGACATTTTGATACTTATGAAAGTGAAGGCACAAACGCACTTTACCAGAGAACGTCCTTGCAATTGCGTAATCAGGCTTCCACACTAGTGAAAATCGTGGAGGCTCTGCGTCTCAACAGCTTTATGTCTCAGGGATCTCAGCGATAATCTCACTGATTACCACCACTAGAGCGTAGTGACTCTGGCTGCGTGATTTGAGTATACGAGTGTCTTGATATTGTGGAAATGAACTGTCGGCCTTCCTATATAAAGTCATGAAGGTTAAGATACAATGTTAGAATACTAGAGAGTTGTTTGGATAGAGCACAATCAAAGTCAGCACCGTACTTGGCTTGACTTGATCTATTGGGAGGTGCGCACCAAAATGCTCATTACTAGTATAATCCATGTACATCCAATGTGAGGTCTCGACATCTCAGAGATCGTCAGCGATAGCCACTCTAACTACCACCACTAGAGAGTGGTCTGCTCGTCATGATAAGAATGCTTCCAGTGAATGAGGTGACCTTGTTGTTACTGTTTTGCATTTTATTCTGGTTTTGCAGATCTGGATTTAGATTCCTGCACTTATCTCGCTAGATCTAGACCACAGGCAGTATGATTAGTGTATAAGTGATGCTTTTACTATGTGGAGATAGTGCTTACCACCACATGGTCCTTGTTTCTCGTTACTTGCGGCAATTCGTCAAGTTTCTTGGATTTTTTGATTGTCAGGAGTTGTGTCGTGAAAAGAGACATAAACGACAATTCAAATGTCGAGCTGAGGTGCTTTTTCTAAGAGGTATGAGTAGAATTAGTTCATGCTGTCTTCCTTTGCCTGCTGTAAACTGCGTTTCAAAAGTGGTATGTCGCTTAAGCTGGCTGCTGAACATGCAACCAACCGAAAAAGCTCTACTGTAAGCTTTTGAGGAAAATAATGTCTATATTTTGAATAATACAATATGTACAACATGCAACCACATCCACTATTCACCAGGAAACTTTTCCAACCGAACACCACCATCACCCTCCGCTCTGCCATATCCGACGTCCATAACTCCTTGTTCATTCAAATACCTTAATGCAGCAGTATCATCAACCTGTTTGACATGAGTCCTTGTCTTCTCAGCGAGGGATATGAGGTTGTCGTCTGGGACGTATTGTCTTGTGAATACGCCTCGAGCAATCTCTGGCAGGAAAGTATCACCAGTAACAAGCTTTGGCTGGTTTTTAAGAATGTTTTCAATCGAGCCTATTGAAGCATTTCAAACATGGTAGGTGAGTACATGTTTGTGAACAAGTCAAGTAAAGAAATAGGTATGCCTACCAAATTTTTGAATCAACCCGAAAGCGCGAACAGGACCGATTCCTTCAATTGTAGAAGAAAAGTCTGTTCCCATAAGTATACACAAGTCTACAAACTAGTTGGGCATACTTCAGCAAATACGGTTTTTTGTTTTGGTTGCACACAACGAAATTCAAAGTTTGATCTGTCCCATACCTGTGAGCGAGACAATTGCAAGCCATCTCTCGCTAGCTGAGGATCAACTACAGTTACGAGATCTTTATCCAGAATATTCCTTCCCAGCTTCTGAATCACAAGTCCATCTCCAGCCACAATAGCGTCTGTATCTTCTGTCAAGGTTGCAGATACCAGACCATGCGATGCCAGTGATGCACAAACCATTTCTCCCTCATAATCATCCTTTTCAATCGTATAGTGTGAGATGTTCATCAAATCAAGCAAATGGGCTGCCTGTTTGACGAGATTTGGCGTCACTTGAGCTATACGTGAACGTAGTTTGTCCTGCCGTGTAAGGTGGTGCTTTTGTAACAACTAATGTGGAGAGTAAAGATGTGAGACACGTCCTGATGATGGCGCAGATCTCTGTTTTTTTTGCGGTAGAAATCAGTACCTGAAGATGTATGATGTGCTCAGGATTCAACGCCCCTTCTTGCTTTATAGCTTCAATCAATGCTAATTCTTCTCTAGCGGCACTTTTTACAGGCCTAGATTCATCATCTGCTGATTGAATCTTCAATAGGTTGTCAACATGGGCTTCCAACATATTCTTTACGTGTTCAATGTCTTTTGCGGCGGTTTCTGGCGGTGGTCTAGACGGTTTATCAGGTGGTGGCTGTATACTAGTGGCTTCTTCATCGGTCATCAAGGCGGCAGCAGTTTCCAAATCAGCTGTTACGTAATCTAGTTGCGAAGACGACAGATGTGACATGATATTGAGCAGATCATTTAGATGATCTAGTCGATCATGTCGTTGCTCTTCACTTTCGATGGCCGAAAGGAGCTCTTTACGACGTTCTCGTCGCCGTTCACGTTCTACAGCTTTCACGATTGATCTCACACCTAGCAAATAGTAGCATGTGAGAAGTCACATATATACGTACATCATGTTAGTTCTTACCAGTTCCGGGCCCATCAAAGATGAAAAGAGGCTGGACGTTATGGAATGTGAGTTTCCGAGCGACATAGTAAATACCACGTAGTATCAGAGCAGCATCCGACATTTGTTCTTCACTTTCATGATCACGGCCACCACGTTTATATGAGGTATAGAGAGCCTGATACGCGAAAAGGGTACCGTCAATAGCCAATGGTTGGTGAGCAAAGTGTGATAGGCTAACTTCTTTCAAGCTCGAAGGTGCATATCGTTTCAGATGCGGGATCAAGTTCCTGACTCCCATTTTTAATCTACGTAATAGCCATGGATGATTAGATTCTTCGTGATTTTCGTGATTTCAAAGTCAACAACAAAACTAGCTCAACTCCAAACAAGGACATAGCCAATCGTTTTTGAATGAGCTTGCCGTCCATCGCACGTAGATCCATAGCACTGGCCAACTCACCTGTATTCCGTTTAAGTAGTCTCAGCCAGCATCTGTCTACTAGCTCCATTAATTCAAATCTGCAAGCTCATCCAAGCAAAATGCCGGCCATTCCTATCGATGCAAAGAACATCACAAAGACATTCGACTATCTGGTGATCGGAGGCGGTTCCGGAGGGCTTGCTAGTGCTAGAAGAGCCGCCAGTTTTGGTGCAAGTGTCGCCATTGTTGAATATGGTATGGATCACATTACTGCTTGGCGGAGACGTATCTGTTATTTGTTGTTTATTGCTCGAATGATCTTACTTTTTGATCGTGAATTCAAACATTGAACTACAACAATCACTGTTGCAAACACCGCGACATACTGCATCTCACAACCAATTACTAACAGAATACTTACGTTAGATCGAATGGGAGGAACATGTGTCAACAGAGGCTGTGTCCCTAAAAAGATCATGTGGACTGCAGCTTCCATCGCTGAATCACTCCACGAAGCAGCTGGCTACGGGTTTGATGTCACAATCAACAAATTCTCTTGGAATCTCGTGAAAAACAAACGTGAAGCATACATTCGTCGTCTAAATGGCATATACGCTACCAATCTCGTCAAAGACAAGGTCGAAACTATAACTGGACATGCTCGTTTTGTCTCTGAACGTGTGGTTGAGGTTGAAGGCAAGCTGTATGAGGGTAAACATGTCTTGATTGCAACGGGTTCGAGAGCTACGATACCACCATTGGAAGGTGCTCAGAAGTGGGGTATAACTAGTGATGGGTTCTTCGCGATGGATGAGATGCCAAAGAAGGTCAGTATAAGTGGCATTTAAATTTTCGACTAGTGGACCTTTCTGTCGGGCATGCTCAATGAGAATGAATTCCCTAACATACGATGATCATTCTTCAATTTGCACTCGACTTACGCCACTTTATGTTACAGGTCGCTGTCGTCGGGGCCGGATATATCGCTGTAGAACTAACCGGCATCTTCCACGCCTTGGGCGCAGACGTTACTCTCTTCATCCGCCACTCTGATTTCCTCCGCTCATTCGATTCCATCATCCACAAAACCCTCATGGACGAATACAAACGTGCCGGTATCAAAATAGTTATCAACTCTCAAGTAGTCAAGACTGAAAACTTGGGAACTGAAGAAAACAAGAATCTGCGTCTTACCGTCCATGACTCTGAAAAGAATACTGATACTATATTAGAGGGATTCGAGGATATTATTTTCGCTGTTGGACGTGCCGCCAATGTTGAAGAATTGGGGTTGGAGAATGTTGGGACAAAGCTTAATGATCATGGATATCTGATTAGTGATGAGTGGCAAGCGACTAATGTTCCTAACGTATATGCTTTGGGTGATGTTTGTGGTGTTGCCATGTTGACTCCAGGTTGGTATTCGTGATAACTTACTTGAATCTGTCAATCCTATGTGCCCTCTTTTGCTCACTTGCAACGTTCTACGTCTTTCCAGTTGCTATTGCCGCTGGCCGTCGTCTATCAGACCGACTCTTTGGTGGCAAACCAAACTCCAAGCTGGATTATACCAACATCCCTTCAGTCATCTTTTCACATCCTACTGCTGGTAGTGTCGGTAAGTACACAGAAACAAACCAACAATCTTAATGAGGGAATGTCGACTTTCATTGCGACTAACCGTGGCCTTGCTCGTAACTATAGGCTTGACCGAAGAAGAAGCACGCCACAAGTACGGCAACGACAAGATAAAGATTTATCAAGCACGATTCACAAACATGCATTATGGATTGTTAGGTACACACCATTAACACTACTCTCTCCTCGTTTTTTGTGCATTACGCTAACGAAACACACAACATTCAATACAGATTTCAAACCACCAACGGCATACAAACTAGTATGTGCTGGACCTGAAGAAAAGGTCGTTGGACTGCATATTGTTGGAAAGGCTTCAGACGAGATCTTGCAAGGGTTTGCTGTTGCTGTCAAGATGGGTGAGTCTCAATGAGGACTGTTGTGAATGCTTCAAGTCCGGTTTTTTTGTGTGGGTGGATTGAATACTTACAACACTCACGTGTCATAGGTGCAACCAAGGCCGATTTCGATGCTACGGTAAGGATGCAAAAGTCTCAAGGACGTGTTATGGCATATGACGTGATTATGTGGATTTAACTTTTTCTTGTTGTTCATTAGGTGGCAATACATCCCAGTGCAGCTGAAGAACTAGTAACCATGCGATAGAATTCTTTAAATGGGACAATTTTGAATGAATACATATCATACGCTTTGCGTTCGCGAAATACACCATCAATGTCAGTCGCCAAAGCCACGTCCGTAATCTCGTTTTCAAACTGACAGTTTATCTAAAAAAAGATCCCAAAAGCGCCTGTTACATTATGTACTGTTTTCGGTGTAATCAGTCCTGTTATACAAAACGAAAAAAGTTGAGTCAAAAGTGGAGTCCATGATCACCAACAAACACAACCCAAAATTTGCTGGCTGCATATTCTTACCTCGGACAACAGATCATATATATTTTTGGTTGGGACTGCAGCAGGCTGTTCTACAAGAATTGGCGCTGCTGGCTCATGAGGTTTTTGACCATTGACTTTGGGAGCGGCTGCTGCACCACGACCAGTTGAAGCAGCATATCCACCTCTGGATGCTGGAGCACCTCGACCGCGATCACTGCTAACAGGACCACCTCGACCACTACCGCCAAAAAAACAACCGCAATTAGTCCATGGGAAAATGGTTTCAACACAAATTACAACAATCGTCGCCACAACATACCGTGCACCACCACCACGAGCACGAGATGACCCATCATCATTTGCAGCAGGTCGTCTCCAACTTGTAGAAGCAGGTGCTGACTCTGAATCGTGAGAAGCAGCAGTAGCAGGTCGAGCAGAAGCACCAGATTGTGGTCGCACACCCGTAGGGTGACCTCCACGAGCACGATGACTGTCTCTAGGTGCTTGTAAACGACGAGCTTCGGCCTTCAATTCAACCTTTTCACCATTGGGTGAATCCAGAGTGAATGTCATGCCAATGACTTTTGCTGCTGATTCCTTCTCTGCAAACACGACAAATCCAAAGCCCTGTGTGAAGAGAGAGTGACAGCGCGGGTAATGATTAATGATTTATGATTCCAGACAGAGCAAAAAAGGACACTAAATCATCAGTAAGCATACCTTGTCAGCAATAATGTCCGCATGCTTGACGTGACCATAGTCTTCAAACAGTCTAGCGAGCTCATGTAATGGTAAACCATCAGGAATGTTTCTAATGAATATGGACATGGGGTCGAATTCGATTTCTAGTAGACAAAAAGAAACAGAGTCAGACAATGGTCATTGACCTTTTCATTTCAGATTCCCACCTCTTGGTTTTCGATCTCCAGCTGGTGCAGTTGCAGATACGAGATTATCTTTTCGTTTGCGATCAGCTTCTGAAGCAGTAGCAAAAACTAGATTATCTGTCCTTTCAGCTTCGGCTTCAGCTTTAGCAGCGGCTTTCAGATCAGCAGCACTTGGACCATTACTAGATTCCGTGCTTCCGCTTCCAACAGCAGCGACATCAGCAGCGGCAGCAGCGTATGAGAATGCTTCTGCCTTCTTTTGGGTTTCTTTTTCACGTCTAGATACGTCATCTGCTTTTTTCTTTTCGTCAGCGACTTTTTTAGCAGCGTCTTCAACCTCTTTGGCTTTTTTGGCTTCTTCTTCTCGATGTTTACGACGTTCCTCTACTTTTTTATCGGCTTCGACTACGTCGATGGCCTTGGCAGCACCGAATGGATTAGATTTTGCGGATTTTTGATATACATCGGATACGTCTGGTGTGATTGGGGAATGGTCGGCTGGAGTAGGGGCTTCTCGTGGTTTGAGGACTAGTCTGTGCCTTTCCTTGGGGATTTCGCGTTCTACTTTATCTATGTTGGGTTGGGTGGTGGTAAGTATTCGAATATGCACGAAACAAAAACGAGAAAGCCAAAGGCGTATATCAACCTGGGGATGCAGGACGTGGTGCAGCAGCTCTTGGCTCTCGTGGTTCTCTTTGCTCTCTAGCAGGACGATCACCGCCAAAAGCAGATTCTCGTGCTGGTGGTGGACCTACAACCGGGCGAGCAGTATCTCTCCAGCCGGAAGATGGAACATCTCGACCAGTATCCTCTAAAATTGAAATCCAAAAGATGATGAGACGAGGGGTCGTAGGATTTGAGCAAAGCAGAAATATGAGAGATTTTGCTTGCTCAGAATTGTCGAAGTAGACTCTTATATCACGACTACAACTTACTTGACTCTGCAACATCCATACGAACATTCCTTCCCAAAAACTCAAATCCATCAGCATTCATAGAGTTTTCCAATGATTCGAGATCACCGAATTCAATATAAGCAAACCCTTTCAGTCTACCATCTTCACCCTTTAATAAGCGAATAGAGGAGATATTTAGACCACTGAAAAAGTCGGCAATAGCTTCTTCAGTACAATCGAATGATAGATTGCCGATATATGCAGTGAATGGAGGACGAGATGGGAAGACTCTGGGGCCAGTTCTTTCTTGTCGAGGAGGTGCTCTGTCTCTGTCACCACCACCGCCACTGCTACCAAAAGTGGACCGGGGTTGTCGAGAATCACGCTGTTCGTATGAGGAAGAGGAAGGAGGCTGTCTACGGTTTTCGAATACGGAAGTTCCACCAGCTGCACGTTGGCCACGCCATTCATTGGAATCACTAGGCATGGGACCACGAGGGATTCGTTCACCACGGTCCTCTACATAAGAAAGAGTGTGAATAATGGTGTAGAAGATGAAAAAAAGCCCGATGCCTAGTGCATCGACAAGTCCGGTTCTTAATAACGAATGCATGTACCTCGATCACCTCTGTCGCCTCTGTCTCTAGAGCCAAAAGCACCACCACCACCACTACCTCGATCTCGATCAAAACCTCCTCCACCTCCTCCAAATCCACCACCTGATCTGTTGTCGCCGAAAGCACCTCGTTGAGGACGGCCTCCTTGTGCTAGAATATATAGACGGAGAGATGCGTAAGGTTTGGATGCAGCTGTTTGTTCAGCACGGAGCTAACCTGCATCAGGATCTCTGGATGCTATTTATCCGAAAAATAAGTCAGCGATCATGAATTGTAAATTGCAGTAGGAGATTCCACGTACGTGCAGTTGGGAGATCAGGAACATCATCAGCCCAGCTTGAGAATTCTAAACAAGAAGAAAAAAAATTAGAAGAATGTTCACAAGCAATGGGGTGTTGAATTCGAGAGATGGTGGTTAAAAGTGGGATACCTTCTGAAGCATGAAGCTCTTGCAAAGTCATCTTTTTGGGCTTTGCGGTCTTCTTTGTAGCTAGTCGACATTGTTCAAAAGTGTCAGTTCCAGATTTTTTTTTTCAAGCTTTACAGAACAAACATAGACGACTTGTAGGCTTATAAAAGCGGACTATATGCAGTAATAAAAAGCACATTCCACTTGTGTACATACCGTCTGCCATGATTGAAATTGATTGTTGTTGTTGCAATTTGTGGTTTGAAAAAAAGTCGAAGATGAATGTTGGCAAACTGTGAATTGGAGACCGGTTGGGACGAAAGTCACGCTTAAATCCCAAAGATTGTATTTAAATGAAAGGTCTTGTGATAATGTAACACCTTCATAGCGTACTCGAGTAGAAAACACGTTCTAAGATCTCGTTTTCATTTCTACCAAAAAGCTCGAACTTTCAAGCATTCGAGTGGCTGGAAACCATCATCATCTATAATTAAAGCATTTTATTCTCGACATTCAACGTGATCTGCTCATTGGGAGAGACGGAAGGCTTCATCCAACCACGTTCAGAACCGACAAGAAGAAAAAACCCACAGTCAACAATTGCGAATGTATCTATGAGCAGATCTGTGCTAAGAAAAGGGGTCATCAGCTGCAATGAGTGCGGCTCAAAGGTCCCTCTGTTAGGCTCAGGTGCTTCACTGGACTCGCCATCTGATTCACTGGATTCTCAGCACCATGTCAAGATCTCTCTTCATGGCCAGCCTTCTCGCTTCTTGAGAGACGACTGGGAATTCGCGGGGTACGTACTAGGACCGTGGTGTAGCTATGGATCTGTTTGGATCACTGCTGCATCAACCCTTGTTGTGCATCATCGTCATTCATCAAACATTTGCTCGCAATGAAATCTCACGGGCAACTCTTGATGTTTTCATATCTCATTTCGAAATAAAGCAAGCTTGCTAATCAACTTCTCTCTTTTGTTGTAGATGGGGACAGACAATAAGACTCGAGATTCCCACAGCCTTCCCACAAACAGAACCACTACCAAAGAAGCTAGGCATGTGGCACGCCACAGCTATCGCAGCAAATGATCTTACCAGCAGTGTCTTCTTCTCTGTTGGACTCGCCATCACAGTGTCCGGCCAATACGCACCGATCTGTATGTTTCTCTCCGGACTCTCACTCATACCACTACGATACGTACTAGCTGAAATAGGAGAAGCTCTGCCCCTTAACGGAGCAATGTATTCTACGCTTGTATCAATGAGTAAACTATCGGCTATATGGGCTGCTGGAGTCCTCGCAATGGACTATACAACAACAGCAGTAGTCAGTGCGGCATCAGCTGCGTCCTATTTGATGACTATGACCAGCACCGTACAGAGTGCTTGGATTGTGCCGCTGATATTGGTCGTGTTTTGTATCATAACTGCTATTGGATTACGAGAGTCTTCAGGGCTCGCTCTGAGTATATTCATTCTACACATTTTGACCATGTTGGGAATCATTATCCTGTAAGTTCAGCTTCAGAAATATTTCATTTTTCATTGCAATATCATCTCGCTCATATTTGGCTCTTCAAGGTCAATCGTATTCATGGCATCAGGACACGGGTTTGGTGTACTCTTAGACAATTGGAACTCACCTGCACCATCAGGCAACATTGCTAGAGATATCCTATTCGGATGGGCAGTCGCCTTCTTGTCTAGCACAGGCTTTGAAACGTCTGGAAACTACATAGAAGATCAAGCTCCAGGCGTCTTTCCATTGACATTGCGGAATATGACGTATCTCTCGCTCTTCTTCCCACCACTACTCACATTCCTGACTTTATGTGTGCTGCCCAGGGACGTCGTTGTACAGAATCCTTCGACGGTTTTGAGTGCAGTGGCATCAGCAGTGTCAAGTCAGCTTGGCTTTTTGGTATGTCCATCTTATATTTTGCTCGCCAATCTATATGCTAAAACAAATTCTTTACCGCCAAAGGTCTCTTTGGATGCAATTATAGTGCTTTGTGGAGGAGTTCTTACCTCATTTGTTGGTATTGGAGGCTTAGCACATCATCTCGCAGGCGATGGACTGTTGCCACGAGCAGCTACTAAAAAGATGCCGCCCTTTGGAGGCTATCCAGCTATATCAATTGGATTCTTCTTGATATGTGGAACATTATTCCTGATATCCAACGGAGACATGACGATATTATCTCTAGTATTCGCAATGTCATTCTTAATGGTGTTGCTATTATCAACCATGGCAAATCTGTTTCTCAAATATCAGAGAGGCAGACTACCACGAACAGTAGATGCATCGCTTCATACAGTACTCTTAGGACTCGCCATTCTAATAACCGCGATAGTCGGTACCGCTGTGCAAAACACTTCAGCTGTCGTTGTCTTTTTTGGAATGTGGTGTACTATAGTGCTTTGCTTCTGGATTGTCTCGAGGCGGGTCGCCATAGCCAAGATCATCCTCTTCTTACTGGAGAGAACAAAGGATGCTCGGATTGAGGCCTACTCGTCTCGTTTGATTCGGTATATTCAAGCAGTGAGGAATCAGCCAGTGTGAGTTGACATTAGAATGTATAATTTTGTCGAATATACCGGAACAAAAAAAACATGATGTAAACACTGAATAGCAACGGACCTAACCAGCTCTGTTGCTTCATCTAGTGCCTTCTTTACCAATCATGACGAGATTCATGTTTTGAACAAGGCTCTTCGGTACATGGATACAAACGAGTCAGCAACTGCACATATGAAGGTGGTTCACATGTTTGAAGATGAAGCCACCATACCACCATCACTCGAGTTTAACATTTATGTGAGTTTCTGTTGCTTCGGTTCTGTAATGGAAGTCAAATCGTAACCAGTTCAACCACAAACAGATTCTTGATCACGTATACCCAAAGATCAAGGTAGATTTGGTGCTGGTTCGTGGAAAGTTTGAGCCGGATTCACTCAAATGGGTAGCAGATCAGCTTGGTATACCAGTGGTGAGCGTGATGCCCTTATGATGCCCTTATGTACATATGCAATCGCTGACATAACCGTTTTTTCGCTTAGAATCTTTGCTTTATCGCAACTCCTGGAGTCAGTTCGCACCCTATAGGTGATTTCAAGGGTGCCAGAGTTATTATGCTTTAGACTTTGAAGCTAATTGACTCTGTAACGAAAGTTAACGAGTGTCCGTTAGTGGATTCTTGTGACGAGAATAAGATGGACGCGAATTGTAAACATTTTACATTGTAGTAATACTCATAACAAGTAATTGTAGTCATTGTGTAGGTACCTTGATCATACACATAATTGTATATAAACGTGGTATGAACGTGTTTGTTCACAACTTCTCGCGTTTTTTTGCTGCTTTTTTTGCACAAAGCCCACACAACCCCACCACAAGGAAATGTAAGCCATCAGACGAGACTCAAAAGGCAAACTGAAACCACACTCAGAAAATGGACGATTGTTGGTTGAATCCTGCGATGGCTTTTCCTTTGGCTTTCGATGATCAGTTGGGCCGCGAGACTTTTTGTCTTCAGGAAACTGATCATAAATATCCGCCAGAGTAATATCAGTAGCGACGTTCTCGTCCCAAGCGTTCAGAAAATCCTACAGATGCCAGGGGTTGCCGGAGCGCTATCTTCGGCTCTGAGAGCACGTAGAAGCGAGCGATACACAACTCAAGAAGGGGCACCAGATAGTGACTTTTCAAGGCTCTAAAATGGAAATATTATATTAGCGACAAAACAAAGAAAGTCAGAAGAAAAAGAAGTATTTGACCGAAAATGACATCCGGAGTCAACCAAAAAAAAAAACACGAAATAAATAATTGAATTTCGCTTACAGCTTGAGTGATTCCACGATCTCCAGTCAATGCAATCAAGTCCACAATCTGCTGGTCAAATGGCACATCGGCTAGACAACTACCAGGTCCAACAATCTCATCATCATTCTGAGGTTCCTGTTTGGCTAGATACTTTGGTTTCGTATTGACTCCAGTGCCATGGAATGGTTTGATGCCTTGAAGACATTTGACTGATGATTCGCCATTTCCAGCTACGACAAGATAACCACTTTTCTCCAGTGTTGCAGTCGACCGAGAGAACCAGCGGCCTTCTGGAGGATCAACACTCAAAGCTGTAACCTAGCAGATAAGAAGGAAAAGAAGACAGGGTGAGCAAAAGAACTGCAATTTTTGACTGAGCTTAGAAAAAGTGAAGCCTTACTACGGCATTTCTGACTTCATCATACGGTAAAGACCTGTCTTGGGCCTTCATTCTGAGTTGGAAATGTTGAAGAGTCGTTTGGATTACGAGAAGTAGGTTCATCGTCCAAGGCCAGATTCCCACCGGTTTGCATTACCTTAAAGTCACGATAGCTAAGGCAGTCGTCTGCAAATCGAGTATGGACATATGTGAGTGCGCGCAGCGTTGTGAGCAGTAGGAAACTTAACCCTGTAAGACGGATTTGGCAGAGTCAGAGATTTTCAATGACACAAAAGTGACTTGTTTAAACGATAGATTTCACATTCGAGATGTATCATTAGACGTGCAGAATAGTAGTGTGCTTACAAGATCTACTTTCCAATTCCAACTTCGGTGTAAAAATGCATAGATTGAGGATCAGTACCAGTAGGTTTTGTAATATCTGACTGAAAAACACCTTTTTCACGACTTCCGACAATGATAGTCATGATAGCATGTAATGGACCATTCGTGAGTTTTTCAGACCTATGTGACTATTTCGTAGAATAGGATTGGTAATAAGTGTGCTGTGCAGCAAAAAAAGGCCACCGCAATGCATAATGACGTACAAGATCTCCGTGAAGAGTACGTCGTCGAGAAGAATCATTGGCTTTCAAGTAAAGTCGGTCACCATAGCCCTCCTCTAATTGAGCCAGAGTCATGTTGCCAAATTTAGGCTTTGGTGGACCTGGCTCTGCCTTGTGTTGAACCTATGCGCCAAAAATGTGATGAATGAGTGCATTGCGTCGCGAATCAAGGGAGGAAGCACGATAGCAACAATATACAGTAACAGTCACCTTGGCCTTTTGGGTTTCTTTGCCTTCTTGGAAGTGATTGATTGAGGTTGTTCAATCAGCGTTCCAGCAGCGATTTCTTCGACAAAGACGAATTCCACTTCTCGAAGACGAGCCAAGTAGGGCCATAGTAGTGTGTGAAGATATTGGTCCAGTCCTAAATAATTGATGTAGTTGCTATTCGAAACATGACCAAAACACCAAAACAAAGAGAGCTTGTACACACCAGAGTAAGGATCTTGCGTTGACTTCCCCAAACGAGTCTTGTTTTCCCTTTCAATCTCCTTTCGCTGCCTTTCTTCGAGCAGAGTCCATAGTTCGGGAAGCCTGCAAAAGTTGATTTCGGGTTTGGTCAGTCATATAGGAATGAAATAGGATAAAAAAAGACTACGATCGCATGGAATGCCAAAATACGCACCGATATCGCCTCCCAAAGCGACCACCTCAGCGGCAATTTGCAAGAGGACTTCAACTTGAAAGCTCAAAACTCAATACAAGACCCAGACGTCTTCGGAATGTGATTTCAGACGGCTTCTATCAATTTCCAATATGTTATGATGACGATTGCTATGTGTAACAGTGGTTCTGTGCCCTGTACGAGATTCCAAGTGTCACGATGTATGGTGTTTGGTTGATCTTGCCAGGCGCCTACACTAAAATGATTTAGACCGTGATTATGTAATAATTACAAAGGCACAGTCACCGACTCAGAAATATTCAGTTATCGTATGGCGAGATAATTGTTTGAACGTGAAAGCAATTAATTTAATCTTTAGAAGCCGAGTTGTAGACTGAATGTTAAGAGTCCAAATTACTGTCTTCTTTTTCTGCACCAAACATCAAACCCGTCAAGAATGGCAGACCACGACGACGCAGAGGAAGACGGGCTCCAACAGTCTCAATACGCCGAACCACTACAACCACAACCCAAGCCTACCAGCAAGAAACGCAAACGAGCCGACAAGGATCCATCATTAAAAGGCAAACCAAAACCAGCCTCAGAAGATGGACGCCGGAAGCGAAACGCCACTGAATCAACCCTCACTAAGGAGAAGAAGGCAGCTGAATTGAAAGAGATTGATGCATTGCTGTACTCTATTGTTCAAGAAGATGTGAATGATACAGCAAGAACGCTTGTACATGTTGTCGATGATAAAATGTCTGGGAGTGCGAGGCGGAAGGCTGCTGCTGAAGAGTATGTGATTTACTGGTTGTAATTCGATTAAATGAGGTAATTGATGCTATGCTTTTGGTGTAGGGTTGCTGCTTGGCCTGTCAAGGATGCTATGTTGGCAGTGGATCAGTAAGCTTTTGAACTTGGAGAGCTAGAAGCAATCCATCTACGGATTTCAATATACGTTCATCCACTTTTATTCAACCACCTTATCATCTTTAGACGTCGTTTCCCACAACCGGAATACACAATCTTCGAATCCGTAGAAGCAGACACCACACAACCACTGATACTCGACGATCCCGACTTTTCACCCTTCCTCGAAAATCCAGCCAAAGAAGCAGGAACACCAGCACAGAAACTCTTGAAAGCCGAGATATCAAGTCTTGTAATCAGTATGGTGACAAGACAGTTACCCCATGATGAAGCTAAGAAGGTTAATATAGGGAGGATTGCCAAAAGGGTTATGAGGCAGGTGGAGAGTGTGATTCGGGAGCTGCCAAAATATAAGCTGCGGGCTCAGGATCAAGCAGAGAGGATAAATACGCAAAAGGAGTATGAGGCGAAGAGGGCCAGTTGGAAGGCTGTCTTTTATGCAGGGAGAAGAAATTGTGAGATTGAACACTTGTAAGTTTGAGGGAGGTTCCTTTTCGTGCTCGTTGAAGATTGCGGGAGAAACAACAAAATCTCACGATTCTTCATCTTACAGCGTCCTTGATAATGCAAAGAAACGATGTGAGAAATTCTTCGAATCGTGACAAGAATATTATTCTTTGAAGAAGCAGTATTGCGTTTTGTTGATTATTCTTATATATAAATTGTGCAGATATAACTTTATATAAGACACTCTACAATGACTTTTCTACAAACAGCGCTACTGCTGCCAATGTCCATCGTGTGTCGTCTGCCCTACACGGTATTTGAATCGATGCAATATATGTCTCTCTTGATGGGTTTGAATAGAGAGGCACTGATATGGATTCTTTGAGCATGACGTCCTAAATGCCAAAGTCAATACAGTTAAGAATGCGTTTTAATGTTTTCATAGATCGATGTATGGATTTCCGTACCTCTGGAAGCCACGAAAAGTATGCTTGCGGTGCGACAGCCAGACTCGGATCTTCAGCATGACATTCCGACACTTTGAGTCCATCGAATCGGCATCCTTGAATGACGAGACCTTCTACAATGACTCCAGGCGAATCGGATCTGGCATCTCCCCACAGTGACTTTAGCTGGAGAGAGTCAATCGGAAGTTTCACTAATGTGAAAGTTAATAATATCGTAAGACACTTGGGGGGAAAATTGAGAAAAGTGATGGCAACATACGTTTCCTGGACGACTGTTGTCTCAAAGCCATCAAAAATCCCCTTGTATTAACCAACGAACTCAATTTCACGGGCCGCTTCATCCATTCGACGGGACTAGCTTGACTCCATTCATACATCGCCAGAGTCTTGGACACAACCTCCTTCATATAGTCCATTGCCGATTCAGGTCCAGCCCAAGCATCACTTTGTTGCAACCAAAGTGATGGCGTTTCGCCTCGGAGTAGTGATGTGCCGAGTCGTTGAATTTCAGAGGCTAGCTGGCCACTCTTGACTGATTGAGATAGTTCAGAAAGAGTGTCATTCACTCGTTGAACGAGGCCGAGTAGTGTTGCAAACTCGAGACATAGGAATGAAACGAGTGGATCCGAGCCTGCACCTAGAGGGGATGATGCGGGTTTTTGTAGTACGTCACTTGATCCCATAAGCTACAGATTCAATAGAAGTCAGCCCTTCCGAAACAAGAAAAAAGCCAACAAGATACGCAAAAGGACTCCAACCTTTTTCCAGACAGAGAATACGGGAGCAAGATCTCGCAACCATTCCTGACGATCAAATACTTGATCGTGTTGAGCCGTTGATCGCTAACGAAAAATCGTTGAGTAAAAGCGCAAAAACAGCCAACCATTCTATTGACGCACCAGGGATGCAAGTTGCGACAAAACACTCCAACTTGTAGATTGTTGCATGCTTCGATCGATATTAGCAGGCAACCCCAGCAATGAAGGAGAGTCTGTGTCAGGTAGACCATTGATAAACTGGACATAGTCTGCGTGTCGATTTCTGTTTGGCAGGTCTAAAGAGTTTCAAGCTTATTACCATACAAAAAATTTGAAATGCTCTTGCACATCAAGCATACCAAGTCCATTTGCAAGCTGTTTTGAGGGCCCTTGACTACCCACTTTAAAGTTTTCTGGAAAATCAAGGGAAGTGAGAAACGCAGGCATTCTGAAGATACCTAAATGGTTCCAAACACTCACGATCTGCAAAGATAGACTCCAACAAGACCCGCAGACAACGAGAGTCATCCGCACTATCAACACGACCACCATAAACAGCTTGTTCCAAAAGACCATGTATAACTTTCCATTGAGGAAGCTCCTTTTCGTTGCACATGTTCTAGAGACAAAAAAATGTTCATTAAAAAGGATTGGTTGATTCGATTCCTGCTATTTCAGCGCACCGCAATCAGCACTGAACTAGACCTCAGATCAGCAGCTGAAAATTCATAAAACTTTGTCCATCCTTGTGGCAAATACATTCGCCTCTCTTGCAATGTAGCATGAAACCAGGCCAAAGCAAACAGTGCTTGTGCTCTGAGCACGCTGCCCTTCTCAATAAAGTCTACATCCCATCCATCGTAGGCTCTCTGAAGATTCTTCTTGAGTCCTGGAGGAGCTTCTACAGTGACTTTGACACACGACTGCAACAAGGCTGGTGAGAAGCCCAGATGGGCTTCACTTGTCATGAAAAGACGGAATTCTTTAGACAAGGATCCTTGCAGCGTAGCGAGTTCTTGCATCAAAGATGGGATCCAGGAAGTGACGAGATGGATGTTTTGAAGTAGAATCCAGCCACCCTTAGATGCTGCATCACGTAGCAGTTTTATGGCGACATCACCCTGTCCTTGACCCATTGCGATCTACAATTGGATCCACATGAGCCTCATGCGAAACAATCAAAAATATCAAAACTACGTGGAATAACGTACCGACTTAAAGCTGGCTTCACCAACAGCAGTCACAGCATAAGCACGTAACTCCTCGGATGGATCAGCACCAGGTGTAGTGATGAAGAGAATTGGCTCATGTGAAGTCGACTCTTCGTGCAATTGCGGGAAGGTTAAAGGATTGAGAGCAAGCGAAGGCATGTCCAGTATCTCACACGCCGTATTTGTCACTAAGTAGATTTATCATGAGATCAACTAGAATTCACTTCTAATCTTGTCTGAAACAAGCCAAAAATTTCACGCAAACTATTCTTGATTCTTACTGGATGTAAGCAATCGATCTGGTCTGAGTGTTTTAATGATCAACAATTGTTGGAAGGGCGTCAATTGTTTGGCAGCAGGAGGGAAACTGTCTTCACAAGCATTCTGAGATATCCAGCGACTCCAGCCCTCTCGATCAGAAAATGACGCTTTGATTCGAGGCAGGGACTAAGTTGAAACGATCGTGTCAATGAAGCCAGTGGTGATAATTCGCATAAATCTGATTCCTCAAGACTTTTCTTTACCTGTAAGAGTCGGAACTTGTTGACCTTGTCCGATGGTACCCAAGATGGCACTTCGGCACCGACAGAATCCTGTTGATCTAAAGCAGTACCCACTAAATAATCCCATTCACGTGCATCATAAGAATTGGGATGCAGTTGCTTTATAAGGTGATATGCAAAGGCTAGACGATCTGCCTTAAACAAAGCACGTCCAACTGTAGCATACACCAGAGATTCTAATGTTCTACACAATACCTCTGTACGGCTTTCTTTGCCCTCTCTGTCACTGTGACTATTGCTGAGAGCTCTATTTATAAGCCGCAAAAACAAGTCGAGGCTGAAGTGATACATGGATCCAAGACGAGATAACTCGATTACAGCAAAGTACAGCTTGCTTCCAAAGTTGGCAAAGCGTGCATACTTGTCTCGTTCCACGTTGAGAGATGCCTTTAGTTTTCGAGACTCGTTCAAACCGTCCTCAATCGTCATACTCTTGGCTTTGGCTTCATTCAATGACTCTAATAGTGATTGGTTTTCTAGAATATTTCCGGTGGAAGTAGCCAATTCTCTTAGTAGCGATTCTTGAAGAGTTACCAGTTGCAAGTTGAGTTGATCTTCTTGTTCTACTAGCTTTACACGTTCCAATTCTAGTTCTGGCTTTTCGTGTTGTAAAACGACGTTCAAAAGCAGGTCGGCCAATCCTGCTTGAGTTGTGGTAAAGTTGATTTCAGACACCAAACCCAAAGCATCAGTTCTCAGATTGAAGCGACTATCCTTGGTCAGCAAGAAGAGTTTGAAACTCTCGCCAACATCCACCGTCTTATCACCCAGTCTCACCACATATCGTGGACCCTGTTTAGCATATTCCTGACGTAGTAATGGATACAATGTCGGTTCAATATCGGTTACATCCTGTACTATCAAGGTCTTGCCAAATCGTACTGCAAGCTCGAGGGCACGAGAAAAGTTTGGATCGTGTTGGTAAATGATTTCAGGATTGGATTTGGCCAATGTCAATTTCAGCCATCCAGAAGCTTGATCACCAGGATCTACCAACAATGCTACAGTTGGAGTATTTACCGTAATTACAGCATTTTGAAGTGACAATGCATCGTGTGGGAGTCCCTGAGACTTCCATAGCAATGCCGTGCCCTCAGAAGCTAAGAATTCACGAGCATCGAAGTCGTTCAAGTTGAGCAACTTTGACCAAGATTTGAGCATAGCGTCTCTAGTACTTTCAGAGGCCCCACCTAAATATGTTACGAATGCAGATGCCATTAAACTCTGCGTCGGCAGACCTTCCAATTGACTATTAAATGTTTCGGCTTGGATACGCCATCGTTGCCCTTCCCCATCCAGCTTGGATAGCAACGAGGTCGCGACATCTAGAGTTCTTTGGGCCTTCTCAAGACCCATTCTGAGCATTTCAGCTTCTCGTGACAGTGTACCAAATTCATCACGCAATCCTGCTACATTTCTATCGACTTCAGACAATTCTTCCTGAAGTTTCTTGACTCGATCTGTAGACTTTTGGAGTGACTTGGTCAGACCTGCTAGATCGTTTTCTAACGGAGCAGTTTTGTCCAAGACCATAGAATACTGTATATTGGCCTTCACCCATGCTGCTAACGGTGCAGCAGCTACTGAAGCTCTTCTGATAGCCACTTCGTCAAATGATTCGGGCTTAGTTCTCAACAATTCAGCTACAGCTTCTCTAGCCTGCTTCGTAACAGAGTGAGCGTCAAAGTTTAGAATCTCTTCCTTGATTGTTCGTTTACCAAGGAAACCCTTCATACTATTCCAAGACGTATCGAGAATACCCATGAGACGAAGGACGCCTTCTAATACATCGCGGACAGCTGGTGGTGGTGCTCTTAAGGATCGTATTTCAGTCAGTGCATCACCTCGAATCTCTCCGACGGATTCACGGGCTGCTCTCAATATCGGTTCAACGTCCGCAAGCTGTAGTTCTATAGCTTGCTTTTGCTCAACCATCTTGACTTCCTCCAATTTCAAGCGTTTGTTAAGGTCCTCTAATTCACGTTTCTGGTCTGATGCATTGCTCATGGCATCAGTGATTCGTTGCAGTGATTGATCGGCCTCGAGCTGCTTTCGAGACAATGTCTTCTGCTGTTGACCAGCGTTTTGAGATAGCTCATCTACATAGTGTGTTGCATCGTCGAGCTTCTTCAAGCCCCCTTCCAAATATTTGACCTGTTGGACTAGGCCGTCTCGTTTCGATTTGAAAACATTAGAGAATGTTTCCAACAAAGTCACTAGAAGTTTCGACGGTGTTGGTCGTTGAATCGACGCTACAGAGTTGTGAAGAGATACAAAGAGTTCTGGAAGTTCCTCTACACTTGATAATTCCGGTAATTGACGGGCCAATGCGGCCTTTGTAACCACCACCATGCTAGCTTTATACCAACTACTGACTCGAATACATTCGCACGAGTTCAACAAGGCCGGATTTGACTCACACCGTTGTGCAAAGTCGGGATTTAGAGTATCAAGTATCAATACGAGATGAAGATTCCGACGTGCTTCGTTGACAAAGAATTCAATCATGCTTCCTTGAGATCCTGCCTCTGCAAACCGGTCAGATGTAGTCTGAAGCATAGCGTCCAGCTCTTCTTTACTGTAGAGACTGGCTATTTGGCCTCCTGTCAAGACACCATTCACAATCTCCAGGAAGAGTGGATCAACCATTTGGTGGTCTTCAAATAAGAAGACGACCTCCTCTTCACTGACTGCGGCTTGAATGGCTGTTTTCAAATCGTTTATGAAGCCCTTGATTCCATAATTACGTCCAATGGCGGGAGTGATTACTCGCATTCCAAGACGATGAGCGCTAAGTAGAGTAGCACTTCGGCGACCATATCCAGCTTGTCCTGCTAAGAGTAAACATCCGCCCTGATGCGACAAGACTCGGTCAATGCTGGCAGTGAATGCAAGCCATTCTCCAAAGAGTGCTAGACTGAGTTCGTGATAATCACGTTCATACAAGGTCACTTCCTTGGCAATTGTTAATCTAAAATCTTTTATAGAGAGTCTTTGCAGTGTGGCTGCTTTCTGATTGCTTCGATTCGGAGCAATATATACGGATGACAAGACTTTGGAAGCGTCGATCGACCAGTCTGCTCTGATTGCCTCCAGAAGCAGAGTCTCGAATTTCGTTTGATCATCCTTGGTAGTTAGACGATCACCGAATATGCGAAGTCCTTCATAAACTATTACTTCTAGCAAATCTTCCATGACATTATCGGGATTTATAGAGTAGCGAGCCAAGTTTGAGACCCAATGAGACAAGTCACGAGGGCTTAATACTACCAACGGGCCCCTAAACATTGCCACTGCTTCATCGTATACACGGACCATGGTTTCCGTGAGTCGATTTGCGTGTTTCCACACCTAAAAAACATGCTAGTCAGACATACAGTCCGCATCAAGACTTCTTATCAGTAAATTACCTTATGATCTGGTGGTATCATACGTGACAATACAGATTGAACCAAGACATCACATACTTGGAAGAGATTCTCACGAGTCGGCAGACTGATATTAAGAATATGTGTAAGGCATATAAATCGAGCGGGCAATGCTCTCTTCATGGTTCCATCATTGACAGAGGCTACAACCTGGACCCCTTCAACTCCAATCCAATCCAACGTCGCAGAATCATAGAAACCTTTATAGCAGAGTAGCTGTACCAAGAAGGATATCACCTCAACAGTATCATATTTATCGGGTTTCGGTAGATTAATGTCTCGAAGATATAATACAAGACGGTCACCGTCCTTTGGTTTCAAAACTCGTCCCGTGGCACCACTCACAGAAACACAACTCTGTAACAAACGCTGCAATATATGGATAGGCCGAGTTTGAGCACTACAGTGTAAGGTGATCATACGGTAGCGAAGTCTTGACGTGACATGCTTCAGGGTCAAATGCTTTCCAGAACCATCTGGCCCAACAAGAAGTACTGGAACTCGATCGACTAGCCACGACGATAACACATGGCATGCGTGTTGTACTTCCACGGTTTCTACTACAGGTTCGGTTGCCGTGCTAACAGGTTTCTCGAATTTATAAGACAAGACAGATCCATTTGCATCAACATACGACAACAATGCTTGCTGCGAAGAAGGGAGACCGGCCAGAGAGTCCATCTCACAAGCAAATGATACACGTGCCTCCCAATTCAGGACTGCACCGATACCACGAATGAGACCAAGCACAAATTCAGTCTGACTAGATGGCTTTTGACAATGCGACAGAGCTTGTAATACAAGGGCAACTGGCGAGACCTCTACAGTGAGTGCCTTTTTCCGAATAATGCCAATGGCTTGGAACAAGTATTCGTCAACCCAAACTTTGAGCTGTTTCCTTAAAGCTTCGTCTTGACGTTCTACCCATGCAGTGGCAGCAGTAGCAGTATCCAGACTCTCTTCAGACAAGTAAATCATTCCCATACGACTGATTGTAGCTGGTGAAGCATGTCTGAGATCGTCTGTTTCAAACAAGAATTTTACATTGGGACCAAATTGTATTCGTTCACCAGATGGCATCGTCAACAGCCGATTGTCGTCAAGGACCTATTTGTAGTTAAACAGTTCTGAGTATGCATCATTAGAGTAAGTATCCAAATCTCAAATCAATGCATACAGAGTTGAGGGCTTCGATCCATTCTGGATCAACATCACCATCACAGACAATCCAAGTCCATACGTCCAGTGGTTCTTTCACTGCCATTCTAGAGGCCCGAGTCAGAGTACCGTCTGTCCAGTCACGAGTATCCATATCCATGTGTCCCAACAACACATGACGATCCAGAGCTTTAGGATTCATTACATGGGTGTTGACTTTTTGACCACACTTGGCCAGTGCAGTTTTAAGAGTCTTCCATAAGGCAGATTTACCAGATGAAGGTGGTCCAACTACAACGGCACCAGTCCGTTGTCGAAGAGCTTCATACAATTCACACATCTTTTGGATTTGTGAATCTATTACGAGTAGACCTGATTCACGGCAGGATACTTTCAATGACTCTGTGAGCTCTTTATAAACTACACCTTGGTCTACTGTCTGTCCAAAAGTGTCACGCAACACTTCAAGGAATCGAGTAGCATCAGCAAAAGTCAATTTTGGTACGGTATTGGCTCGAATGGACTGTACAATGACCAATAATTCCACCTCTTGTCGTTTGGCAGTACTGCTTACAAGCTGGTCGCGTAAGAGTTGACCTGCTAGTCGCAAGCAACTCTTGAGAGGACGCAGACCCCAATCGTAGTGCTGCATATGCGACAGGACTTGTTGACATAGCTTAAAGACGGTAACTATTTTGCGACCAAATACTTTTGCGTGTCGGAATCCATCCGCAAAGAGCATCGTCTCGGCAATTAGTTCATTGTCAGGTTGCGCCATTGCCACAGATCGGAAGAGTTGTTTCAAATTATCAGGAAGCTTTTGTCGCCCGCCATAACCCTTTCCAGCTGGATTCAGCGTGACGAATATACCAGCATTGGAATCAACTTCGACCTGTTGATCCATGAGTATGAATGTTGACTGCTGTGATTTCAAGGCAGCCTAGATAGTGACACGGTTAGAGTTAAAGGCAGTTTACTAATACCAAAGCAAAACGTCACATGCCTGAACTGCTTGAATTTGCTGTGATACAGCAGACAAAACAGACTCTTCAAGACGATTGAACTCATCAAAGCAACCCCATGCTCCACATTTAACAATACCAACAAAGATTCGACCCATACTCTTATAATCGAGTCCTTCGTCACAATTAAATACCAGGACTTGACGACCCATCAAAGCACCAAGAGCTTTAACACTCTCAGTTTTACCAGTTCCTGCTGGACCAAATGGATTACCACCGAATCCAGCTGCCATGCCTTGCGTTAGGGTCAAGTAGCACTTGTCTGTTAAGGGAGTATGCACTAAACGTTGTGGTGTTCCTTGATACTCATATGTATATGCAAATCGTGCGCTAACCATTTGTCCATACATGGCACCATCTTTTCCGAGATAGAAACGAAGTTGTCTTTGCCATGCCCAATCATCGACGGATTCTACTTGTGCTGCAACAAGTTGCTCAATTACATCAATTAGATGGATGACGTCCATAATAACTGATTTTATACGTATATCCAAAACACCTCGTTCGGCGATATCTTGAGCGACAGCACCAGTATCAAAGGACGTGAGAGATTCTAAATATTTACTCATCTCTGCATGGAATGCCGGTAATTCTCGACGAGATATGGCCTTTTCACAACGTGTTGAGAATCGGACGAATTCACACATACATGCTACTTGAGCTGGGTACTCTTGTAGTACTGACAGTCCACTTTCTGCTTTGACTGCTCGAATTACAAGATCTCGTAGTGTTGACTTCATTTCGTTGGTAAACTCTCGAAGCCATATCTCAATATCAGCAGTTATTTTGACTTTACGTTGGAGTGGTATAACTTCCCCATCTGAACTACACATGGCGAGAATGTGTTTACCCTCCTGATCAAACTTCACACTCTGTACCCCCATATATAATTTACGGAAGTGTTGTTGGATAACCGTCAGGTTTGTTGCTTGACCTAATATCTCAAGTAGATCATCGTCACCAATAAAGTAGAAACGAGCAAAGGCACGACGTTTCTGTTCCAAAAAGTCGGCAAGAGCCTTTTGACATCTCTCCAGCTGATCGAGCATAGTTGCTATTACTCTTCTGACCGATGGATATGATAATAATGCAACGACTCTAGTGTCTCTGGCTATACTAGACATAATCGACCTAAAATCATTGTCTACATTACCAAATCGAGCTTGCTCAGATGGCAAAGCACCTCGATTGAATACTGGTTCTAGATAGACCCATTTACGTTGCACCAAGTTGAGATCATGAATGCAAGCATCCAAATCCCCGAACTTGCGTTCCCAAATACCACACTGATCAGCAAAGTTTTTATAGTATGGAGTGTCTTTCAGTGATTGGAGCAAAGACTGGCAATCTCCGATCTTATTGATACGTCGAATAAGTCCAAATGCTTTCTTTTGCCAAATATCATTTGTGCAGGGCACTAAATGAACTTACTTGAGAAATGATCTCCTTCCAATCCTTGATGATACCAACACGTTTGCCCTTAACATCAATATATTCTGATATGCTAAAGGTGGTAGATGCACCCCAGACTTCCAATTCCGACAAGGCTTCACGGATCTGAATCTCTCCACGAGCACGTACATTCAACTCTTTGATTTCATCTAGATGAGACACCAGAGATTCTCTAGCTGCAAATATCTGACCTGCAGTAAGATTTGCAGCTGTAACGCCTTTAGCATTTATACCGGCAATCCTAAACAAGTCACCCCAATGCTCAGCGGTCCAGCCATCAGCCTTGAGATATTTAATACATGGTAGAATGTTACGATACGAGTCGATTTCTTTGACTACAAAGGCACCAATAATATCGGCACCTCGAGTTTTAATCTGTTCTTGCCATTTATGTAGGGTGTCTTCTAGACTATGGGGTTTGGAGGAGAAGCCAATCCAGTCCTGTCCTGATATAGAATCTAGATCACTCATAAAGCCATCATAGACGGACCATGCATCCACAGCTTTGAGTAGCTCACTCTTAAGAGCTTCTAAAGCCGTAGAATCTGTAGCCGAAATATCAAAGTGCCTACAATCTTCAGCGACTTCTTCAAATTGTTGAGATAGATCTTCAAACTCTCGTTGTTTATCCTTGACAAAGGAACTAGCTTCTCGAGCTTTGGAAACATCACCCATTACATTTGCAGGTTTTGGACACAATTGTTCCCAACGAGCTGCGAATTTTGCAACCTCTTGCTGTAGCGTCAATACTCTACCTTCTACACCTGCTTTCAATACTTCGATCTGATCCTTGATCATCAAATCGTGACCATCTAACATTACTTCTAATTTACTCCATCGTGCTGCTAGAGCTGTAGCGTCAACATCAGAGCCAGCAACAGATCTTAATAACTTATTCAATGATTCGGCAGATTGTAAGCTAACTACAATCTCATTCTTTTTCAGTGACAATTGTGCATGAGCAGCATGTGCTCCTCCAATCTCTGCAATAGTTTGTGGTCTCTGCGATAGTACTTCCATAGCAGAATTTACAAATTGTTCAACAAATTGTAAATGGCCTTGGACTGTTTTGCGTAATGTATTTACAAGAGCGTCAAACAATCGTTGCAGCTGGTCGTCGATGGAGGCCTTTAACGGTATGGTAGACACTACAAAACAATCGACCTTTATACTGATGGGTATGGATTCGGCATCTTTTCCTCGTGTTTTAATTGCCTTGAAGTTGAGTTCCCAATGTGATGGTTCCGTAAGGTGCTGTTCCACAAAACTATCCATATCTCCAATCATACCAAGGGCAACCCAGTCTTTATAGTTGTCCTGCAACTTGAGCAGAGCCTGAAACAATTGTTCAGCTTTACGATACACACCTTCAAGCGAGGCAGAGTTTCGTTCTACTATAAGTGGGAATATAGCTGGAGCTCCGTCTACTCCTTTAAAAGTTTGTGGAAGATTTATAAATCGTTTGAGCTCTCGATAATATCGAGCCCTCACTTCTTCAATGGCAGGCCGAAACTGTAATCGAGATTGTCGAAATACTAGCTCTACACGGATTTCTGGCAATATTTCGTGCATGGTCGACAAACCGAGTCGATACTGATGCTCTAAAGCTTTATACAATTGATGATCCCAGTGCACTCGCCAGCTGAGTGAGTCAGCATTCTGTATATTACAACCAGTGAGTGCTGTTACTATAATATCTCGTATTGACGACACTGCGTCCTTCCAACCAGCCTGATTACGAACCAAATTGACTTCGAACAGGCCGAGTACTACATCGGTAATACTATCATGGTGCCGCCTTAACCGACGGTTTTCTCGAGTCAGTCGATCCACTACACCTTGTAATCGTGTGATATAGGCTTCGACCTCTGTCGGGCTGTCCCAAGTGACTATACCACCTTCAGCTCCTTTGCCCTTAGGACTTTTGACAAGCCGTTCGAATTCAAGAGCTAATTGCAACATCATGCTCTGCTGACATCGGAGCATTTGTTGATCGATTGTGTTGTAAAAATGTGCAACTTGCTTTAGCACAGTTCCAAAACGGTAGAAGCGGGAAGCACTTTCTACAGTTTTAAGTATATCGGATGACACATTCGTACCCAATGCAGTGATATGACGGACTTCACGGAGCAAGAGAGCTAAACGGTCTGGATAATTTACAAATAGTTTTCCAGTGTTGTAGTCTAACTCCATAAGTCGTCCTGTCCGTTGCAAAGCTAATGGCCCAGAGGGATCACGAAGCGCTTGATTTAATTCATCACTCCAGTCCTGTAGCTGATCTTGCTCGTATGACTTCAGATCAGTAATCAGCGGTGAAGCAATCAATTGGAATGAATCGACACGATCATCCAAAGCAGCCAAAGTATCAGCTGCTGCACCAATCTATGAAGTTTGAAGATTGGCTTTAAGGGCATTATATGGTCAAACAATGCTGAGAAAACACACCTTGGCAATAGTTTGTCTAGCCCAAAGCAAGTTGGCTACGGATACGGGAAGGCCAGACAAAGAGTCCTACGTTCTCGTATCAGATCAGCCGATAGAGCCGTTTCAACCACAATAGCAGAAGCGTCCTACCATTTTCGAAAGCTTCTTTGACTGAAACTGCTCGTGAATCGTCTTAGTCTCAGCAATAAGCTGAGCAATCAAAGCATCCTTTTCAGCGACTACTTCACGAGACACTATTTGATTCCGTAGAATGTCGATGTGTTTACGAAACTCTCGCAAGAGTTGAGATGGTTGGTTAAATAAGGGAGCAAACATATCCCGGAGCCTTTGTCCAGCATGTTGAGCTACTGGTTCTAAGGCTGTTTGATACTGGTTCACTGCACGCTATTTGGTTGCTAGTCAGCGATTAAAAGTAGAGCAAAATGAAATGAATGGATAGTACCTTCCAAACACCATCTGCGAAAGGCTGAGTATCCAGAATATCGACTTTCGAGAAGGAATGCAAACTATCAGCGACTTTCAGGTCACGTTGTTCTTCCGTAGTCAGAACGACTCGCATTCGTTCATGGATGACCCGAATTTCGAGAAACTGGAAATGAAGAAAATGATTTGAGCAATGTGCAGATTTACAGACCGAAATTCAAACCACTTGCCTCTGATATTCGAGCGGCTAGACGACTCAATGTATCTGAAGAAAAAGGATGACCCTTCCAAGCGTGATTTAAATCCATAGGCCAGAATTTGCCTGTCAGGGATTCAAGACTCTCATTCCATCTGGCGCAGATTTGGGATCCGAGATCAAGTGGCTCACGGACCTTGAAAAAATGGCACATCAGTCTCCCGTGATAAAGATATCAATTCTATAGATCTTGCACACCGTTTGGAAGTCAGATTTTCCAATATTGATTGCATTCAGACGTTCTTTTACTATTGATACGAAGGTGTCTGTCACAACGTCCAGCAAATGATCCATGCGTAACTGCGGGAATGGGGGGTCAAACATTTGCCTCCTACGTTGAAAAATGTCAGCCATCAGCTACACCGTCCTCGTGAGATGATTTATCTTTCCTACCATAAGTCATCTATGGCGTCCTGAGCGTTTTCTACCACCGACAATAAATCGTTCATTTCGGCGTCCCTGTGATATAGGTTAAGAATCAGTCTTGCTTGAGAAGCTCTTTGCGAAAACGGGATGTAGGATACCTGGCACGATCCATTTCGATTTTGAGCTGTTTTAGACTATCACAGAACGATTCTGCACGGGATCGCTCTTTCTAAAATAATGTTATAACGCATCTCAGGACTAGCCTCCAATGTTTTTCAAGTTATCAAGTCCACACCTTTGGTGAGTCGGCAGCCTGATCTGTCCAATACTGCAGTTCGTCGTCAACACTTTCGACGAGTCCAACTCCTACACACTAGTTGTCAGTATTCAGCGTCAAACTCAGGCTCCAAAGGACGATCTACATGCCATTTTCATTGCTGTTTTGTAGCATCCCTCCTAGAGCTCCTTCCATGTCCGACAACAATGTCTGTAGTTTCGAATTGATTCCCCATTTGCTATTCCTAACACGTAAACTTCTTGATTCAAGCACCAGACACAGAAAACTACATAACGTCAGTCTTACTTTAGCAGCAATGGTGCAATCACGGTTTTTATGGTTCGATGTAATGCCAAAGCAGGGTTTCCTCCCTATAAATATGCATGAAACGTTCAGATAGACGTGACTGTGACATGAAAATGACAATGATCTACCACAAACGGCAAGACGGTGATGATTTCAGGTAGAGTTTCAATGCGTAAAGTTGTCTTTTTGGCCTTTATGAAGATAACACCCCTGTTTTGTGGTGTCAGTGAGTCAAGAGCGGTAGATCCACGCAGTTTCGATAGTTCTACATACGGTTTGAACTCATCGTAAGTTTCCGAGTTTGACAATTGAAGTGTCTTGTCGTCCTAGTGTGTGTGAATTGTAAAATGTTAACGATGATCAAGATGCTGACAACTTTTGGGTTTGAGAACCGAGATCAATGTCGGAACGTACGTAAACGACGGAAAGAGTCAATGATTCTGGATCATGGATGAATCTTGACACTTCGGCCGACTCTGAAAAATCCGGAATTGGCAAACCCAAATGTAGAGTTGCTACTTGTTGCAACCATTGTCGCGTCTTGGCTTCTGACATAGTGCTTGATTTAGTTTGGAACGATCATGAATCGATTCCTAAACATCATTTTCCTCTGTTTGGATCAGAGCTGGGACCTTTGCTAAGAATCTTCGCGATGCATCGCAAAATGAAGAGAGACACGATGACAAGATTGTTTAGACGCGAATCACGCGGTGCACGTTTTCAAATTTCAAATTAGAATAATTAAATCTATATCCACTACTTGTCGCAAGTTTGCAAACTGCAAGGCTAGGGTTTCTAGCTCGGCCGTCCAAAACAGTGCAGCTTCATGCGTCAGCGCGAAAGTAGCAATGGCAAAGATAAGCTTAAGCTTTATATGTTCAAACACTCATATATTATGATATCGTGCTCGGACATGATCGAGATTTGAACCAGACTCGAAAGTGAGTGGCCTCACAGAAAACCACGCGAGGGGCTTATTCGTCTTCCAACAGGGTCAAATCACGATTTTCTAGTTAGTTCCAAAGTGTCGATCACCGTGTTTCCTCCTCCGTGACCATTAATAATCCGGTTCTCTCGCCTTCCTCGTTTTCTTTCCAGCAACTCAACACACCAGCACTTAGAGAAGAAAGACAAAACAAGGAATACTACTTCTTCACATATACTTGTATTGAATCCATGGCTTTAAAACGCATCAACAAGGTATGTCATGGTTCTCTTCATGGCCATTTGACGCAATATGGTGGTTATCATGAAAAATCAACACTACGCGGCATCAACTAACCTTGAAACGCCACACATCTCTTTTATATCTGTCTTGTCTCATGTCTACTTATCACATCCATTCTCGGCCTATACTCTCATCCTCTTCCCGTCCTCCTTATTGCTCTCCGTCGCCATAAATCTTCTCAACATCTGACATTTTTCCATTCACTCATTCCGAAACTATCGAAATGCACCCTAAACTATCATATCGGACGGCATAATATCATTAGGAATTGCAAGATCTAGGACGAGATCCACCCTCATCTTGCAGTGCTGGGCCAGTCGGTGATGACTTGTTTGTAAGCACTCCTTGGTTTCTTGTTGGAGGTTGTGTTTTGACAAACACATAACTGAACGAAGCGCTAAAGAACGATATCAATATCAGTCGCACGGAAATCGCAGTATTAAATTGTTAATGATTGACCGCTCACATCTTCCTTTTTCGTCCGCAGCATTGGCAAGCAACCATCATGGGACCTGTATGTATTCTTCGTCATGTTTCAATGCATACCAAGTTGCAATTAACATATGTATCATAATAATAGTCTGACTCTCCATATGCTGGTGGTGTCTTCTTCCTCTCCATTCATTTCCCAACCGACTACCCATTCAAGCCACCCAAAGTATGTATCGGTGATTGGATGGTCGTAAATTATGTCGGAAATGATATCATTTTATGTTATGGCTTCCATCACTCTCGAGTCAATGTCTAACTGTTATGCGTACTAGGTCAACTTCACAACAAGGATCTATCATCCAAATATCAACAGCAACGGAAGTATTTGTCTTGACATATTGAGAGACCAATGGTCGCCAGCACTGACCATATCAAAAGGTACATATTAGCAATTGCTTAGTGATGACATGTGCCTCGTCATAATTTGATGAAATGATCAAGCCGTTCAGTGACTAATCGTTTCTTGTTGTCTAGTGCTACTATCTATCTGCTCAATGTTGACAGATCCAAACCCTGATGATCCTCTGGTGCCTGAGATAGCACATGTGTACAAAACGGACAGGGCCAGGTAAGAGAAATTTGGTTTGATAGTTTGGTTGAGAAGCCCGCATACCAACACATGTGATGCAGGTACGAAGCTACCGCTCGGGAATGGAGTCGAAAATATGCCATGTAGTGCTACAGGATTTCGTTATGTGTAGAATGAGAGTTGATAGCAAATAACAAAATAAAATTTCATTTCAATCAATTCTCAAAGTTCAGCACACGGGAGTACGCTTTGAAAAGGTATTTCTGTTCCTCTTCATGTTCGCACTGCTTTTCGTCAATCCGCTTGTGGGTTTTGTACCGTCTTCGAAGCCACAATCCAGGTATTCGTACCACTCCAGGAGCCGAATACAGACTGTTTGCTACTGTTCTCATGATTTCCGACAAGGTGAGCAATGATGACTGGTTTAGCTGACTGGGATTTTTTTATGATCGATCGATTCCATAGGTTATGAATGATCATCGCCTATTGCTCCGTTGTTGGTATCAAGGTGAGTTGATCAGAAGCAGCATTTTCTTGATTCGCTGCTTTGTAGTTCTTTAATGCACAATGTGTGCCAAACTGATCGTCCTAAACAACAATCACGAAACTGACTTGGGATAATAATACTGACGAATTTCAAATCGTAAACCACACATAGTGACTGGAATCGAATGTGAAGAGCTCAACGCTATGGAAAGGGAATTCTTGACATCTCTTCGATACAAGGTCCACATGACCGAGTGCGAATACTTCAATGGGCAGATGCAATCAATGTTGTGTTGAGAAGACAACAGCAATGTCGATATCATGGTCATGCAATAGCCACTCTAGAACAATTGACAGCACCTCCTGATGCAATACAAGGCTACGTAAATTAACAGGAATAATGTGTAGCCCCACCACTGTCACATCTATCGGTTTGAGAAGTTGAAATCCCCAAATACACGCTAACAGCATTTGCATCTTTGAGGTAGGAAGCTACTGCTCGGCAATGGATTCGCAAACATGGCATGTAAGCAGAGCTTGACTTGGTTATATGTGCTGTATGTTGAATTAGCAAATCTTGTCATTATGTGTAACTTAAGCGATAGTAAATAACGAAATAAAGTCTTTTGAGCTAATACTTTGGTGTCGTGGAAACGCTTTCTTTGCGTCATCTTCTCGCAGAAACAACACAAATGGTACATGATGAACCAGTGGAGAGGGGACGACACGAGTAAATAATAGTACAATGATAATACATCATAACATACATAATAATGAGATTAAAACAATAATAATATAATCGGCCACTTCGCTCTTCTCCAAAGTTATAGTTGTTTTTCCCCCAATGCAGGCACACCTCGTTCAATACCAACAAAGCGTCCCTCCTAGCCTTCCGGCCCATTGCCCAAACTCAGCATGGCCGATGACAGTATAAGACCTCCGACACCAGCGAGTATATCGAATAGTAGAGTGTGGCCAGGAGAGCTAGAGTCCAATATTGCTGGAGTCGAGAGGTCTGTCATCAATCTGCCTCTCAGTGCAGCTCTACTAGTCGAGTTGGGCTCAAGTGCACAAGGGCTAACCACGCATGAAGCTAACGCCAGACTTCGAAAGTATGGCGCTAATTGCCCGGTCAAAACAAACGTTTTTGTTGCCTTTCTGTGAGTGTTCATGTTCCAAGCATTATCTTTTCAGTTCATCGCGTTTTTTAACCCAGTTTCTGACTTGCCGTCGTGCTTTCCCTTAGTAAAGTAGCTTTAGAAGAGGTTAGTTACAAGCCAGAAGCTTTATCTGATTGCAATCTCTTGTCAACCTCTCTCAAAATGCAACATCTGAATTCTTGCATTTGAACTCAGCTCCAGGAACCAATGATTGTGATTTTGGTTCTTCTTGGTGGAATGTATGCAATTTGGAGCTCTTTCGAAAATGCTATGACCGTCATTGGCACTATCGGGGTGGTTTTATCCATTGAAATTGTCTCTGGTGAGCATTCACGCTTTCCAAATTGTGAGGCTCGAGCTCACCGCATGTTGACTAGAGTATCGAGCCAAGTCAACTTTACATGCACTGTCGCAGGAACTACCATTTCGCGTCACCGCAGTCAGAGATGGTGCAGAAACCGTGATTTCTACTGAAACACTCGTTCCTGGTGATCTCGTCTGGATATCCAGAGGCCAAAAGATACCTGCTGATGGTGTAGTTATAGAATCTCGAGGCCTGCAAGCCGATGAAAGCATATTGACTGGAGAGACTTTGCCAGTCCCCAAACCAATTGGTGATGGCGTGTTTGCAAGTATGCTGGTTGCTAGTGGACGTGGTAAACTAGTCGTCACGCATACTGGTAGCACTACCAGAGTTGCACATGTGCATAATATGATAAAGAGGGCGAAACCTGCAAAGACGCCTTTGACGAAAACGATGGCTGGGGTTTCAAACGGATTGATGCAAGTCGCGCTATGTGTTTCGGTACTTGTGTTTGGGTTGGCTTCGTGGAGGGGGATGGAGTGGAAGGATGCTTTAATGTTGGGGGCGGCATTGGCCTACGCAACGATACCCGAAGAACTACCGCTGATAATCAAGCAGGCATTAGCTGTATGTGTACACAATTCAACGGCCTTAAGTCAATCAACAGAACCCCGGCTAACTCGATCCTCATTTTGCAGGTCGGATCTAGAGGTCTTGCTCATAAAGGTGTATTAGTGAAGAAGCTGAGAGGCATTGAAGCTCTTGGTGTTGTCGATGTCATTCTGGGTAAATTCTCATTTGCTTTCGTACAGACAGGCCCACATTCTCATACATGCCTATCACATAAACAGTTGACAAAACTGGAACCCTAACTTCCAATTACCTAACTCTGGAAAAACTCTTGACCTTCACTCATAGTCCGATGAAATCACCAACAGGCGCCAAGTCTCTACAACAGAAAATCGAAATTGCTACTTGGCCTTCTTCATCTGCAGCCACATGTCCCGCTTTTATCAAAACTTGGACTCTCACGACTCCATCTCAAGCATCTCTAGCCCCTTCGGATTCCACCTCAGTAGAAACAGCCTTCGACGACCCATTTGACAATGCCATGCGCAGTATATTACCAGTCGCATTACCCCCTGGTGGACTCTACGCTGCTAGTACAGCTCGTGAGACTTACCCAACACTTTTGTCGGAGTTGGCATTTGATCCCGCAATCAAATTAGCTGCTTGGGCTTATGCATCTATTGATGGTGATTCTGGTATTCTAGTTGTACGAGGAGCTCCCGAAGCTGTGATAGATCATTGCATAACTAGTTCTCTATCACGTCCCGACAACCACAATGTATTGGATTCTCCGCTTACAGACGCTGGAACACTTATTGATGAGTTGAGCTGGAAAGAGATGAACCTGCAAACTGCAACAGCAGGGGATTCTGGTGCTCGAGTGGTATGCTGTGTTCAAAGTATACTTGCGCATCTTATACTAACATCGTTTTTCATTGGTGTTTTAGCTTGCCTATGCGATGAAACTGCTGACCTCGACAGAAGTCAAAAGACTAGCACATGAAGCTATAACTCTGGACTATATTCGTGGCTTGTCTTTCGTTGGAGCAGCGATATTCTCGGACCCAATTATTTCAGATGCCAAAGAAACAATAGCAGCTTGCAAGCGCTCTGGTATCAGAACGATCATGGCTACCGGTGACTTACCTCAAACTGCCTTCTCGGTAGCTAAAGCTACTGGAATCATAGGGAACTATGATCAATTCGTAGTTACAGGTTCCAACATCCAAGCACTGCCTGATGTGGAATTTAGTCAACTTGTGTCAAAGTGCAATGTATTCGCCAGGGTCTTGCCAGAAGACAAGCTGAGACTTGTAACCACATTGAGGGCTCAAGGCCATTGTGTGGCCATGATAGGAGATGGTGATTACGTGAATATGTTTATCAATGGAAGAACGTAAATTGACAACGTCAACTACTAGGTGTAAATGACGCTGCCGCATTGGTCGCTGCTGATTGTAAGGATCATTCCTCTTTGTTTCAAACATTCTGATTCTTCGCGTGGAAAATCTGGTATTTGACATCAATTTCTACAACTCTGACAGGTGGAATAGGAATATCTGGCGGACCTGGCAGAAGTGTCGACGTTGCCTTGGACGCCGCTGACATTGTGTTGGTGAATCTCAACAGCCTGAGTGTCATATTAGACTGTATCGCAGCGGGTAAAAGCATCAGAAACAATATCAGAAGATCTGTAGGATTCTACCTCTGTGTGAGTTTTGGCTTGTTTTCCAACATCAAAACAAAACCATGGACTTCAATTCCAATTATTCAATTCTGTAGTGTAAAATTGCTTTGAGCTCTCTTTTCATTGTTGTGATTGGAGGCCTTGGGAAATCACCGCTGAACCCTGTTAATATCGTCGGTACGCCATGGCCTATTAAGTAGGCTTGAATTCGTCAGTTCTAATCAAATCCGTCTATACAGTTCTGGAAATGTTCATGGACACCGCTGTAACCATCTTCAATGAGAACACTGGAGGGGACACAGTTCAACAATCGAGAGCTGAAGACACCAAGATATTTGATGAGACCTTAAGAGTCTTTTTGTGTACAGGATCTATCTTGGTCTTTACTTGCATCGTGGTGGCATATCTCGTTGGCACCATCCTACATTCTGGTCCAGAACTGACTTTCTTTGCTTGGTTATTTTCTCATTGTGCTCTTGCATTGAGTGCCAGAGTATGTTCAGCCATTTATCTCACTTTGTGGAATGTTCCTGATACAATTATTCATCTTACTACTCAATCCTGCTTCTAGACTCGGGTAGAGCCTCTACGAATACGTGGAGTATTCTCCAACATGTGGATGAATATTTGGCTTCTCTTTGTTATGATATCCGCCATGGTTTGCTTATTCGTGCCATCTGTAAGACATCGAGCTGGTTTGAATGGTGTAAACATAAGCCAGGTTGGAGTTGTGTTCGTCTTGTGTTGGGCGGTAGTTTTCGGCACACTCGAAGTCATCAAGGAAGTGAATTGGAAACAAAGGCAAAGAAGAGACGATGACGAGTCAAGACCGCTGCTAAATCATGATGCGTAATATTTGTATGTAAAACTGATGCAACTTACACATAGAACTTAGAATTGAATGCCTCGTAATATTTCTATTGAAATTAAAGTTTCGAAGGTTGGGATACTAACTCATCGATAGCTTCTGCAGTTTTGGTCGGCATTGACAAGAATGGGGAATGTGATGCAGGGAGAAGATATGTTCTTGTGATGCCAAACCTATCGCATAGCATCCGCTGATAGGTTTGACTTATGACGTTGTCCTGATCACATATTATATATGCCTATAGATTGAATGAACGGTGTAAGCAATACAAGTCGGACTGTCGAGTCGAAAGCTGTGTCATACTTTTGGAATTGTGCCCCAATTAGCATCCGTGAGATGTATCTTTTCGGTCAGCGGTTTGATCACTTGAGGAGTTAACTTTGATTTGGCTACTGCAATGTCCTCTGCTGAGCAATCCCCGTAAAACAAATCGTCTACAGTGTTTAAATCTACTACTAGTCGCTTCTTGTCCGTTGGATCCCGTATTCCTGGACCAGGGCGACCCGAAACCTTTGAATTTTCTTGAGCAACATCTGCATTGCTGCCATCTTTAGTTATGAAGGCGGTCAGGTACCTTTGGTTGAGGGTTCAGAAAGAATACAGTCAAGTAATACCACCAGAAATTGAAACATTAGAGATCACGTACACGAGAGCAGCTACTTTGTGCGGGTTCTTTTCAGCAAATGCAGAGATAGCAATGCCTCCCTATGGTAAAAAAAGTTATGGTCGCAAGTAATGCTTCACAACACAAAACGCCAGGACGGGCGTGCATATAGCACCGTCGCACGTACCATGGAATGTCCAACCAATACGGCCTTCGAACCTAGCTTGTCTACAGCTTGCTCTAGCCGTGACACGTAAGCAGATATGGTAATCTCTGATGTTGGCGTCTTGTCATCGCCATGGCCCGGCAAATCAGGCGATGAAACGCTATAGCCTTTAGAGGTTAAAATTGGGACGACCTTGTCCCAGCACCATCCTGCAGAGATTGAAGAAGTTGGTCAGTTCCAAACATGACAGTGGTGAAGGAATGCGATGCACACGAAATAGTTGAAAGGGATTGAAAAAAGCGCATTCCACTTGCCGCCGTGCCATGCGCCGTGACAGAGTACAATGTTCTTAGCAGCTCGAGCAGCCATAAGCGTTTGCAGAGCCAGTCCTCAGTTCTCCATCCTAAAATTGACACTGGTTTCGAAGGATGTTGAGCTGACGTTATTAGTTCTGACGCGTCGACACACGTAAATAGGGTTAGATCCATGCTCTTAGCCTCAGAAAATGCTTCTTGCTGTTTCTTTATGTCTTCCAAAACATCAAACAATAACGGCGACAGCGGCCAGAAGTCGATTTTTCACTAAAATCCGAAGTCCATCGTAATCATGTGGGGATTTGGCAAGAGTACACCTCCACCTCCTAAGGAGAAGCCAAAGAGTGAATTCGAGGCTGGAATGCCAAAGTTTGATGACATTGGCTTCGATTTTGCAAAGATGAACCTAGAAGATGATAGTGGACTAGATGATCCAGAGCTGCTGGTAAACTCACAGTTATTGATAGTTCTTGCTTGATTGCGTTGTTGTCATTTCTCCTGGCACAAGGCTAACATTTGATCTAAATCACCTTCAAAAGGCTGAATTGGAACACATGATGGCCGTAGAACGTCCTCCTGCGAGAAAGCCTGCTCCTACTCCTCCACCTTCTAGACAGGCTGCTGGATCTGCATCTTCACCTCTTCCTGCTGCTGCTTCTGTCAAGCAACCAATAGTACAACCAAAACTTCACGAAGAGCTCGTCGAATACACTACGCTCGATTTGACTGACGTGATGAACGATGCAGAACCTAATGTAGAGGTGTCTGATAAAGATCTAGAAGATCCTGACTTGCTTGCTGAATTGCATGCTGTAACAGGTGGCAGCAACCACGATGAGGAAGATTCCCATTTTGATAGTATTAGCTACCGTGGCCAATCTATAGATCCAACGCCGCAATATGCACGTTCATATGCCCTACCATCGAACTTAGCATCTAGTAGTGTACCATCAGTCGCACCCTCAGCTTCCAACATACCGAATACGAGTGTGCATAATTCGTACTCAACAATGCCTCAAGCAGCTACAGCTTCTGATCACTTTGTAGTACCCACACGGTCAACGAGCATAAAAGGTAGTGCCACCGTTGTAGATAGTAATAACAAGCCGGAGGACACATCAATGTCACTGGCTTCCATGATGGCTGTGACAGATCCCGCGTTACTCTCAAAATATATTCAGTCCGAAAAGGTCAATGCCGTGAATAAAAAACGAGCTGGAGATTTGAACGGTGCTCTCGAATCGCTAAAGACCTTCAAGGCTCTAGAAGGAAGGTTGGCTCAACTCGGACCATCTTCATCTCCGGCTGCAGCACCGATATCAAATCCAATGAATACGCCAGATAGACAATTACTTGCTGCCTCTTCAGCATTAGCATCTCCTCCTGCTCGCTCAGCTAGTGTAGAAAAGAAGAATGGTATTTTGGCTGTCTTGACTCAACGGCAGGATGAATACAAGAGAGCTGCCTTGGCTTTTAGAGATACTCAGAATCTCCCAAAAGCACAAGAAATGCTGACAACCTTCAAAGCGTTAAACGCTGCCATTATCACCGTCAAGCAAACCGGTGATTTGCCCGCAACATTTCAACTACCACCACCAGCACCAACCAACACCAATAGTACACCTAAATCTAATTCCAGTAATGCTACAAGCTCTACACCTACAAAATCTCAACTAGGAACCAAGCCATCCGTATCACCACTAGGTGCAAATCGACAAGCTGTAAAACCAAAGGCATCTACCATGAGTCTCAAGCAATCACAATCTAATTCCATATCGGTGTCTTCAGACACGTCAGTTAATACGGATGATGTAGGAGACGTCTGGCAATACTTGAAGAACTCGCTAGAAAGTCAAGTATCACTCGGTACATCTCTCGCTTCTCATTACTTAAAGGCAAATAGAAAGGACTTGGCTGGTGAATTTCATAGATTATCGAAGGGCTCAGCTTCCGATTTGGCCATAGTTACATCGCTACTACAACAACCACATTCTAGGCCGCCCATATTTACTCACAAGAATGTCACCTACGAATATGAGCACTACTTTGCAGAACTACCTAACGAAGAAATGGAGATAGTAATAGTAGCAGGACATGGTCTAGGTACTCGTGAAGTGAAGGGTGAAGATGTGGCTGGTTATGTTGTATTTGATCTCGGTTGGCCGACTGACGAGGATGGTACTCCAATGGCAGAATCCAAAGGGGAGACTCCCGTCATAAGTCGTAATCCAAATCCAGAATTCAACTATAAAAAGTCTGTGAGGTACGACAAGAGTCGTTCCTTTCAACGATTTCTGGAAAGGAAAACGGCTACATTTGATGTGATGCATTCGAGAGGTCTTTCACTGATATGGAAGCCCATATGTCTTGGTCGAGCCAATGTGCCCTTGAGTGCATTGTTGAAGTCGGCCGAATTTCATGAAGTCATACAGGTAAAGTCACGTTGGATTTTTTTTGCTCGGCATGTATTAGGTCAATGCCCACTCAAAACGTTTTGATATAGCTCGTTGATCCAGAGAACCCACGTAAACCAACCGGTGGACGATTAGAAGTTCGATTCAGAATGCGTCAAGCATTCTTGGGACCGGAACTCATATCTAAATCTCATCGGTGGTTGACATTAGATACCAGCCCCTCTACCCCTGCAGCTCGACCTCCGCTTAAAGACAATCTAGCACCCCCAACCTCATCGCCTTCTAGACCTTCATCTCCAGCTGTCACTAAACCTGTTTCGCCAAGAACACCATCACCCTCGACTTTGAGGACTCCAGACTCCGCCACGAGGTCTCCTGGAATCTCAGCAGGTGTTAAGAAAATACCATCGCCCGTTGTTGTAGAGCAAGCTGCTGCAGTCGATGATGATGTGGAGGCTCTTGAGATACGTTTCTTGAGGTAATGTGTTAGAATGTCTTATCTGACTTTACGGCTTTCAACTTTAACGTCTTCTTTTTTTAACTAGTGCGGATGGTATAGCTTCAAATTCAGTGTTGGAAGCTGAACAAAAGCAACTAGAAACCCAAATCAACACCTTGAAGGCTCAACGGAAGCCAGTCCCAGATGACCTACTTATGAGAGAGAATGAGTATCGCATGCGTATGGAATACCTTGTCACAATGGTATCTGTTGGACAGTTGACTATGCCTGGTAAGCTAAAAAAACAATAGCAGGGCTTTGTCGAATTCCTGCACTGACAAATATCCCTTCTATGATAGCATATCTCGCACAACTAAAAGAAGCAATCCAAACGAGTCGCATTCAAGCTCTTGCTTTCAAAAGAGGTGGTAAACTAGATCTGGCCAAACAGGCGCTAGTTCGAGTGCACTTGATGGATGCTGAGATCAAAGGGGTTGAAGAGAATCAAGAAGGTGAAGAAGATGCTGCTTGATGAGGATTGTTGATATACATGTAAACTGTGGAATCATGTTGTGTGTAAATATGAATGTAAAGATTTCAGATTCGACATACGCTGCTCCAAAGACAAACAACGATTTGCAGATCTGAGGTTCAAGTACTATGCCATCCTTTAAATGTGTGTATTGCGAAAAACAAAAATAAGTAGATATAAATATAAGCTATAAGGAGTCAGACTCGCCATTGCTGTTTGGATTCCATCGGAATTCATCAGGTGATACTTTTGTTAAACGGGTTGGGAGAAAGAGCTGTTCCAGCCATTCCCTCCAACACGTACTCTGTCCAGATCACGACATAAAATGAAATTGCAGATGAACTTGGCTGTCACGGCTGAGAAGAACACCAAGGAAACTGTTGATATCGGCGGACGGTATCGCAACGAAATTATGAACGTTGTTACAAAGGTCGAGACTTCCAACAACCACTGAAAATGGAGCTGTTCATATATATCAGTCTCGTTTATTCTAAATACTAAACAAACTGCATCAGGTACCAATACAACTTTCGAGCAGCGAGACAGGTTAATGAGCGAACGCGATTCAGCCAGCTTTGAACCGCACAAAACCAACCATCACGTAAAGCATGCGCGGTAATTTCTGTTTAAACACGCTTTTAATGCCATTTGCTGTTTGAATCAAGTGTCTCCCCACATTGTATTTCTCGATTTCTCGCACATTTCTCGCCTGCTTTAAAAACACAAACTGACAACGCCTTCATTCGTAGCAAAAATACCCAACAAAGATGAAGCACGGACCAAGGACGACGATGATGCACTTTACAAGGCACTCTGATATTGTAGGCTCTTGTCCCCTTCTCTCTCAATCCACCTGATATGCGCCTCATTGATGCTCACATTTTGTCCAGTTTGGAACTCTAGATCTGTGGGGACTGGGGCAGCCAGAAGGTATGTATTCGATGGATGCACTCATTGTATGTGCATTGCTTGCCTTTCTTCGCCATGTTTGTATGGTTTTTGACCGTCTTCTCCAAGTTGCAGCTATTGACATCAAACTGACCGAAAACAATAACTTGTCCATTTCCAAATAGACCAAGCGCACCAAAGTGTTTCTCTCACTCTACTGGGATACAGGACGCTAATTACATCAGGTGATACTCGTTTCAGCCGAGACGAGGAGGTAGCCACTCCAAGACATCTCCTACACGCACTCTCGTCCACAATTTTGGTTTTATCTCAACCAAAGTGTTAAAACACTCGACACAAGATGATGCTCATTTCAAGGAGCATCGGTCTTGCTGTTGGTGGGACTTTAAGCATCATTTCTTGGATGCGAGGGTAATGTTTGCGCCGACATTGACCTTTTCCTTAATTGGACGGTTGATGAAGGTATCGACGCTTCAGTTGGCAAACTAGTGGATTCAAAGTGATGCTATGGAGTGGCTCCTTGCTTTTGCTGTTATTGTTGCTTAGAACGCCTCGATCCCTCACTCTGTGCTTTTCCTTTTGTTTAGACATGCTCATACGTATCTGCATTCACGGTGCCGACTCTCCCTTGGACTCAACGGGAAGACATCAGGTGATACTCGTTTCAGCCGAGACGAGGAGGTAGCCACTCCAAGACATCTCCTACACGCACTCTCGTCCACAATTTTGGTTTTATCTCAACCAAAGTGTTAAAACACTC